CAGCCAAATGAAGAGCTCATGAATTCGAGGGAAGAAAAATTATTCAACGGCGATTTTGTTGCTTTTTATTTAGACCCGCTCGATGGATTTCTGAAATAAACAACACCTTCTCCGTTGACCTTTGCGCGAGTTTTTTGACTTTTTCATCGTGAAAACAAGTTATTTCTTGCGGAATCCGCGGCGCCTAAATCGCTCCACCAAAAAACACTCACCCAGTCTGGCGCCTGCATTCCGCTCGTGCAAATTTTACGAAAAAAGGGGTTTACAAATGATCCCTTCGTATATATGTAGGGTACTAGAACATCTTCAAATACAGACAGGCTCGAGATAAGAAAGTCCTTTTTGGAGAAAATTAGCAGCTCCGATCGATAACCTGCGTAAAATCCTCAGTCAGGGTCTGAATAGGAAAGCAAATGCAGATTCTCACGGATATTTTGGCGAAGCCGCTTTGCGGCTTCGTTTTTTAAAAAGCCGCTACGCGGCTCTTCGGTTACGCTCTTTTATAACCCTGACTCAGGTTTCTTCACAGGTTGGAGAGCCAAGATTGACCCATTTCATTCAGTAATTCAAGCTTGGATATCATAAGAAAGATATAAAAAAAATTTTTATCGCCTCAAAATTTTAGTTTTGTCACGTGGTCATCTGAAAAAGTATTAATTTCTTGTGCCCCATAAATCAATCGTGAAAGCAATAAAATTTTGTAAACGAGGAATTAATCCCCTCAACTTTTTCGCCTCGCGGAAATGAGTGGATTAGATTAGTGCGAAAAGGTGGAAGGGATTTATTTTCTCAGTCCGGTGCCGTACTGGTGGTGGTGTTGGTGCAGTGCGAGCACGAGCGCGCTGCCCACTTAGCCAGCTTGAACAAATAACTTTTTGTCCAGCACTTGAGACACTGTGCTCTGGCATAAACGTATTGTTACCGAACACTAACGTGTTAAAGTTTTGCCACAAAAGGTGCTTCAGCGTTTCCTAGAGTGCTATTTAAATTTCCTCTGCCAAGAAAAAAATAATCAAGGGTCATCAAAAAATATCAATACTCTTAGAAATAATGCAAAAAATAAGCAATAAAAATTAATATTTTGATGCGTTGCAATCATAGAACTTATCGTGAAATCCTGAGTCAGGGCCCTGAGAGAACTAAAGTGAAAAGCCGCGTAGCGGCTTTTTTTTAATGAAGCCGCAAAGCGGCTTCACTAGAATTAAATATAATCCTAGATTTTCGGATGCGGCTTTTCATTAAAGCTCTTTCAGGACCCTGACTCAGGTTTTCTACAAATGTTTCCAAGCCCAGGTCGTAAATAAAACAAGAATTTTGACAGCAGAAGTTATTCTAGCGACATGATTTCCCGCCGTGACATTATCTCAGGACCACAAAGTTTTATCTGTTTTCGGTGTTGCCAATTTTCTGCCAACGAAGTAAGCCAATTAAAGTGATACAGTGGTGGGTACATATTTCGGAAATTGAGGAGAGCAAAATTGATCGGATTAGCTGAGGTCTGAAAGCTTACTCGCGTGGTGGGATAAGCGACGACCCGGATAGTCCGAAAAATAGATAACAATCGGATTTATCAAAAAATGCGTCCGGACTCTCCAACTTAGGGACCTTGGACCGGCAACCTGTGTTTAAACCTGAGTCAGGGTCTTGAGAGAGCTTTGATACAGCGCTCAGGACCCTGACTCAGGTTTTTGCACAGGTTGCCGAGCTGGAACCATCCATTATCAAGTCATCTGATGGTGAGATGGTTCAAGCGCCGTTTACTATTTATTGATCTCGTAATCTGTCACATAAATGGGAAAATAAATGGCTTAGCACTCGGGTCTCATACACTCGCCAGCCAAAAAGTTTCTGTTTGCGGAGAAAAAAGCGGAAGTTGGAAAGTGACCAGAAGCCGAGTTTCCTATCACACGATCGTGAAACAGTGAAAATGCGGAATAATGTTTGTTCACACGAGCTTCCGCCAAATCCAACTTGTAAATTTATGCCCTGCTCTGTAGAAATTCCGTGAAAGCAGCAACGGGAGAAGGAAAGAACGGATGTTGTCGGCCAAAACCCGATTAGGCGCGAGCTTGGTTCAATTTGCAGCGCGGTGGAGAAAATTTTCAAATTGAATTTTCCGCCCTTCGGAAGTTCAAAATTTTCTTCCAGGTATAGGGCTCACGGAAGCACCTGTTGACAAGAGATTTCACACGTTGTACCGCCTTGGTCGCTCGGATCGGTGGGAGACCTTGCTCTTTAAGGCAAGATCTAATTATTTCTTCGATTCGCCATTATTTTCTTGTCAACAATACAACCCATTTTGTAGGTAAAAAGGAAGGTCTAATTTTTAAGTCGATCTGTATGGAGCTCGGCTCAGAAACCTGCATAGAAACCTGACTCAGGGTCCTGAAAGCGCTTAAATGAAAAAGCATTGACCCTGACTCAGGTTTCTTAACAGGTTTCTGAGCCCATGGTTAAAGTCTCGCAATAACCATAAGGCTCGACAACCTGTGTAGAAACCTGAGTCAGGGTCCTGGAATGGCTTTTATAAAAGGGTTGCCGTATAAAAACTCGTAATAACTATACTTATAACTCGTGAAAATGATGGATTTCCGAGTGGACATTCCATTTCACCTCCCTTCCTGAAATATCTTGCTCCTTTCCACTTCCCGTGAAATTCCCGCCCTATTATGTTTAAGTATTGGCTCCTCGAGCAGCCGGCACTTGAATTTTTGTATCATTTGGAACACGTTATGACTGTCACGTGTCGCTGATATTCAGTAGACGCAGGGTGGCCGAATTCAGCGCTGGGAAAAAGCTGCTGCGACTATTTCTGATGCGGCTGACCAATTTCGAGAAAAATGAAAAAAGAAAAGCGCCTCTCTGTTGGTTTTCTTCTAATGACTTCATAATCTGCTGAGAACTAGGGGCGATTCCGGAAAGGATTGTCAGATGGCAATTTGGGCCAAGTGCCACCGACCCTTCGCAGGTGCAGCGATCCTCGAAACGCTAATCCAAGGTGAGGGGAATGGATTAAACCCGCTCTGCTGGAACTGCAGCCTTACCAATACTCGTAAGACCTGGGTTAACGAGATGTAGACATGTCTAAACAGCTGGGAAGAAATTGCTAAAGAGATCCGGATTAGCGGATCAGCCGGATGTGCATATTGTGCTCTGCGGGCTTGTCTGAGCCACCGCAACTTCCGAGCATGATACACAGTACAGGATTTTTATAAACACTGCGTGAGAGTATAGATCAACTGTTAGGCTTCATAACCTGTGCAGAAACCTGAGTCAGGGTCCTGAAAAGTCTACGCAGGTTTTAATAAAAGCTTTTCGAGATCCTGACTCAGGTTTTTTCACAGGTTTCTGAACCCTTATACACAAAGTAAGTCGGTTTTTATCAAGCCAAAAATTACGAATGACAAAAAGAGACGTTTTATTGAAGAAAAAACATCGTACAAATTGAATACCAGGATAAACATTGTAATATTTTCACCAGAAGCTAATCCGCCTCAAAGGTGCACTCCACGGGATTCAAAATAAACTAATTGTAATCATTGTTCGCCTTATTTGCCCGGTGATTTGTTTATTATCTCAACCCTTTTCAGAGGCGTCTTTTTTTTTGGCCGCGTATCAGCGAAAAAAGTGAAAATGTCAACATCATTTTCGCGCTGAGCCTCAAATTATTCGAAAGTTGCTGTTTGCTGGTGGCCTTGGCCTCTCTCTTCTGGTGGTCCAAGACGTCAGTGGCGTCAAGTAGGGGCTTGATTGGGGCTCGATTCTTGAGAAAACGTCAGAGAGATAAAAAATACTCTGAGGTTTGAATGGCTATGCTAACTATTCTGATGAGCGAGAGCAAGAATGCTAATGAGGAGGGGCTTCTCAAAGTAGTTGAATAATGCATTTTATTCTTTCCCTGCCATTTTCTTGCTTGTTTTTTCTTTGAAAGGCTGTAGAAATGTCCTTTTCTTTTGAAAGTCTTGAGCGTTTCTGATGAAGATTTCAAAATAGGTCGTGTTTTGTAAACAGCTGTTTCAATTCTGCTCTGGGAGTTAAATTTTTATACGTGCTCGTCGGTTGTCACGGGGAATCTGTGCCAATTTGTGCACTTGCCTAATTAACCCCGTCAAATATTCATCATTTCGTCGCACGGCTGTGGTAGCTTTGAGTGATCTGCTCCGCACCTTTTGTACATAGAAGGTTTCCTTTACGATTATGTTTTTCTCAAAAGAATATTGAAAAAACTGGAGACTCGAATTTTGAACTTTCACCTAAGCAAAGGCAATCAAGTGCCAAGTGGCTCCAAACATCGATCGCTTTCTCGCATAACTGCTCATTATATCCTTGGCTGTATCGGCTCAGCCCTTTTCTGGATGGCCTTGTGTCCAGAGCTAATTGTCACCAATGACACGAGGAGCGAGATTATTGACGAGATTCACCTGCGACCACTTTGCTTTGAAAATTCCATGCCTCTGAAAAATCATTTTAAAAGAAGAACTTTTACGATTCCGCAAAGAGAAGGCCTATTTATTAGTTGGTTAGGGACGAATAAAGATGTAATATCTGAGAAAGAGGTTGTTCTTGATTTTCGATTCTTCTTCTTCGCAAGTTTTAACAGCTTTTTGGGCCATCGTAAACGCTTATTTTCGACTGCAAAGAGAGAGAAAGAGAACGCGCATATGATCATCTTGTGTCATGGTTATCCTTGTTTATGGATAGTCATTTGATGATGCCGTCGACAAGGTGGGCTGGGCGCAAGTTGCGCGTCAGCGGGTGTTCTTCGTCCCATTTTCGCCGCGGCGAGTTGTTTAGCGCCTCCGCGCATCGGCTCTTTAGCGCCGCTAGCAACGCGCTCCGAAAGCTCCCTGGCCATTGAGGACTTTCCCCTTGATTCTGAGCAATTTTTGCCCAGTTGGAATAATAATAATAAAACATAACTGCATTTTTTCAACCAAGAGCTTTAAAAAACTGCGAAAATTCCACCTAAAGAGAGCACGGATTCATATGATACTAGAGATATGCAGCCGAAAACGTCAGAAACAAGTAAAGGTAAAGATTTAAGATATTCCTGAATAAAATACAGTACATAGAGATTACCATGAGTAGCTATATGATATGATATGGAGCCGAGACTTTTCCCGATGATTTTTAGGGTTAGGGTTAGAGTTAGGATCGCGTTTTTGTAAGTGTAGGGATTTTTAGTCCCGTGATTCCAAAGGGGTTAATTTTCTATCTGATACTTTTGAGCACCATCTACTTCAAATTGAAGGATTCCGATGCCGACCGCGGGTTAATTGTTGAATCGTCGAGATTGTGGCCATTTCGATGATGCCTGGTGGTGCAGGTTTGTTTTGGGCTTGTTGTTGGATCTTATCGCGCATCCCTTTTTCATTATTTTATTTTCATTTATGCGCTTATCGGTGCGAAAATGGCGATAATTGCGATGATACTAGCTTGTCGTTGAGCTACGTGGTGGAGAATTGGTCCTTCTGGGGGACCACACCCGAACCGACTAGAAAGTGTCAGCCAAAACATACGCTTTTCTTGAGACTCATTCTGAAGCACTCATTGAAATCTATATTTCTGGCGAATTCGCCACAGTGCCAAAAAAGACACCATTTTGTTCAGCTACAATCCTGAGAAGGCATTCTCGAGTGTTTCCGCAAATACAAGCCCCCAAGGACCGACTCTTGACTGGGGCCACTCCATCAAGAGGAGAACTTGTCAAAACCAACCTGTTAATCGTCGCTGACGGATCTAATTTCGACCCGGATAAGCTGGCTTCATCTGACAGTGAGTGGCTCATCCGGCTGTTTTTTAATTATTTACGAAGGGTAAAGTTTTGTTATGAAAGAAAAAGGATGAGGACGTGCTGATAATAAGAGCTAATTAAAGGATTAACTGGCTATCAAAAGAGCTCTGACAAATAGCAGATTTTTCGAATTAGAAATTAAGGGAAATCCTTATTTGTGAAAGTGATTTTCTCCTCCTGAAAGCTTGGCTAAGAAATTTCTTGGCTCAAGAATTGAATAATCAAAATTTGATTTTCAGATGAGCTAAAAATGCACTTCGGCGCCAGACAAATTGCCCAATTTGCGGAGGATTTATTTTTAATGAAGGCAGAATGATAATTTGTTATTTGCGCGAAAATTAATTACTGACAGAAGATAACATATCGGTGACGGCAGGCCCTCACGTGGGAAGGTTATGCTTATGATCGTTTTAATTATTCATAGCGTCAAGGTGGCCTGGGGATGAGAAAGAATAAAAAAGTTAATTGAACTTGTGGCGCTTCTTTTTTGTTTTTTTGAGGGATAACCTCCGGAGTATCCTCACGGGGTTTCGGAGCAGTTACAGTCAGCCCAGCTGTCAATGCAGCCTCATTACTGTATTTTACGCACAACAAATCAATGGCCGCTCCGATGAGCATGGTCACGTGCACGCGTCTCTCACCGAGCGTAACTCGGATTATAAGACCCTTGTCGCGCTGCAAAATTATTTATACGCCTTTGAGTACTGCAGGTAACCGCGTGTGACAACAAGCAATAGCCGGAGCGTAACTCATCCTGCTGCGGTGTTTACAAACACGAAAAAACGCACCCTTCATAAATATACTTCGCGGGCAATAGGGTAATTGCAGCCTCAAGGAGGGATCGCGAGGCGAAATTATGGTTTCCCCCTTTCGATTGTCACCTCGGACAACCGCCAATTTGCGACATGAAAATTTCGGGCCCTCTCGATTTGGAAGGGACAAATTCGATTCCTCGGGAAAAGGTTGACACTTAGCGCCAGATAGAATTTTAATGCTGGGCTCTTATTCTTGGCGGGGCATAGTTTGGTGTCACCAATTATTTGTCAAGAATTAATCGACCGCATAGCGCGAAATTAAGCTTGAAGGAGTCAGAACTACGTGTTCCTTCAGTCGGTTTTTAGGATATATTTGGCGTTGGATTTGCTCGGGTCTAAATTGATTCGCGCTGGCTGATCTCGGTTGATATTTTCACTTGCGAGGGGAAATTATCACTCGCCGTCATATGGCAGATTAACCCAAATGCGGGCTCAGCCACCGCCCGGTCTAATCCATCGCATCCGAGCTCCAACAAAATTCGCGAAATCACGATCCGTCCGGGGCCAAATATTTTCGCGAAATTTGCATAATGCTGAGTTACGCCCAAATAAAATGTCGGCCACCGCGCTGATCTTATCGCAAAACACTAAAACGTAAATATCACCAAGAAGGGCAAGTCCTTCCTTCACCAGAAAATTCTCAATAAAAAAACACCCTTGAAAGTTTCAAGTTGAAACGAAAGAAAAAGACCAATTTCATTTTGTGGCTTCAACTTTGATTTTCCTCCAGTGTTCCTAAAATACAGAAAGAAAAACAGCGGGCTTATGAAAACACCAACTATTCGGCTTTTGTCAACAAGTGGTTAAATTTCGTAGACTTTTGAGTATTTACTAAAATGGGCTGCTTCCGCTTGGGCGGAGGGCTTTTCGTGTTTGGAAATTCAGTAGGGTTTGGTACTTTGTCATCGGGCAGTTTGTTTGGAGGCAACAAAACCGAGGATACTCCAGGGCCCTTCTTCAGCCAGCACCACCTCCTCCGAGGCAGCGCTATAAACACTTGTGGTGGACCCGGCCAGCCACAATTTGACGGATTATGGTTGATTTCTCCACCACCTGAATCAAGCTCGATTCTTATATTTTCGACACTTTCTAAGAGGATGTACAGTTATTATTCATAACTTTAGAATAACAGCTTTTCAATTAGAAATTAGCGAGCCGGAAATTATTTTTACGCTGCTCGAAATAAAAAATTCTTGATAATGGGCGATTAAAATGGTGTTTGGCCCGCTGACAGCGCCATTGTGTTTAGGTCCTTTCACACGGGTGCTGTATTTTATCATCATATCAAAAATCCGGCCTTGCTTGCTTACTTGTGCCCGGGCACGCGCGAATCCGTTATCGTGCCAGAGTTAGCCTTATCGCCTTGGAAAATTAACCTGAAGGTGCGGAAGTTGCCTCTCAGGTGTCTGACCATAAAACCTTTATCGCAAATAAACCCATTTTCGCTTGCTCGAATACGTAAGGCCTAAAAGCTGTGAAAATGGTAATTTGTAAGGTGATGAGGGTCGATAGGACTTTGAGCCGTAAGCGGCGGATCATCCGGACTGGGTTGCGTAATCTGAGAGCAGGAGCGATTTGTTCGCTGCAGCTGATCCGAAGAAAGCATTGCCTGAAGAAAGCAATCTTCAAATTCGAATGGTCTGAGTGATTTTGAGCTTGAGCCAGGGAATCATCTTTTTCCAGGCGTGGAGAATTGGTGGGTGCGAAGAAGAAACCGCGGAAGAGAATTAAAGCCTATTTAGGGTATTCCTTCTTGCGGTGTAATCCGAGGCAGACGCGTGGTGGAGGTGGTGGGGCGGGATAAAGTGGCCAAATTTGTGCAAAATGCTCGTCGCGGTCAGACCTGGCGGTTCTCGGCTGAATTAAGATGCGGCTGCATTTTTTATTAGGCATAGTCGGGAATTTTAGACTCTTCTCTTTCCAGCGCACTGCGCATCTGATGAAATTATGGAATAAATAAAGATGGATATTCTATTTTTATTCTGTTTGAATAGAAATTATTCGAATGTGTTCCGGTGAATGATCATCGCAAAGATGGGAATCGTGTTTTTGCTCCACTGCCAGTGGAAGATATAATTTATTCCCACCGCGCTACATTTCCGCAGCTCTATCCTCTCGAAAGAATAATTATTCGAAGAGGACAAAGGTGCGTGGTTTTGGCCACTTCCCCTCCAAGGTCAAAAACGAGCTGGTATCCGGCTTGAATGAAAATAAGCGTGGAGACACTCGAGGTGACACTTCCGCGGTTGTATTAACGCCCGTCAACCGGTTAAATTATATAATCACCGGCCCGTGCATTAGCACGTGACAACATACATTTGAATTTACAAGGATTTACCATTTACGCACGCGGGAAAGTCTCGGAAATCCACGATCTCCAGTCAAATGGAACTTCAATTTCAAAAAAAAAAATATAACTTGTTAATTTAGGTTTCTACCACTCGTTCGCGGAGTTGATCGAGTCCCGCTCGGGGATTGAGGACTTTCTCAACTTCCTGAGCAGCTCGGACTCTTCTTCATCTTCCTCCTCTTCGTCCACAGAGTCTTCAGAAGGCTATCATCTGCTAAAACTCTGGCTGACGATCCGTGGCTATCGAGCAGAGTTTTCGAGGAAAGCCTCTCAAGATGTCCCTCCCAAATTCTTGAAATGGAATATCAAGTGCTGCAACAAGATCGCTCTCAGCTACGCAAAACAAATCAACAATTTCCCCAGTACTTCAAATCAGCTTACTTCGCTAAGAAAGACAACTACCAGCACAATCGAGAAAGTCGAAGAAATGCGGGTGAAGGCAAATCTCGTGAAATCAACGATGATCACGCTTATGGCCGAGATTGAGAGTCAATTGAAGCTGAAGCATTTTCTGTCTTTTGTCAAGGCAAGAAAACCGGCTAACGATCGAGTTCCGGAAATTCTTTCTTTGGTGAGTAAAAATTTTAAGAAATCGAAAAATAAAATTTGTCCCTAGAATTCGATGTTTCCAACTGATTCCGACACCAATTCGAGCTCCAAGAAACTGACTCCTCGACCAGTAAAAGAAGCAGAAATTGCCACGAAACGCCCAGATATCTTCGCTGAACGGCTCATCGAAAAACTCAACCGGCTCGTTTCCGTAAGTAAAAACAGTCACTTACAGTTTCTTGGAAAATCATCTGTTGCGTCTATTTATGTCGCTTAGAGGGGGTTAGCATCCGTTTGTTAGATCAATCGAGTACATCAAAGTCGCCCCCGCCGTTGGCACCTCGGCTTCTAATGACGCGTTAATTGCGGAAAATCTTACTGTTTATATTTACTCGGGAAAGCACCTTTTGAAATTTCAAATCCGAAATTCGTTGTTCTCAATTATAAAATTAAAAATTCAAATTTTCAGGAATCGACTGAAGTTGTACCCACCGTCCTCAAGCCAAAAAGCTCGCCCAAGTGGAAACTTCCTGTTTCGAAAGATTCTTACAACACAAAGGTAAATTCATTATCCCAATTTCTTCCAAGAAACCTATAATTCCTAGGTTGGCGACTGGCTCGAGAGGAATCATACCAGCTCTCCCCAACTAGACATCAATACGAAACGAGTCTCCATCATCAAACCTGACGCCAAAGCAGCTGTGCTTCCTCCACCACCAAAGCAGCACACTCGACCCACTCGCCATGTTGGTTCTTCCGTTCTGAGCTCCGATTCCGGTCTTGATTCGCTCAAGGTCGACCATCGTGCATGCGAAAATTCCGACGAGATCAACGCCATCAAAAGGAGATTGATTTCCGACCTGGAAAGTCAGCAAGAAAAACCCCCAAATCAGCCCCCAAAGCAGACGAAAGTCATCTACCACTACAAAAACGAGACATTTGTAATCCGCATCGAAGAAGCTACCCTGGCCCATCTAATGAAGAAATTCCACGATCAGAAAATCGCCAAAGAAAGTAAATTCTTCATCAAGCAAAATGACGGCGCCTGGGCGGAACAATCGTATCTTCACCAGAAACTCGCCACAGAAAACGACCTCGTTGAAGCAAGAGTTGTTTGATCGAATTTTTTCTGTAAATATGAAAATTGAACTTGTTAGTTATCAAATGACTGTATTAATTTATTCAAACTTCTGCTAAAGTACATACAATAAACTGCCCATTGTTCAACACTTTCGATTCTTGTAAGAACTGTCAGTCCTGCCAGCTACATGTCCAGCGAGGTAATAGCAGATGTAGGCTTTTGCGGATTACAAGCAAAAAATTGAGCCGCTTTGGGTGCGTGAAAAGGCCACAATCGCGTTCTGTGGCCAGCGAACGGGCTCATCCATTCTAGCCAGTTTGAGTAATCTGTTTCCACCAAACAAAATTAACACCGCACCGAAGTCGGAAACTGCACCTCCAAATAAATTAGTGGCAATGCAAATATCAAAATTGTTTGTGCTCGCAATCGTCTGAGCGGCTATTTTGAGAAGAGGTTTTTGTTGCTAGTGAAAGCAAAAAACCAAAGCTGAGTGTTTGGAAAGCAATTTCGCAAATTGGAAGATGGCATCTTTGCTTGTTTCCATATTTTGAGCGAGTGGTACAAAGAACTCTTTTATTAAAAATATATTCAGAAATTAAATTTCTGAAAAAAAGTTCCCATGAAATCAATAGTTGCTTGAAGACGCCGCGTTTATTTTTCCAGAGCTCATTCAAAATGGCAGCCCGCTAAAATCCAAGCAAAAATGTTGTGAGAATGTGCAAATGGAGATTAGCCCGCTTCTTAGTCTGACTTTTGACATGTGAAAGTTTTCGAAAAACAGCACTGAATAAATCTTGGCGGAATATAACACGAATGAGGTATCTCTTATTCTTGGAGGCAGGAGGAGGATTTTCATTTTCTATCACCATTTCGATAATATTAAATTTCAAATAGATTATCTCAAAAATATGATATCGGTTTTCGATCCGATTTCTAGAACATTTATTGTTGATTTGGTATAAAAGGGAACTAAATTTTAGTTGAAGCTCAGATCACAAGATGCCACCCCAACGACGACACGGTCACCTCCGACAGCAGTATGAAAACTCGATGTACAGTCAGGTAGAGTATCGGGTTCTAGAAAAATTTGTTGATTTTTTGAAATTTTGAACATTTTTCTTGGAAACCAAGCGAGTCTCTAGAACAAATTTTGTGTTTCAGTCGAGCAATCGAAGCAGCATTTATGCTCCCTTCATGCCAGATGGACCGGCTTATCATCATCATCATCAAGAGGCCCAAATTCCAAAGCCCCAAATTCCAAAGCGAAATGTCGGAGGATTTTCTGACCAAAGATCCGAAACGGTAAAAGCAAGGTTAACTGCGGTTCTTGAATCATTTTTAGTCGAGTGCATATAATGATTTCATCGGCCTAACTCCAACTGAAGAGAAGAAATGCGATTCCGAAATTTCATCCAAGCTTTCCAGTCTAATTGAATCCCGTTTCGACGACCAACGCGATGAAACTAAAGAACTGATAACGAAAGCAGCTTCTGAAATCAAGGAAGACGCCAAGGGGAACGCGAGCGATCTATCGTCAAAGTTGGACGATATGAATAAAAGAGTGACGAAGTTGGAGGAAAAGTCAATTACGAGAAAAGACTTGACTGCACTTTTCGAATCTGGCAAAGCGGCATTGATGGTCGATCTAAAGCAAGAAATCGACAAGAAGGCGAAAGAATTGAGCGCCGACTATACAATTTCCAGAAACACTGCTTCGCAAGGAGTCCAGTGTTCCATGTCCCAGGTACAATGAACACTGATTTAAGCGGTCGTTAAAACTTTATCTAGGAAAGCATTTGCTCAACGCCTGAAGTGCCGAAAAAGAAACGGAGGAAGCGATGCGATTCGACTCCGCCAGCTAGCCCGATGCGTCAATCTCAGGGCATCACGAAACGGCGGTCGGGATCGAAGAAGTTCTTGTCTGAAAAGCCTGCAAAGCTTGGTCTTCAAATGGCCGACGTGAACAAGAAAAGAAAGGTAAATAAAAAAAGTGATGCTTAAACTAAAGCAGATGCTTAGACTCGACGCTTCAGCGATCGTCTCGGGGCTGAAGAAGATGAATTCTTCCTTTCATTGCGTCCGACTACACCAGAGATGCCTAAGAGAGAAAAACGGCCTAGACGGATTGATATATTAAGGTAAATGTACCTCATAATTTAATCTTTTTAAATCAAAAATTTTAGAGAAGAAGATTCGCCGGTTTACCCAAGAACATGTCCTCCTCGGCCAAGAACGCAGAAAAAACCGGCTCCGTGCCTTCCTGTTCCAATCTTCAGGGATGAAACTCTCGAAGTTATTCCTGAAAATTACGGAGATTCATCTGAAGATGATACTTACCGAAGATCTCAGGTAAGATAAATTGACATGGAATCAGAAAATTGACAAAATTTATTAAGATTACGCCCGGAACAATTCTTCAGAGAAGAAGAAGAAAAATCAGGACCTCGAAAAGTATCTTCGATTTTTCAAAGGGAGAGAGTTCTAGCGACGAAACCACAATTTCTGTCGACTCTTCCCACGAAAACTACCGAACTTCTGAATACGGAACACAAGATGGTTCTTTTTGATTTTAAAAATCCTGAATAAGTTCAACCACTCTCCTCAAACCATTGATCTACTTTCCTACATCCTACTTCATTGATCTGTCCTACTTTTTCATCCTCGTTTGTTACGAACGATAATTCTTATTTTTTTTTCTATTTTCCATTTTTATGGCCCACTATATTTTCTATGTTTGTTTGCCTCTTTAGAGTTCTTGTGTCTGTTTTGTCTTCTACCAACATTCCAAATCATTGAAAATTTCTCATCTCCCAATATATTATCTGCCATTTATCGCCAAATATACTCAATGAATATTTTCCATCAATATTGCATCAATATCAATTTTATTGTTTGAAAACTGATATTGATTCTTTCGTTGTAAGGCTTTCTTTTTCATAAACCTATTAACCCATTACTTGCTTGCAATAAGTACTTGACGTTTTTAGTGGTTCCGCTCCAGCGGAGGGGATTGAGTTCAGGTTGATAGAAAGGTAGATTGCACCTGATCTTATCAGAGCATAAAATGAACCACCGCTTGTTACGGTCGCAAGGTGGCTAGCGCCAAATAAATCGGCGAGCGATTTCAGAATTCTCATCAAACAATCAGCTTCTTTTCTCAAACCAACAAAGACAAAAAGCAAAGAGACAAACTAACCAAACAACAAAAATGAAGGTCCTCAGCCTCTTCTTCACCCTCAGCTGTGCCCTCGATGAGATGCTTCTCATGATGATGATGCAGCAACAGCAGCAAGTCGCTCCCGGCCAGACTTCACAAATGAACATGATGCTTCCCCTTCTTCTCATGGATTCAGACAACAACTCCACTGACAACTCTATCGCTCTCATGATGATGATGATGCAAGGCGGCAGTACCTCGGACATGAACTCGATCCTTCCTCTTCTCCTTCTCTCCGACGATGACTCGTTTGACGACGGCATCGACTTCACCAGCTTCTTCCTCTTCTCCTCCATGCTCCAGACCGACTGCGCCACTTCCACCGACGACCAGTTCAACATGATGCTTCCAATGCTTCTCATGGGCGACGACAACAGCACTTCCTCCGATTTGATGCTCATGATGATGATGCAGACCATGGGCGACTCTCCCGTCGGAATGGAAAACATCATGCCCCTTCTCTTCCTCCTCGACGACGACTCCAGCGTCTCCAGCGACAGCATTTTGCTCATGGTCCTCCTGAACTCGATGACCGGGGGCCTCAACTCCCAGCAAGGATTCGACAACAACTTCAACATGATGCTCCCTCTTCTCCTCATGGACGACGACAGCTCCTCCGACAGCAGCTCAACTGACATGCTTGTTCTTATGATGGCCATGCAGTCTCAGGCCCCCAACTCTGCTTTCGGCACCGACATGATGCTCCCTCTTCTTCTCATGGACGACAGCGGCGACAACGAGACCCTCCTGTTCTTCATGATGATGAACCAGGGCAAAACCAAGTGCGAGCCCGAAGTCGTCTATGTCCAGCCAGAGCCAGAAGTCGTCGTTGTTCAACCCGAGCCCGAAGTGCAGACCGTCTTCCGAACCTGGAGAGTCAACGCTGATGGCACCCGAGAACTCATTGAAGAAACCACTGATTAATCAAGCCTCCGCGAAACCAACTTTTAAGCAAACTGTTTAGCTTAATTTTCCTTCAATTTCTTTCTTATTTATCGCTCTTATTTTCCCCTCATGTGCTTATTACTCTTAATATTGCCAATAAATGTAAAATAACTGACATCTTTTTGCTTTTTTTTTTTATAAAAAAGTGTATTGAAGTGCAGATAATCGAAAAAATAGGGAAAAAAGACAGCTTTGTATCAAATTCAAAAGTCAAAGAAATCGTATGTCTGACTTTGGTTTCGGAAGGTTGACTTTTCTCTTCTCTTTTGCTTTTTTCATCTCGGCTTCGTCAATCAGCTTCTGAGCTTCGATATCTTCCTGTAGTTTCTCAGAGTAATCGAAAGGGTCGTCTGCTCCAAAGCGTGAAATCATGACATCATCATCGTCCATCGAAAGGTCAGGCATTGTAAAGTTTCCTTTTTCTTGGAATTTATTTCTTTGAAGGCTTCCGAGCTTTCGTGCTCCTGGAGTTTCGATTTCTTCGTCTACGATTGAGGAAGCATCACTTTCCTCGCCTTCGAGCATAGGAATAGAGGAATCGCTGCTGGAACTGCTGCTGTAGTCGTCGTATCTTTTCTTCGGAAGTGATTCGGCAACCATCGCCGGTTTTTCAAAACAAATTTTTTGAGTTTCCGAAATGTCCATTCCCGTCATTTTTACAGTGATGCTCTCTGTTTCGTCGATTCCAAATGTCTTCACGAAAATGTCCCGTCTCCATCTTGAGTAAGTTCTGTAATTCAGCGGCTTCCAGCATTCTCTCTTACAGATGTTTTGCAGCTCGTCGAATGTGTTGCCATCATCGATCAATTTGCACAGTTTTCTCTTGATTACTTTTGCTTCCTAACAATTTAATTATTTGATTCCTTCAAATGTCCTTTACCTTTATTCTCCACTTGAAGTGCTCTTTGAATTTTCGGTTCATTTTCTTCCGGATCCACATTGAAAATTCTGTAATAAAAGGATGGCGTCGTTTTCGCGGTTTTCCCATCTTTTCTTTTTCTTCTTTGAAAAACAGTTTTATTCATCATTCTAGAAAAATAAAATTTTCATTTTTTATTCTAGTGTTATCTCCCTCTTCCTTTGACAGTCGTTTTCTTGTGGATGGAAGAGCGCCGCGCGCTTATCCAATCAGAGAGAAGTAAAAGTTCTCACTTGGAACCGGAGGACCTTATTTCAAATTTTAAAAAAAGAGAAAAGAGGAAAAGTGAAGCCTTTTTTTAATTTTATCAATTTATATTCTGATTGCTGTGCATCCGCGTTAACTTTGAACTCCACTGTATACTGACTTTTATTCTTTACTATGATTGTATATTATTTTGAATACTGTTATTTCAGACTGATCCAGAGAGAGTCAACTTTTTACCTTTGTCTATGGCCGCTAAAGGTTAGTTAATAATTCGGTTGGCTGAAGAATATGAAGATTGTATGGCAGCCGCACCCCCTTTTTCGCAAAGGATATTTTGCGTCTCAGGAGCTCAGTCAGCAAAAACACCTGCTCATTTTGCATGCGTTGCTGAATATCGGAAGATAGACTGTTCTCTGCTAGACAATATCGGGTCATTTTTGATGCTGATTTCAGGTTCGCTTGATGACGATGAAAAATGGGAAGCGTTCAAAAATGGCATGAAACAGGCGACGAAGAAGACACATGACGTCCAAGATTTGGCGATTAACGGATTATTCGTCCTAAGGAAACGTTCATCTGACCGTTCCATCTGTAGATTATTCCTTCTTTCCTTTTCCTTATGACAGTATTTGAACCTCAAAAAGCCTTTACACAGGCCGTAGCGACTCTCTCTGGATCGAAGCGCTTTCAAAGTTCCACTACATTTTCAAAGAGCTAGAAACGGCGTTTCAAGAAAACAAGGAGCTCGAAGATTTCGACATCCCTGGAATTCCCGTTTCGCATTTGATGAAAGAAGATGTTTGTCAATTTCTTTCAAAAGACGCTCCTCCTCCTTCTCCGGCGACAACAGAATGGATACGAAACATCAGAAGCTTACTGAAAACTAGTCCAAAGTCTGGGCTCTGCAACCTGTGTGGAACCCTGAGTCAGGGCCCACATTATTTGGGGAAAGCAGCTTTCAGATCTTTCAGTACCCTGACTCAGGTTTCTACACAGGTTGCCGAGCCCAGTCAAAAGCTCGTTGCACCGTACATTTACCATATGTTCCTCGGCCTTTATTCAGGAGGCAAAATTTTGCGTCACAAATTTAAGCTCAAAGGTAAACCATCAGAAGGCGCTTTTATTCTAAAATTTCTCTAAGGAGAAGCGGTGAAGCTCGATGAAAAGGCAAACAACGTCAAGCCTGCATTGAGAGCAGCTTTCAAGAAGTTGTTCCTCGAAAACTCAGAGTTAGAGAATGAGTTTTACGCTCACTCGGAGAATATGTTTCGTCTCAACAACAAGATTATCAAAGAATGTGAGCTAGGAACGAATAAGCTCAAGGTTTTCTTCACTTGTACTGTTCTTTGTGTCTGTATTTCTGCAATTTACTCGTTTAAGTTCTTTCAATAATTCTTTTTCTTCAAAAATTTACCTTTCAAGCCCAATATTTGTTCTATCTTCTTGATTCAAGTCTTAAAAATTGTCTTCAGTATCAACTGTATCAATGTAATTTCTGGGAGAGTGTCCCCTGGGCTTGGTTCTACACAGGTTACCAAGCCCGGAGTCTGGCCCCCAGATTGTCCCACTCTTTTCTTTCAGCCTTCCGTTAAATGTTCCGTATTCGATTCATTGTGAACCCAAATTCTTCCAAAAAATATTCAACTCAAAGCTGACCCTTTTTTCTTCAGAATAACTCGAAAGGAATCAATCGCCCGGGTACTTTGGAAAAAGTAGATTCGATTCGGCGTCATGGAGAACATCAAAAACGTCAAAATCACCAATCTCGAGAAGGGTCGTTTCGTCAAACCCCTCCTCGTCGATTTTGAACAAGACGGCAATGCGCGAAAATGGGAAATGGTCAAATTTGGCAACGCCGTCTTCATCGTCATTTTCAACAAAGACACGAACTCTTTCGTCCTGGTCAAGCAGTTTCGCCCAGCAGTTTACGCTAGAAAAATGCTCGAAAGCGGGAGCGAAGAAGAGCTGCCAGCATCAGAAGGAGTGACGCTTGAGCTCTGCGCGGGTCTGATCGACAAACAAGGAAAATCCGTCGCACAGCATGCGAAAGAAGAGATTCTCGAAGAAACTGGCTACGATGTTTCTCTTGACAAAATAGGTACAGTAATAGCTCGTTCTTAGATCGGCATCCTGTCTGAAAACCTGAGTCAGCTTTGTTACTCTCTCTTTCAGGACCCTGACTCAGGTTTGTACACAGGTTGCCGACTCGAGTGCTCCTCATTGAGCATATCATTTACTAATACCAGTCTTCAGAACCTATCAAGCGATTTGTCGGCGCGATTGGCATCGCTGGCATTGAAAACACCATGTACTACGCAGAAGTCTCTAACGCCGACCGAAAAACAGCTGGCGGAGGCATCGACAGTGAAATGATCGATGTTGTCGACATTCCTTTCGCCGAAATGAAAAAAATGGTCACAGAACCAAACGACACTGAGATGGTGAACTTTGACGCGAATTTGATGATGGGAGTTTACTGGTTTCTCAATTCCAAAGCTGCTTCTTACAATCTTTGATACGACTTTTGTTTCTGGATTTTATTTTTTTTTTCATTCGTGCATAATTAATAAATTGATAAAATGCAGTCTTCAGTCAAATTCAAAATAATCTCAGGAGTCCATGAAATCGGCGATCATCTGGGAGTTGAGATCCGAGTAATCGAATGGCTTCTCAATTTTGTCACATGCTTCGCTTTGCAAGACTTGAAAAAGATTCACGTCATTCTATAATCGGAATAAACTTACTTCCCAGCTGGCAAAGAACGCTTGCGGAATCAACAAAAGCTCCATAATATGAAACGATGGATATTCAAACTGATTTATTCTGGGCCCTGCAACCTGCGTAGAAGCCTGAGTCAGGGTCCCGAAAGAAAAATAAGACTACGCTTTCTCAGGGCCCTGACTCAGGTTTCTTAGCCCAGGCTTTATTGAAAAAGCTAGAGTATATTCTTGAAAATTTCATGTTTTGAATATCCGAAACAACGTCATTTTCTCGCATCGCAGTGCAAAAACTAAAAGTCAAAAAGAAAATAATTTGCATAGCTTTCATTTTTAGATCTTAGCAAATGATTTTACCGTCGATAGAACACAAGATTGCTCTGTCATGAATAAATTAACTGAACATAGAGCGCATCACTGGTGATAATGTATTTTTACGGTAGCTATTTCAATATTCTATTGAGTAGCCTTACAGTACATAAATGTATTTTGTCACGTGTTGTTGCCGCCGAGAGCTCTGTTTTCAGGAGTCAATGAAGTCGGCAATCATCTGAGAGTTGAGGTCCGAGTAATCGAATGGCTTCTTGATTTTGTCACATGCCTCGCTTTCCAAAACTTGGGGGATTTGTATGTGGACATTTTTCAACATAAAATCAAGAAAATACGACGGTACTGAATATGTAACGAATGTAACGAATGTAACGAAAACTCAAAAACATGTCCTTTTCTCGTTACATTGTCAGTAAAATTCTAGAGATTTTTTGTTTTTCTAATTTCACCCCCTTGAGAATCCTACAATTTTACCCGCGGAGCGGGCGTTTTCCATCAACCCATCGAATTTCGAGGGGGTATGGAGAACGAATATACCATTTTTTATGGTTTTCTGTATTTTTTTGGTCTTTTAGACATGTTTAATCGTTTTATTAAATATCGCACCCCAAAATCGCTCTTTACCAAAAGTTTCTAGAATCAGCTGACATAAAACAACATGTTTCTGTTTTCGTTACATTGTCAGCAAACTCGTTACATTCGTTGCATTCGTTACATTCGTTACTTATTCAGTATCGACCAGAAAATACTTACTTCCAAGCTGGCAGAGAATAGTCGTAGAATCAACGAAAGCCTCATAATATAAAACGATGGATATTCAAGCTTATTTCTCAAAAGAACCAATAGTAGTGCCTATCCTTGAAATTTTAAGCCTAGAATCATTCAAGTTGAATATCCGAAACATAATCTCTCTCCCGTAACGCACCTCTCCAAGCAACAGCCAAAGGAAAAATAAATCGAGCAGCTTTGATCTTGGAACAAGGCAAATGATAGAACACACGAAAATATATTTTACGGTCGCCATTTATATATTCTAATTTGTCAATAGACTATTGAGCAGCCAAACAGTATATAAATGCATTTTGTCACGTGTTAGGTGCCGCCGAGAAGGAGTCGCCGCTCTTGAATCATTTTGTAAACTCGTCCAGATGTCAGCACGCAGAGTTCCTTACTCGGTTGCCAATCATTTCTATTATAAAATAGTCCTCTATCATTGACAACAAGCCTCGACAGCTGGTGTTTCCGGACGACATGGAGGATCAGCGCCCTTCGGAATGTCCTCGATCTTGAGTTCGTCTTCTGCAACCGTCGCCGTTTTCATAATAATTTGAAGAAAATCCTCGTATTTTTCATGTCGTCTAGATTTTCTTGATGCCGGGGCTCTTGAACGCCTCTTCCGAAATAAAAAATCAGACTCTTTATCACTTTTTGAGTACCTTTTGCGCCTTCTCCGGCAAAATAATGTCCCGCATTTAAACTGAAGCTGATATTTTATCGTAAAAATAGGTTGATAATTGTTCTAGAGACAAACAAATCTCATTTCAATTAAAAAGACAAAGCGGAAATGATTTAATAAAAGCATTGAATCACTACTTTTTTACGAAAAAAAATGTATTATTCGGTGCAATCAGCGAAGTACTGGCGAAACTCGGCATTTTTTCTTGGATTCCCGATAGTTGGGCTGGCAGTTTACGCTGCTCATCACAGAGAACCAAAGTGGCACAAGAGAGAAGGCTGGAACAAAGTGGATTTTCTCAACCCTTGTCCAAGACATACGGTTTGTTTTACGTCAAATTCCCGATCGCCGAGAACGTTCGAATATTATTATTTAAATTTATTGGCGAAATCTTTCTGTCAGCCGCATTATGCTCTGAATTTAAGATGCTCAAAATACGAGTAGTGCGCCTAGGTGCACCACTTTCCTTTGAAATCCCGACGTCGATGCGTCCAAATCCGCCTAAAAGCTTTTTAATGGCCTTTCTTCTAGGCTCATCCGTAGTAACCCACAGACAGATGTAATAATCCAGCGTAATGAGATTTGCGACAAATTGTCCTAAATAAGGGACAGTGTCTTTTATCTTCAACTTTGCGACCAACAACAAAATGAAAAAAGTCAACTGATTTAAAAAATTTCGAAAACAAGAAAACTTGAACTCAAAAATTCAAACAAACTCGTCATAAATCCCACCGTAACGGTGCCCAGTCATTGAGTATAAAATTTATATTGGACGCTTTATGCGAGCTTTTATATTTAATTTCCGTATTCAGCAAGTTTACGAAGCTGACAGTAACAGATGTTTGTTTTACAACGCAGGAATGAGTTTGAGTATTTTACGTAATTGGATTTCGTGATTTGGTGATTAGACAAATTTAAACTCGTCAGAAATCAACTGGATTACTTTGACCGGCTTTGCTGACGGTGAAAATGACGTCACGATTTTGAGGTAACGGAGAATATAAGTTATATTATATAACTGAATAAGTTGCTAATAAATTCATTAAACCGCTTGCGATCCCTTCGCTTGTCAAGCAGCAATTTATGATCATCATCGGTCGATTAAGAAACGAAGAGAATGGAGAAGTTCGTCACTATCCTTATCTCTCTGAAGTCGAAAAAACTGACCTTCGCTGGGACGCTCTCGGAGCAAGTCAACTCGAGGTTACATCCCACCTTAACTCTTCCTTTTACCCATCAACTGTAGCCGCTTAATCCCGAGATGAACTACAAGACTCCTGAAATGACGGCTCATCTCCGAAGACGACAACTCGCAAAAGCTGAGCTCACCAAGGCTCCAAAGAAAAAGGCACAGAAGTCATTCTGGAATTGGTAAATTGGTCATTAACAATCATTCTCTCTCTCTCTCTAATAAAAGTACTCTTGTGAAAGAAAATAATCATCAACGATGATTTAAAAGCTTGATTTGTTTGTGCGCTTATTAGAGGAAGTACTGTCCTTGTGAGTTGTTTTCAGGGGATCAATCACTCTCAAGTATTCTTGTTGTTGAAGGAAATTCCTAAAATAGCTCAGGCGCTCGATCCTCTGAAGATTTGTCTAGACGTGGGGCCTTCACAAAGGCTTGGAATTGGAGTGGGTCCAATCAGTAGAATCATTTGGGCACGAAATTAGCCAGTCATCCATGTTCTTTATCCTGAGGAACGGTAATTAAGCTTCGAATTCCTTAATTCGAAAGGGGCCTTTCGGAATGCTGGAATAGTAAATAAGAAAGACACAGTAATTTATCAAGCTTGGCGGCGGTTATCTTGACCTCGACATTTGAAAAACCGCAGGTACCTAATGGTGAAGGCTCTGTTTGGCAATGTCGATGGTGGAAAAAATAATGTTACCAGTTCATTATATGAACTCGTTCGTTTTAATCAAGGCAAGGAATAAGAAAGGATCGACCTTTTTGGCGGCAGGAAAACATAAATCTCCAACCGCAACGTCCCTGAGCAAGGAAGAACCGTACAAATCAGAACTCTCCGACGCCTCTCGATGAAAAGAAGAACTTGCCCTCGAGCGCGTGTGTGCGTAGCGTGGCGTAGTACAGTCCACCGCTGTCGTCCGTCAGATAAAGACTTTCAGCTTGAGATAGAGCGTCAGAAGTTTATTCAAAATTGAAACAAAAAGATACGTTTTTTGATAGAAACAAAAAAAAAATAAAAAGAAAAATGAGAAAAACACAAATTTCTTTCAACGAAGAATTAAATGTTGCTGAAGCGCCGTTTTGGGATCGAAAATCAAAGGTACAGTTTCTTCTGAAAACATCGATAATTATACTTTTCCTTGATTCCTCGAGCAATAAATTGAGCAATAATGATTTTCTTCAGCAAAAATGGTGCACCTTGTCAGCTGAGCAAAAGCTAGAAATCCGACTCGAATTGAACTACTACAAACTCTCCGAAATGAAAGTTCACCCTCACAGTCTTCACAACAACCAGTATTACATGTTTCTTCCCGGGACGCTTGAGAAAATGATGAAGAAGCGGAAAAACGCGAAGCTATTAAAAGCGCTGTCCATGTGATACTGTAACATTGACCCATTTTTATTTATACTCGACGAAGAAACCCGACCTTCGAAACGGCGGAAAGGCCCTTCACACTGTACAAACACTATCTGATGATGAATATACACTTCTGACTTTATTGCTAGTGAAGATTTATGTGGGATAAGCGACTTTTGAGCTACTATATTTGATTTTATTTTCGAAAGTAAAGAGTTTAAAACTGAACTCAAATGGACGTAAACGAGGTCGTAGAATTCAATAGACATTCGAAAAGATACCAAATATATGCAGTGACTGCTGTAGAAGGGAACGTCTACTGTAGAGCAGACTGATGAGTTCGATTATAGTTTCAGTAGCAATTGGCGTGAGGAAAGTTCATTTGCACGAGTTGATTAGCCAATTAACCGCGTCCGAACTTGCGGTCTGAAAATATATGTCTGTATTGACCAGGCTACAATCAGAGAAAAATACCAATATTCGATAATTCATTGACAGTAGTCTTGTACCCAGGGTTGAGAAACTGACAAGCATGACTTAGACCGTCAGAAGAATTGTTTGCCTGTCAGTGCTGGTCTACTGTATCTCAGCCGACATCAGCTGTCTCCGCTTTTGAATATTTTCTTTGAGAGGCGAATTACAGCTCATCCAATCTTGTCATGTCTGAGTGATATTCTCGATGGAGACTGAGCCCTTATTTTGACAAGGTTTCCTTGAGCCATGAAAAGCGGATGGATGAAGAAATGATCGCCGATCATGCTCTCGTCTGCTGCTCACTCAATCAGCTTTCAACAAATCCGAGTAAATGTCTACCACTCCATTGAGAAAATGGTCAGATTCAAGGCCTGAGGAATGTGCCGCTATATTGGAGTTCATTTATTTATTGAAAATAGACAGGAAATTCAGCGTCATTTTCTGGGTTGCTTCCTGTTCGGAATCGATAAATACAGGGGTTCCAGTCTATAACTATCATTAAGATACTAGGTTGACGGAGTCGACGGCCAGTATGTCCGACCATGAAGAACAGTGGTGGCTATTTGAGCCCATAGAGATTGATGATGATCCGAACGAAGTAATCTTGTAAGAATAACGATTTATCAATAGAATGCATATTACTTTTATTTAAGCTCGTCGGACGATGATTCTTTCTGGGATACAAGTGACTCCGAAAGCGAATCTGACGATGATAGTTTCGACGATGATTCTTCTACTCATGGTTCTTCGGACGACGATTGTTCCGACGACGACTGCTCGGACGACGACTGTTCGGACGACGACTGTTCTGACGACGATTGCTCTGACGACGATTGTTCGGACGAGAGTGAGACGAGTTCTTCTGACGAAGAAGACGGTTGTCCGTATAGAGACAACAGTTGTACCAAGGACAAAAGCAAGGATAAAAAGAAGAACAAGAAGAAAAAGAAGAAGAAGGATAAGAAGAAGAAAAAGAAGAATAAAAAGGGTAAGAAGAGCAAGAAGAAGAACAAAAAGAAGGACAAAAGAAGGACAAGAGCAAGGACAAGAGTAAGAGCAAGAGCAAGACCAAGAATAAAGATGAGAAGAATATAGATTTCAATCCGGATAAAGCACTGAAGGCCGGGTATAAAAAGTGTCTTCAAGCGCATAATGAAAAACGAAATCTTCACGAAGACACTCCCCCAATGAAGGTAATCTCTAATTGCACCCATATTTTAACTACTTTTTCAAAGCTCGACAAAATACTTTGCTCACAAGCTCAAGAAGGAGCCGAAGATTTGGGCAAGCGAAATGCATTTGCTCACGACACGCCAAGGTTAGATTTACTTCCTGTCATATTAAAAAACAATGAATTAGATACGGTGCTGGTGAGAACTTATTCATGACCAGTGCTGGCAAAAATGAGGATGGACTGTCAAAGGAACGCTGTGTAAGCTTTGGTCAATCTTCCGTCAATGCTTGGTACGGTGAGATCGACAACTACTCCTTCAGCAAGCATGGAAAGAAGAACGATGGTGTCATTGGTCATTTTACTCAACTTGTATGGAAGAAATCTGTCAAGCTCGGTGTTGGAATCGCCAAACGAAAGGATGGAAAGACCATCGGTAAAATTCATTACATTTTTTCCTCTTCTGTTAATTTTTTTTAGTACTTTGCCGATATTCTCCAGCGGGAAATATGAATATGTCGAAGAATCTCCCTGACCAAATCGGAGACTTGAAATGCAAGAATTGCTGAAAATCATTAATCTTTCGCTAAAATTATAACCAGAAATAAATCATTACAAATTTATAAAAGTTTAATATTCGTCCATTTCTTCTAGCATTTTGTCAAGAAAGGGATTCGAAGCGACGACGGGGGGATTGAGTAGGGGATCAAAGATGGGCTCGGGAGTGGGGTAGGTTTTACGAGTGACTGTAGTTACTGTATCAGTTTCAGTTTCGATTATGAAAATGTCATTTGCTTCTGGGTCTTCGGGTTCTTCTTCTTCGACAATTGTCTAGAATGTTTTAAAAAATGGCGGATTTTTTTGTTGAAAAAAAAAATGGTAATTACCCTTTTCATTCCATAACTTTCCCAGTCGATATGAGGGCAACATCTCTTCATGTCATCAGAAAGCGTATAAAAATTCTCCATGCTCTTGTGGCAAATGTAGCAAAACATAAAAATTCTAACTCGATCAGCTTCATATTCGCGCTTTTCTTTATTGTTGACGTCTCTTAAAAATTTTTCAAACAGATCTTCGGACGAAAATCAACCTCAGTTCTTGGGAGCTCTCACTAAATTCGGTTTCACTTGGAGGACGCTCAATTTGTCGAGCATTTGCCTGCTGAGCGTCGCTCATTTTTCCTTCAGATCTTCTGTTCAAAAGGTGAGTAAAACTCGCCCGTGCTAAGCAGAAGAGGACGAGCCAGATATGCAGCGTGAGTAAAAAGTGATGATGTTTCAAAGTAAGTGATAAGTAATGAAACTACTATTGTTTCTAGCTCAAGGGGCGATCAGAGTTTATTTGAGATTCTTGAACTTGGACAGAGAAATGATGTCAAAAATGTAGTTTCCATAAGAAGCAATCATTCTGTCGTGCTGCTCACGTGTTCGGTCTCCGCAGCACTCGGGGACAATGCCGACATTGAATCCAACCTGGAAAGCGCCGTTTGCAGTGCTCATGACGCAAGCGCCAGTGACGAGGCCACAGACGATAACCGACTTCAAGACTGTCATAAAATCATTGATAATATAATCCTTTATGTTTTTTTGTTAGTCTTCCTTGATTCCAAGAGCATTGAGTTTTTCTTCGAGCCCGGTATCTTGAAATCCATTGAAGGTATGTTTTTCGATGATTATTTCTCCGGGCAACTCTTTCGCAAATTCTTCGGTACAGTCGTTTTGAATTTCTGGGTCAGCCTAAACACTCGAGGAAAAAAAGTTTTCCGAGAAAAACTAACCTTGTCGGGATTGATTCGTTCAAAAGCGCGCATCCACTTGGATTGTTGATGATTGTAGACAGCTCTTACATGAACAATTGTCTGACCTTTGCTTCTTGCAGATTCAAGTAGCTCCATCACATTTTTACCTAGGTCGGGAAATGCAGACGAGACAAGCTTGCTGTCGCGATAGAAGAATGTTTGTAAATCGACAAGAATGAGTGCTGAAAATGCTGTAACTTGCTTCTCAATCTAATCTACCAGTTTGCGAAGACTTGTAGAGATTTTCAATATTAGCGTCATCCATTTTCTCGCTTATACTGAAAAAATAATGTTTAAGAAGCTGCAGACGGTCGGTATATTTGTTTTACTGAGTTATTAAATAAAGAAGATCATATTTTCGGATTGTTTACCGAGAAATCAGCCAATTTGCTTTTTTCCGGCTAAAAAGCGTTCGTTAGAACCGGCGATTATTTACGGTCCTTATATTTGTCGATTGATGGTGATCGATTAACGCGCAGATACGGTCGTTCCGCCTGGTTTCATACCCTTCCACGCAAAATTTTTGGATTTCGAAGATTTTTTTAATAGAAGATGACTGAGAGAAAAAGAGACAGTACTTCGAAAAGTACTGAATCCCCACTTGGTGACTTTAGAACTGATATTACCGATGCCGACGTTGAAAGTCACTACAAAAGCTTGATCCAACCTAATAATGTGTACGCGAACAATGCGAATCAGACAAAACACGAGGTAAGTTTAATAATTTAAAGGTAATATGCAATTGATCATCAAAATTTTAGATTCGAGCATTGATGGATGCGCATTACCATTTGAGTGAGACGAACAGAAAACAAGAAAGCAAAATCAGAGAGCTAGCAAAGGAAGTTGATGAACTAAAAGAAGCCTTGTCGAATGCGCGAAAGAATGATCGACCAGAAAACTATGAAAGAAAGCCGGTGAATGCTGATGAACCAAGTTCTTTTGAGAACAATCAGCGAGAAACCCTAGAAACATCTGAATCAAGTCAACATGAGAAAAGCTATTCTATTAGTGATATTTCAGCCGACTACAATGAATCAAGACAAACTAGAGAAGAACGACGAAACAACAACATAGAGACGAGAATCGATTCTATGTTCGAGGCCATCGTTAAAGTCACAAAACAATATGAGATTCTAAAGGTTCGAACGAGCATTAGTTTTTCTTCCACAAATCTTTCTATTTAGGCCGAAAACCGAGACGCTTTTCAAACTATTCGTCAGAACCAGCGAGAAATGAACGAAGACTTACAGATGAACATAAGTCGTGTGAACGAGCTCTTTCCACAAGAGTCGTTTGAAACTTCTTTGGCGAAACTTCACAAAAGAGATTCAATTTGAATGCACTGCATTAAAACCGAGTAGAAATTCTATACTTTATTTTTATACAATTCTTTTAAGAAAATTTATAAGACCAAAATGCAGTAAATTTTTTCTTCAAAAGTGATGGCGTAGCCAAAACAACTCGCCCGATAAGAACATGCTTTGTAGCAGAATGCATCAGGTTCTCTTAAAATAATTTGTCTATTCAATAGACTCTATTAGAAACAGAATCGTTCGAACTTACATCTCGTTAACTGGAGGAACAGGTACTTTTCTATAATCCAAATTTCCGATGCCATGATAAACATTTTCTTTTCCTGGACAAACGAGCAATCCTAGCAATCTCAGCTTGAATTTTTAAAACAGAAAAAGCTTGCCTTTATGATTGTTGTAAAACGGGGTCATCTGAGAAAGTCCTCTCGGGCAAAAACTTTTGAACTCGCAAGCCTTTGGGGTTTCAAAAAGAAATGCTGAGAATCCATATGGCTGGCGAGAGCAATCTCGCATTCTTTTCGATCCGGTTGATTCTGTTCCCGATCCATAGCCACAAGAAGAACAAGCTGATGATCCACGAGTATCAGAAAAGAAGCCTTTCGGACAAATGAATTCCTCTTCGTTCAGACAGTAATGTCCTGTATCACATGGCTCGCAAATATTTTGCTTCCCAGGTCTTTTTTCTCCGGGATTGCAGACGCAATAGTGGGTCATGCCATCTTCAGTGGGATCTTTATCGATACAGTGTCGCCCATCGGAACATGCGACTTCGGCGTTTTGACATTCGTTTATGTTTTCACAGGACTCAGCATCGGTTTCCTCGTCATATTTGTACTCATATCCAAGTTTGCATCTACAGATGTTTTCTTCAGGATCAAGCTCCGCAAAATCCACACATCTACTTGGACTTTCTCTTTTTACACAGGTCAAAAACCTGTCGAATTGATCATCTTCTTCTCGGAAATGCGGCTGGAATTCTGGCTTGCAAGAACACTGTCTTTCGTTGACTTGCTGTTTTTTCCTAACAGTGAAATATCTTTATTGAAAACAAGCCTTTGGTTCTTTATTCTCGTCCAGTTGAACAACGACGGTTGTTGCGCTAGAACGACAGCAAATTGTTGGCTCAGTGGTGTAATAATCAGTGGGATAAGTTTCATTTCCAATTGTCAGCGATTCAAAGAATGACGGAGTAAAACCAGGATCGCATAAACACTTTTCTTGTTTTCTCCGACTACATTTTTAAAAATTTGAGTATCGAAAACATCCCTCATTTCCAGTTTTGACCGCTTTTGGATCTCGGCAAGTTAGATTTGTCCACCAATGTGTGGTGGAGATATCAGTTGCTGAGTTGGTAGAGGAAGTGTCACCATCAAATTCTTCGAAGTTAGTGTTTGAAGAATTTTGGCTTTTCACTTTCCTTGGACCATTGACAAGAACATTCGAAATCAGCAAAATTGACCGTAACCACAGGGACATTCTCTTTCTGCGGCTGCTTCTTCCAGCCTTCACTTCTTGTATAACTTTAGAATATTCTGACATGGCGGTCAAACAATACACTTCCGAGTTGAAAAAATTTTGTTGAATATTTTATGTTTTTTTCATTGTATTGATATGAAGATGTTCGGCAAGTTACATAGTAAATTCTCAGAATAGGAAATGAGCTAGGCGTTTACGTAAATAGTTATATCTTAAAAACGCGCTGAATTCCCTGAAAGTGCCGAACTTGTCCAAATGCCCGAAATGCCCGCTTTTGCCCGGCCAAATTTAAGGTGCTGAGCCGTCCGAATGCCCGGCCGAACACATTTTGCCCAAAAATTGTCCGTTTCCCCCGACTTCCCGATGCGGCATCGGCGATGCCCGAATGGTCACCCCCAGGCTTATGAATTTCGTTAGAAAACCCAAAGCGAACGCGAAGCGAAAGCGAGAAAATTGATGCTTCATTCGGCGAAACGAAGGCGAAGTCAAAAATAATTCCGTCAGGCGAAGCTAAAACGAATTCGCCTTCAAGCGAAAGCGAAAAATGTCGCCTCAAAGCGAAAGCGAAAATGTTCGCCTCAAAGTGAAATGATTGTGAAAAGCCACAAAAGGAAAATTTAGTGACAAAATCGCTTGAAAGCGAAGTAATTTTCGAATAAAAATTCAAATTTTTCGAGGTTTCAAGCGCAAATCTTCCCTTTCCTTCAAAAGTTCGCTAGTTCGACCATGCTGAATCTTTCCCTAAAAACTATTTCGAGCGCAAGGGCAAGGTCAATCTTACCTTTTCTCGAAATTCTGCTACTTCGACCATTCTGAATCTATCCTTACAAAACTTTTTCGAGCGCAATTTTTCGAACTCAAGGCGACATTTTCCCTTAAGGACCCCCGTCAGCATTTTTCGAAAAATCAAATTTCGGAATTTTAAAATTTTGACCCCGGAATTGGATTCTACGATATTGAAAAAAACGATTTTGAAGCTTCTTTTTATGGTGGTCTATCTCGACTCCTTCACCTCCAAAATCGCATTTGAAAATTGGACATTTCGGCGAAAATTGACGAATTTGCTCAAATTTTGGCAAAAATATTGATTTTCCTTGGTCATATATTCCTCTTAAAAATGGACGGTATTATGCCCTCCGTCATGTTTTGAACAGCGATAGTGCAGAAAAAAGTGCCCTTTCTTCCGGAAAAATCGACCCTTTAGACAGTTGTGATAAGCTCGCGCGACATAATCAACGTGTTTTCTTGTCGGAGCTGAATTTTTCAAACAAAGCCATTTTATGATTTGATAAAACACGAAGATTCATGTCTGATAAAGCGCTAATTTCGCTGGATCGATTAAACAAAGATTAAAATCGCCAAAATTATGAGCTGGATTTTCTTTTCCCGTAAATGTTGGCTTCAGTCATTCTTCATACTAAAACTTATTTATGATGAAGAACTCAATTGTAAAAATGACTTATTCAAAGTTAAAAAATTTTCACAGATTGTAAATGATCAAAGGTTATGAAAAAGCATTCCCAGGAAAGCTTTCCCAGGCTCGTCGTATTTTGATAAATTTTAGCAATGAAAACGCGCGTGATTTTCAACCTAGATATAAGGAACCGAATCCACTCAGAAAACCAAGAAAATGAATATTTTTACTTTTTATTCGTTTTTGCTTCCTTAGGAAGTGCTTGCTGGTGGGTAGATGACGATGACGACGAGACCACCACAACAAGACGCACTACAACAACTCGGCGACCAACAACAACAACGACAACACCACCACCACCACCAACAACATCAACAACAGCAGCAAAGCAAACAACAACGACGACTTCCTCAACAACATCGGCAGCTGTAGACGAGACAACAAGTAAAAAGTTGTCAAAGAGAGAAATATTTAAATTTAAGAGATCTCTTTAAGAGATTGAGAATTAAAAGCCCCCGTCAGCTTTTTCGAAAAATCAAATTTGGAAATTCTTAAATTTTGACCTCGAAAATGGATTCTACGGGTCAAAAATCGATTTTAAGGCTCCATTTTTTGGGTTATAAAAACTTTCATTTTTCGAGGGAAAAAGGTGACGGGGGTCCTTAAATAATGGTCTTTACCTAATTTGATGCTTAATAAAAATTTCACAACTTCATGCAGTGCTACACTTGATTGCCTTCAATTTAAAAGAATAGGCAGCGATTTATCTGCCTCATGGGATGAAGCGAAGCAAATGTGCGAAGATGTCGGTGGAGAATTGTCCTATTTTAATAATGCGACAGAGTTCGAAATGTGGAAATCTCAGCTAGGCGTGGGACGATATCTCACAATTCCACATTGGCTTGGAATTAAGAGGTTGATAGGAGGCTTTGGAGTTAGGAGATTGAACGTGAATGTAACCGGCATTGTTGAATCTGAATATATATATTTAAACTCGGCAGGTGATAAACAAGAGTTTATCTCACCATTGCCGCATTTCGATTCTCCTGGACTCATTGACTGTATACAAATTGGCCGATTTACATTCAATGAAAATTGCGACCGGAAGAAATATTTTTCATGTCGATTTGATTATTGCTCAAACAATGGTGAAGGACAACACTCCAATTTCGAGAATGAGTGAAAATAAACTATCTTCTTTATCGAAGTTTGACTGCGTGAAACACCCTTTCTTTACTTTTCTTTCATGAAAAAAATGAATAAATGGCCACTATTCAATTTTAATAATAATTTTCTTCCGATTCCTATCGCACCAGTTATCAGTGAATCTGCAACCACACGGATGGTCAGCCAAGTCAACACTCAAATGAATGACCGAGGAACTCAAACATGCAAGCTACGAATCTGTTTTAATAAATTTAATTAAGGTCAAAATGAGCAATTATTAATTTCCAATTAATTATTCGACAAATCCATTCTAGTGCAAACTAAATTACTTTATAACCTTGACGACCCGAAGTACCGGTCCTTTTTCGCTCTCTTTCGCGGTGGAAGTCGATCGACCACGATAAGCTTAAGGGTAGAGTAGGATCCTTGCGCGCGCCCTTTGACGCAATTTCTTATCCTCAGAGAATCTGATGGGATGATTATGCACCAAAATTTCTTTTGAAAGTTATATTCAAATTTTGCAGGCTTTCTTCTTGTATAATTCATTTTCTCGCTTATCTGGTTGAGCTGCAATTTACCCTCGATATTTTCTTTCTTTTGCTATCTCCTCCTAGATTATGATAAGCAGGTCATTGTGACTGGTACTGTTGGAAAGGATTTTCATAGGGCTTTAATAAATGGCTAAAAGATTTTCAAATTTCCGCCTCAGTCACTAATTAGGTCCATAAATGACCTATTTATAGGGCGCGCGGCGCACTCCGGGATTAAAAATCGATCATGATTCGCGAGCGAGGCGGAAATTTGAAAATCTTTTAGCCATTTATGAAAGCCCCATGAAAATCCTTTCCAACAGTACCAGTCACAATGACCTGCTTATCATAATTTAGGAGGAGATAGCAAAAGAAAGAAAAATATCGAGGGAAATTTGCAGCTCAACCAGATAAGCGAGAAAAATATGAATTATACGAGAAGAAAGCCTGTAAAATTTGAATATAACTTCCAAAAAGAAATTTTGGTGCATAATCATCCCATCAGATTCTCTGAGGATGAGAAATTGCGTCAAAGGGGCGCGCGCAACGATCCTACTCTACCCTTAAAAAGAAAGAAGGAAGAAGCTACGCGTCCCTCAAAAGAAGAACACTTTTATCGTCGAGAGGGATGCTTAAGGGATCCCCCGATTTCGCCAACTTTGACCTCTATCTACTTTTTTGAGCTTACGTAGGAAGCTGGTTTTGGGCGCATTAGAATGCCCGCTTTAAAAGGAGCAAATTCTGGTAGAATCAGCTTGCCAGCAAAACATTTGCTTATGCATTACAGGCCGTCAAAGTGATTAACATTTTGAAAAATGGCCATTTTAGGCCATTTTCAAATCGTATCTACTTTTTTTTGGGCTTTAGGATTCAAAATCTTTTTAGTTTATCTAAAAGTATAGACGCTCATCTTTATTTTTTGGTAGAATCAGCATGATCGGATAAGTTAATAAAAAAATTCTTGTTGTAAAACTTTTTGATACCATTTTTGCCGTTTTTTGGGTGTTTAAATGCTCTCTAGCGCCATCAATTGGCCGAAAAGTCAAGTGCGGTTATTATTTTCGTAATCTACACATTCTAAGCTTTCAATAGACCCCTTATTTGTCCTATTTCGATGAAAATGAAAAATCGAAAAAAATTGCGATTTTCACGCTAAGTACAATTTACATGCATTTTCCCGAACTTTGGGAGCGAAAATTTCGGGGATGCATTTATGTAAAGGGGTACTATCATATATCAAAATGATTCTCAGAACACGAGGAATCTTATCATTGGCAATAATGGCCGGTGCCAAAGTTTTGAAAAATCGGGGGGTGATCCCTTAATAATCTGAAAATCTTTCTTCTCGAAAATTTCGAGTCGAAATCGTGCGGTTTAGAAGCAAGTTTAACCTGAGGATGCATTAACGCTTGAACGCATATTGCGCAGATTTCTGCGCCGTGCCCCTTTGAAGCTCGATATCTCGTACTTTTTTGACCAAAATTTTAAATGTACCCCCACTTTAGGAGCTCTTTTTCGATGAGGAATCCGAATCTTGCATTGAAAAAAAAAATTTGACTTCAGGATAAAAATTTGGCTTCAGAATGAAAATTTCCGATTTTTACGAATCATGTTTTTTAGGTTTTAAACAGTTCTGTATTCATCTTTCCGTCGATAAAAAATATTCTTTTCGACGTTTTATCGCATTTCTGCATCGAATTCAATATAAATTTTATTTGAAAAGTCATTTTTGGTGTTTTAGTTGCTCCCAAAGTTTCAAACTTGTATCTATTACAGGGAAAAAGTTGATTTTTTTGTGCGTTATGCCTATAAATATCTTTTTTGAATGCTTGCATTTAAGATCAATGAAAAAGAAAAAAAAAGTTGACTGCTTAAAGCGAAAGCGAAGCGAAGGCGAAAGGATCTTTCTCTCGGGGGCGAGAGGGAAAATTTCGCTTCGCTTTCGCTTCGCCTTCGCTTTGATGCGAATTTTCCAAGCGAATTTAAATGCCTGGTCACCCCTGATATCGAGTTTATTACTAACTTGGAATAATCTACAGTTAGACCCACCTTTCGGCCTATATTGACGAGCTGAAAAAAGTACAGTAACAGATTTTTTTGATATTTTCTGCCCCAAAAATAGGTTTTTGAAATCATCTTCGCTTTTGAGTGTCTGATTGCTAAAGATTCTTGCCAGAGAATGCGTTTCAATTCAAGCGAAAAAATTTTCGCTTTTTTTCGCAATTTTCAATGATATTTCGCTTCGCACATAGGCGAAAAATTCGCTTCGCTTTCGATTCGCAAAAAATTTGAAAAAATGTTTCGCTTTCGCTTCGCTTTCGCACTAGGATTTCGGCTGATATTAAGACCCCTGTTCCACTCATTTTCTCTCTCTCTTTAGACTTGCAGAATAAGTATTCTGTCAAACAGAGGGTGGTTATATTTGCTTTACTGAGTTATAAAATAAAGATAAGCATCTTCAAAGTATAAACTAATCGCATGATCTGGCAGTTTTGGTGGGAAAAATGTTCTCTGTAACCGGCGATTAATAACAAAAATGTTTAAATATTTGTTGGCTGATAATGACCAATAAACCCTCGCGCTACTTTTCTTCCATTGAGAATGTCAGAGAAAAAGAAAAATGATCGCATAAATAGTTTGGAATGTCCACTTGGGGATTTTAGAACAGATATCACCGATGCCGACGTCGAAAGTCACTACAAAAGATCAATCAAGACAAACAAATTAAACACTAATTGCGGAAACGAAACGAAACACAAGGTTTGTTGATTTGTTATTTATCGAAAAATCTTCTTCATCAAATTAAGATTCGAGCATTAATGGATGCGCACTTTCATTTGAGTGAAACGAATAAAAAACAGGCACAGAAGATCAAGGGACTAGAAAAACAAGTGAATGAATTGAAAGAGAGTCTGTCGAAATTGATGAAAAATACTCACAGCGAATCCTGCTCAACGAAAACAGCGCATGTGGAGATGTCAAGCTATGAAGAACATACCGGTAGTCAATTAGAGTCCACAGAGTCACCGGTACCAAGTGAGGAATCTTTTTCATCCATCGAATTCTCTGAACGACAGAAAACAACGGAAACGAATGACTTCACGGAAGAAAGGATTGATTGCTTGTTTGGTTATATGGCAAAAATCTCCGAACAATATGAAATTTAAGGTTTCGAATTGCGAGCTTATCTATTTTTTGTTTATCTACTCTTATTTAGACAGAGAATCGAGACGCCTTTCAAACTATTCGTCAGAACCAGCGAGAAATGAACGAAGACATTCAAATGAATATCAGTCGCGTGAACAAGCTCTTTCCACAAGCATCATTTCCGAATTCTAAGACAAGACTTCACAGAAGAGATTCAATTTGAATGGACTTTAATAAAATACAATAATATAGAAAAGAAATCATTTACGAGTATGAAATTATAATCCAATTCTTCAAGGGTTATTCAAAAGTTTTTTTTTATAAAACCAAAATACAGTTTATTTTTTCTTCAAAAGTGATGGCGAAGCCAAAACAAGTCGCCCGATAAGAACATGCTTTGTAGCAGAATGCATCAGGTTCTCTTAAAATAGTAGTTCTTCTATTAGAAACAGAATCATTAGAACTTACATTTCGTTAACTGACGGAACAGGTACTTTTCTATAATCCAAATTTCCGATACCGTGATCCACATTTTCTTTTCCTGGACAAACGAGCAATCCTAAAATCTCAGCTAAAATCTTTCGCACACCTTAAAGCTTGCCTTTATGATTGTTGTTAAACGGGGTCATCTGAGAAAGTCCTCTCGGGCAAAAACTTTTGAACTCACAAGCTTTCGGAGTTTCAAAAAGAAATGCTGAGAATCCATAAGGTTGGCGAGAGCAATCTCGCATTCTCTTCGCTCCGGTTGTTGCTGTTCCCGATCCATAGCCACAAAAAGAACAAGCTGATGATCCACGAGAATCAGAAAAGAAGCCCTTTGGACAAATGAATTCCTGTTCGTTTAGACAGTAATGTCCCGTATCACATGGCTCGCAGATATTTTGCCTCCCTGGTCTTTTTTCTCCGGGATTGCAGACGCAATAGTGAGTCATGCCATCTTCAGTGGGATCTTTATCGATACAGTCTCGCCCATTGGAACATGCAATTTCTGGGTTTTCACATTCGTTTATGTTTTCACAGGATTCAGCATGAATTTCCTCGTTATATTTGTATTCATATCCAAGTTTGCACTTGCAGATGTTTTCTTCTGAATCAAACTCCGCAAAATCCACACATCTTGTAGCACTTTCTTTTTTACACAGGTCAAAAACCTGTCGAATTGATCATCTTCTTCTTCTCGGAAATGCGGATGGAATTCTGGCTGGCAAGAACACTGTCTTTCGTTGACTTGCTGCTGTTTTTCCTAACAGTGAAATATTTTTATTGAAAACAAGCCTTCGGTTCTTTATTCTCGTCCAGTTGAACAACGACGGTTGTTGCGCTAGAACGACAGCAAATTGTTGGCTCAGTGGTGTAATAATCAGTGGGATAAGTTTCATTTCCAACTGTCAGCGATTCAAAGAATGACGGAGTAAAACCAGGATTGCATAAACACTTTTCTTGTTTTCTCCGACTACATTTTTAAAAATTCGATTATCGAAAACATCCCTCATTTCCAGTTTTGAACGCTTTTGGATCTCGGCAAGTTAGACTTGCCCACCAATGTGTGGTGGAGATATCAGCTGCTGAGTTGGAAGAGGAAGTGTCATCATCAAATTCTTCGAAGTTAGGGTTTTCAGAATTTTGCCTTCTCACTTTCCTTGGACCATTGACAAGAACATTCGAAATCAGCAAAATTGACCGTAACCACAGGGACATTCTCTTTCTCCGGCTGCTTCTTCCAGCCTTCACTTCATATATTCTTTTAGAATATTCTGACATGGCGGTCAAACAATACACTTCCGAGTTGAAAAAATTTTTGTTGAATATTTTATGTTCTTTTCATTGTTTTGATATGAAGGTGTTCGGCAAGTTACATAGTAAATTCTCAGAATAGGAAATGAGCTAGGCGTTTACGTAAACAGTTATATCTTCGTAAGGCTTTCGCTGTTCGATGAAAATTTCTTCGCGAGCTGCTTCGACGAGACTTTGGTAGAAAACGCGGCAAGCATTTGTTTTTGTTCTTCGAGGGAGATTTCTTATGATTCCAAGAACAGATTTTCGTGGAACATCAGGATCCTTAAAGCTTTAAAACACGTGCTCTTTCTATTTATTTTTCACCTTGAGAAGGTCACGTGCTTGCGCAGGAGTGATCAAATCGGCCGTTGATGGAGGATGAAGATGAGCAAAATCTGGAGGAGCGATTTGTTGAGGAACAGTGAATGGAGATTCGTTGAGTGAATTGAAATCAACAGTTTTAGGGGTTTGAATTGACATGTCGGGCGCTTTATTTGGATTTTCATCTTCTCCAGTAAATCTTCAATACTTTGGAAAAGAATTCAAGAATGCGCTGTTACCTTGGGTCGATTCGAACTCTTTTCGAAGATGGGCATTTTGTCTTATCAAGTAGCGAATCCGCTAGAGTCTGCGGCTGTTCTGGCTCTCTGTGAACTTCTGCTTGTCTCTTTTTTCTTCAATTCAAAACATCACTTTATGAAAGCACAACGATAGTACCTTTTGTTAGGTTGTTCTTCGGATATCATGTTTCTTCTGAAAGTTTCTTCGAAATAAGGCGAGAGTAATTTGCTGCTGAGGAATGGAAAGTCGAAAAGTGTTTTTGGCCTGGAATATTTGTCTGGAACTTGAAACTCTGGCGCGAATTCCGGCTCATCTATCATCGGAGTTGGATCATTTCGGCCAGGATTATCTAAAAAGATTAACAGGGCTGTATAAGAAAACAAAAAATACCAGCAATAATTTCGTTGTCCAAAATGAGCTTTGATTTTTTCTTCTTAATTTTCACCGTTTCTTCTGTTTCTTTCGGCGTCGACATCTGCGCATTCATCAACGAAGGCGTTTCCATCGGCCCCGGTGTCAGCAGCGAGCCAGGCGTATTGAGAATACTTTTTCCATCGGTTGTGCTCATCGTTATTTCAGAGTTCACATTTTTGTTCATAATCGACATTTCGGGAACGGGCATATCGGGAGCGAGGAGTTCGGAGTTGTTGATGCCGCCATTTGTAGCGGTGCTGATAGCGCTTTGGTCTGCTCTTCTTCCATGCTCGTTTACGGATATTACTGAGTACGAGTTTCCAAAAGAATTATCATAAATGAGATAATTTCAAAAAAATTTTTGCGGGTCCGGAAATCATAAAAAATCTGAAAGTGCAGTTTTCTTCAGCTCGTCGAGACGAGTCGAATGATGGGTCAAACTTTTGATGACTCTAATGATTAACCGGTTAGCCGGCAATTTCCCGGAAAATACATTTCCGGTCGCCGTTTTTGTTCTAGAAATGCTAGAATGACAAAAAAGCGGGAAACTGGTCCTTGAAGTTAGTTCTTCTGTGGGTGAAAAAATGAGAATCATATCTCTAACCATAAGATGCTTATCACCAAAATTCTATTTTCTTATGAAAATGGGACCGAAAATTAGGAAGGTGCAGCAACAACGAAATACATACAAAATTTAGAATTTTTATCGTTAAAAAAAGTTTCGCTATATATTTGACCAATATCTTTTTGCCCACAGTAGAACTGACCATAAGGATCAGTTTCCGGGTTCATTCATTATCCTAGCATTTCTAGAACAAAAACGGCGACCGGAAACGTATTTTCCGGTAACCAGCCGGTTAACCGGTCAATCTTTGGAGTTATCAAGAGTTTGACCCACCATTCGACTCGTCTCAACAAGCTGAAGAAAACTGCACTTTCAGAATTTTTACGATTTTCAGACCCGCAAAAATTTTTTTGAAATTATCTGAGTTACTGTTAGAAAAACTGTTCCTGTCATATTGTTAGAAAGCAGAGTTTGGTCTTCAATCGCGCTTTTACAAAGCTCCTCCATTTCTTTCATCAGCTCAGGGTCGTTAAAATCCATTCCGTTCTTGAACGCGCTGGAAAGTTCCGCTTCTTCAAGGTCGATATTTCCAACGTTGAGAAATTCAGAGTCATCGCGAAGGGTGATTTGGTCCATCCTCGCCTTATCAGAAAGTTAAAGATTCAATAGAAAAAATGGAGAAGCACCTTATTTTGATTGAAGAAAGCATTGTCGAATTTTATTTCTGGGAGCTCTTCGTCCATTCTTTCCAGTCCAAAGAGAGTCTGAGGGTCTTTCTTGGTCTTCTGTTTCTTTGACTTCTTTTCGGCCTCGTTTTGCAGACGAAGGGGAAATTTTAGTTGAGCATGGAATCTCTCACAATCTGTCAGAAAATATGTGACTCTAAAATTAAGGTAAAAACTGGCGAATTTTTTGTTAGTTTACTTTTTCTCGTGGACAACGACGGAGCCTTTCAAAAGAATCGCGGACTTGATCAATGGAACTTGGCTTTGGCTGCATAAACTGTCGATTATGCTCATCAAATCGACTGTAAAACTGAGAGAGGTTGTTTGTTTTGAAGTTTACCTGTGAAAACTTTTGAATAAGTCAATTTCTTGCCCAGGCGAGTTCCATGAAGTGTCGCCGCTGTCCATAGCAAATTTAGGTCATCTCTCTTCCCGCTTCCTACATAAAGATCTGCGAGAACCATTGCGGCGATTTTTATTAATTTGGTAAGCTTTGAAAATCCATCAGAAAATATCTTCTATTCTAGAAAAACTCGACCAAGATCAAACAGCTTTGATTTTCAAGAGATCGAAATCTTGAAATTTCTTTCTTCCTTGATTTCGTGATCATTGATAACTACAGTGAGGAAAGACCAACTGAGTCGAACTTATCGACTTGAAACAAAGATGGGGATGTATGTATTGGGCAGTGTATAATATCTGGTGGCAGCTTTATGCATCAATTGAGGCGGATGAGCAGCGTTTATCAGACAGAAGCTAACCGGCATGCTGATTGAGCCGCCTTCAAAATCATCCAACACGATATCCTCCTAAGGCTCATTTTCTGTCAGACTCATTTTTTAAATCTCCATACAGTGGGATTGAACTTGGCTGAAGGTTGAAAATGTCTTTGAAACTGCACTGAGAAGAATGCGCTGAAACATTGGTGTATGGTGTGGGACTAATCGATTTTGAGCGTAAAGATGCTCAAATCAATAAACCTTTTTGCCACTTAGATCTCCTTAATTATTTAAGAACATGAATTATCAAGTTGAATCTGTTACGCGGACGAAGCCGGTCCGTTTTACTACTCATAAACTGTTTCAAATAATGTTCAACAAGATGGTCTTTTATGGAGAATTGATCGTTGATTTATTGTTGGTTCATAAAGATTCTCTTCTATGATTTCAACCATTTTTTTTGACCAAAACTTTTTTATTGAAGAAAATAAAACTGACGATGCCCAGCGTCACAGAAATACAGTAAGATGCAGTGGCGATACAGTCGAATGTACTGGCCGTTTTCTTTGACACCGTGTCAATCCGCTTGGCGACAGTGGATCGTCATGGTGCCAAAAATTCAGAACCAGGATTTTTTTTATTTATCCGCTTTCAGGTTTTGTACCGTATTCTCCGTCTCTCTTTCTCTCTGCGGTTAATGTGGATAATCCAGAAAAGGATTAAGAGCTTTGGACAAAAAGGACACTGAATAAAAAAACGAACGATAGCAAACCTTTTATGGAAGGTCTTGGGCCAGAGCGCCCCCGCGCGCCATCTATGTTTATAGACTTTATCAAACAGAATTATCAATAATTTTTCTTAAATCGCGGAGGTTCGAAAGATAATTTGTTTTCGAGATTTTTAAATTTGAACCCAGTGAGGAAGCGATTCAATAAAGAGTCGATAAAGAGCACTTTTCATTTCAAATTTCGAATACAATGTAATTATCTTTTTTATCGTTCAAGAATCTTGAGTGAATATCAAATAAAACTTGCTTTTGAGTCTACTTTTGATCCTCTTTCTAAGTCAACCATGAAATATCATCGAGATTATAATTTGTATTGACTGGTTAAACATATTCGCATGCATTACGAGAGTCCTGTTCCGTACCAGATATCGACATTACTTGTCAATAAAAAATCACTTGGCGGCAGAAATCTATCATTTATTTAAAAATACCTATCGTCTCCATATTTTTCTCGCTTCAATCTCAATTTTAACCTTGATTTTCTCGATATCTTGAGAAATGAAATGAAATGAAGTTGGAAGTGCGTATTGGGCTTTCTCGGCGGGGGATCTTTGTTTTGGTTTCAGGCGAATTTGAGTTGTGTAATCAGTCAGATATTAAACCAAGGAGATATGTAAACGATCAATCAAAGAGCTTTTATGAACACCTAAGCCTAAGCCTTACCCAAACAAGGCGGAAGTATGCATTGCATACTATGAACTGGTACAGGACCAATGATTGTATTATTTGGCTAGAATTGGTATGACGCCCCTAAGCGGCAGGCACTGAAAATGTCATTAATGTCACGAATGTCACGAGTTGGCTGAAAATGTCACGAATTTCGAAAAATTGACTTCCATTATTTTTCATAACTCATTGTTTTGGCGGGGCCCAACTCTTGCTGCACGCAAAACTCAAAATTTTCGGCCCCTCTTACTGACGATGTCACGAAAAATGTGGTCAATTTCGTGACATTCGTGACATTTTCAGTGCCGTCGCCCTAAGCCTAAAGCCTAACCCAGAGGGCTACGGCCCCCGGGACTCCCCTAAAGCCTTATCCAGGGGCATTCCCCCGGGACCCGCTACTAGGTAATTCAAGCCCCTAACCCTAATTCCTAACCGAGAAAAAGGTTTGATATCAGACCAATTCGAGCCTTATTATAGAAGAATTGGTCAGACCAATTTGGTCTGTAACAATTCTAATTGCAACCTTTCAAACAGGCTAGGCTTACCTATGCGGGATATAAATCAAGCGGTAAGTAATCAAATATTACAGTATATAATATAGTCGAGGGTCGTGATGGCTTGATCAGGATAAGAGCATTAATCGGTGACGACGAGTGCTGAATAATTTAAAAATTCCGGCTGCCGTTTTTATCAAAAATGCAATTTACAATTCGACTAAGAGATGCATCCACCTGAATATTTTATAACTTTATTTCTAAGTAATGCGCTTTTTTGACGAAAAAAGTCTATCTTTTAAACTTTCGGCGGAGCATTCCATTCCATTGTAACCCTTTTAAATAACGAATAATTACGGAAGCATTTCCCCTTGTACTTGTAATCCAGCGCTTTTTGAACTCAAGTATCTGAAGCTGTATTTGCTGACTCGCGGTCATTTTCTTTGAAGAAGCATCAATAGTTATTCTTAGCAGGAGTTTTTATTTGATTTATTTTTTGAAAACTGTAGAACTGTGGAACTGAAAACTGGCGAACTGTTCTTGAGGTTTCATTGGCTTTGGAAAGACGTTACATAAGTTACTGTACAGTACTGTATGGCTAAATACAGATCAGGAAACGACCCCGAGGGAAGGGCTTTTGCCCCTGTGAGGGTCACCGCGGGCGACACGCGAGCCGAACATTCTGAAATCATGGATGAGAAACCAAATTTTTTTGGAGACAACGAGGACTTTCTCTAGAACGGGTATTGTTTATATTTACCTATCGACTCTTCCCATTCCACGATTCATTCTTCGATTAAGTTCAGGTGATGCGTGCGGCTTGACTCGAGGATCTGAGGACTCCTTCACATTGATAAGCCTAAATTAAGGTTATTAGAGCTGATAAGACACCTGCTAAATAATGATATGCAGCATATGTATCTTATATCTATCACCATATCATATGCTGCTTATATAGTGGGTTATTACTTTGTATCTTTTTGATTTCTCGGTCGGTGCGTTTGAGCCCGATACGATCGATATAAATTACAGAAGGCTTGGCGAATATCATCATGAGATGAGTCCTTGTTTGATATCTCCGTAAATCCGCATTCTTTAAGAAAATTAAACAAAAGAAGAAAAAGTTTCTTTTCGAACCTAATTCTTGAGCTTTTTCTTTCGCAGTTTTCGTCGGTATCGAATCTTTGCTCCTTTTATCGGTGTGCGTTCCTACTAGAATGACGGGAGGGTTGAACCACTGGTCGGATTTGACTTGTTTCTCGCGGTCTTCGTTTGCGCTGCGGATTTTGTCCTTGAGTTTGTGTTTCAAAAACTCAAGTCGGGGCGGCGTGTGGTAATGGCTGATTAATAGCCGGATTCTGGTCACTTCGTCGAAGCTTTTTGGGTCGTTGATGTCGAAGAGGATCATGAATGCATCGCCCCAACGGATTTTGTTTTCATACAAGTCGGACTTCTCCATATTGATCTAAAAAGAGCACAATTATTCGGAGAAAACGACCACCAAAAAGGTGTTTTTGAGATGGAAGAAATTGATAAATATCAATTGCTCAGGATTCTCTAGAACGCGTGTTGCCCTGAGGGGTGTTTTCGCCTTTTTCGTCAGTTCACTTTTTGTCTACCTAAGGAAAGGAGCCAAAAAACCCTGTAATGGGAGAAGAAGCCGGAAGAAAATTCGCGCAAATCGCCGCCAAGTCCAAGGGCCCTGGACCCGGAAGATACCTTGTAATGAAACAGTAAGCATTGAACCGGTTTTGACGGCGATTTTTAGCTTCCCTCCACCTGCGGCAAGGAAGGCCACGATATTAGCCAGAAGAAAGCTGCTTCTTATTCTTTTGGCAAGTATCTTGGATCATCCTTTATTAACAAAGTAAGTTCTTAGTCATTTTATTTCATAAATTCCATTTTTAACACACACAAGATTTATGACTTTTTTCCTCAATTTACTAATTAAAAAAGTCGAATTCTTTTTATTTATGGCCTTATTCAAAGCGCCAAAGTGTAATATAAAAATATGAGTAAAATTGACGTAAAACTCTTTCAGGTGTGCAGTCCGGGACCAATCTACCGAGTGGACCCCCAGCTGACCCGACACGGCAAGGACGGAACCGCGCGATACACGCAGCAGGGCCGCCACGCCGAAATTTCCGTTTTCAACACTCCCGGACCAGGACGCTATCATAATGAAAATTGCCATCCTCAGGGAGAGCGAAATGCCCCCAAGTACTCCATGGGATCTCGAACGAGGTAAAAATCCTGAAAAACAAACAAAACTAGAATTCGCGTTCTAGAGAAACTTGAAATTTTGAATTTTTTTCCAATAAATCAAATCCCCTTTTTAGATACCGAAAGAGCGACAACTATCCGTCGGCGAACCATTACAATCTGCCGTCGTTGATGGGACCCAAGATCCCCAACATGGCTGCTTCTTCAGCCTTTACGATGAAATCCCGACGACAGATCGGGTCCTTTACTCAGGATCTGTCCAAGACCCCTGGTCCCGCCCGATACGAGTAAGCCCCTCCTCCCTTCTTCCTCTTTACTAACAATTCCTTTCAGCATTGTTCCCCAGGACCGATACTCCCAGCGACCACCCCAGTTCTCCATGCTCGCCCGACGATTCGTCCCCGGTGACAAGACTAACAAGCCCGGCCCTGGCAAGTACTACCCAGAAAATGTTAAAATCAACAAGAAGTCGGTACCCATGTACTCGATGGGCATCAGACACTCTGAATACATCGCTCCACTCATTGAGGGTCAAGAAGCCAATGAATAAAAATTCTGTAATGAATTTGAGAATAAATGATAAATTTATTAGTATTACCAAAACCGTGTCTTTTATTATTGAGTGGTTGAGAGAGCAGTAGGCAATCTGTGTAAAAACCTGTGTCAAGGGACCCTGACTCAGGGCCCTGAAAGCTTGGCTCGGCAACCTGTGCCTGGGGTCGGTCTGTAGGTCCTGTGTAGAAACCTGAGTCAGGGCCCACGCGGCTCTTTCAGGCTGGGCTCGGCAACTCGTGTAGAAAACCTGAGTCAGGGTCTGAGAGAGCTGAAACGAAAAGCCGCGCTAGAATTTTTCATAGATTGTGATGGTAGTATTCGCGAAGCCGCTACGCGGCTTCGTTTTTAAAAGCCGCTGCGCGGCTTTTCGTTTCAGCTCTTTCAGACCCTGACTCAGGTTTTCTACACAGGTTGCCGAGCCGAGCCTGAAAGAGCCGCGTGGACGCTGACTCAGGTTTCTACACAGGTTTTCGGGCCATGGTAGTGGTAAGTTTTTGAGTAGTAGTCCTTTGATTTAGGGAGTAGTTCAAGAGCATAATTACTTGGCGTTAAAAATGTTATCGAGCCCGGGGCTGGGCGATAAATATTCGAGACTGTTCTCTCATTTCCTAAATGACATTCGTGTCTCCGGTGTTTCTCCAGAGTGCACTAACATGTGGCAGACGGATTACTGTATGCACAATATGCTGATTGGGCTTCTTACCTCGTAAGATGTATCCAAAATGTCGAAATAGGCGATTTCGTTGTCCACATATGTGAAGTGATTATATCTCATTTCTGAAAGAATGCATTAATGTTGCTGTAAGTTATTTTGGCGCATGATCTTTTAAACTTTCTCGTGAGAAAATTAGTCAGGAAAAAAGACAGACGTAAAATTTTTCATTCTTCCTCGTGGAAAAAATAACTTTACGTAATTTTCGATGGAAAAAACACGATAAATTTGGGGTAAATTTATGGACGCGGCAATTAATCCTTACCACAAGAATCTTTACTGACCTGTCTTGGCGTACTCGGAGATGAATCTCTTTGTCATAAATCGTACGCACAGGGCTTAAATGAACTTTAGATTTTGTTTTTGCTTCGGAATTCCAAGGACGGGCAACTGGGGTTAAGATGTTTGATTCAATAAACTTGCGGCTAAGTTGTCGTCATATTTAACTACCTGCAGGAAGAGAGAATATTACGATCTTTTGATAGCAAACGTAACGTGCCAAGTGAGTAGGATGTCGAGGAACTGTCACGTGCCTGGAGAAGATGACTGTCCTTTTGCGTACTACTATTTGGTATTGATAATCAAAGTTGGAATGCCACATTCTATTTGGCGCGGATTAGGAATGTCCAAATTTTGTTTAAATTTGCAAAGTTCTACAATTGTAAAAACCAAGGGCGACTTGATTTTGTGATTTTCAAATGAATGAATTGCTGTTTTAAAATGTCGATTTTGCAGATTACTGAGTAAGGGCCAGATTGCCGGAAATTTTGCTAACTGTGGAGGAAATACTTAATATTTGAGGCTTGCGTTTATGAGCATCTGCTAAAATGTTATCGCGCTGTATAACGCCTCGCCTGTAGCTGTACGTTAGCTCTTCTGAATTTGCTGTTCTGCTGACTTTTCTTAGTACTGCGCTAGCGAGTGTCTTTCTAGGACTTATTCTTCTTGTTGGAAAAGTTTGTGGAAAGACGCCCGGGCTGCTGGATCGACCGGAAGTGCGATCAAAGAAGGAATCAAATGCAGAGCTATTTTCATCAAATGACAAGCGGAAACGTATCGCGCAAGAGTTTTATCTGCTGCCAGCTGAAATCATAATTTCACCGTTTACCCGACTCAGAAAAAAGTCTCTTCCGTTAGGGTGCATTTGCTTCTTTTGCTGATCTAGGCGATTCTAGGCAATTCCGCAATGAGATTAAAAAGAACAGCGCCACCTGGCGGAAAGCTCAGCCAATAAGATTCCTGCATTTCAATATTTGACAATTTAGCTCGTCTCTTACCAGTTTTACCAACATTTTGAGTGCCCAATAGAACCACTTTGACTTGTTTCGATTGCGCAACAGCGATAAGTTCTTAAATAAAGGGATAAAAATATATTTTCAACGATGAAAATAGTAGCTTGTGTGGGAAACAACAGTAAGTCTGGCTGGATACAGTAGTCAAGCTTGTTTCCGCAAACTTTGAGTTGTTGCAAAGTATCGGCCGCTATCTCGGAGAATCAATATTTGAGAAGCGAATTTCCATGTCTGAGACATTCTTCTTGCTAGAATTACTGATTTCTCTTAGTTCTACTGTAGTTACAATAAGCAAACAAGCTTCCTTTTTCGAAAAAAGCATAGATTCTTCTTCACCCTAAAACAACCGCTCTCAGCGAAAAGAAGCGACGTCAATAAGGCTCGGGTGTGTTTCTGCCGTAAAAATTCACTGTGCCCGGAAAATTAAAAGATAAAAGCGATTTCGTTTTGGCGAACGGGCTCATTAAATTTGGCGACATTTGGCCGAGTCAAACTTTTTTTCGCGATTCTTTTTGGTTAGATGAGTTTCTTGCAAAAGCGAAGGTCTCCATTTGTTTAAAAATAAGGGGTTCCCTTAATTTAAGGATAGGGATCACAATTTACCTATATGAGAGGTTGTAGCTGGTCTTCGAAAACGCCTTTGTCTTTGCGGCGGGTTCGTTGATACTCTGGCTTTCTTTTCAAAAGATTTTGAAGATGATGATGATGATGATGATGATGACGATGATTTTTTTCACGTAAGTAACGACCTTGAAATCTCCAAGTGGAGAATGTAGGGAATGTTCGACAAGTGTTTTGGGGAAGTATTTTGGAATCATAAAACAAAAAAGTGTTCTGGGAACTTTCGACAGCGGACGAATGTTCAAATACAGACTATTTCAATTCGAAAGCTCGTGGCAGCTCGGCACCTGAACAGTCCTAAGTGTGATTTTTCTTGTCACTTTCAAGTTTCAGAGAGCAACTTTTACTCAGAAGGAATGAAAGAAAATAGACTATGCTTTTTATGTAGAAAAATCGATTTTCTGCTTTACCGATTCGAACAATTATTATTTCTTCAAAATCCATTCCTTGTCATTTTTGATGTCTTCTTCTTGTATGACTGCATTTCTCCTGTTGCTCACCCTAGACATACAATACTAGTTTCTTCGGTTATTCTCTTTTTGGTTAGTCGGTTTATTTGCGTGTTCTTATTATTCTCTGGTGAAAAAAATGAAAATACGGAAAATCTGCTGAAAATGTAAATGTAAGTTTGTGAAGTTTAAAACATCAGAAGCTGGAGTCAATTCGGCCGCTGGACAAGCGGCGCTGCGCAGTATTTATCTTTGCAGCAATTGCTATTATCATAATATCCAAATGAGCTTATTAAAATATCACTCTGTATTTATCACGTGATCGTTTTTGACGAAAAAATTGATTATTCCTATTACCGGTGGTCTCGATTGCTCTTTTCGAAATCTTCTGTGTAGAAAACCTGATTCAGGGCCCCTGAGAGGACTTTGATAGAGATTGTTACTTTGGAGAAGCTTTTTTTTTTCAAGGAAGCCGCTATTGGGATTTTTGTAACAGCCATTTTAAGATCCTGAGTCAGGATTTCTACACAGGTTGCCGAGCCCAGCTCTACAATTCTCTGAACAGGAATCGTCATCAAAAAAGTCAACGAAAGTCTATTATCATCCATTTTCAATTGAAAAATCTCTTGCTTTAGCGGAAAAAATGACCGAGTTTATGAGACTGATGACTGAAGACTGATAATTAACGCGTCAAAAGACAACCCCCGCTAATCTCTATAATCTGACAACAAAAACGCCGGGGATTATTTTTAAATACCAACTTCAGAATCAGAAAGTTCGTTTACCTTTTTTTGTGACTAGTTCCTAGCATGAGCAGCATTCCAAGCGTTTTGAACTTCATGGAACTAAAGTTCTCTGATTCAATTTTTTCGAATTCCATTAAAAAAAATAAGCCCTTCTCTCTTCTCTCGTAAATCTTACTTTTTTGAAGAAGAAGAAAAATCGAATATCAGAGTTGTTTACACTTTCGTGTCCAAGAATGATGTGACAGATTACGGCAGAATTGGCAAGCGAAGCCAAACAAGAGGATTCACTATCGCTTGCGTTTTTGCTAAAATAACAGACATTTGTGACCTTAGCTCGTGATGGAATTCGACTGGACATTCCTTGGCTCGGCAGCCTGTCCTGAAACCTTAGTCAGGGTTCAGAAAAAACCTTGATAAAAAAGCCGCGAAGATGATATTTTTTCGATTGCAGCGTAGCCGCTCAGCGGCTTCTTCAAAAAAAAAAGCCGCGGCCTCATTTTGTATTGAAGCTCTTTCAGAACCCTGACACAGGTTTCTACTCAGGGTACTTTGTATATCTTTGAAGAATTTACCTCGGAACTCGCTAAATTTGACACTTGTTCTCTAACCAAAAGACTGTAATTACTCCTTTTACCAAAATTTTTCAAATTCCGTAGCTGTCCATCAAATAAGCCGAAAAACTACTGTGTACTTTTCTCCTGTGATTGGACATAAACTTCCTCCGAAAAGCGATAAAACGACTGTAGTGTTGATCTTTCTTTTCTGAAGCCGCGTTTTGATCAGACCCTCGACCTCGAGTCCGAATCATGCCTGCACGAAAACTGTTAAATGGGGATCATCCCTTTTCTGTATCAGCCAGATTTGATGCCGGCTCATTAACAAGATCATCCTTTTATTTCATTATATGCAGCTTGGAACAGTTAAAAAGGGAGACGAAATTATGAACTCAGAACTGCTCAATAAAAGCAGCAGTTTTTGGAAATTCTACACCTGTCTAACATTTGTATTGAGGTGAGCCACTTGATACGAGTCCAAACCACGAAGCGTTAGAAATGATCGTCCATTCTGCACCTGAACTAGCTGCGCCCTAAAAACTTTTATCGCTCTCTCCTTCGGGAAATTCTATTTGCAATTCAAAATTCAGTCAAAAGAGAAAAAAATTATACAGAACAAATGGTTTTGGGCAAAAAAAATTTGCGGAATTCTTATTTTGGCTGAGCTCTGAGCGATTTTTGAGCGATAAACGAGCGGAGTGACAAAAACTTAAACTTGAGAAAACGCTTGCTGCTTCGAATTATTCGAAAAAGAACCGCGCAAAGCGCGGCTAAATTGATATCTTCTTGAAGCCGCAAGCGGCTTCTTGAGTTTTATTTGTCGCTCCGCTCGCTCATCGCTCAAAAATCGCTCCGAGCTCAGCGGAACTGGAATTCTTGATTTTTAAATCAGATTCTCTTCCATGATTTCAGCGTCGCCCGTCCTTGTTTTCCCTACATACTTTCCTTTGATAGACGTACATTTGGTAGTTCTGACGCTAATTTAGCGATAGTGATTGAGTCGGATAAAAAGCACGTCAAAAGTTGAGCCCAGCCCAGGTGTTCAAATCCGCGCAAACAACGCGAGACAAGCAACACGTCAAAAGCGCAAATAAATCAGTACTTGAATCTTTTCACTAAAATTCTTCGCCCCTCTCTATTTTCCTCATGCAAGGAATGAACTTCAGGCTGTCATCAAACGACTGTACAGGCAAAGACAGTATATACACCTTGAATTGAAAGAAAAAGCTAACAAAACTGACCTTTCAAAAAGTGGCCAAAGATTTGAAGATTCATATCCTCCGACGAAAAATTTCCAAGAGTTCAAAGAAATGATAAAAAAATGGACCCGAAAAGCGTAAAACGGAATAAAGAAAATGGACATGAGAATCGTATCATCCAACGAATGAAAGATTATTATAGAAACTTCTGCAAAATAAGTTGCTGTTCGACTGAAAAGAAACAAATTTATGACGACTTTTACGGGGTGTAATTGCATAGAATGATAAATAATAACGAGTTCAAATGCATGCTATTACTTCCGCTAACTCTTCTCGTCACAAGAAAAAGTCTTCCAAAAAGCTATAGAGAGAAAGTATGCTCGTTCTTTTTCATTTTTTGCTAGGGCTTGGCTCTGCATGCGAGTTCTTCGATCTAAGCTGCAATCAGACTCATGCAACACTGTCCCTGTCAAGTTTTGAAATCAAGAAAGAATTAATTTTTTGTCTTTACAATTTCAAAACGAAATGAAAGAGCACAAGTTGTGGCAATAACACTGCTTATTTCGACTCAAATTTTACCGGATTGTATATCTCTCAGACGAAAAGTCTTGACGTCAAGACTCAGCTCAATTCAAACTGTGAATTGTCATCAACGATGGACTTTGAATACGTTGCTTGCTTTCAGGAAAATCAAGGTAAAAAGAGAAATTTCTCACTCAAAATGATGTTTTTTTAGAAAATTTTACCGGATATTTGGTCCAATATTTGGAATTTGAAGGTTCTTTTGTTCCTCTTATGACCCGCGAAGCTCAAGAACTCGTTTGCGAGCGTGCATCTTACGATAATTACACCCATCCTGATGAGATTCCTTTTAACCGAACAGGTATGAGACAAACAACTGTATAATCATTTGGTGAAATCACAGCTTTACTAACAACAACGCACGGTGTTGCTGGAAAAATTCCCCTTACGGAAGACTCGGTTCCTGAAATATCTTTGACAACCATCGGTGGCAGCAAACTAGGAGATAAAATGGTACTAAAAGGAGTCACAAGTTTCGGCACACCTGGCGTTATTCTCGTCAATTGTACTCTTCGCATGGAGAACAAAACTTTCCAAATCATCGATAACAAGTTTGTTCATGAAAAGAGACAGTATACCAGAAAAGTTTTAAGGGAGATAACTGCCGTAGGACATATTATAAAGGGCGAAATAAGATGTGATCATTCTTTTCAATTCAGACGCTTTTCTACATCTCCTGACACAGGAAAAAGGTTTAAATAACTACCTAATTTACTGTAGAATGAACGATAAAATATCTTTCAAAAAGCTTTTTCGATTGATTTCAAATGTCTCGTTGAGCTTGGCCCAACCCCGCGAACCGCTCTCGGCTGTTGCTGCGAGTTTACTTCAGCCTATGGTGGCGGCAGAACCTGTATTGCGACAGGTTGATTACCCGAATTAATTACTGTAGTGTTACTGTATTTTATAAGGAGAACTTTACAACGGAAGGGACATTTATGACTGCGACGACGGAAAATCAATGTTTTATTGGAGCTGGACTCATCCAGCGTGGTACCTGGGCACTGGCTTCGAACTAGGTTATATTACGTATAATTGAAGAGGACAATACGGCCACAGCGGTATGTGTCTTGGAGACTATGGCGAGTTTGAAACTGGAATTTACGAGTGGACTGCATTATCATACACTATTGATTTGGCATTGGAATGCAACGTTCACTATCCGAAAAAGTACTTTTAGAAGAAATTCCTTTAAGACTCATGCGAGCCCGAATTTTTCAATAAAACAATGCGTCAAAAAATAATTCTGGTGTTATTTTTTACAAAAAATAAATGCGAATTACTGAAAGCAAAATTGATTTATTAGAAATTTTTCACATAAGCGACATAAATGATATTCATTTGAAAAAATTTTGAGCGGAAGGCGTGCCGCACATATCAGCAAAAATTGATAGGATATTTCATGCTCTAGTAGATTTGTAGAATTCTAGTCGTTAGCACTTTAAAAGGTCTGTGGCTATTCTGTTACGCCGCGTTGTTTGTTATCTTCAAAGCGGTCTCGGTCTAACCTTTCGTTCAGTACCTTCTATTCTTACTAGCAGATGGCATGGTGCAAGCAATTCGGAGTATCAAAAAACAAAAGTTCTTACGAGTTCACTTTCTTTATAAAAACGACAAAATGTCTCAATTAAAGATAAATAGACTTAGATTAATCCTGCCATGGTTTTGATTTTGCAGATTTTCAAGTTGCTTATTTATCTATAAGCAATTTTATTTCTTTTATTTTTTGTCGACAGAATTATTTATTTGTACCTTCCTAAATTTCTAAAATAACATCATTTGAGCGTTTTTTTTCTTCTTTGCGAAAAAGCTTTAAAATTTTCGGGTCAATTCGTAACGCCAACCTAAATATTCATCAGTTGGCTTGGAACATTTTTTAACTAAAACTAACGAAATTGCTCTATAAACCAGAAATAATGAAGCCTTTTATGCCTAAAGAGATATGAAGACACTATCTATAGCCGGTCATTTGCTTTTTAAAGGTCTTTGGTTATTCTGCCAAGCGGCCTCATTTGTTTTCTTCAAAGGACTCCCGGTTTTACCTTTCTCAGTGTTCTATGTTGGATATGACTCGAAAGAACATATTTGAAATCTCAGTACATATCTCCATATCGTACAAGGTTGTTAGCCATTTCTTCATTATTGAAAAGGATCAAGACGAAATTACCAATGATTCAGTTAACTGCCTTAATTTGAAATCTTTTCATTGTGAGGATTTATAAATCCAAAACATTACCTGTCAGTCTAATTGTTAAGGATATAGCCTTGAATATTGAACTTTCGTAGCGCCGAATCCCTGTTACGAATTCATTCATTTTCAAATTAACCCTACCTAAAATTCATCGTAGATTTCGAAAATGACCTTATTTTTAGTACTTTCTATGGTGTTTGTACCTAAAAATCGCCTTTAAAATAAAACAGACCGTCGTTCTCTGAAAATTTCCATTAAAAAGGTAAATCTGGATTGATGATATGAAAGATTGAAGCCTTATCTCTAGGCATAACGTACAAAAAAATCAACTTTTTCCCTGTAAGAGATATCAATTTGAAACTTTGGGAGCAGCAAGAGTACCCAAAACGACTTTTCAAAATTTTTTGGAAAAAAAATTTTGGTACTTTTTAGTACTATTTTTCTCCAATCTAGCGGTGGATTTTGTAAAAATATTGAAGATTACGGCTTCTAGGAACTGGTTTTTTATTGTACTTCGAAATGGAGAGTGGCGCGCGCTGCCAATCAGAGCGAGGGGAGAATCCCAGTTAGATTTCGTCCAAGCTGTCGACAAAATTTCTCCCGTAAAATAGGATGAGCGATGGCTGAGTGAGATTTTCCCCTCGCTCTCATTGGCTGCGCGTTTCATCCCAACAATGGTTTTTGCAATTTGATTCGGTTCACCCTTCAGAAAACGTTCATAGAGTCGCCTATAGCAAACCGCTCTTTTTGCAGGCTATATTCAGTCAATAAAATAAGTTTTGAAAAAAAGAAGCCCAGTGCCCGTGATGCATCGTACAGCCTACACTTGGGCTCGACAACATGTGTAGAAAACCTGGGTCAGGGTCCACGCGGCTTTTCGTAAACGCAGACTCAGTTATTCTACACATGTTACGAAACCCAGTTCTACTGATTGAACATTCGTCGCTCCCAAGGTTTCGAAACTCTCAATGAGAATCGAATTAGCCCGAAGTTGAGTGTAGCTTGAAACTGGGCTCCTTATTCGGGCCTTAACCAAAATGTATATATGGAAATTAACAATAATGAATTGAGAGCCCAAGCAAGAGTCACTCAGAATAAAGCTGATTTTCTCGACAACCAATTCCAAAATTTCCAGAGCCTTCAGCTCAGCGATGACTTGCCGCTTGATGTCCTCAGCTTTCTTTCCGGTATCAGCCCTCACAAGGGACAATAAAATGCTTGAACCTTCTTGATCAATCAGACTGAACGAGAGGCTCAAAAATAATTTCAAAAAACTGAATCAAATCAGAAATCACTTTGAATTTTGGCTCAGGTTTTTTACACTGATTTTGGAGCCCAGCTAAGTGCTAAAAGTGGCACTTGTCGGTTCGTAACGGTACCATCTTTGTGCTTGGATAAGTAAACTCAAAAAAACCTAGGGTATCTCACGCCAACCACTTCCTAGTGCTAACGTTACATATTCCGAAGATTCGAGGAACTGTACACGTTGAGTTTGAAGGACAGCTGGAAATCCGGGTACAAGAGAATTTATATACGATTGGGAAGGAATCGCGTATTTAACTCGGCCATTTTCGGTTTTCCGGAGAGGGCCCAAGCACTTGTTGGCGTCAACAACGTTCTGCAAAAATTTTACAATGCCCGTCGTGGGTAGATTCTCCATTTTACTCGTAATCAACATCTGCAACATAACATAATTCCACGTCTTCTGAGAGCCTTGACCAGAAAAGGATTTATTCTGATCAAAGCTTTCTTCTGGTCTTCTTATTTTTGAAAAAATATTTGCCAAAGAACTAAGAAATTAATAATAATAATAATTTTTTTTTAAACAAACCAAGTATCAGAGAGCTCTGGAAGAGTTTGATCCATTTCAATATCGGGGGTATCATACATAATATAGTCTTCATCACTATAATCTGGAAGAGCAGGTGGAGCTGGTCGTTGAATTTTCAAGCAAAAATAATAATCGTCTGGGTTATTGGGAGAATGAAGCAAGCTCACAAGATCTCTGCGAATTTGCTGCGAAGAACGTTTTGGAAAATCAGCGATATCAAGAACTTCAGGTGGAAACAAGAGGTGTCGTTTAGACGGATCGAAAATTCCACTGAAAAATTAGGTATTTAAAAATGACGAGTTCATTTTTACTTATGAAGGTAATTGTTGATCTTCGAACTCCCTTTCGATCGATAGTAGGATGAGCATTTGATATAATCTCGCCATCTTTGTTTGTATCCTTGGTTGTAAAGAGAAACATTTTCGTTCCATTCATCTTCAGTTGTGACACCATTCGCAATAAGAATCTTCTTCACACTCTCTACAGTTAGCACACAAAAATCAGTCGAATGACTGATTGTATAAAATGTCGAAAAAAATAGTAAAAACAAAGATCTCATTTCGAAAAAAGCCAATGCGATCGGCAAGTGAAGTAACCGGCGTTCAAGAAGCGTTAAAAATGCGTGCTTGCAGAATACAAGGCGCCGTCTCAAAGACTTAATTTAGAGAAAAGGATTTTTAATTTTTTGTTCTTCAAATTTGTGAGTTCTTGAACTACAGTGACCTTAGATGACCTCAATTTGAACTTTCGTGTGACTAGATAAAAAATGTCCACTTTTTTAACGTGGAACCCATAAATTTTACGTTAGTCATGATTTTTCCGAAAAGTTCAAAAAATTAAAAATTGAACTTTTGACCTTGAATGACCCCAAGATGAACTTTTTAAAAATTTTCGATCATGTGATCGAAATCCTCGACATTTTTTATGTTGAACCAATAAGTTTCAGGTAAATGCGGTATTTTTTTCAAAAATCAAATTTTTGAACTTTGATGACCTCGAGTGACCCCAAGATGAACTTTTTCAAAATTTTTGATCACGTGATCGGAATCCTGGACATCTTTTATGCCAAACCTATAAGTTTCAAAAAAAATCATGTTATTTTTGAAAAAGGCCGATTTTTGAAATAAGTGATGACTCATCAGATTCCGAGTTTTTCATCCCTAGAATCCAGAGAACCCCCAATGCACCCCTTTTTATTGAAGTTTCTTACTCAGTTTTTTGCGCTCTTTCAAATGAGCATACTTACAACCCCGTAGCTTGGATTGCTCGAAAAATCAATTTTTTGACAACTTTGGGGTACTTAAAAAGTACTAAATTTGAAAATTTTGAATTTTTTTTTATTTGTAATGTTATCCGAGCACAAAAATCTATATCATATCTGAAAATCAGCTTCCTGCGACCTTCAGATAAAAAGTCGATTTTTTGTGCGTTATGCCTACTTATCTCCAATCTAGCGGTGGATTTTGTAAAAATATTGAAGATTATTATTATTACTAACTGGTTTATGATTGTACTTCGAAATGGAGAGTGGCGCGCGCTGCCAATCAGAGCGAGGGGAGAATCCCAGTTAGATTTCGTCCAAGCTGTCGACAAAATTTCTCCCGTAAAATAGGATGAGCGATGGCTGAGTGAGATTTTCCCCTCGCTCTCATTGGCTGCGCGCGCCACTCTCCTTTTCGAAGTACAATAAAAAACCAGTTCCTAGAAGCCGTAATCTTCAATATTTTTACAAAATCCACCGCTAGATTGGAGATAAGGCTTCAATCTTTCATATCATCAATCCAGATTTACCTTTTTAATGGAAATTTTCAGAGAACGACGGTCTGTTTTATTTTGAAGGCGATTTTTAGGTACAAACACCATAGAAAGTACTCAAAATAAGGGTTTTTTCGAAATCTACGCTGCATTTTAGGCAGGGTTTCTTTGAAAAATGAATAAATTCGTAACAGGGATTCGGCACTACGAAAGTTCAATATTCAAGGCTATATCCTTAAACTTATTCCATAATCGAGCTTCAACAAAAAAGTCTGTGTTACATGAATTAAAATAAACGTCTAACAAAAAAATTTATCAAAGAAATGAAATGTCAAAAGACAAATTGTCTATTTAAAAGTCTGAAAACAGAAAATATTAACAATAATAAAATTCAAAAAGAAAAATATCATCTTGTTATTTTGCTTACCGATAGAGGCATCCGCGCGCTTTCAGTAATAGAAAAGCGGCAACAAGCAGCTTGATTTTCGGTTTGGCGCAAGAGCGCCATACTGTATCATATACGAGACACGGTATTCTCTCGCTATAAAGATCGAATCATTTCGATCGTGTTATTATCAGAATCTCCAGAAAAAGAGTAAACTTTACTTTTTGGTACTGAAAGATGAAGATTGCTCAATACCTTTTTGCCGTCGCTCAAGCAAGCGACTATCAAACTGGCTACATTTCATACTTGAAAGGAGATCCCGTCCATGACGCAAAACTCAATTATATAGGCCATCAAGGTAAAATAAGTCACTTTGATTATCATTAAAATAAATTTTTTTGTCAAGCTTCCATCGAACGCCGAATGGGCTGGCAGCGCTCTTCAGCTGGTTTTGCTTTCCCTGGCTGTACAGAAGAAGATATCTTTAAGGGATCTTTAAGGTCAGCTTAAAGAGTTTCTTTTCGCTTAAACTTGTTTTCTAGTGATTCGGTGATCAACGAAACAGTCGTCAATTTTGCCGGTGAAGTTCTGATCGAGGCTGGTAAATCGGGAACAACTGGACAGTACTATGTCGACGAGATGGATGACTCTGACAAGTTAGAGTCAGATGCTCACTACTGCTTCGGAAAAAAGAAGGAAGGCTTCCTCGTCAGTGAGCCTTTTATTCATCGTGGTCAAGGATGCTGCATCACTGATTTGACTGACGATGACGGAAACAGTGTCGGTGGAGAGTACAAAATTGAAGCAAAGGTTTATGACCTTGATAACAAATCACCTTCTATTTTCGGGTAAATACTCTTTTAATCTTTGCTTTAATGTTCTAATATTATTATTTTCTTTTAGACTTCCGAACAGATGGAATATCATGTTTGGCTGCCAGAACCAACAGCTCGAGCTTGCTCCACACGACCCTGATTCTGATGACGAAGTTCGATGCCGCTGGGCTACGTTCGATGAGGCGAAGGGAATGGCCCGGGTCAACGGAACGTTCGATTCTTTGGTGCTCGACGAGACGCTTTGCACGATCACATACGTACCCGAACTGAACAAGTCTCCTGGATTTCAACCGATTGCTATTCAAATCGAGGATTTCGACATTTTTGGAAATATAAAATCTTCCATGCCCGTTCAACTCAGGGCAAACATTTGGACTCCGGATGCAGAATTTCCAACTTACTGTGAGAATCGGCCCACATTTACAAGCTTGACGCCACAAAATAGGGGCGAAATTAATGTTTTCTATAAAACCAACATTGTTTTCTTTGCATCATATTTTTTTAATAACAAGGAACGCTTTGATATGGATCGAATCGTATTTTCAAAGCCTCCAGGGATGACTTGTACAGAAATAAGTAAATTTACGGGTCATTCCTGGTGCACCTGGCGGCCAAGCAGTACAATCGATCGAGAGTTCTGCGCCGTTGCTTATGATCCGATGAACCGAAATACTGAACGAGTCTGTGTATCTCTTGCTGTTCAATCAAGAACCCATAACGCCCCAGAATGCAATGTTTGCAGCGGTGCTGGGAAGACATCTGCGGAAACGTACAGTGATTGCAAAAATTCAATGGTTAAAAAAACCTGTAGATGTGAGGGTTGTTATGTCATTCCAAAATTAAAAATTTAAAGATGGTGATATCTGTGGAGTCGAAGTAAGAATGAATCGTGGAGAAGTGACTCAACTTGATATGCGATGCAAGAATGAATATCAATGTATAAGAAACATGAAGTAAGTTTTGAAACGAGTCTCATTCTAACCAAACTTTAATTTTCTAGCAATAACTTCCAGCTCCCAGTAACTAAAAGTGCTTGCCGACCCGAGCCTCACCTTCAAACACGATATTTTGGCCAGTCGACTTGCTCCGGCTGTTTGAGAGCCTGTGGTAACGGTGAACCGTGCTATGATCCGACCACAAGTTACGACTTGGGCTTAGTGCCTAGAATTGCTTGGACTGACATCAATTACATGTAACACGCCACATTAAGAAGACCTGATGATAATGGAAAGTTTGATTCCTCTCAAGAGCAGGGTAAAAATGGCGCGTGTTTCGCGCGGGATCTCCTGCGCGCGGAGAAAAAACCTCCCAGGGAGTGTGGGAGGTGGCGCCACTATCACAGAAAACCTTGTGAGGTGCCTCAAAAGCAACATCCCCGCACGCGCTGTGAGCTCACAGAGCTCGGGGGAGCTATTCAAAACAGGCGGGCGCCTTACCAAATGAGACTCACCATTAGTTCAACTCGAAAGCAATAATTTAACTTACCTAAAATATAATATTTATTAATCTCTTCTGTACAATATGATAATCTTAGGCGCCCTTTCGGTCACATGGTATTTTTTTCCAAATTTTCAACTAAAGATAATTAAGTGACTCCCATTTTTAATATTGCCAAAAGTAAGTTTGAATTATTGTCTTTTTTAGGAGTTATTAATGTCATTTTTTATAGAGATAAAAGTTTTCGTACTAAAAAAAACTAAGTGTTTGAAAATATTAAGTAAAATTCTTTTTGGTAATTTCAACAATTGTAATAAAAAAAAATCATGATAAAACATTCCTTATTTATACAAGCTTCTGATCTTATTGAGTCAGAGTGTGCACCCACCGAGATAATGACGCTCGCTCATGCTTTTCAAATGTCCCGCGCAGCGCGAGAGCCGTAGTGCGCCTTTACTGTTGCTCGTTTTGGATTGGAGCTCCCTCGCGCTCTGTGAGAAGACGAAAACCTCCCACACGCCCTGGGAGGTTTTTTTGGCGCGCGCGCGACATCCCAAGAATATCCCCCGCCATTTCTCACCCTGCTCAAGAGTGGAATATGACAACTTTCTTGATTTAAACGTCCTACTAATACTTGATTTATAATTTGCAATTATAAAGAATTCAGAATAAACAAATCTATTAAAATTCGTCTTTTTCTTTATATTGTATATTGCGAGCAAATTGTTTTTATGTTCATCAATATAATTTAAAAAAGAAACAAATTTATGATACCTCGAAGCAGCGGAAATATTTCATTTTGCTCAGATTTTACGATTTTAACAGGATGTTATTATACAATTAACTGTCTGTCATCAGCAAATCTTTATTCGAAAAGAGAAACTATGCAAAAAACATGCGAAACACCTTTTATCAGTTTTTTCTAGCGCTTTGCTCCGCATGCGAGTTTTTCGAACTCAGCTGCAACCAGACTCATGCAACTTTGTCCTTGTCGAGTTTCGAAATCGAGTGCGTTGAAAGATAGCTTTTTTCGAGATGATTTTCAAAGCACAATGAAAGAGCTCTAACTGTGGAAATGCGACTTCTTTCTTTGATTCGAATTTCACCGGACTTTATGTCTCGCAGACAAAAAGTCTGTCAGTCAGACCAAATTTGCCAGCGAGCTGTAAATTGTCTTCAACGATGGACTTTGAATTTTCCGCCTGCTTTCAAGACCATGAAAGTACAAAAATCTATCGTTAGCTAAAACTTAATAGTGTTTTAGAAAATTTCACAGCGTATTTGGTTCAATATTTGGAATTCAACGGCTCTTACGTTCCTCTAATGACTTATGAAGCTCAAGAACTAGTTTGCGAACACGTTACTTTTGAAAATTATACTCATCCGGACCCTGTTCTTTTCAACCGAACCGGTACGATTCTGTCTGCTAAAGTCGTTTACAAACTTAAGCGAAAAATTTGACAACGACTCACGGCGTTAATGGACAAATCCCCTTTACAGAAGATTCTATTCCTGAAGTATCTTTGACAACGAGTGGCGGCAGCAAACTCGGCGAGAAAATGACCCTCAAAGGAGTCACGAGCTTCGGCACTTCTGGACCTGGCGTTATTCTCGTCAATTGCACGATTCGGATGGACAACAGGACCTTTCAAATAATCGAAAACAAGTTTGACTTTTTCTTATAATTCCTAGAGTTCACGTGCTTCAGGGAAATCACTTCTATTGGACATCTTCTCAGAGGTGAACTAAGATGCGACCATGGCTTTGAATTCAGAAGATTTTCCACTTCCCCCGACACAGGAAAAGACCCCAAAATTCAATTAAAATGGAGGGTTGAGAAAAAAAATCTTTAAAAAAGCGCACACGATGAATTTTGAATGTTCGGTTGAGCTAGGGCCTACTCCTCGAACTGCACTTGGCTGCTGTTGCGAGTTTTATTCTGGTTTTATCAATAGAAACTGCATCGCGACAGGTTCAACTAGTTTTTGACCGACATTAATTTTTCTTAAGGAGAACTAAAGAATGGAAAGGACATTTATCAATGCGAAGGGAGTACTAAAAAAGTAGTCTGGGGCTCAAAATGGGGAATGTGGAGTGGAGGAGGCTATTACTCTTTGGGCACGAGCGCTCACGACAGTCGATGTCTTGGAGACTACGGCGAATTCGAAGGCGCAGATTATGTCTGGCAGGAAAGGTTCTGAGTAAACTGTAGTTTAAAAATCTCACAAAATACAGCACCTGCGAGTAGAACGGTTATCAACTGAAGCTGGAATGTCTTATTTACTATCCGAAAATATACTGATTAAAGATACTGTAAATAAAGCACAAGTAATAATCGACTTTCTTCTGATAGATTTAGAAAAAGGTTAAATTTATTGAATGAGCAGATTTTCTAGCTGTATAAAGGTTGTGAGAGCACCGGAATGTGGCAAGTGCAACATAGTTTAAATTTCGAGGAAAGTAGAGTCACCTAAAATCTATGTTGATTTCTGTTATACAATAAATATTTTTACCTATATCTTATCGATGAAACAATTCGTTGTAGACATCCCAGAAGAGATCGTTAGAGGCCTGGCGTCCGCGACCAGAGACCGGATTCAGTCGTCCTCCGTCCAGCTCGATCATGTAAGTGAGAAAGTAGGCTTCGGCCATTTGCAGCCAGAATCGCTCTTTTCCATGGATCCGAAAGAGTCCATCGTACTGGTACGCATTGTATTCCGAATCGGCGAGCCACGTGCAGAAAACTTTTCCTGGGCTTCCGTACATATCGATTTCTATCTTGAAAAAGGGTTCGTTTTTGATTTTAGAGTATTTTCAGACATAACTGTCTGTCAGACAGCAGACAGAAAGACATCACAAATGAGTAACGACGGCTAATTTTTAGACACTAGTTTACTGTCCAAAATACTTAAAAGAGTTTTTAAATTAGAAATAAGAACCCATGCTCGTACTCGATCTTTGAAGATCTTGCCCACTCGTTATACTGTTTCCGCTCTTTCTTTGTACGGTATCCGTTCGTTTTTTGCATTATCTCGAAAAGCGCCTATATTTGAATTCTTAGTTTTTTGATCGAGAAATGCTTTTGAAACTTACCTTTGACATTTTTTCGCTTGCAATCGTGGAACTTCGAGTTCCAGGTGGCAAAGGAAGTTCTTTTCGCTCTCCGTAAGGTACCGCCATAATTTCAGTTTTGTTGTCTAAAATCGTTTTTCTCTATGATATGGTTTGTTTACTGCGAAAAAATTTTTCGGTAGTTCTGATGAAAAAGCACAGTTAAATCCGATTAATTCTCTTTCCGGTCCTGTTTTTCAGAACTGGCGCGAAGAAGTGTCCCAGATAGTCTTCCTTCAGTCACGAGCCAATCATACGACGTAAATTACTGTCTCCCATATTTTCAATTTTTTATCAAAAAAGCGCTTATCACTGAAATTGAGTTATGACCAGAAAACAATAGAAAACAAGATTTTTAATATTTCATTAACATTTTTGAAATTATTTTTTTCAAAAAATCATAAATGGCGGCGTCCGTCTTTGAACTCTAATTTGCGTAATTTTCCATTTTTCGCAAAACAAAACTTTTTTTTTCTCTTCTAAAGAAAATCATGAGAGAAGAAGACACAAATTCCGTTTTTCAAAATTTCGCGAAAACCACGACTCTCCATGGACCCGGGAATATTTTCAGAGCAATCAGAAAATGGGCAAAAATTGTCTGGACAGTCTCGTTGTTGTCTTCATTTTCCGTTTTTATTTGGCAAGCAATCTCGCTTGTTCAAGAGTATTTTACTTATCCAGTGAGTACTTCTGGCTTCATTCTCCGGCAAACAGAGACGTTTTTTCCGACAATTACTGTGTGCAATCAAAATCCAGCGAAGTCCTCGTTAATCCACCAAAACGACGAGACGAGGCTCAGGGACCTCGCTTCCATCAACAATCTTTTCCAGGGCTGCAAAGATATTCTCTACTCTGGAGAGGGATACAGAACTGTTTATGCCAGCGACTTGGGCTTCAATTGTAAGAATGATACGACCGTGCTCAAGAATATCACGACTTTACAAACATGCTTGGAGTATTATTGGTTCGATAAACTTGAAGAAGTGAAGATAAAATTCGAGAATAAAACTGAGTACGAAAAAATCATCGCTGAAAAGTCAGCAACTTGCAGGAATTGGGCCTTACGCACTTTAATTCTCTTTTTATTGAAGTTGGAAAAGAACAACTACCCAGGTAGAGCCCATTTTCTAGAGCTCGAAGACAAGCGGATGACTTTGAGTGGTGGTTACCCGATGAAACCTTTCTTTTATCTCCTCACACGCAGGTTTAATTTCACAGAAATTCAGCTACTTCAAACCTCCTTTTCAGAATTATACTGATCTCTGGGCTGACCTTATTCATTCTTCAAAAAACCTCGAGCTTTTAAAAATCAATTCTCTTTTCGAACTCGATCTTTCAGAAGCAAAAACTTTCAGCACGAATCCTGAAGATTTCATCCTTCTGTGCTCTTTCGACGGAAAAGCATGCCACCCAAGCGATTTCAAAGTCTTCCAAAACAAAGAATACGGCAACTGCTTCTCTTTCAACCACGGAACTGGCGGCGCTCAGATTTTACGAAGCGACAAAACTGGCGCTAGCTCTGGTCTTTCGCTGGTCTTGAATACCAATCAAAGTGAAAACTTTTACTCTGACTTGAATGGTGCACGACTGGTGATTTCTAACCCCTACGAGTATCCGTTCCCGCAGCAAAACGGAATCAACCTTGGAGTTGGCGTTCAAACGCAAATTTCAATCAAGCAGCACGAAATTATGAGGACACAGCTTCCCTACGGCGGGCAAAATTGCTCTGACGACTTTTTGTAAGCGAAAAATTCATTCCCCTTTTTGAATCATATTAAGGACTCCTTGTGTCTTTGATGGAATCTACACTTTTTCCGCTTGTATTCGAAGCTGTATCCAGTTAAAAATCATTGAAAAATGTGGCTGTATTGATGAAATTCAAGCGGTTTCCTCTACTAGACGATGCAATGCTACTGTTGCTGATGATCGTGAATGCAGAGAAAAGGTTTATTCCGACTTCGCTGAAGGCAAAATCGACTGCGACTGTGTTCACCGCTGCAACGAGATTTACTACACCATGGAAAGCAGCATTTCTGAGTGGCCCTCGAAAAAATACGAGCCATACTTGTGGGCTTCCTTGACTAAAAAAGTGCCGAATATAATGTCGGAGCTGGAAACAACCAAATTGACGAAAGAGAACTTGATGTCGGTGAAAATTTACTTCAGCGAATTGAATCGGTCTGTTTTGAAGGAGAGTCCGAAATTTACGATTTTTGGATTGATGTCGACAATTGGAGGAAGCTTGGGTCTTTACGTTGGCATGTCTTTTATAACGATGATAGAGTTTTTTGGCTTCCTGCTCGATCTTGTCAAAAGATGTGTCAGCAAATCTGCGTACTCACTTCGAAGGAAATGTTTAGGATTAGCAAATACCAATTATAGCAATTTTATAAGCAAAAATGACAAAAGAAAGCAAAAACTAAATGATCCTAAACAAATATTAGTTCTACCACAGCAATAGTCGATTCTTCATCTGAAAAATGAAAGCCTCTGTCTAACCGCTACTTATATATGACATTAATAGTGTCTTATTTTAAATGAATAAACTGATTCGATATCTAAACCATCATCAAGATATTCGCGTACGATCATCCTAATGTATGCAAGGAGGGGTTGGAGACTTTCCCGAAGACTAGCGTAAGCAAATATGCGTTGAAATAGTTTCGGAATTAAGGCCTAAGTTTCTTATCTCTAGCAGAAACATCCTGGTGCTGATTACTTCTCAACGCCTCTTGCCCTGGCTTGGATCCTCCATCAGAGAATCTGAAGCTAATAATCTCTGAGATTCAAGCTATATTTTTATCGAGGAAAATAAGAAATACCGGTCTCACCACGCATGGCGTTCTACCGCCCAAACAGTCTGGGAAACTTCTTCTCTCCCATTATATTGATTGAAAGAACCCCTTTATTCAGTTTGACGAGACTTGACGGAAAGAGTTTGCATTGAAAAAGAATAGATAATTGCCAATTATTAATTGGTATTCCTGTTAAAGAGATTTTACAATGAAAACTTCGAAAGAAATGAGCTTCGCTAATTTCCAGAGAAAATATCACGAAGCCAGCGCAACGATAATCCAAAGAGACTCAGAAATAGCAAATCTCAACGAAATCATCGAATCAAAGGACCAGATCATCAGAAACCTTCAAGCTTCATTTGAAAAACTGAGAAAAGAAGTAGAGAACGAATCTTCAAAAAGAAGCACACGCGAAATTATGAAAATCAAGGAAAATAATAAAAACGCGCTAGTTTTTCAGAAATCACAGATTCAGCGGCTAGAGCGGCAGAAAGAAAAGCTAGAGGATGAAGGAAGAAAACGCAAAGAGCTCCAAGATGAATTAAAAAAGGAAATAAACGCGTTGAAAGAAGAACAGCAGAGAATGCGGAATAAACAGCAAGAAGATGAGAACCAAATTATTCAACTTAAAGCAGAACTTGACGAAAAATACAAGAAAAATCGACTTGGCGACGGGACAACTGAAATCGGAATCGAAGGCTCGACGAGTTCTCTCCTTCATCAATCAACAACTGAGCGATCTAAATCGAAAATTCGACAAGCAAACAGATGAAATCACTGAATTACGTGGACAAATGCAAGAGCTCAAGATGGAGAATCAAACTCGCGTGGCCCTGTACAGCGGCGAGAGAAAAGTAATTTTTTAGTTGAGTTTATTTAAAAAAAATATTTTCAGAACGATTTTGAGAGACAGACGAGTCCGGCAAAGAAAATCTACGCAGTTAAAAATTGAATTATCTTCATCAAAAGATTCATTCTCAAGCATGTTTTTTAAATAACATTTATTCTTTCGTATTCACTAAAGGTGAAGGAACACATTTGTTGTTTTCACAAATTTCATCAAAGGCACAGTAGACATTACTTAAACATTCAACTGTATGACACTTGTTCTTTTTGCAGATTTGATTTGCATCGCAGTGCCTGTTTCTATCGCATTCAACATACTCGCAGAAAGGAAGGCTGATTGGGCTCCAAGACGTTGACCTTATACAGCGTCCTTTCTCACCGCAATCACGATGCTGAGCGCATTTGACTTCAACGCAGATATTTGACCATTTGTCGCACATATGAGGGCGATCGTATTTGCAAGTATAACAATGATTATTCTTTGTGCATTCAACCGGCATGCATTTGTTCTCAACGCAACGGTAGGGTCCTCCTTCTTTGTAAAGTTCAGCACAGTGTTGATTTCTTAAGCATTCTCTAAACTCGCAAACACCACGAACACAAGCACATTTTCCATCTCTGCATTCAAGATTACCGTTGATCAAACAATCATTTTTATGTAAACATTCTTAATTAAGAATGGATTTATTACCAATTTTCTGAAAATTAAAATAAACTAACCTCTTGTCGCAGCATCTGCTTGATAGACAAACCAACAAAAAATGAATACAATCATCTTCAAATTCTAGTTTTTTGAAATACAAGATTGACTGATTTTTCATTTTATAGAAGAATTGGTGGAGCCCCCGAGTTCCATACGCGGAAAAAGTATTTTTTGAGCTTCTTGTTTTACTCGTTTCATTTCACCGCTAAAATAACTTCCATGACGAGATCCCTTGTTGGGTAATGAAATAAAAAAATAGTCCAAAAAATTTCTTTCAACGAAAAAAATTCTGAAGTTATTGTAGCGGTCGACTTAAACGGGTGGAACCAGATTCTTCAAGAAGAAAAAAGGATGTGATTTTGGTTCTTGAAACTCGGTAGCACCACCACACCATAAAAAGGACGGAAAAGCTCGAGAGCAAAGAAAAAAAAAAGAGAAATCTTGTCATCATGAAATTCGATGTCAATGTTTTTTTGCTTTTTTTGACCAGTGCGACAGCTTATGGTAAGAATTTGCTGATTGTAAAAAATGACCAGAGATCTTCTATTTTAGAACCCTGTTATAATAATAATGACTGTACCTCGCAATGTCGTTCGATTGGAAGCTGCATCTGCAATGAACGCATATGTGTAGAAGTTGAATGCACCAAAAACGAGCACTGCTCAATGCGCTACGGAGATAAAAACGGGTTTATTTGTAACGAATCTCATCATTGTCAAATGGTACAGTGTACAAATAATCTTCATTGCCGCGTTTTTTGCCAAGATGAAATCTGCATCTGCGCCGAAAACAAGTGCCGGGAAGTTGAGTGCACTAGAAACCATCACTGCGTCGAGCGATACGGAGAGGAAGAAGGTTATATCTGTAACAAGTCTCATCAATGTGAAAGGGTCGAGTGCACCAAGAACCATCATTGCATTGGTTGCCGCTACGAAAGCTTACCTTTCGCCTGTGATAAAAAATCAAATCGATGCGTGGAAGTCGACTGCGTGAGAAATGAGCATTGTAGGGAAAAAGAACGATGTATTTACAAAAAATGCAAAGTGATGTTTGAGTGCGAAAAACACAGTCATTGCAAGGACGATGAAATATGCAGAGGAAATCGCTGCTACAAAAGAGAATGCTACAGTAATTTCCTTTGCGGGGATAACGAAATCTGCAAAAATCATAAATGTATACCCGGGAAATCGAAAAAGCCCGGTTCATCTTACTCTTACTATTAAATTTGCTCTGAAAGCTTCTTATAATAAATTGCCTTACAAAAATGCTCGCTTTATTCATTCTTTATTTCTCAGAATCGAGAGGTTCAACTTCAAAAAACTTTTTGTCCCTCCATCCGAAAAGTTCAACGCCCTCGAATATGCGGAATCGTAGGCTTCAGCTTCATGAAACCGGCTACATCGATAAAATTCAGGCTGTTTCCTCTAGTAGAAGATGCGATTCTACTATTGCGGGTGATCTTGAATGGAGAGAGAAAGTTGAGAAACAAATGCTATTCTTGATGATTTTCCTACGAGGGAAAAAAGTAAGCACTGTTTTTTATTGAGCGATTAATCTTGCAATAATCAAAGTCTGCACAATAAAAATGTGCCATAATTCGACCAAAAACAGAAAATACATCATCGTTATAATGCTAAAGCTGGCCAATGAGAACGATTCGATAGGAAAGACAAGGATTTTCTTTCAAAAGTCAGTTAGATCAGCGAAATAAAATTTGAATAATAAGCCCGGATTAGCGAGCTCTCTTACCCCAACGCCACCAGACAATCAAAAATATTCTATAAAAGCAAATTTTTCATTCGAAAACTCAAAAAAAGACTAGATGAAACGGATTTTTTCAGCATTTTTTTTCCAGTCAGCAGCAGCTTTCTTAGCTGAGCCAGGTTCGGGTGAGCAACCTGATGCCTTCTATGTCGACTTCCTCGACTTTTGGAGACAGGCTGATGTCGCCGCCTTTCAATGTCGCGATTCGATCGAACGCAATGCTTGGAGAGGTCTTGCCAATCGTTTCATGGAATATTACAAAATAGCCCGAAAAGCTGCAAAATTTAACAACGGATGGATCTACGGCGGTGAGCAAGACGTAGGAGACTGCGTGTGCATATTCTGGCCTCCACTTTCAATTCATTTTGATGAGAAAGCTAGCCCACAAGCGAATATTGATGATTTGCTGCATAAACTGGAATGTTGGATCCAGGAGAGTAAAACAGATATTTACAAATTATTTATTACCAATAATTTTTAAATATATTTGTTAAACAAGGCAGTGGCATACAAGTGACATTCCTGAAAACATCAAGAGCGCGTTGAAAAACATTGAAAAAATTGCGAGCAAAAAGCCAAACCAAGACGAGCCCGTTTCTTACCACATTTCCCATGCGAATATGAGTCATATTATATGACCTATCAACAAGCTCGCGGCTACTGCTTTGAAAAAGACATGTGGCTAGCTGATCCTGAGAGCCCTGACATGCTTCAAGGGATTCGAAAACAATTAGTGCAAGAAAATGTAGCAAGTCCTCGGCCAGATGTTTTTAGATTGAAAAAGAAATTACAAACAATATTTCTTCTTGGCAAAAATGGTCCCTCAAATCACTTTCTGAAAATTCTTATAATATCCATTTCCTATTTATCTTATATATCCGTGCAATAAAAAGAAAAAAATGAAAAACACTTGTCGTCCTTTTTTTAGTTTTCGCCACTGGCGGCGCTTTTTTGACTTTCAAGCCGCCAATCACAAATGCGACTCAATAATTAGCATTTAAATTCGATGTGCGAAAGCTGGAACTCTTGTTAAAATATTCTGCCCAATAGCCTGGAGACTTTCTGGCCTTGAACCAATCAGCATTCTCGTAAGAATCGTAAGAGTTAATTTCGATGAGAGGACCGGTTTACGAAAATCTCGATTACTTCGCCGATTTACTAGAGAAAACGATACAATGCAACTTGGATCCAGTGACTGAGCTGTATTTTTCGAACACTGGAACAGGCGAAAAACATGCGTGGATTCGAGACAATCTCTGGGCAGTTCAGGTCATTGTTTTATAAATTCGTTCTTTTGTAATTTTTGCTTTTCCGATTATCTTTTCAAAACTGCAAAAAGTCTGTCTGGGCGCTGGCCCTGTCTTTTCGAAAATATGGTGACACTGACGACGCTCGGGCTAAGTTTCAAATGTTCGCTGGCTCTGCTACCAAAACTATGAGATCACTGCTGATGTGCATGATGCGCCAGAGTTCGAAAATTGAGAGCTTCAAGAAAACGAAGGCCACTGGAGACGCGATCCATGCGAAATTCAATGTGAGAACTTTGTCCACTGTTGTTGGCGATCATGACTGGGGACACTTACAGCTCGATGCTACTGGTTTGTTTGTTCTGCAACTTGCACAGGTTTTGACTAGTTTTGTTTGATATTATAGTAATTCGTAGATGACCGCGTCTGGTCTGCAGATCATTCTTTCACTAGAAGAAGTCGATTTCATTCAAAATCTCGTGTTCTACATCGAGAGCGCTTACAAAACCGTCGATTACGGAATCTGGGAGCGTGGTGACAAGACAAACCATGGAGTGCCAGAACTCAACGCCAGTTCGATCGGGATGTGCCTCGCTGCTCTCGAAGCGATAGACGGGCTTGACCTGTTCCAATGCCAAGGCGGCTATAGGAGCATCATTCACGTTTCCCCTGATGAAAAGGCCAGGTGCCAGGATGTGTTGGAGTCACTCTTACCGCGAGAATCAAAGTCAAAGGAAGTTGGTGCTGCGCTCTTGCCGGTCGTCCTATATCCTGCCTTTGCGGTATCTAACTCTGATATTGTCACAAAGACGTTGGCAATTATCGATGAAAAACTTCAAGGTTTGGGCTTTTAAAGTTCAAACTCTTTCTATTAAAGATTCGTAGGGGAATTCGGATACATCCGATTTCAAAGAGACGGCTATCTGACCCCGATAGAAGATCGACATCGTCTTCATTACGATCCTCTGGAATTGGAGCAGTTTGAAAAGATTGAGTGTCAATGGCCGTTATTTTTATGCATGCGACTTGTCTCCAAATGTTTTCAGCGAGGAGCGGCAAAGCCTCAAGTGAGTGAGGAAATCAAGGATCTGGAGAATCAAATCAGGGCTGTTCTTGTCCATGATGATCCTGAGGAAGATCTGTTTAGGGATTTTGAAATATAAATTATCGGATAGCGAACGGATGTCTTTCACTACTGTATGTTGTAGGTGAAAAGATTAGTTAAAGGCTTTGCTTGAAAATCCCGAAGAAAGCCTTATCTTCCAATGGCTTATGCCATTGATAAAGACTCAGTTGCCATGGAGAGAAAAGCTCCTGGATCTGCTAAGCGAGATAACGTTGGCTTTCTTCCGCATATTTGGGGACAATCGTTGTATATTCTGTCGCGCCTTTTGGTGGAGGACTTTGTCAGTCCGGGCGAGCTCGATCCGCTCAACAGAAGAATGGCCATGCAGAAAAGACCGGAAGTTATTGTTCAGGATTTGAGTTGAATAAGTATCTCGATTTAACAAACGCTTGTGTACAAAATATGCTGAACAAATTAGTGTCTATCAACACTGTTTTGACAAAGAAGCCAGACAATGGATCATTCCCTTTATAACTCAATCGCAGGTGTCATTCTTGGCACTCGACGATCTCACGCAGGATACTTTCAACGAGCATGGACACCACTTTCAGCGAGCTGAGGACATTACAAAGGTTCGTGTACATCCGGTGACTGTTCTCTCCGATTTGTACAAGAATCTTGGAAAGTCGGATATGCTTTGTTTGAGCGGCAGGAAAGGATCTTTTTCGGGATTAATTTTATTGAAACAGAACCAAATAGGTTTTCAGAATGCTTTTTGATGGCTTATCCGCCATTTTTCGTTGAGTTGATTTTTCATGTTTGTGCAAATTTTCATGCCAGAGCGCACCAAAGATGAAATTTCATCAGAAAGACTTGATTTTAGAAGATTTTCTGGCATTCTTGTCGGACGTTGAAAAACTGGCGGCATCCAGTTTTCTTCTTGATCATAGAGTGAGATTGCCGTGTGGCGATCTACTCTGTAAGCTTGGAAGATATAGTAACCACTGCATAGATTCGCAAACGGGAAAAATAACACTATTTTCATTTTTCGGAGTAAAAATGGATAACGGAAGGCTAGAATGATCATCATATAAATATATTTGGTTACAGAAGCTTTCGTAATCCTCGGTAATCTTGAAGGATGCGCGTTCGTTCCCTAGCATCCATTCATTCGTGCATCAGTGCTTCGAATCTGGAAGCAACCATGAATTAATTTTTGGCTGGAGACAGGCCTTTGATGTAATAATTCTACGGAAATCACTCCATGTCGAGTGTTGATCACAGATCCTAAATAGACCCAAAGGACGAATTGGCATTCTAAGCACTTCGAAGTTCTACGAACTGGGAGACGGAACGATGACCTTCTTCTACCCGGAATTTTCAAACATTGATCAGAATTGGATCGCAGCTGATGTCAACATCTTCATTGAGGAGGTTCAAACAGAGCTGAACTACATTCAATCGCACTGGAATCACCCTGGACGCCCTACAATTGTCATTCCGCTGAGCACCGAGCTTATTTGGAATACATCAGATTCTTGTGTACATAGGCTGGGGCTAAGCGATAGTTTCCTTTGATTTTCTTAGTATTTTACCCTTGCTCTTGATTGACCTTCACAATTGAATGACGTAATCTTGACAGAAAATTCACTCTATTACGATTTCATCACCGCTTACCCCTTCTAAAGCGAAATAATTAATCTCGTCCGAAAAATTACTTCTGGATACATCGCAGGAGTACGAGTCAAGTCAGCGAAGCTCGAAGAATTTCTCCCGACTTCAAATGTTTCCAAGCTTCAATTCGCAGATGTAAAAGACGGAATTTCTCCAAAATCGAGCGCATCAAAGACTCTTTCATTGCCAAAACTACCAATAACTCCAATGCGATCGCCCAAAGACTTTCATAAAGCGAGAGTCATAAACATGAACCTTGACCTAACAGATATGACGCTCGTGCCGAAAATCAACCGTCGAAGATCGGAAAGCCACAGCTTCACTTCCACTCGATCAGGCCGGGATGATTCGTATACAATTCTCACCGCCAAGTGTCTCGTCGATCAAGCTGGCGTTCTCCTTGAAATTTCCGAAGCAACCGACGAAAACTATCGCGTTCAAATACCCTCTGTTGGTCCTGTCCAAATCACTCCACTCCTAGAAGAAGTCTTCGACCGAGCATGTCGCGAGCAACAATGGTTATTAGCGCGCGAACTTGCTGGTTATTTGAACAAGCCACTTCCAGGGCTAGATCAAGCGGTTACAGACATCCTTGTGCGCCAAAAAAGCATCACCGTTGGTCTGCCGCCGGACAGTCGCGAAACGACAATCGACAAGCCACTTCAGTCGGGTGAGATCGAAGCTATGATACTCGAGGCGTGTGGCGATGGCGACGTCGCTATCCTGCAACAGGAAGTTATTCTGTGTTCGGGTTCTAAGTTTTGACAGGGCTATTCGGAACAGTCTTTATTGAATTATTTTCTTAATGTTCGAAATCGACCTCCCGCGTTTTTCCCGGAATTTTCGCTGGCAAAAGGCAGGAAATAACTGCTTTGAACCCACGTCAAGTATTTGGCGATGTTGATCCGTGGGCAACCAACTCTATTTAACGATTTACTTCGTCTCCGGGTCGGACTTATTGTGCAGGTGCTTGCTTCCGAGTTGGCCAGACTTTTCGATTGTTCTGGACGCGAAGCATCGTCATGCCTTTTAGCTCTGCCACCTTCTGAATTAAAGGTATTTCTGAAACAACTAGAATAGACGTAAGTCTGCGGTCTCGCACTTTCGAGTCTCTATTTTTCATTATGTAATGAAGCGCTTATATGCAGAGTTAATAAAGAGCCCTATTCAAGGCACTTCTACACTCTCTCCTTTCTGGTCACGAGATAGCAATCGCCCAAGACGGCAAAAAAGGAATCCGAGCAAGGTCAAATTCAAGAACTCGTCGTGGATCTATCGTTTCTCCCTTTACCGAGCGCGGACGAAAAATGCCCAACGAAGCCAATTCCTCAAATCGGACTAGAAGTGGCGATCGTCTAAGTCGTCAGGACTCGACGCATCAATCCCTCATGCTGACTCTTGGAGGCCTCAACTCGGAAATAGTCGTTGAAGATCCAGGACAGAGGGCTGGATCGTGGCTTCGGCGAAGACAATTAGACGGAGCTTTAAATCGCGTTGCCACAGACTTTTACAGGAAATTGGTCTGAGTTTTGTAAGATCTAGTCTTAACTGATCGGCTTGTCAGTTTCTACAGATACTGAAAAAAGAATGACCAAGGTCAGTCGAGTTTGGCAAGTACTCGCCCGCTGTCATGGGCTTCAAATTGGAGGCAGACTAATACAGGTGAATGCATCAGGAGTGTTTGCTCCAGTAAGCCCAACTTACAGGCGAATTACTTGTGGCTTCTGTTTCAGTTGTCACCCGATTCTGAGATTTGAGAATCTATTTACCAGTCATTCTTTCGTCAATGAACGCATTATTATTTAAAATATTTGAACAATTACGAATTCATATTCACAAAAAACTGCCTTTTAACGCTTCAAAAATGACGTCTAATTACGATATTCTCGCACTTAAAAAGCATTTAGGGGACGGTTACCAGGGAAATGACCTCGAGTGAACTAAAATTCGCGCTTCTCGTCGAAAATACACTAAATGGAATTCCGGAGCCAGAAAGAAGGCAAATGGTGGTCGAAGCACTTTCTGTTCTTTCTATGCTCGCTTCTTTTCAGGTAATTTTTTATGAGGATTGATTTTTAATTCTGATAAGACAAAAGTTAACGTTGAATGGATAATTGATGTGGACGTCATTCTCAGTCTAGGAAAGGTTCAAGATAAATAATCTAACTATCAATTTAAATAGCAATTTGACAGATAATATTGCTCAAAAGTCCTTCAAAGCAGTATTTGTATCTTCCAGTCGAAAGGGGACTGATTAACCCTAGCCCTAACCAAACAGAACCAATCCAAACCAAACCAAACCTAGTCAAAACGGGACTGATTCACACAAACCCTAACCCTAACCTTAACCCTAACCCAGTTCCGCATAAAAATGACTTGATACAACGATAGATCGCTGTAATTTTGAATGTTATTTTTCATTTTGAAAGCGATAACTTCAAAACAAACTATCGTTCATACTTTGATTTGAAGCCAAATAAAACTAATCCGCCGACTACTTTTGAACTCGCTCCCTCATTTTTTTCAAAATCTTGAACGCATCGACAGCTGAGCAATTTTTCCGGGAAGATCAAATTCTGGAAGGCATTCAGAGCGACGTGAGCCACGAGGACTTTTACGATTCTGCTCCGACTGGAAGATTCGGGACAATGGCGTATCTCGTCCGCGCATGTACGGATATTCTGGAGAAAGAAGCCGAGCAAGGAGAATCCAAGCATTGTGCTGTGCAATAAATATAATCCAATATTGTGAAATCAGGAGCAAGATGAGCAAGGGTCGGAATACGATCCTTTTGGCCCTGGTCCGTCTTTTTAAAGACTTTGTTGTCCACCCATTGAAGCATTGTATTCTATTTCGCTGTGTGAAAAACTCAATCAAACCTCTGCCTATTTTTTACTCACGCGATCCTGCAGGCTATACGGGGCAATTCAGAGAAGGGAACATAAAAGAAGATCAAATTGGGCAATAAACTTTTCAAAAATTTTCAGGAAGCGATGCGGAAGTTGAAATCGAAATTTGGTATTTGCTTTTGAGCATTTGTGGGAGAATAATTTTTATGGCGCTTTTCAGATTTTAATTTCATCTAAATTTTATATCTCGCATTTTTCATGCCAATTTACTACTGTTTCAGATACAGAAGTAGAGTGCCAACCCGCTGTGTTTGCCACTTATCTACTAAAGTACTACCAAAGGTCTTGATAATTTTTAATAAGAGAACTTCTCTCTTCTATCGTCTCCATAGAAAATCGGAATAAATATTTGAATGGCTTCTCGCATCCATAAGGAGCTTCATTTCTGTCCCCTTTGCTAAAGGCAGAGTAGAATTGGCCTTGAAAAAGAGATTGAAAGAACGCCACTGCGTGGTCAAAATAATAATCACGCGGGATCGAGGAATTTTCGACAATCCAGACAGCACGAGAGAATTTGAAGACAACAGTTGCATTAGCTCCAAACAATGTGAGTAGACGCACGGTTACTCTTGAATACTTGCTCAAGCCCACGCCGCGGGGCGAATCATACAGGCCCCGAATTTAACTTATTTTCAAGTTTACGACTTTAAAAGTAATTCTATTTACAGAAGCGTAAGAAGCGTAATACTCGTGCCTACAGGCAATTTTCGAGTGCTATAATTGAGTTATTCCTACAGTAAATATTTCTACACTTGAAACAGGAACAGTAGTGAGGACGCGCGCAAACAGATTTGCGCATTTCGTCTCCGCCCAAATCTCAGCTAAATAAATTCCCAAGCTAAAGCCGCTGGCAAACACTATTTGAATTGAGTCCAAATTACAGTTTTCCTCTTGTATCTGCCAGGCCGTCTTTGATGCAACTTTTATTGACCTCGGACCGTAGAACATGAATATCTGGCCTGTAATAATAAAAGTGTCCAGTGGTTTAACCAGCGAAACCAAATTCTCAGTGGCTTACTGTCCGTATTCAGATCCTTGTCCAAGAGAGCTCCGATTAAATATTAAATTCTCACTTAAAAATTTAAAATTTAAAGGGAGATTAACTTTCTTAAAGGAATACCTAAAGACCCTTATTCTATTCGCTGCGTTATCAGTATTTGCGAAGAGCGCGAATAAACATTTTCCGGTTCCGACGTTCTCTGAAGTTTGGATCACTTCTATCACCTGATATGAAGTTGATCATTCTTTGCTCCGCCATCCATCAAAACTGTCCAACACGTAGCGATACGATGCTCTACCTTTAATACAGTAAAAGCCGATCGGATGCGACTAAAGAAACGGCGGACTTCCGGGCGCCGTCAAAATTTGAATTCGTATTTGATCGTCTTTACTGATTGAAAACACTTTTATACTTTGACTTTTTGAGCATATTATTTAAGCGTAGACTTGATGGCCCCATTGAACACTTGTTTTCTTCTTTGAAATACAGTAAGGTAGGGCGTTTGAAGATCCAACGGGGAAACGACCCCTCAAATAGAGCTTTGGTCTTCAACAAATTTACCCGAGGCTTGGAGAAAAGAGCACAGTTGACACAATCTTACAATCCAGGACACGATATTATTGATAGGTCTAATTCCCAGCTGTCAGTTTTTGATCCAAAACTACACTGTATCTTCGTCGCTACCTTATAATTTTCTGGAAAGAACGTCAGAATATTCCATTTTGAAAATGTCTACACATCAGCTTAGTCCGGAAAAATCCTTATATAATAGAAGTCTATGGCTTGGCACTCAATTCTGTCGCGGATTATCGAAACTCATTCTATGGAAATCCGCTTATAGAAAAATGAGTTTCTGTGGTTAACCACTTAGTACGCTACTAATACCAGTCCTGCTCGTTAAATATTGAATTGAGCCTTCTTGTTTCACTATTCTTTTATGGAAACGCGAAAGTCAATTAGGAACGACTTCTTTTTAATAATTTTTCTCTAACTATTTTTGAGAAGAAGTAATTAGCTAATCATAACAAATATTCTGAAGAAGTTGTTTTTTTTGAAAGGCAGTAAAAATCATAACGAAAAAGAGGCCACGTGACCTCTTATTCTGAATCTTTGATAACTGGTCATTTTATCAATAATCTATAAACCACATGATAGTAAGTTTCTTCCAAACGATCATATAACGCGCCTGGGGCAGCGCGTGTTCTAGAGGAGGGCGCTGCTCCTACTACAGCCGCTCAAAGAGAGACTTTGCGAGGTGCCTCTGGCCGAAGTTAATTCCATTTGGCGGGAGGCTGCTCAAGTCTCTTCAAAAACTGAAATACAAAAGAGAGATAACGCCAAAGTGGATACCAAAGCCACCCAGCGCACAAGAGAGAACTGAAAACTGAACACTAAACGAGACCGAAAAATCCGGTATGATTTAAGAAAAAAAAACTAAATATTGAAAAAACGGGTCAATCACCAAGACCGCACCAGAAAAATCGATTTACTTAGTAAATTTAAGCTTCGCAACGACCTTTCTTTACAATTGTTACTGTTGTCTTTTCCACCTGGGTTACAGTGTTTCGCCCAGACATTCTGATTTGATCCCATTTGTCTGTTTCCGAGGCTTCTTTCTTTCATTGAAACTCTCGTATCTGCCCAATAGAACATTTATAGGGCCCTTTACGAGACAGATTCATTGATAAACGAGGGAGATTATGTGAGAGCGTAATCGAAGATATCAAATGAAATATCTATTTGCAGAGGTGAAACGGGCAGTAAACTGGCGCCAAACGTTCTTGATATTAATTTACTCTTTAGTCTCTTTTACATCCGAAGCAACAATCAAAATCAGAAGAAGCACTAGAAGAAACAACCCAACTTGAAGTTTTCTTGAAGTGAAAGTGAAATCGAACAGACGATGTCGAGAGACAAATATGAAAAAATCGAGAAGATAAGCGAAGGAAGCTATGGAATCGTTTACAAGTGCCGCAATCGAGGTACTCTTCCTTGATTGCACCAGATGGTAGCATGAATATTTAAGAGACCAGGGCTATCGTGGCCGTCAAGAGGTTCATCGAGTCCGAAGATGAACTGAATATAAAGAAGATTGCGATGCGCGAGATACGCATGCTCAAGGTAAATCAAAACTCAGCAGCTCAGCAGAAAAGCGAAAGATAAAAGGGCAAAGTTGGATGCGCGTCGCATGTCTCCAGGAAGCATCTTTGTTTGCTCCAAACTTGAACCGCTTGAGAAATTATTAATGATCACATTTTGACATTGATTGGACTTTGGAAATCAGAACTTTAGAAATCCAACTGTAAACTCGAGTGTAATTATTTGCGATTTGAGACTTATTCTTGTCTGATAACAAATATCAAAAACGACAAGTCCGTAATCAACTTCAAACAAGCCAGATGACATTGTCTTACAAACGTAATTCCGCTCGTCAATAAAAGATTGACTCGTTACTCTAGGATTACTCTCTTAGCATTTGCGTAAATCTTCATGGAAAACAAAGAAGCAGGGAGATGAGTAGTTGTTTTGTAGAGAGGGGTTATCATTCGATCCTATGATTCGCAACCCAATATCTCTAGATGGGCTATTGGTTAGGGTTAGGGTTAGGGTTAGGGCGAAACCACCTGGTTTAGGCCTTAGGTGGGGGGGGGGGGTCCCGAGAGGCGTTGCCCCCTGGGTTAGGTTTAGGGTTAGGGCCCCTAACTTAGGGGCAGCTGATGATAACCCCCTACTACCAGTTGCTTATTTGTTTTAAAAAGATTCTTTTAGTCGCTGAAACATCAAAATCTTGTGAATCTGATTGAGGTCTATCGCAAATCGCGACGTTTACATCTGGTAAGTTTCAGTTTCACCAAGTTTCACCGAGTGTGCACAGTTAATTAACGGCTGCTTTGTTAGGTGTTTGAGTATTGCGACCACACTGTACTGACGGAGCTCGAGCAGAACCCACACGGGCTTCCGGAACAATCAATAAAGAGGATAATCTGGCAAGTGCTCAAAGGCCTCCAGTTCTGTCATCATCAAAAGGTAATGACTGTGAATGAAAACTGATCCCGGACGAGTTTTTATCTCTAGTGCATCCATAGAGACGTGAAGCCAGAAAACATACTGATTACGAAGCAAGGCCAAATCAAGCTGTGCGACTTTGGATTTGCTCGAATCTTGAACCCTGGAGACGATTTGACAGACTACGTCGCCACGAGGTAAATACATTTGCCGATAACTCTTAAACTTCCAAGTACCGGAACAAATATAATTAGGTCAAATACATAATTACAGTAGGTCTTTTTCCAGTAGGAAGTGATTGCGTCCGCTTGGACTTAAATCATTCAGACTGTAAGATACAGTTTGAAGATATATCTGCTCTAAATGTCAAATTGTCAATGCTGGCAGTTTCGACCCAGAGTCAAATAGAACCGAGCAATCGCTTCCACTGTAACAACACTACAGTACAACGAGTATATCGCTCCACGCCGGAAGTTTACAGAACTCCGCCGCAGCCGGATGCGCATCTGAGTTTTCCCTTGATATCTGACAAATTCAAAACAAAGAAGCCTTCAGAAGTTTTGATCAATTTTTTATGCGTTTTTAGGTGGTACCGAGCGCCGGAACTGATTGTTGGAGATTTGAAGTACAACAGTGCCGTCGATATTTGGGCAGTAGGCTGCGTGTTTGGCGAGCTTCTCAATGGGCAACCCATTTGGCCGGGAAAATCAGAACTGGACCAGCTGCATAAGATTCAAAAGACATGCGGTAAGTACCACCAATTAACACTTCATATTTCCAAGTAAGGCTTCCTAGCTTCAACATATGTATTCAGGCGAGTTAATAATTCAACACAAGAAACTCCTCCAAACCAACAAGTATCTTCGCGGCCAGCATCTGCATCTAACGAGTCCACGGGAACGGGTTCCAATCGAAGCCCTCTATCCAAAAGCACCAAACCATACGATCAGCTTTTTAAAGGTAAAAACTTTCTCCTTAGTTAAATTTCACCCGAGCGCTCCGAAGCGACTCAGACAGTCCAAATCACTTCCGCTGGAAAGAAAACTAATTCCTCAGCAACAGCTGGACAGGATATTCCCTTTCAGCGAATTCTATGAATCCGCTTTTTGTCCTGGACACCATTGTGGTCGCTAGCCCCAATAATGACTCGCGACCTTAGAATTTAATGAACCACAAATGTTCGCGGGAAAGCATTTGCTCATCTCCTACAATGGTTTTTGGAGAAAAATTATCTGATTGATAGTTTTTTTCCGAATTTCCTAACCTCGTTGAAAATCATAATTTGAACAAATGTCTTACCTTGCAATTTCAGAATTGTTTGCAAATGGACCCAACAATGCGATTGGATTGTGGAGAACTCCTTGACCACGCGTACTTCGATAGGTACCGATTTTCTTCGCTTCCGTAGCGCTAACTCCTTCCTAGTTTCCGTGACGAGCTGGAGATCATGTCAAAGTCGACGGAATCGTTCGCGCGAAAGCCCCGACGACCTCGCAACGGCAGACCGGTACCTGGAGCTTATAACAATGGAAACCACTACTCAAACCACGTTCTTTCATTTCCGGTTAGTAGCAGCTCTTTCACACGAAATCTTTCATTCCCGAAATCAAAAGTCGGAATTCAAAAGACTTGATTCTTTTGAAAAATCAAAATTATTTCACGAGTTTTACGGAAAGAAAAGCTGCAAACATGATAGGAAATGAGTGAGCCCGATTGAAGTGAAGTAGAGTACAAATAAAACAACTAAACTAACAGAATAACATCCGAAGGCGAGGAAGTATCCGCTTTCTCACGTCATTGAAGGGAACCCTTGGCCGGCGGCGCTTCAAAGGAGGCCTCCGATAGTTTCTATAACAAAATTGTAATATTTTGCTGCCTAGCTCTCCACGATAAAGTCCAACTCCACTAGCAGTAACTCAAAGGCCGAGGCGAAGCGGCTCAAGCTGACCATGAAATCGTTCTACCCGATTCTAGGGCCAGCCACTCACACAAGCCATAAGGCAGCCCAGCGCTCGCCGAATGGCCTCTCTCAGAAAGAGGTTCTTAGATATTTTTTTCTTTTAATTTTTTATCACGAAATCAAAATCAATTGTATTTGCATCCCCATTAGTTAAATAAGAGCACGAGTAAATTGTGAGGAAAAAGGGTTGATCGTTTACGCAAGCATGGTTAGGTGAAAAAAAACAAGTTGATACTACTGGTGTTGTACTAACTTTCACTGTACTTTAGTTTAGTTGCAAACACAGACTAATTTCTCCATCCCAATCCATATCTGACATTCGATTTCAGAACATACTGCCACATCTGATGTCAAACAGCAATCCAATTTCGCACAGTCCGACGCTCTTCTCCAGCAACAATTACCACAGTCTTCATTCCGAGTCCAAGGTGTCGCTATCCAAAAAAGACCGATACTTTCCAGCAACGAAAAAATTTGGAAACGGTCCAAACTTTCCGAAGCTTTGAAGCTTTTCCTGAAGCCAATTGCTTGAAAGAAAAAATCGATGAATTTTAATTTATTTCAAAAAAAAAATTAATCCTGAACATAAAAAAACAGTAGCTGGGCTTGTCGCTGTCCTAACAACTTACAGTAGCTTTAGCCATTACTGACCTGGGCATAATGCATAAGCTACAGGCCTTGATCATCATAAGACAATTTCAAAAGGACAAATTTTCATTTTTCCTCCTTTGGGGTGGTCTTATAATGAGCACGGTCTGCAAAATGCCTAAAAACACTTCTCAACATTTTCAAAAAAAAAGAATAATTTCTTCCGAAAATTTCTTTTCGAAGCGATTCTTCTTATGGTTGCATAATCTTTCCCCTTCTATAACAAAAAGGTTCACTCTTGTTTCTTTTCTACCTGTAAAAAGCGCTTCGTAACCCTGTACAGAACTATTTTCGACCTAAAATGCTGAGTTCTCCTGCATAAACCTCAATAAATGCAAATGTTTTTTGTCAAGAAGACTTTGTAGAATTTCAAAAAATGTCAGCGGCAAGACGTTTTCTAAACTACTATTGTCATTAAGTTTGGGCACGTCACTCCAGCTGCCTGGTGATCGGCCCTAGAAACGATGCGCCCCGGGCTGCGCAAATTTGAGCAAAAAATCTTCATTGTTTCCAAAAGCATAAAAAACTAATCAAAGCGGAAAATTTCCGTAAATTAAAGTCGCCTTACTTTACGCATAAAAATCGTAAAGGTCGAACAGGAGCGCAGTCATTCCGGAATAGTTTGTTACGGAAACGAGTAAAATTTTCATTCTATATATTGCTATAAAACGTTTCGATTTGGTTTTCTATGTAGCGCAGTAATCAACAGGAGAGACAAAAATAATCGGTTGCCAAGATTGATATCCATTCGCAACAACATCGATCGAAGCGATATTCTCTTCGGAATCTTTTACTAAGTTCTCAATAATCATATTCGCTTGATTATAAGATGCTGCTATTATTTAGAGGTTAGGGTTAGGGTTAGGGTTGGATAAATATTACACAATCATCAGCAGACATTGAAACCTTGTCCTAAAGTAATTTTGTGAATCCGCGACAAATCTTCGTCCCAGCCGGGAAAAAAAAGTAAAGTTGTCAATTAGTTTCGCTGATAAAACAAATACTTTCTAAATAGGAAGAAAAGTTTCAAAGCAAAAAGGAATGAATTTTTGGTTGCTCAATCGCATTTGCATCCGTCTCTGTTACTTCTTCAATTACCATTGTGAGCGATCTCTGGAAGAGAAAAAGCTTTTCTGAAGATAGTTTGAAAATTATCGAAATGGACTTTACTGCTCGCTCTGACAGTTCGACAGCTTGCTCTTTCGACTAATTCGTCTACCATTAGCCACTACCCTGTGCTTATAAAGTACAAAGGTCGCATTTGAAACCGTCAATCGCATAAAGAATTGTCATTACTTCAAAAGACAACATTTTCTTCGAGAACTCATGAATTAAAAAATCCGGGGTCTCTGAGACTCATGACTCCGAGACTTTGAAATCAAGGAGGAAACAGTAGCAGCAGTTGTTTTTAACTTTGACAAACCATAAGCGCCCGTTTTTGAAAGCACGCTTCGATTTTAATGACATTCTTTCTAGTGCCTACTGCAAAACAACAGTTGCAAAATGCCAAGTGCGCAGCACCAAAGCTCCTCTTAGGCCAGCTGTGTGCCAGGACTCCTCCATGATTCTCTCTTTTTATGTTTATTTGCAACGCAGTGCTTTCTCTTATCTTTTACGTTACATCTTTATTTTAAGATACTGTCCACACTTTTTCCAGAATCATGAGGAGGAAATGGCAGACACTTGGAACTAAATTTTGTCAGCAGCCCAAGCGGCTGCCCCTTTCTAACAAAATCGAATATTCAGATCAAGCTCTGAAAATTGGAATGCCAACTTGGAACTAGCACTTCAAAGAACACTGTCGTTCTTGTCTGAAATGTTCCAAGTGAGCACTTCCAAGTTTGCGAAGGATCATCAAACACCTGGCTTATCAAACGCCATGATAGAGGTATCAGATCTAAGATCTCGCTAATAGACCTTAATGAACAGCTTCATGAAATCAACCCCACCTGCTTCAAAATGATGATGGCGCCAATTCTCCGGCATATAAGCAACCCCGATTTAATTCAAATCATCAAAACAAAACAAAAACCGCAACAACAACAACGACGAAAATGTCCGCTTCTGCTATCCTCATAAACGAATCTGACATGGAAAAGTTCCTCTCCTCAACTCTTAAAAAAGTCGAAGTCTCCAGAAGATCCAGAAAAACCACGGCGTCAAGAAACCAGAGGACATTCCTACAGAAGCGTAAAATGCAGAAAATCTGCGAATACAAAATGCGCCAGGATGTTTACAATAACAATTTATCGTCAATCGCCTCTGTCTTCAAAAGACTGTTATCGTATGGATCTGTCGATGAAGGAACCCCTGTTTGAGATGGCGCTTCCTGTGTTTGTACATTTATTCTGTAAATTTTCAATACAATCTATCTATGAAATCAAGCTCTTTTTATTATTCTTTAATCACAAGTTCAGGCGTTTGAGGAAGTTTATGGTCGACTCGCGGGGAGGAACAGGGGTCTTGGTCGGGTAAATCGGTTTCAACTTCGGAACAGCGAAGTATTGTCTGTACCTCTTTGTCATTTTTGCTTCGGAGGGTCGGTTTATATAATCTTTGTTCCAATACTGAAAATATTTTTTATTTCTCAAAAGTTAAAAAATGAAATCACCGCTGAATTTCTAGCATTTCTCCTAGGTGTGGCACCGTCGCTAAAGGGAACGTTTAAACTTCTTTGAACGCTGATATCTCTTTCTCGCCGCAACTGTAGCGTGGGAATCGGTCTTGATAGATGAAGGGATTGGTGTAAAGAGTGTCCGGATTCGGATGCGACCGAGTATTCGACCGAAACGTGGCTTAGACGATCCCAGTTTGACTGAAATAACGAATTACTAATTTGAAAATTTTTGATTTGGGTAGGAAACCTGAGTCAGGATCCTGAAAGAGTTCCAAGAAAGAAACGGCTCTTGCAGGACCCTGACTCAGGCTTTCTACACAGGTTTCCTGGGCTAACAAACCTGAGCTAGTGGAAATTCGTTGAACCTCTCCCTTGACAATCTGAGCCTCATTCTTTGCTCCTTTTCCGCGCGAATCTCTTTGAAATACTTCGCCTGTTGATGCAAACTGTAGTAGCTCATCACCTCCTGCGTGAAACCACACTGTCTTTCATGAAATAAACCGCCTCGTTCTGGAGCGCGGATCCAGCTTATTCAGAAGAGATCAAAATCTTTTTATTCCTTTCGTTTTCTCTGAAAATGTTTGCGATTCTATTGTGCCAGGCGGCTGTGTGTCCTCAAGCGTTAGAATATTTGCCATAAATGGTTTTGTTAGCTACACTCCGGATGTTGTTCAGACTTCTGTGTACTTCTATTTGCGCGGTTTTCAACGATTAATTCGAAATAAATGCGGAAGCCTGTGAAGAAAACTTGAGTCAGAAATCCTTCAAGAGTTTGTATGAAAAGCCGCGTAGCTGCTTTTTAAAAAAACGAAGCCGCATAGCGGCTTCGCCAAGATTAACATCACAATTTATTTTTTGAGCTTTTGAGATGGACACGAACGCAGATTATGGATCGCAGATCTTGAGCAAGTCCGTCACAATCAGCCTAATTTTAATTATATTTTTATTTACTCGCAAGTACCAATGCATTGGCCTTTCTGTGCCCATGTTTTTGGTAACTTTATTACGCATCATGTGATTTATACACTGATCGACCGAAACAAACGTTTATTTTTTGTCACTTTTTTTGAGGAACTTCTTCAAGAAATTCTAAAAAGTGACAAAAAATAAAAGTTTGTTTCGGTCGATCAGGGCATAAATCACATGATGCGTAATTAAGTTACTAAAAACACGGGTACAGAAGGCCAGTGCATTGGTACGTGCGAGAATAGTGCGGTTCTGGGCGGCGGCGGGTCGCGCTCGCCCTGAAGGCGCAGGATTGGCCGAAGCCTAACTCATCTCAATACGAATTTGCACCACATCGCGCACCACCATAAAACAGAGCCAGAGAATAAATTCCAGAGAACGAAGGAAAAAGAAGCTTGAAAGATCAAAAATGGGAGGAAGAAGAAAAGGTCGAGATCCAAATCATGGCAACTCGACCATGGTTAAAATGCGCAGATTTATGGTGCAGGTAAATTTTATCAAAATTTTTCTAGTTGGTACTTTTTCGTTTTTATGTTTACGTAAAAAAGGATCTTTGATTTTTGAGAGATCCAAAGATGGGCAGGGGTAGACAGAATTATTGCATAAAAAATATGCATGATGCCTATCATAAAAATATTCAAGAGGTTGCAATAAGTCTCAATTGGAAATAGGTGTCCCCTTTTTAAAGGATTTAAAATTCCTCAGAAAAGACCCCATTTTTAAGGTTTTTAAAACGACTGGGCTCGGCAACCTGCAAAGAAAAAAACTATAGCCAGAATATCTTTTAGACCCTGACTCAGGTTTTCTACACAGGCTGCCGAGCCCAGTGCCTCGGGTTTTTTGCAACAAATATCTGTTAAAAAGGAGACCCTAGGTACTTTGGAATCCGTTAAAAAAGGGGCATCTTTGAAGAACTTTCCCGTTGAAATGAGACCCTTTTTATTTTATAATCAAGTTTTCAGACGAAAAAAGCCGAAATCACGAAGTACAAAGAACTGGACCCGATCATCCTGGCAAATCTTTGGACGCTGTGCCAAATCACCATGGCTAAATTGAAATTTCCGATCGAAAAGGATAATAACTTGCCCTTCCCTTTTGCTTATTTATTGTTTTAACAGCTAGCTGTATTCGTTTTATTATCCGGGAAATAATTGCCTGTGAACTCGGGCGTTTCTACAACAAAGAATCTGTAATTGAGCTGCTTCTTGATCGACACACGCTCGCGGGCAAGTTTCCACCTGAGACGCACAAGAAATGCATGCACATTCGAAATATGAAGGACATTACTGAACTCACTTTGGTCATCAACCCAAATCACAAAAAGGAGCTCCAGCCAGTTACCATGTTGAATGGAACTTCTACAGTCGCTGGCACTGAAGATGGATCGCCTTATCACTGCCCAATTACGGGACTGGAGATGAATGGAAGATACAGATTCGTGTTCTTTTTGACTTGTGGTTGTGTTGTATCAGGTAGTTTTTCATCTACCATTTGTTCCCCTTTCGCCCACTACAGTCAAAAAGATATCAGTACAAAATATTGAATTTCAGAGCGCGCATATCAAAATGTAACCGATGGAATGTGCCCAAAGTGCGGCACTGCTTACGGAAAGACGGATTGCGTCGATATCAACCCAGTCGCCGAAGAGCGCAAAACCAGAGCTAAAGAAAACATGGAAGATCGACGACTTCGATTAAAAGAAGGTACAGACAATGAAATTTCTCTCGTCCTACTCCTTGATCTTCTTTTCAGCAAAAAGAGATGCAAAGTTGCGCGAAAAAGTAGGAGATGCGGGCGATGTATCGAAAGAAGATCACATTGCTGCGTGGCTGAGTACTGCAAATGCGGACAGAAGAGGATCCAGCAGCTCGTCGGTTGATACTGGCATTTCCGACACGCGAAGACTGTCGATGGTCAGTGCTCTAAGCGCAGGTGGATCAATCGGAGAAGCGGAAGATAAACAGGCACGAAAACGCAGACTTGAAGGTAAACGAGAGCTTGATCTCTTCATTATCACTTGTCTTTTTAGCTTGGGCTAAAGAAGAACGCCGAAAAAGCCTGGGCGACGAGGAAAAGGCGAAGAAAATCCGCCTGATCAAAGAGCAACTGTTGAAAAAGAAACGCGCCCTGATTGCTGCCCGAATAAACGAAGAATCGTCCGACTCGTCAGATTCGTCCGATTGTTCTTCTGACAGCGATTAACTCTTTTGAGTCAAGTTCTGACTGCCATTTACATATTTCCCGATGAGAAATGCATAACGACAAACGATCGAGTATGCTTTCAGAAATCTGCTTTGCCGCGAATCTGGTGTACACTGACTAACTGAGCGAATTTGAAATCCTGGTGTCCTTTGTTCCCATTTTCCTTATTTCTTCAATTCCAAAGCGACTATTCATTTATCCAAAGCACTCATTTAACTTTTCAGAAATTGATTCAATGGAAAAGTTCGCGGGGACTATCGCGATAGTGACGGGCGGATCTGCCGGCATTGGAAAAGCGTTGATAAAACGACTTTTGGATAAATCTGTGGATCTGACTGTGGTGGGACTTGCAAGAAGGCCAATTGAAGAGTTCGCTTCATTCAGCAATTTTCGTGGTTTTCAATGCGACGTTTCCAAAGCAGATCAAGTTCAAGCCGTCATTTCGTCGATTCAGCGGGAGTTTCCTGGGAAATCTGTCCAGCTCTTAGTCAATAATGCTGGGCATGGAAAGCCTCTTCCATTGCTTGACCATTCTTCTTTGAATGACTCCTGTACGATCAAAGTGGATAGCTTAGAAGATGTCTCGTCCGTGTACGCATCCCAACTCAATACGAACGTCCTTGGGTTGTCTCTCATGACAAGAGCTGTAAGTTCGCCTCGTTAAAAAATGAATTTTCATAATTTCAGGTCTCAAAATTGATGGACCATCAAAAATGCGGCAACATCATCAACATAAACTCAATGTCCGGGCAGCGTGTCGTCCCAACACCGAATTCGCACATGTACTCAGCGACAAAGTTCGCCGTTACTGCTCTTACAGAAGGAACGCGCCAGGAGCTCCGTCAGATTAATTCGTCAATCAGAGCGAACCAGATCTCTCCTGGCTACGTGGATACTGACTTCTTCCAGGCATTCAGCATGGAGGAGGGATACCAGGAGAAGATGAAGGAGATTGTCAAGACCGCCATCACTTCTGAAGACATCGTAAATTCGATCATGCTGTGCGTCGAGGCGCAACCAGGCTGCCAGATTGGAGATATTCAAATGCGCCCGACTGTTCAGAAGTTGTGATCATTGACAAGCCATGAATGGCTTTTAATTTTTCATTTCACCGTGATTTTCTTGATTTTTAATTCTTTCTCTTCAATGATACGCCAATATTTCTCCATAGCGAATCAAAATCGAAATTCTGATATTTAGAATCGTAAATCGGTAAAAACTATCGCTCGAAAATGGGGCGAGATGGTCTCGTTTTCGTCAATGTCCGCAAGGACATCGTCAAGCTCAAGCGGAAGGCGAATCTGTCCGAAGCTGGCTTCATGGAACACGGAAAAGGAACAACGAATCGCTGGTCTCACTGCCGAATAACTGGGAGACCGCTTGACCGTCCCGTGTTCGACGAGTACGGCTTTTTGTACAACAAGGATTCAGTGATTGAACTTCTCATCGACCGGAAAAAGGCGACGAAAGCCGCAAGAGCTGCTGAAAAATCAGAAAAGAAGTCGAAGAAAAAGAAGCGAAAGGGACGATTGATGCTGAAAGACAACGCCATCCCAGCTGAAATTCATAAGAACTCGGTGCACATCCGAGATCTGAACGATATCTGCGAGTTGCGAATCAAGCTGAATCCGAATTACAACGAAAATACAACCTACAACACCTTATCTCTCGGGCACGCAAACGCCAGTACAATCGAGCAGGGCTTTGTGAAACAGCCGAAATTTCTTTGCCCGATCTCTGATTATCCGATGAACGGGGCGAAACCGTTCTTTGGGAACTGGAACTGTGGCCATTCCGTCTGCGAGGCGGTTTTAAAAGAAGTCGAATCTAAAACGGAAAAGAAGCAATGCTGCATTTGCGAGAAACCTTACAAACGTAATTCCTAGAATTCACAATTTCTTGAAGTAAAGACTCGTTTTAGCAATTGACCTAATCCGCATCAATCCAATCCACCCAGAGCACAAAAAGAAGTCTCTCGAGCAATTCAAAAAGAAAAGAAAGCAACGACTCCTCAAATCGAAGCTGGATAAACAATACAAAAAGGTGTCCTCTTAAAATAACTCTTGTATTCATCAACGATTTTTAGGAAATGAAGCTGTTAAAAAATCGAGCTGTGAAGACGGAAAGAATTTCTTCTAGCGAAAGCGAGTACTCATCTGATTCTTCCGAGTCATCTTCGGATTCTAGTTCATCGGACTCAGATTCAGACTCTGAGCCCTCAAGTTCTCGGCCAAAGAAGATCAAGAAAGAGTTCAAAAAAGAAGAACCCAATGACGTTAAAATGGAGCCAATAGAGATTGACTCTGATAGCAATCAGATAGAGGTGGGTAAAAGATCTAAGGAAAAGAACTAAGAAGGAATATTTTCTAGGTGCCATCAAGCGGGGAAGAAAACGAAAGGAAAGCAAAGAAAGAAGCCGACTTCCAAAATTTCCTCGAAAGAGAAAAGAGCGCCCGAGCAAAACTCGCCGCGATCGAAGCACTGATACGCAAGAAACAGTTCAAAGAGAAAAACCCGGACCCGGGAAAGCCGATTGTCCTCAGCGACTCCGATTAGACTTTCTTTTCTCTTCTGTTGCATCTTTTATTATGCTCATTATTCTTGGCCCTACTCGTTATTCTTTCCCTTATTGTTCACCGCCACTTTATTTTGGCATTATTTGCAACCAGATATCTTCATTCCGCTCTTTTTACCTATTTTTTCAATCTCACGAGACTTTTTAAAAGACCTAATAAGCCACATCTCCAATTTTTTTCTTCTTTTTCCTGTTCAAGGTGAAAAATTTTCCCAAAAAAAGAATTCTCATATTCCTGCGATTCAGATGTTGGGAGTGGGGCTTTTATTCCTGATCCAAGCTGTTATGGCGCAGGAGGACTCAACAACAGAGAGCTTCTGGGTATTTCGTCTGGCGACGAACTTGATGGGCTACGCTTCCATCATTGTTCCGGCGATCTTCCTCAAGCGTCATCTTGATAGCAGAAATTACAAAGGCAAGAGCAACACCAACCTTTTTGTTTTTATCTGTACGTAGATAGCGGATCCGGAGTCTTCTACCCCTACTTGGTCAACTTCTTCTACGGCAAGGACGTCCATGACATTGAACAAGGATCGAAAGATACTGTATCTCCGGCAGCAAAGCCACAAATGACCACTGTTCAAATCGCCATCAAACTTGTCTTTTGCGCCGGCGGTCTTTATGTAAGAAGCAACAACTATTTCCAATTTCATCTGAATAATTCTCCTAGTCTTCCTATTTGACCTGGGGTGTGCTTCAAGAGCGAATTATCACACGAAAATACGGTGCTAATGAGAACAACGAGGGCGGCGAAAAATTCACCGACTCGCAATTCCTCGTCTTTATTAATCGATTCTCCGCTTTCATCATCGCCGGAATCTATCTTCAAATGAAACGACAGCCCAAGCATGGGTAAGTTTTCTTTCTTTTATTGATCTTCGCTTACATGTAATTGGCAAAAAATGATGAATTGGTTTTCTAAAGCATGAAATAAGCGGAAAGAGCGAGCGTAGTAGCAGACGCGAGGGTCACGGCAGCATCTCCAGTGATAGCTTCATTGATTTTCGTTTCCTCGGTTTCTCTTCTATACGCATCGCAGATAGCACGTGTCCAGCATCTGTTGAGAGCATTGGGCTCGGAGTTCTCTGCTTCAATACAGATCATGTCATCATCATTCGTAATTCTTGCGCAAGGATGCTCGACAGTCATTTTGACAACACCGCTTGTCTCGTCGTCAGACGATCTTTTTCGCCTAAATGGCTCGTTTGTTTCGATTCCATAAGTGCTGTAAATTGGATCGTATCGCCCTTGGCATGCAGAAGCTACCTCGCATGAGTACACACCTAGAAAACGTTTAATAGATCTTACTGTCACTCCAAATCTCTGGTTTACCGAAAGCAGGTGGCAAGCACGCATCGACAGTGCACTCGATCGACATCGTCAGCTCGCTTAATTTGTCAAAGTCCATGAAGGCGATTTGCCCGATTTTATCAAACGCAATCGTCTCACGAACCTTATCGAGGACTGTGAAGGGTGCATTCATCGAGCAACCGTTTTCAATGACATCGAAGCTCTCAGCCGCGTCTCCGTCGCCGAATGTGAGAGAGCAGGAACGCAAATGAGCGTATCGGTTGTCTGTCTTTGCTCGAACCTAGAATTATCTTAGAAATATGATCGATAACGGGTTTTTTACCTTGAACCAAAGCATGGGATCATCAAGCGAGTCAGGTGAGATATTGATTATTGAACTGTCGGTAGTTTCCTCGCAGGATTCATCCGTGCATCTGAGAATCTCAAACTCGGTGGCGGCCTCGTCGGTGAGATTTGTGGAAAGACGATCTCCTTCGGCCAGGAGATCGGAATCGACCTTTCCCGACCGCTTGATTCGGCATTCGAAGTCGTGGTGAGCTCCTTTTCGGTAGACAACTTCTCGGGTCCCAATTTTGCCCACGAGATCGTCGTATCCGATCGTACCTTTCTTGGGCTATCATTTTGAGCGCTAGATCAATAGATCTCTGTTTTGATAAACCATTCCTGAGTAAATATCGTACAAGTTTTCATCATCAAACTCGACAAAGTGGTTGATTTGGCATTCATCCACTCCCTCCAGCGGCCCCCGGAAAATGAGAAAGTTTTCAGACTCATCAACATGAAGACAGCTAGAGTTGGCAAAGGAAACTCCTTCTTCGTAAAAAGGGATGAGAGTTTGAAATCGGTTGTCTTCGATGTACTTGTGTTTGATAATCTTCGGCACTTGCATTTCGAACTGCGGTACGGTAGCGTCGTCCGAGGAGCATCGAAAGCTACTCATCCGTTGAATTTGCTCGAGAGGGACGCATTTGCGAAAGGTTTTTCCATTGAAGCCCTCGACGAGGACGCTTTCTTGGTTTTCGGGGCATTCCGTGACGCAGTGGTAGTCGCAAGGGTTGTTGATGGGATCGCTCTGGGCGCAGCTCTCGCCCAGTCCACGGCATCGAGCAGGCACTTTGTTTTCGCAGTCGATGGAGGCTTGGCATTCCTAATTGATAAAATATTACTGCGGGTCATCTTTACTTTCAAGAAATACCTGATAGAGAGGTTCCACGAGCTCCATGATCGTCGGAAGTTTTGGGGTAGAATCGCTCTCGAGAAGAATTCCTTCATCAGCTGATTTCGACTCGACCTCAACTTGAGGTTCGACCTGAGGTTGCTCTCCTGAAGATTCTTGCGCAAAAACAGTAGTGAATAAAATTCCTGAAATTTTCATTTTGAAGATTTCGAAAAAAAAGTGATGGAATTTGGTCGATGGACAGGGTTTTATCGCATCCCTATAAAATTGCCTCGCGTGCGACTAATTCCATGCTATTAAAAGTGCTCCGTAATTAGGAGGGATGATTTTTCTCTTTTTTCGAAGAAACGTGTCATGGAAATAATAAAACTTTATCATCCACATCATCAAGGCTCGCCGAAATTCGAATAATCCCCTTTCTATTGCTTCTTATTTCCTCTAAAAACATGTTTAGATGCCCCTTCTACAAATATTCTTTCTGCTCACTCTCGAATATTCTCTCCTCTTGGTTCCAGTACGAAGCGTTGAAATTTGTTTCCTTCCCGACACAAGTGCTCGCCAAGGCCTGTAAAGTCATCCCAGTAATGTTGATGGGCAAAGTCGTGTCTGGAAACAAGTATCCACTTTTCGACTGGGCTACTGCTGCTCAACTGGGTGTTGGCACATCCATCTTCCTCCTCTCAAATCACGATGGTAAGCTTTCCACAATTTCCTCTCGTTAAATTCTTCTAAAGATTCTGGTGACGGAAGCACAACTACTTTTTCCGGCCTCTTGTGCTTGATGGGTTACATGGTTTTCGATTCCTTCACTTCTAACTGGCAATCCGAAGTTTTCAAGTACAAAATGAGCTCCATGGAAATGATGTTCGGCGTCAACGTCTTTTCATGTCTCTTCACCTCCTGGTCGCTTATTTCTCAAGGTACCAAATTTATTCAATTATTTCTTCTAATTTATTGTCTCAGGATCCTTTGCTGAATCACTTGGCTTCATGCTCCGACATCCAGACTTTACTTTCCACGCCGTTGTCTTGTCCGCTTGCTCAGGTAAACAGGATTAATGAAAATTTATTCTAACATTTACATTTTAAGCTCTCGGCCAGTTATTTATTTATTACACCATTTCTGAGTTTGGTGCCGTTGTTTTCACCATCATCATGACCACCCGAAGTGCTCTTGGTAAGCCATTTTTTCGGAATCAGCTATTTGATCTTCTTTCTAGCGATTATTTTGTCGTGCATCATCTACGGTCACCCAGTCAATGGCCAGGGCGCTTTCGGTCTCCTCGTTGCCTTCTCCTCTCTTGGTCTTCGAATTTGGTACAAAATGCAGCAGAAAAAGAAGGCCCAGCAACAAAAAGGTCCAAACTAAATCCAGAAATTTGCCTGTATGTTAAGTAGAGACACGGTGCTTAGTTTCGCTATAAACTTATGAGATGGGCTCGGCAACCTGTGTAGAAAATCTGAATCGTAGGCCGAATGATCTTTCAGGCCCTGACTCAGCTCTTCTGCACAGGTTGTCGAGGTCAGCTTATGAGCAGTCATTATGTTGAGCATAATTGATTCTTATAACCGCGCAAATTTATAATACTGGCGATTGCTATTTAGCTTTATCTGGATTTTCCGATAGAGCAAAACTGCTTTTTCTATAAAATATTTCAGAAGACAAAGTCCCCCTCCTTGCCGAGAACAAATAATTCCGAAGAGAAAGTAACACAAGTCTTCCGGAAACAAAATCTAGCTTTACTTCTTTAATTCTTATTCAACCCTATTTTCTGTGCAATAACACTATTCGAAAAACATATATTCAAAGATAATGATGTAAAAATCCGAAACGTGCCTTTCATACCTAGCTTGAATCGAGAAAATTCTGTTTGAATATTTTGTGTATTTTTCAATTTTCACAAATAGGAAGTTCTATTGTTGATCTTATATTCACTGACTGGGCTTGACAATTTGCATAGAGAACCTGAGTCAGAGTCCGAAAAGAACTGAAATCCTAATCTATTTTGTGGCTTCTTTTTCAAAAAAGTCGCTACGGGGCTTTTCCTTTGAACTCTTTCAGGACCCTGACTCAGGCTTTCCGAGCTCTTCACACAGATAGTTCTTGGTTTCTTAGTACATTTGCCTCTTTTAAAAATCATCTTCAACAAAAAAGTGTCTCCGATTTTTCACCATCATTCTGTTTTCTGTAAAAGTTTCCTTGCGACGTATTTATTCCCTGTACACCTAGACGATAAATAAACACATACCTATATAATATTTAATCAAACAAACGCTGAGCGAACCTCTTGCTTCAGGGATGAACAAACCTGAGAATCGGAAACCGCGTTCGCGATTAAAAACCCTCGTCAAGAAAATAATCGCTCAGCTTGAGTTCTACTTTTCGGAGCCGAATTTGAGACGGGATTCCGTCCTCCGTCGTTTGGCAGGGCCCAGTGGGACGCAGCCAGTTCCGATTGCCTTTATTCTTAGATGCAATAGACTCAAGCAGATAACGCAAGATTTCAACCTCGTCCGACGGGCTGCTTTTGTCAAGGGATCAGACAATCGCAAGATTGGCTCGGAAACCTGTGTAAAAACCTGAGTCAGGGTCTTGAAAAAGCTTCGGCATCTATTCTTCAAGCGATGTTGCTTCGTTTAAAAATAACCCGCTAGGGGCTTTTATCATCTTTTAAGACTCTGACTCAGGTTTTCTACATAGAATGCCGAGCCTAGGTCGCAAGCCTTCTATTTTTGTTAATATTCCTGTTAACGATCCCTCTATGCAGACAGTAAAATATTAAAGCTGGCAGATTTGACAGTGGAATATGATCAAGGAGGCATTTGTCGCGTCGATCCAATACCACCAAGTCCTCGTTCAATTCGCCACAAGACGGTGTTTATCGAGGGTCTGCCAAAAGATGCCACTGTCGAATGGATGGAGGCTCTTGTCAAGGCACTCTCAGATTGCACCCCTTCATTCATAACGATCCCAAGGCACAAGAAGGGAAATGCCTGTGGGTATGCCTTCCTCGAGTTCAACTCGATAAAGCTCGCGCAAAAAGTCCACAGCGGTAAGCCTTTTTACGTATATCTGACGCGGTTAAAATCAATAAATATCATTTTGCTAGCATTTTTTCCATGGAAGTCAACTAAGTTTAGATTTCAACTCGAAACGAGCAATGTCGACAGCGTTTTTGCTTACAAGTAATCGCCGAAAACTCTTCCAAAACAAAATGCGCGAAAAACAGTCGAGTATCTTGGAAGAAGACATTCCGATCCCTCCTCCTTGTTTGAGATTTCTCCCAGAGGATGAAAGGCTTCGCCGGAAACCAAGAACTCCCTTGGTAGAGGTACAGTCAAATAACCTTCAACGAGATGACGCGAAAAATACAGCTGAATTGCCAAAAACCCAGACTGAAAAGCAGATGAGTATAGATGAAAATTATGTAGATATTCAACTTACTGACCAGGTAAACGATATTAATCTGAAAGTTTATCATTTTAAAAAGCCGGAAATTCCGACTGATCGAGTCTCCCGTAAAAGGAGAAGAAGTCCGAGCTCACAAGACTTGATTGACGGACTTGAGTGTCATCCGGTAAAGGAACTGAAAATCGACCCAGATTCGATTGAAGTGCAAGCAGAACCCGCAGAAGAGCATGAACTTATTATCCAGGAATCGAAAGAAACTCAAGATGCCGTCGAGCCCAGTGAACCCACTCGGCCCATCTCGTTGTTTTTACGAGCAAGGCGAAATTCATTTCCCCCACTGTTCGGCTGTTACGCTCATCATGGACTGACCTATTGGCAGGGATACTAAAACACTTGCACGAAAACACTTTCAAATGTCGTACATGCATAACTTATGTAAACGATGGTCATTATCTCTCTAAATTATCGATGTGTGAGTTTTTAGTATCCAATAAAAGGGCTCCTGAACTTTACGCGTTTGAACAAGGAACGGTTTCGTCGAACCCGCCTGCCATATCCAACGGCCTGCATCAAGACGTCTTGATTCCACCACAAAATGGAGGATCAGCGACTAAGTTGTCACAGCCTGAGCGCGAGCTTATCTCTACAGGCACCCAAACCGAATCAAGTTCTATCAACGAGCGCGTGGAGCATTTGCTGAAGTATGGGCGAAGTCAAGCAGAACAACTCAAATCGAGAAAGCGCAAGATCCCTTCGACAATCAGCGTCGTTCCGGCGAAGAAAAGACGGCGGAAAAGCCGCATTCGACGGAGAAACAAAGGAGTATCAAAACCTATCAATACACGAAATCGAAGATCAATGTCGAATTTGATCATTCCTTCCTGGGGAGGGAATCGATTCAAGGCGTACCTGGGCTCCGAGTGGCAAAAGATGAAGCGAGAGTACAAGCAGATGCAGAAGTCGAACATGGGCAGACTCAAGCAGAGACTGAAGGACGACACTTTTCGATTCATGGGCGCAGCTTTGAGAAAACATATCAAGCACGATGAAGTTTGCAAGGGCTTATCCGGTAAAACATTTGATTTTCGATGAAGACTCATTTGATTTTAGACGACGAGGATGAAGACGACCAGTCAGCGACGGAGAATGAAATGGACTTCAATAGCACTTATCCAGTTCTGCGAGTTCACGATCCACGTGGCGCTCGGCGAAAGGGGGATGCTCCTACATACCGACCGGGTAAGTGTACAATGCTTAACATTTATTAATGTATACTCAAACTCAGGCGTCATTGTTAAAATAACTTCGGATGGAGCATTATCAACGCATGAGCGTATACGCGCCAGGTTCGACGAGTACGGAAATGTCGCCTACGTCGATGTCAAGCCTGGATCAAATGTTGGATACGTCCGTTTTAGCAATCAATCTGGAGCTCAAAAAGCCATCGAGCTTGAAGGCATGTTCAAGCTTGAACTGCTCACGGGACGAGAAGAAGATAATTACTGGGAGGACCTACTTCAAAAGGCAAGATTTAAAACACCTTCTTATTTTCTAGTTTTCATTCGTAGCGAGAAACAAAGCGAAGTTCAAAGCGTAAGAAAACGCGCGGCGTCGACCGGCTCGCCAGAAGAGCTGCAAAGCAAAAGAAGAAAGAGCGAAAACTCCACATACTTTTTGACGTCGATATGGAAGACGAGAATGACTTTTGAACTTTTAGAAGCCACGATTCATGCACACTTTCTTTTTTGCTGCCATTCCAAGACAAGTTCGTTTTTCTATCAGCATATTTAGTTGCTGAAGATTTCAAATTTTTCAATTACAGAAAAAATTCACTGATGCCTTAGACAACCAGTTCATGTTCAAAAACACGCTTATGTATTTAAAAAAACAAAAACCTCTTCAATATATTGATATGTTTAACGATGCATATTGTCTTCTCCATCGCAACATTATTTCCAAAAATATATTTCATGTTTATTCATATTGCACAGCTTGAAAAATCATCAAAGGATCATCATCATGATCAGCCATTCTTCTACTGAAGCGAACCCATCGATCCTTGAACATCAGTTTTTGCATGCAAGTACAAAATTAGAATAATTTACCAGTAGTCTTCGGTCAGTATGATCAGATGTTGTTAGAGATCCGAATAACGCTCTTTGGTTTGCTGATGCATGACGTCCTGAGTGTGACCAACTTGAATGTCTTGAAGTTATCTGCATGATGGTCAGTAACATACCTTAGAGCTGCCTTCAGGAACGCAGAATAATATAAAAGAAAAACTAAATATCGTGACATAAAATTGACAATTTCTCGAATGCTGTAATCTTTCAACCCCAAGGACCTTTTACTTGGAAAAGGGATGAATAGTTTATCAAGGCACTCAACAGTTAATTCATATGATTTCTGACGTTTTGTGGCCGACAAAGTACACCAGAAACCCAAATAACATAGAAAACGCGACATTTTTCATACCGACACCTCATAATTTATCAAGTGGTACAAGGTTAAGGTGGAAGTATCACTTTGGAACATGTATTTATTTGGAATTCTGGCACTAGTGCTCTCTGAACTCTTCTTGAAATGACTTGATTTTTGCTTGAAAAGTCGAAAATGTAAGCGATAAAACTTGATCTTCTGTGATAACGAGGAACATTTCTTGAATGTCGCTGGATGATAGTTCGGGCATAACTGTGATCATTGTTGATTGCAAGTCTTGCATCGAAATAATTCCATCTTGGTCTTTAAATGCTTCATTCTTTAGTTGACCATAGCCTATGGTCCATAGGTCAATACGAAAATAGAAGCTAGAATTAGAGTTCATAAGTGATCGAAACATTCCCTTCATCCAAGTATTCGAATACTCTTTCGAGTTTTACATTTTGCGATGCTCTTATAGATTTCTTTGCCAAGGCTTTCCATTTTCTCGATTTCGGCTGAATGAAACGACTAATAGTAGAACATTGAAATCTCAAAGATTTACCACAACAATCGCTCGTTTTCCCATTGCTCTATATTTTGTATACATTTAGTTGTTTTGAGAGTTTATATGGAAAGTTATATCGATCTAGACGTCAGCCAGATAATACATTTGCGAGAAGTTTTAAATGTTCCCTGTCAAAACTAATTGTCTTATAATGTCTGACTGTCTTTTAAAACCTACAAACAGGGGCTGCTTACATGTATTTCTAAGGATAACTATACACATGCATCGTATGAAATTCCCTCAAGATAAACTTCCACACCCACTTTATAGCTCTGCTCAGCAAATATTGAACGAGTTGATGAATTTGCTCGGGGGCAAGAGTAATTCTTAAATAGTTTTTTCGGTAAAAAAATTACCTTGAGAGCTTCAAGAATGGCAGACATTGTGACAGAGAGTGTATCAGGCTATCTTCGATTTCAGTTGATTCAAGTTGGCCTTGAAAATGGCCTTTTTGATGTCATCGAAGTAACTCTTGGAAAAACAACGAAGCAGATCGCGAATGAAGCTAATTGCGACACAAGATACGTCGAAGAGTGGTGCCAGGTAAGAAGAAGGATAGTGATTAGTAAGTTGTGTAAACCTACTTAGGCATTAGCCCTGGGAAACATTTTGGTTGCGAACTTAGACAACAACTCAAAGGAGTATCTTTATTCAATGACTGCAGACATGAAGAAGACAATTTCTGAGATGACTCCGATGCTTCGACTTGTCAATTCAGTCGGATCAGCTATTCCAGAAGTCTGTTCCAACTTTTCGAGTGGCGCGCCCGTCTTCTTTGAAAAATACTGTAATGTCGCGAAGAATATTTCTAATGCTCTTGGCCCCTGGTACGAGACAGAATTACAGGGACGTTTATAGAAAGACCTTTCTATTTGGAGATTCAAGTATTCTACGGCGATTATAAACAATGAAAGGGTGTCCTGGAGCGAGCAGGAATCAACAAAGACTTCAAACACATCCTCGATTTCGGCTGTGGATTGGGACGTTCTACCTACGCTCTGGCAGACATTTTTCCCAATTCTACCATTCACGGAGTCGACCTAGATAAATTGTCAATCGATGAAGCACGGAAGAATCCCAAGTGTTCCGACAGGACGAAATTTCACTGCCAAGATGCTTCTGAATTCACTACCACTGGTCAACAATTTGAGCTTATCTGCTTCTTTGTTTGCCTTCACGATTTCGCTCATCCGACCAAAGCTCTTCAGGACCGTTCATAAATTGTCAAAGAAGGTGACTCCTTAACCATAAGAAAGAGACGTATTTTGAATCACTCAAAGCTTTGTCAACATTTGCTTACTTCTGATGGAAAAGTAATCGTCATCGAAATGGCTGGAAAGGATCATTTTGCTCCTGAGAAGTAGAGTAGCTTTCTATAATTTCTATATAAAGAATAAAAAACATATTTTGTCTCATAAGCGCTTCAAATTCCATTACAGCAAAGAAGAATTTAATTCTGTGGCCATTTCCGCTCTCCATTGTGTACCAGCATCGCGGCCAGAAAATGGAGAAAAAACTGGTAGATATCTCAATAACTTCCATAGAGAAAGAATTTTATTCTAGGAGAAGATATTGGCAATCCATTCCGTCTTTCACAGTTACAGAAGATTTCCAAGACAGCTGGATTTGAAGTCGAAAGAATTTCCGACGAAGTTCTCACTGATACTGGTTATCAACTCTTCATTCTGTCAAAATAAATCTTCTTGGACCCTAATTCTTTATCGTCTTTGCAGGTTCGAAAACATCAAAATCAGAGCACGAATGGTATAAATAGGCTCTGCAAATCCATAAATTGTCGGAAGACAAACCTTACGCAAATACCGGAATAAGCGCCAAATCAAATTATGCTTTAGGCTCAGAGGGGATTTTTATAATCACCCCTTGACCTAACACATAAATCTTCCGGGCAAAAATACACAACTTGAGGCGGCTTCGCAAAAAAAGGGCTCCACGGTAAATTTGCGCTGGACTTGGAAAATTAGGTTACAAGATTTTTAAAGGGCTCGGCCTTTTAGGGCATTTTCTTTATTTGCTTTGGCCAAACGCAGCGGTCGGTCAATCTCTTGCTGCGATGGACAAAGGACCAGACGATTTGCATTTGCCTTCCCAGGCGATGATAGAAAATGATAGCGCACGCGAAATGTCACCCACTGGTTCTTCTTCGTGCTGCAGACAGGTTCTGCAATCGACGATTATCTTGCTTTATTGTCAATAAAACTACTCTCGTTCGCTTTTTACTGTAACAATGGAGGCTCATTTTAACACTTCATTGTTACATACTATCAAGAATTCAATGGACGTAATTCTTTTCCCAAATGAAGATCTTTTAGGAGCAATTTAACATGATTTATTCGCACTGATTTCCCAAGTTTCGTAACGCTGTTTTGTAAGAAGGCCCAATTTATTCCGTGAACAGCTTGAGTCACCCCATGACACTCGTAATTTACGAAAACTCAATCGATCAGCATTCCCTCTCATCCCGCCCAATTGACCCGAACGACAGCCACCCATCAAAGGTTTCTGTTCATAAATATGCTCGATGACGCGTCTTCGACGATAATTATGTTTTGATCCCTTGGATCTGGACCAAAACGCGGGCGGCAAAGTGCTTCAAGTCTGAGATTTTTGCTATTCAAGCTCTAATTTTCATAATTTCTGATTGATCACTTCTGCAAAAGAGGATTACTTATTCAGCCTCGAAAAAAGAAGAAAGGATCGGAAAAGATGAAACCTGAGTTAGGGTTTGAAAGATCTTTAGTAAAAAGCGGCGTAGCAATTTTCTTATTCTGGCGAAGCCGCTTTGCGGCTTCGATTCTAAAAAAGCCGCGTAGAGATCTTCCAAACCCTAACTCAGGTTTTCCGAGCCAGATCGGAAAGGATAAAGCACAGGAGAAGCAGATGCTCTTTCGAATTTGCTCCCAAGTTATTAGGAACTAACTTTTCTTCTAAATCAATCTTTCAATAAACGCCAAGACGAAATGAAGCAGAATAAGTCGACTTTGAATGATGTTTCCGGCTTCTGTCTCGCAGAGCATAAACTTTGCTCAGGCTGAGAAAAGCTCTGTACTGAAGCTTGTAAACTTCTCAGAAGAGTGATTTACGGCGCGTTTGTGCATCTTAGGCAATCGGCCCGCCGTAAAATCAGAGGAGGAGATCGTCAAGTCCGATCAGCGCTTTGAGATGGCATCCTTTCCGCCACACCTTTCAGCCTCCCCGCCTATCGAAGCTCTATCTCCCTAGATATCCGGCAGGCCATGCTTTATTTTATCAGAAGGCCTTGGAACTTATTGCCCGTGGTGTAAAATCCGCCTTATTTATCGTAAATCGTGTGAAACTACTGATGTCTTTCAGAAATTCAGGGCGAATTTTGATTTGAATAAATATTGTTGAGCACCAACTATGGAAATAAATATGATTAGCGTTCTGTTGAAAACACAATTAATCTGAAATTTCCAAATTTCTGCGAGGCAATATCCGGTTCAATCAAGACTTTCCCAATCAGACTTTCCCAGAGAATCTGCCCACCCAAGATCCCGATAGCAACAAGATTTCGATAAAAATTCAGTATCAGAAAGAAAACACGGAGGTGGTCTGGCAAATTCGATCAGAAAACTCGCTCGTAAGAAGTTTGTCTTGAACCGACTCAAACAATCAGAGAAAAAACGAAAAAATATTGATTTATTTTATGAAAAAGTAAGTTTTCTCGAGATACAAATATCAAATACGCGATGATTCATCATCTGATGCCGTTCATAACTGAATGATTCAGGCATAACTAAACCATGACAGTACCTTTTTTTCGATTAGTCCCACATGGTATCCTGCTGCATAGGATGCCTTAGTTACAGCCTCGCGTGCATTGGACGGCTGCATCGAGATTTTCATGGAAGATGGCGCAGCTGCGTCCAATCCGATTTTTCTCCGAGGAGGGGAATCGCTGTGACGCGCTCTCGCTAGATGGCGCATCACCCGCGCATTTCTCTTTATAATCTCTTCGGTGGGAACCACAGTCAATAAGCAAAAAATTCAGAAAACCACAAAAGAGAATGACTTCCACTCCGATTTCTTGGGCCAAGGTCGCCGTCACCAAGCCAAAACCAAAGCCCACTCCACAGAAGACTTCTTCTCCCGCCCAGCATTTTCCTGCTCTCGCGAAACAGTCATCAGCCAAGGCTCCACCAGGATTCGAAGCTGTCAAACCTTCCGTCCCACAGTCTCCGGCCCCCGTCAAGAAGAAACCCCTCACAAAGACCCTGAGCGAGGAAACTGGCAAGCCAAAGCTATCGGATATCCTCCGCCGAGAGACTGTCGCCCCGAAGAAGAAGCCCCAGCAAAAGCTGAAACGAAGCATCGATTCGGGTCTCGTAGCACTGGCCGACGCGAAGCAACAGAAGTACCAGACGATTTCGTACATTCGCAGCCAGTATCAAGGCGTCAAGGGAACGAGCCAGCTCAAAAAGCTCGTCGAAGGACTTCGCCTTTCAAAGGAGAAAGAGATCGAGAAACTCCGTCAACTGGAGCATGAGATCGAAGCAGTGGAGCAGAAACTCAAATTCGACAAGGTACAATAGTTAACTAGAACATATGTGACCAAGAAGTAGATACGTAGAACTTAATCGCTTCATAATTGAGTTTCGGATATTACGAATATAAATAAAATTGAGCTATCAAATAAAACGATGATTTCAGGACGGCTCCAGCTCCATTCCCGAGTTCCAGATGATGTCCAAGGAGATCCGCCTTCGCAAACGAAGGATCGAGCTCGTCCGCAACCACATCAAAGCTGCCAACGAACGGATCGAGATCCTCTTGGACGACGACAATGCTGGAAACGATCTGATCGACAACATCAATAATCTCATCGATGAATTCAACGAAGAGTTCATCTTTGATCCCAGTAAGTAATAACTAAAAACAGCTCGTAAAACACTTTTTTCGATCATAAATTAAAATCCTCTTGAGTAATCAGATAATAATTGCATCTTTCAGGTCGAATGACTCCATCTGCAGATTCCTTGGGATCCTCAGCTCCTTCGATCGAATCTTTCAGCTCATCGGGCCGAAGCGACTCGCTAGACAGCCTAGGAGACTCCCGGCCCTCCACTCCTGCGTCGCTCAACCCTTCCGCAGAAGTCTTCTCGCCAAGCAAGAGCCGTCCATCGACTCCGATCATGTCGACTGCCCAGCGATACAAGAAGTGGGTCGAGGAGAAGATGGCTCCTGAATTCGCAGCGATGAATGCCGAACCACCACAGCAACCAGCTCCAGCCATGCCCATGATCCCCAACGTTCCACGATACTGCGCCCTGGTCACCTACATGCCCGGATTGTGGATGATGCAATCGCCAGTTGCTGTCAACTGCTACAAATATATTATACTGCCAAAATCCAGAAATGTGCCCGCTGTACTTCACACTACCCAACCTTACTGTACTACCGGTCAATTCTCCCACTAAAATATTTTCATTTTTAAAACTTTTATTTGTCTTTTCTTTGCATAATCTCATAAGCAGTAAATCGACGCCAAAAGGCCTGTGAAGAAATCCTGAGTCAGGGTCTTGTAAGAACTGTCATGGTATGCTCATTTGAAACGGCAGGGGACTCTTTCAGGACTTTACTCGGTTTCCAACACAGATTGCCGCAATTTTATGGCCCCAATTCGACTTGACGCGATTCCGTTCGAGGAACATAGCAGGGTGGCTATTTTGGACAAAATTTTGGGGTCTGGCCATCCAATTTCCATCCAATAAATTTTGAGTTGGAACTTTCCATCCAAAATCCAACCCAATCCAATTATTACCCAATTCCCAAAAAATCCCCAATTCCAATTAGATCCAATTGGATAAATCCAATTTTTCCAAGGCTTTTAGTACTTTGAAAAGAAGCGAAACAGTAAGTTTTTATCCGAAAGGAGGATCAACATAGCCAAAACAATGATTTTTTATCCGAAATTGTTCATTTTTATCATGAAAATGACCCTTCTTTGCATAGTTTAGCGATATATTTTTTATTGGATCCAATTCCCCAATTTCCCCCAATTGCCCAATTTTCCCCAACGAAATCCGGTACCCTGGCCATCCAAATTCCATCCAAACCTTATTGGATTGGATCCAATCCAATTCCAACTAACCCCCAAATCCAAAATAGCCACCCTGAACATAGATTTGTTTATTAGAGGGCAGTAGGAAAAAGTTGGACAAATCAAGACCGCAGAAAACATGACAGGAAATTTCATCTTCATTACCAATCTGTGACATTTCCGTATCTTTGAGCAGCCCTGCTTTTGAGCTCCTGTTGAGTCGCTTTCTTCGTGAACTTCGGCCCCTTCGCCCCCTCCGGCATCTGTTTTGGAGCTTCTTGAACTGGCCTCCTAAAGTTTACAAGTTTATATATCACAGTCGTAAAGTTTGTTCTTTACTTTTTCGGGATTTTGATTTTGCGCTCATCTTGCGTTGTTTCAATTGGCATCTCACGGATTGTTGTTTTGTGTATGGCCTGTTCCATTTCGCCGTGGCTGAACACAAATATTTACCGGGCTTTGTTTTACGCGGGTCAAACCTAAACTGGCGGCTCCAACCAACAGCCATATCCTGCACATGCGCTGGTCGAACAGTTTTGCCCTGAAAAGACCTCAAAATTTATTTATGTTCTTCTTTGAAGGTTGCGCTCGTGTGAGAGGAAAACCTGAGTCAGGGCCCTGAGAGCCTGAAAGACCCAGAGGTTAAAATCCTACGATTTCAGAACACTGACTCAGGATTTCTACTCAGCCTGCCGAGCCAAGCTTTACCCGCATCGAGGAAGCTTTATTGCCTTCCTGGAAGAACTTCTCGTCATCATCTGCCGCATCAATCGGTTTGAGATCGTTTTTCCACGCCTTCCAAGCTTCAGCCGGGTCTGGCGAGGGCGGCCGTGGCGCCGAGAACAGAAGAGAATCATTATTCCAATTGACTCCAAGCGCGTCATCCGACGTCTTGAAGAAATCCGAACGAGTTTTCGTCAGCAGCATCTCTTCTGGAGGAGGAAGGGAGGATTTGCTCTCATCTTTTGGCTTCTCAGGCTTTTTGAATTGAGCCTTTTCTAGGGCAAACGAACTTTAGGAGGATGAAGAATTGTTCTTCTTGAAAACGATGGTAAATCTCCTCTTATCTAGCTATTCCGAGAAGAAAATTACATAAGGAACAAATGGATCTTGTTCCAAATTAGATACAGCTTTGCTGGCTTAATTACTTTATTCAAGAATTCAGAACTTCATCATTAAATTGAGAGATTAGAGCTCGTTCAACTGAGTCAGGAACTAGGTCTAGGATGGGGGGTGATCGCTGGAGATCCAAAATGAGGCGCTCGAGATGAATCACCGATGAGTGGAGCGCGGGTTGTTTGGATCTCCAGAGCGCGGAGATCGAAGCTCGATCTCCAAATCAATCCCAGGGATTCTGTCGATCTCCAGTTTTCGGTGACCGGAGCTCTGAATTTTCTCGACCAAGGATTTTTCTCGATTAAATTCATATTTTGCAGGGACTTTGCGGATCAGTATCTCAAAAAAATGATAATTTCTAATGCTAATCTTCAAGAAATTATCGCTCACCCGCCGAGCTGAGTCTTTGGAATATGAAACCGAACCAATTTTAGAATTTTGAGATTTCAAGTATTGAAAAATGTTGAAACACATCGAATTGAGAAAAATACTTGAGCAGAGATAATAAATAGTACATTTTTCCCTAAAATTACTATCCATGCACTTGTTTTGACAAAAGATTTGAAATCTACAGTGCCGAATTAGTATTGCCTGAGATTTTTACGTTGATCCGGTCAGTCGCTTCTGATATCAGTAGGCTGGCAGAAGATTGTTTTAAAGTGACTCATCCGACTTAGGGGATCAAAAATTTTTGGATCTCCAAGAAGTGGAGATCGAGAGTGGTGATCGATCACCGCAATTTCGGAGTGGAGATCGCGCGGATCTCCACGCAATCGGAGATCCAAACGACCTGCGCACCACTCATTGGTGATTCCTCTCAAGCGCCTCATTTCGGATCTCCAGCGATCACCCCCGATCCTAGACCTAGGTCAGGAAGACTTTGATGGATAAGGAAATCGAAATTGAGCTCGGCAATTTGTGTAGAAAACCTTTAAGTCAGGCCCCGAAGACCGTTTATCATTCAGAACCTGACTCAAGTTTCAATGTTTTCTACAGAGGTTGCCGAGACCAGAATAGAATAGGGCCGTTTTGGGGTGTTAAGATTTGTGTTGATTTCAAATTATCCAGCCCTGCTTACATCATTAAAATTATTGTAGCGAGGAGATTTACCATATTAAAATGATCAGTGCTCCTCTCTGAGAAGCACTGCTCAGCTAAATTTGGGAACTTACCTGGCTGCTGCTCAGTTTCCGAGTCTGACGAATCTGAATTTGAGTCGCCGAGCCCGAAGAAGTCAGTCATACGATCGAGTTACTAAAAATTACTGTGACACTGACCCTGTCGATTAAGGTTAGAGGAAACAGTAAATGAATCGGATATGCCTGAAGTGAGAGTTAAAAGATCTCATGATTTACATCATATTTATCTGTTTATGTATGTAGCAATTTTCAAAGCAATTGAGGCATGAAATTGCTTCAGCAAGATGTTTGAAATGTTCTTTTGATTGTCAAATTTTATGTCTTCGGCATGTTTAAATGATGGAAACAATGACATGCTCTTTCTTTATTCTTTAGTTGTTAGATTAAATTCTTTAAAAAAGACTCGAATAGTTACATCTTGTAAATGATTTTATTGAAAAGAATAAACGGCAGTTATGTGAATATTCACAGAGTATAAATTTCATCGAGGATGGACAAAGATTGATGCTGTTTGTTCAGGATTCAAAATAATAAATGGTAGTAGTGGCATAAAATGTGATGGTGCGCGTTTTTTCTCGAATTCGTCTAATAGTGAAATGGAACCAGGAGAAGTTGTGTGAAACTGGACATTTGCGGGAGCAGCTCTTCTTGTGGGGTTGGAACTTTAGAGCTTGAGCCAGGGATGCACTTCCAACGATTTCTTCGACCGATCGCCGTAGTCGTAGAGAAGCTCGGTTCCCGCAGGAATGTCTTCTTTCGCGAAGATGATGAGGCGCACTGGGTCGATCGGGTCTTGCATCTAAAAACAAATCTGTTAATTTAAATTCCGACAATGGAAAACTTACGTCCAGAGGCTTCGTCGCGCAATTGGGCGTCTTGCAGGAATGATTCAAAAGCCTTCCGTAGAAAGGCGACTCTGCCGTGGCGTCGATGCAGTATTTCTTGCCCTTGAATTCGAACCAATACATGTAGGAGCCAGTTTCGGGATCTTCGTAGTACTTGCTTTCTTGGGCGTAGCTTTCTTCGATGTTTTCGGGGTAGAAGAAGTCGCCCTTGTATTCTACCACGAAATCGCCCTAAAAACAGAAACCGTAAGACATTTTTCACTGAAAATGTTTATATAATAAGTACGCTCCGAAGTTTAGGAGGAATCCAATTAATTCGCGTAAATAATCAAACTTACAGGGTCAGTAGAGGGGTTGTCATTTGATGATCAAATTTTGAAAATATAAAAATTGAAGATTGAAGATCAAAATTTAGGAAAGCCTTCTATTATTGGTACTTACTTTATTGAATTTCCTGGTACTATAGATGCCTCTCTGCTTGATTGGACAGTTTCTGATCTCAAGGCTAAAAGTATCAATTGAGTATCAATCACTGTTTTCTAAAAAAGCCTTACCCTTCCTGACACTGAGATTTGACAAGATCGCGCCAGAGCTCGTCCTTCTCATCTTCGATCTGTTTGCTCGTCTTTCGGTTGCTTCGTCGGACTTCGAAGAAATCTGTGATTCGTGTGATTGTGTTCTTCTTTTCGAAATCTTCATCGGTTTCTTTTTTCACTTTTCTCTTCGGCTTCGTTTTCTGAAACAGAATATTACTGCAAGTGCCGGCTTACCGGTATTTTCCCCATTTCACTATCAGAAGTAGATAAAGAGATTAACACTGTTTTTTTAGGTTTACTCCCACTTTTTCAGACGCCCTTTATTCGCGTCAGGGCACGAGCTACCCCCTTATGATCAATAGTAAAAATGATCCTCGTCATCTGGGGATTCTAAAACAATATCATATAAGGATGTTCCTTGGCCAGAGTCATGGAAAAATTTCACGGTTTTACACATAAAACAGGCCATTTTGGGCATACCCTCTCTTCGAATGAGTCATTCGAGGTCATGTGACCTCACCAAGGTCACGAGACCCAGACGAGGACACGCAGCAGAGTCTGGGCTTTCAGAAAATATATAGAAGTATGGGGGTTACAACTAAGGATTTTGAATGCGGTTGGGACAAAGTGGGAGCTAGGTTCAACAAATCGAAATCCGATGCCCGGAAAACCCGATATCGGATCGGATATTTATCGGGTTTTGTCGGGTTTTTTTTTTCACCCTACAAAACCCGATCCTGAAAATTTCAAAAACCCGACGTAGGATCGGGTTTTTGTCGGATTTTGTCGGAATTTCGTCGGGTTTTTCTTGCCTTTTCAGCCAATCACAGTCGGTCAAATAGCCTCCCTTGCCCTTTTTTACTCAAAAAGCACTCGAAATAGATGAGAACTGCCTCCAAAACCGGGGAAAGGCAGAGAACGAGCTCTAGAGGACATTTACATTAATCTTACCAAAGATAATCATCTGGCGATTGAGAGAATGAAATTCAGCGAGGTCCCTGGCAATCAGCGATCCATTTCGAGGGCAGAATTTCAGAGAACGCCTGAGCTTGAAGGCCTTAGCAGAACAGTCTTTTAGGTTGACTCCCACTATTTTCAACCCCATGGGTTATTTAAAGTCATGTGACCTCGGCAAGGCCTAACCCCCTAAACTGCAACTCAGCAAGGTCCAAGCTTTCTAAACATATAAAGAGGGTTTGGATTATTTATTCTATATTCTACCGTATTACTAATATTATTGCACAATGGGAAAATGCACATTCTAAATAATATTATTAATGATCCTCGAAAATTGTTGAAAAAATCTGCTCGAGATAAGTTATTGACCTTCTTTTGACTTGATTTTTTTAATTTTTGCTTGTAGGAAACCCGACAAAAATCCGACAAAAAACCCGATAAAAACCCGATTTCGGACCCGACAAAAACCCGATAAAATCCAACAAAACCCGATCCAACAAAACCCGACCTCCTAAAAAACCCGATAAAACCCGATCTTGGTTTCGGGCGATTTTGTTGAACCTAGAGTGGGAGTAAACCTAAAAAAAACAGTGTTATTATCAGTACAAGAGGTTTAAATTTTTGCAAACTAAGCTCACTGATAAACTAAGCTAAAACTCAGCTTAGTAAGCTGGAATACCATATACCGTATATTCTCGCGACTCAAAGTAAAATACAAATTGCCTCTTTGAAGTAAAATCTTTCGATAATGTGTCAACTAAAGAGTCTTGTTTGATCCTCTTTGATGAATATACAAGGTACTATCATTATTATATTATCATTATATTAAAGATAATTGTAACTGTAATTGTTACTTAATCACCTTTGCTTTCTTCTTCTCATCTTTTGGTTCTGGAGACTTGAGAACATCGTTTAGATTGCGCCTTGCCGAATCTTCTACTTTTACTTCTGGTTTTCTTGTAAGTTTGGGCATTTCCTTCGCTGCCGCTTCTTTCTTCTCAGGCTGCTCTTTTGGTTCCTCTTTTGGCTCTTCTTTGACTTCTTCTTTCGCTGGCGGAATTTCACGAAGAGGCGATTTACGAGCTTCCATTTCTTCAAAGGGGCCTCGATACGGCGATTTAGGAGCTTCATTTATCGCGACTTTCTTGTTTTTCTTCGGCTTCTTCTTTTTCTCAGCTGTCTTTTTCGATTTTGAGTCTTTCAGACTTTTTGCGCCTCGGATTTCTTTTTCTTCATGATTTCGCCGATCGTTGGCGGCGAGGGAGGACTTTGATCCAGGTAATTTGGGGTCTGCACATCGCCACTAAAGATGCAAATGAATTTGTATTTTCTCTTCATTTTTGGTTTTGTTTGAAAAAGGGGAAAAAGAAAAGCTTATATTTACCTCGTTCCGGAGACAACAACTGACGCCTTCTGATCGAAATCTAGCTTTTTCTAAAATCTCGGTTGGAAAAAGACACAAATCAAAGACACGCATACTAAACAGGAAGTCCTGTCATATGACAACCGTTTCTTGGGGCGAGCAGGGGAGGCACTTTCTCCGCGACTCCTCGAAGTTGCCTTTTCGAAGCTTTAAAAATTGAATGATTTCAAATCGAATCGTTTGATCTTCAATTAATTAAAATCAAATGATACTTTCTGGTAAAAATCAAAGCTTTTCCTTTGTAGAAGCACTTTCATTCTTCCTCGGCGAAGCTTCTAGCGTATCTTTCAGAACTTTTCTGGGACTCTCAGGCGTACAGATCGGCCCATTATTTTTCTTCTTACCGACATGAACCATCTGAAAGATTCAACTTGAAAATTTGGTAAATAAGTCTGTCTTCAATTTTATAGTCAGAGAAAAGAGACTTTGATCTCTCCTTTTGAATACTTTCGTCTTTCGCCTTCAAATAAATATGAGTTTTCGCCACGAGCAGCCGATAAAAGTTGATTTTCTAGCGTTCTTGGGTCCGGTCGTGGAATTGGCAGCGCTGGAAATGGATTTCCTAAAGAAAGATATAAAGGTCAACACAACTGCTCTAGAAATAAGGCATCTGGGATCAGCAATCTGTGTAAAAACCTGAGTCAGGGTCCTGAAAGAGCGATAAATTGTAGGCTCTTCGTTATTGACTGTAATTTATAGCTCTTTTGAGGGCTGACTCAGGTTTCGACACAGGTTGCCGAGCCAGGAAAAGCACCTTTAATCTCCAAAACACTGTAAGAAGTAACATCAGTTTCAATAATAGCTTTGAAAGACTGAGGATCGTAAGTAAGCCCGGCTGCGTAATCATCGCCCCAATAAAGCGTTTCTCTCTTGTCGAAGTTGCCCAGCCACGCTCGTTGAGTAGCTAAACAGTAATTCAAAACGATTAGCGATGAGCAAGAAAAACATACGCTTCTTGAGAACGCCCATTTTGGAGAGACGAGGAAGAATAACATTCAGAAATTTGGACTCGATGCCCGTATCGCGCTCGAGTGGCTGCTCTTCATGTGTCTAAATAAGAAACACAAATTAACGGTCGAAAAGACAGACGCCCACACTCGAAGATAACAACGACCGAATGGTCGTGATTCAACGAGCCTCGGTAACCTGTGTCAGGGCCTGAAAGAGCTTGACTTTTCATTCAACCTTTCGGGAAATGAAATCCAAACTCTTGGTCGAACCTGTTTTTTTGTAAGAAAAATTGCTTCAAAAGTAAAAAAATACCTTGTGATGAAGGTAATTTTCCGGAATTCCGCCAGTACCGAGCCACCAAGAAAGCATTTCGTTCGCATATCTTGGTTGTTTCTCCTAAATACCAGTTTAAAAGAAGCAGAGATCGAATACCATGAAGTTTAACTCTTGTGGGAGAAAGCCCCTGGGCCCCCTTCCCCGTATCCCGCACAAATCACTGTCGGGGAAGTCTAGAAAATTTCTTAACCACTTGCTCGGCGGTTTAGAAGAATCTCGAGATTCTGAAGAACAGAATCTGGAAAGTAAACGAGTCTGAGCCAATGAGAGAGCCGACAAGGGTTTGCGCGGCTTCTCCCAAAATTAGGCGCGCTCAGAAATGCCCATGTCCCGGGCCAATATCTCCCGCCACATGTCTTCAGACATGGGCAGATTCTCCTATCTCCCTTTACTGCTCAACTTCATGGTAGAACCTTGTTTAGTGCGATGAAAACGAGTTTCTTGAAGTAGCTTTCAGCGTTCATCGCCTGCCGGGTTCTGAATTCGACGCGCTCCATGTCAATCAGCATGTGGAGATCATCTCGCGTGTGTTTTAGATGGTTCCAGTTCACATCGCCCAAAACGGCCCTAGATCGAAATCACGTATATAATTTTCTCGATATGAAAAATGGCAGGCTTATCTGCTTGATAAGATAATTTTCTCGTCTAAAAATACCTCTAAAAGAGCTTTACTTACCAATCTCCAGGTCTTTTTGCGTAACAGTTCCATAAATACTCGATAGTCTGTTTCTTTTCAATCGGCCGAGACAACTTCCAGATATTCTCATTTCTTTCACATGTTTTTCAAAAGCATTTTATCTCTAGAGAAATCATATTCTCCGTGAAAATTTGAGAAATCACATAAAATCTATAATTGATTGAGAATTTCTCAAATAATTTAAAAAAATATGTTTTGAAAAAAACATTCCTTCAATTTGGTACTTCAAATTCTTCTCTTTTGCTTGTTTCCTCTATATTTCGCTATCCCTTTTTATTTCGGCTACACGACGTTTTGACTAAACCGACGTTCTCGCTAACCGACGTTTTCGCTAAACCGACGTTCTCACCAAAAGTCAAAACGTCGGTTTAGTCAAAACGTCGGTTTAGTCAAAACGTCGGTTTTCCTTAAAAATGCGGGGGCAATCAGAGCGAATGAGAATAAGCTCTTCCTGGATTATAAATTCTGTCTAAAGCCCGCCGTCTTACTCAAACCGAAATTAACTTGGAAAAACAAAATTTATATTTTTTAATTTATTATTTTAAAATTATTATTTGAATAACAAAATCAATAATTTTAAAAAATATTAAGTCTGCATAAATTACTGATCTTTTTACATTTTATCGGTCTTGGGATCATTTTTAAAAGATTTATTTTAGTTATATTCGTTAATTTAATGAAGATATTCATTATTCTTATACTTTTACTCTTCACAATGATCTTTCGAAAGATAATGAAAACGTCGGTTTGACGAAAACGTCGGTTTCCAAACTGAGTCTTAACCAAATTCAAGGCGTCCACGCATTTTTAAGGAAAACCGACGTTTTGACTTAACCGACGTTCCGACTAAACCGACGTTTTGACTTTTGGTGAGAACGTCGGTTTAGCGAAAACGTCGGTTAGCGAGAACGTCGGTTTAGTCAAAACGTCGTGTAGCCTTTTTATTTCTCCTTGCGCAGGTTTCTCTTCTCGCTCCTTATTGGCGCGCCCAATCAATAAGCTTCCTTTCTCGACAAAATCCGATTTTCGAATAAAAGCGAGATCTTTCAATTTTTAATTTTAGATTGAGAAATGCCTCTTTCTCGACTGGACGGAGTGGAGAAAAGAGTCGGCTTCAAATGTACCGTCGACGAATGCGGGAAAGTCTTCCAGGAAAGGGAAGACATTCTCAAGCACATCAAAGAAAACCACAAAACTGGACGTTTCAAGAAAGTACTGCTTGGCTCAACTGCTAAGCCGCCGACTGCTGGAGCCATTACTGGTACTTTATTTCTTTCCGGGCTCGGCAACCTGCGTAGAAAACCTGACTCAGGGTCCGAGAAAAATTTTGACCCTGACTCAGGTTTTCTACATAGGTTGACGAGTCCACATTTCAATTTTACTGTTTTCCATGCTATTTTAGCCAAGAAAACAGCCGGACTAGCATCGATCACTCTCCACAGAAAGAAAGAAACGAAGGAAAAGGAAGAAAAGCAGAAAGTCTACCGTTGCACCGTTTGTCGACTGATTAAGCCAACTCGGAATGAAATCGAAGCTCATTGCTTGGCAAAACACAATCAGAAATCTAAGTGGATTCTTGTCAATCGAAAGAAGCAGATGGCGAGAAAAGCAGTCGACTCACTTAGTAAGTTGCCAAAAATTGAGAATCCTGATCTCTAGAACGATTTCTCCGATTTTATGTTTAATTTTAAGAATCATTGAAGGACGAGTACGACAATGTTGAAACTTATCATTGTCCATATTGCGAGTTCGAGACAGAAAAGCTCACGGGACTGGTGAAACATTTGCCACAACACACACCCGATGATTTGTATGAAGTGAGCCTCAGATTGCAGAAGAATATGAAGTTGAAAACCTTCAGGTTTCATTTCTCCGCTTTTTTCTTTCGTTTATCAACTCTTTTAAGATGCATTGTCTGCTTCTACAGGTCGCTGAAAGGGTCGACTTTGCGCGAACACTTGGAATCTCATTCGGAAGAAGATATCCTCGATCGTGCCTTGGACTTTTCCAACGATCAAGCAGATGACTCCTCAAGCGAAGAGGAAGAAGACGAAGAAACAGAGCCCGAGATTGAGGAAGAAAATATCATCGACTTCAAGCAACCGCTGCAATTCAAGCCAGGCGATGCTCACTAGTAAGATTCTCCGAAAAAAAAGATCAGAAACTCTTATTTTAGTCAGGCAATTCAAGATAACGATATTGTCTTGCCAAAGAAGTTCACCTGCACCCTTTGCAGCTACCTATGCTCCTCGAAGAAAGAAGTCTCCATGCATGTGAAGGACTTTCATAGAATTGAAATGAACGAACACCTGATCTTGTCGAGCTTCATTGACGAGAAGCTGGAGTCGTTGACGACGGATACACCGGATAAGAAGGCGAGAGAAACTATCACATTGCCAGCTGCTAAGAAATTGACCACGAAGCCTCACCAAGGCCGCAAGGAGTCGACCATTTGTCTCGGGCTCAATATTTTTGATAATTGCTGACGTTGATAAATCCCCATAGGTATCCATTTTCTGAGCCCTAGAATCAGTAAATACTGCGGCAGAGAAATTCCAGCGTGGGATCATGTTTTTCTCCAACGCCATTTGGAGCTACATGAGAAAGCTGCTACAGGAGGAAGTGTTGCCCTCCCCTATCCCGCTGAATGGATTGTCGACTCCACCTCCAAATAGTTCAATCCTCTTTTTCCTCAGTTTTTTGCCCATTTTTGCTTTCAAAACACTACCTGACTGAACAAAACAGATGATAGATACTTCTACAAATCTCTTTTATTAAAATTTTAGAAATGTCAGACCAGGCAGTTTCGGAGTTTATGTCCATCACCGGATGCAGCGACGCCGCTAGGGCAAAGGTAGGTCAACAAATTTATGATCAACGACTAGTTATGTCATTAATCGTGCTCTTTTATCCTTGCGGTCAATAATTCTGAAACAACTTCTAGTTCTTCCTTGACGCTGCGTCGAACGACCTTTCCGCCGCGATCACAAATTTCTTCGACGCTGGTGGAAACGATGCTCAAATCGACCAGCCAATGGAGCAAGTAGCAGAACCAGCTGTTCCAGAGCCCGCACCAGCGGCAGCAGCACCCGAACCACGACTTGCGGGAGGTACTGCGGCATAGCTCGTTTTATTGCGTGTTTATGGGATCAGTCATTGGTGGTCTTTTTAGTACTAATGCCTTCTCTCCTTAGTTTCTATGGGAGGCACCCAGAGAGGCAGAAACGACGGCCCTAGAGAATTCAGCGTTGGAGGCGAAAAATCTGGACTTGCTGTCATGAAGGACGAAAATCAGGATAACGACTCTTACGTCAAGAGCATTTTCAAGGTGAGATCAGAATATTGAGCTTTCATCTAAAAAGTACAAAAGCGAGCTCAAGAAAATGCCGGAGCTACGGACGAAGACCCATCAGAGAAAAAAGAACGCTTCTCTGGCGGCGGTTACAAACTCGGAGGCGACGGACACGCTTCTCAAAGAATCGAAAAACCGAAACCGAAAGAACCAGAAAAAGTTAAAATCACGATGTGGAAAGATGGTTTTACTATCAATGATGAAGTAAGGATTTTTCGTTTTTGATTGTTCAACTCATTGTTTGAATAATTTTAGGACATTCGACTTTACAGTGAGCCCAGAAATCAGCAATTCTTGGATCAAGTCACCAGCGGAAGACTGCCGACAGATCTTCTGAAATACGGAACAGAAGTGGCTCTGGAAATGGAGGACAGACGACAAGACGATTACGAAGAAAACAAGGTAACATGTTACCCAGAGAAAGGTCTTAAAAACAGCGATTCTAGCCAAAGCCACAGTTCAAAGCTTTCACTGGAAGTGGAAACAGACTTGGCGCAAGCGACGCTGGTCCCTCAGTTCCACCACCAAAGGCTCCGGCGACGGAATCACTGGTCAACATTGACGAGTCAAAATCAAAGACCAAGTTGCGATTCCGTCTTGCTTCTGGAAAACAGCTAGTTCAAGGTAAATCATAAATTAACGCCACTGTTACTCATAAACTCGCAGAATTCAACCAAGACCACACTATCAGCGACATCAAAAAGTTCTGCGACCCTCATGCCGGCGGACGCTCTTACGAGCTGCGTTCTGGCTTCCCGCCGAAGCCCCTCGATCTCAATTCCACTTCTTCACTCGTCGAGGCGAAACTGCTCAATGAAACCGTTATTCAAAGACTGCTCTAACAATCTAACAAGTATCACTCACTTCATATTTCTATTCTCACATGTACTGCGTTTTTAGTCAATTCTTGCGTTAAAAGTTCAAAAAAGCGATTACATGGAGATGCAACTGATAAGCCACTATGTATTGTCTAATAAAGAATTTTGTCAAACATAAGAAATCATTACGTTTTGCGATATTTTATCGTAATGATCATGTGTCAATTTTTTTAAGCATTGAAATAAGAAGAAAAAGTCATCTTCTTTTGTGATTGTAGATTTATTCAGATTACATTTATCTGGCTCTTTTTTCAGTGGCAGTTTTGAAAAACAGGTCGAAATTGGACTATACTTTCAAACTATTCGTACAGTGGTTTGACTTGATGTAGGTGGAACTTAATCTGACAATCCCTAGCCCAACGCAAGGGACAGTATGGGTGATCCTCGTCGTCGGCTTCATCTTTGAAGCATTCGTAGCAAGCAACATGGCCACACCTTGCCAAAAACGATTTTTGGCGATCTGTATCGTTGTAATCCTCGTTACAACCTTTGCAATATTGGAAGTCTTTTCTGCTTTCTAAAAGAATGACGTTACATTTCCCATTGAAATTGTAGCAGCATTAGGTCGATTTGTTAAAACATGAACTTACCTTTTGCGTCAACCTCCTCATCGAGAGAGAGCTTGGCGGCGACTGGATGAAATTCGTATGAAAGTTGTTTGAATCGTTTGAGAACAGCGTTTTTCTCTTTCTCTCGATGAATAAAATCTTCCTTGTCATATTCATTTTCCTGTTTCTTTTCGTCAACATATTTCTTCTTTTTTTCTATGAGTTTTTCTTCATCAACAACTTTCTTTTTGGCTTCTATGAGTTTTTTCTCGGCTTCTTCCGCTTGCTTCTTTAGCTGTTCCAGGATACCTTCGTGTCGTTTTATACTGCGTCCTTGTCTTGTTATCTTGGCTTTAGAAGTCGCATAAGCATCCTTCGTGCCTCTGAGAGAATTTAATTCATCCTCATAAAAGTAATGAACAGCGTTTAGTTGTTTTTCCTGGGCTTCAAAGTAATTTTATAAATCTGTGATAATATTTAGTTTCATACCTTTTTCATTCTCCACCAGCACTTTTGAAGCTGGTTCGCAACATGTTCCCAGGAAAAAATCCTTGAACGAAACCTCCTTTGATTTGCAGCTTTCTTCGTCATTGTAGGCAAGGCATTTGAATTTTGCGTCAGACTCTCTATAAGACAACACGACCGAGCAGTTCTCGGTTTCGGGCGAGTCGCTGCCATACTCTTTTGTTTCACAGGTTTCACATAGTCTTCTTCCTTCAATTTCGACCGTTCCAGTCGGTACTCTTCAAATTCAAACTCCATCAAAGCAACATGATTTTTCAGTCTTACCCGTCGCACTCAGATCCAACGCACTTTCCATAGTCTCCGTATGAAATCAGCATGCCAGGGAAAAGACTCTCAAAGGACTCTACTTTGGCCCTCTTTGGCGCTGAGGTCGACGCTTCATCTGAATCAATTTTTCGTGACCTGAGCTTCATCGATAAAAAAAGTGAAAGGATTAATTTGCCGGCTTTTCTCGCAACTCAAATTGAGAGATTTTCATATAGGGTGCTGATTGGACAGATTTAACGGAAAAGAACCGAATTTCAGCCAATTGTCTATCGACTATCAAGGATGCACCATCGTGATTTACCAGAAACTTTCTGCTACCTTAGGTAGATCAGGGTTCTTTTGAAGTGATGATGGTTTACTGGAAATTATCTCTAGAACTTATTTTGGTTCCATTACGTGTCTCATATTCTTGGATAGAAAGTAAGCAAGGACATCAAAAAAGGTTAAAAAACTCAGGAAATTTATCCTTGCTAAATTGTTTTCAGATGACAGATGATTACTACATGATCAACGATTATTATACAATAGACGACGACAACTACGAAGATTACGACGACGTTCGCGGCGTGATCCAGCGCCGTGGCCCTGTTCTCGAACGAGCCATCGAAGAACCAGAGGAAGACGAAACGTTCGGCAACAACAAGATCATCAACTTCATTCTCGAGCAGAGCCCCTTCGATGACGAGCGAATAACATTTGCTGTTGCTTCCGTCGCTCTTTTCATATTCGTAAGTAGAAACATTTTTCTTCTCAATCACTTTTGAAACTTTAGCTCATCATACTCTTCTATGTCGTCAAATATTGCTGTTGCAACTCAAAGCAGAAAACATCTGTCATCTATGGATTCCCACGCGCCTCTGCTGGCAAATACAACGACCTTGAAACCGGAGACTACGATTCAGGTACAGTCAGAGTTCCAGTCATTGAAAAACCATTTCCTCCAGACAGCGACATGTCTGATATCAACGAAGACATCCCTCTTCTCGAGTCACCACGAAGCGATGCTCCAGCTATTCCAGATCGAGACTACTAGAAATATGAAGAAAAAAAACTCACTCAAGAATTTTTAAACTGCATTTATCACATCACCGCCCATTTTTTTAAAATAAATATTCATAGATCATATTTTTGAGCTTTTTTTTTATTTGATAAACTCTTGCAAATGCAGATAAATACGGAAGTAACACGATTTTGAATCTTTAATTTTGGTTTGAACCTAACCAAGCAAAGCAAGTAGTGGTCGAGATCCAACAAGATCGTCCAAATCGGAGGTCAAGCAGCAAAGATATGAAGCTGTAGCTGGGTTAGGTTCCTTTTTAGCTGGATTGAAAAAGGGCCCGGCCAAGCAAGATTAATTAGTTCGTTGTAGGTAATTAAATATGGATCATGTGACTGACCCAGAAGTCGAGTTGTATAGTTTACGAGTGCAAAATAAGACAATAAAAACCTAAGTTCATCTGGGTGCTCTTATTTCAATCCTGACCTAATGATTCAACCGTTGGAGTTTTTCTTCGAGTACTGGTTGACTACTTCGTTCGTGTGGTGCACCCAGACAGCAGCTTTTCCCAAGGAAGTAGTTGGAATGGCCGTCTTGGGGACCATCTTCTCGTCTTGCAATTTACGCAAATTGCGCAAAGTATTCTCGACTCGCTCCAGATCCTCTGGCTTGAGCTCTGTCAGTTTGCGAAGGGTAGCGTCTTTGTTTCGTTTCGCAACGTTGACGTTTTTCACCGTTTCTTTGTTGAGATCGACCCTAGAAAAAACTAACATTCGATGATTTGCGAGAGACTAGCCACAGTGAAAAAAATGTGCTCACTCGTGAGACAGCATTCGTTCCAAACTGCCATCTGCAATCACCGACGAGTACTGCCTTCTTCTTCGAGTTGAATTTTCAATCTTCTTGACCATCTTCTGGCGGATCTCGTTTAGTTGGGGCGTATTCTTTTGAAGCCTCAAAATTGGAAAGTGGAAAAGTTTTGAAACATTTTCGAAAACCCAAATTTTTTAAGAGCCTTCCCTGTATAGGCGGTTTCTTACAATGCGTTGAAAAGACTAAAAGCATTTTTTTCTCTCTCTGCACTTTTCTTTTGATAATGAGCAACTGGGGGAGACTTACACTTTCGTATCGGACAAAGCGCCATAAAAACCAGAGTTTATCTCTTGGGCGTAATTGAATCACGAGTGTACTAGCTGCAATTTTCAATTGAGCTGGCCGCGGCTGGGAAATCTATCTTGCCTTATAAAGTCATGTGAGTTTCATGTAGGTCTCCTCGTGTAAAGCCCATTGTAATCAAAAGTACTCGAGCGACGTAGTAAGATGATCCCCTTCCTAAATTACTGCAAGCCTAATGATGCTCAAGACTGTTTTGTCTAGTTCACGCTTCACCTAATTTTCGAAATTGTGTTTTTATGACAGAAAAACAGGTCTCTCTTTTCTCGAGGACCAAATTAGCAAAATCAGCTGATTGGGACAAATGAGTTTTAGTTAATTAATTTCGCATATCAAAAGGAAACCAAACCCTAACCCTAACCCTAACCTAACCAAAACTCTACCCCGAACCCAGCCCAAACCCAACCCAACCCAAACCCAAACCCAACCCAACCCAAACCCAAACCCAAACCCAAACCCAAACCCAAACCCAAACCTACCCCAAACCCAACCTAAACTCAACCCAAACCCAAACTAAACCCAAACTAAACCCAAACCCAACCCAAACCCTAACCCTAACTTGCCTTATGCGAATAATAAAATAAGATTAATTGAAAAAGAATGAATCTGAATAAACTTGAGTTTAATGTTGATGACCTTGTTTCCAAATGCCAAAAGATATTAAAGATTAATTTGAAAGGCCGCGGAAGAAAAAGCCCCGTGCAAATAGTGGAATCCAAATCGCCCCGTTTTGGAGATTTCAAAGAAGTCCTGTGAGAGAAGAAAAACTTATTTGGGCAGTCAGTTGCTAGGGCTGGCGGCCTTGGTTGAATATATCTCCGACCAAAAGTTCTTTTTATTGATTTGATCAGATTCTAGTGGCGTCGGATGAATGAAACAGAACATGAGGAGAGAAAAAGTGAGTCAATTATCGATTTGTCAGATTCTTGCGCAAACAGAATCCAGGGATACAAATTGCAGTGCAATTTACGGGCAGGATCAAAGAGACTAAATATTTTTACAGGCGAATATGCGAAGAGACGACAATGCTGATCAGGAAAGTGAACGAGAAGGCACTTGAGAAAGTCAAGTTGTGTGCCTAAACGCCCACAGCTACCAGCTAACTCGGGTCTTATCGTATATTTATTGCCGTTCTTGTTAATGTTTTGATGGACTTTAACTTCCTTCCGTTCACTCAAAATTTGATACGAGATCAGCTCAAAGAGCTCAGAGAAGAAAACAAGAAGCTAAAAGGAAGGGATTTTTAATTCATGATTTTTAACTCGCATTTCTAAAAAAGCTACATTTCGAGTTAAAAATTCCATAAGGCCAACTGCTTGATTTTGTCGTCCGCGACGATGCAAGACAAGAAGCCGATACAGATAGCAGCGAAGATTCGTCCCTTTATGCGATGGTCCAGCAGTACATGATGGAAAACCAAGTGCTGAAAAACGAAAACAACGAATTAAAATCACAAATCGATCGTTTGAAATCAGAACTCGCTGCCAAGCACCAGCAGAAAGAGGACATCACCCAGGAAGTCCTACGCTACCTGATGAATCAAAATGCAAACACCCGAGGTTCCAACTCGTACGCCCAAATTTACCCGAAAATGGAGCATCATCTCATTCCGCCTGCAGGAATTCCCTACAGTCCTCAGTCACTGCAAATGGGTCACTACATGCAGCGATATCCTCCAGATGAAAACATCGTCTACAGGTAAGGACCTACAGTCCTCAAATGACTAAACGCTTTCTATTGTCAAGTCCGAGCTTCCCAAGAATAGAAAGCGTGGACTCCTCCCCGAACACACCTGCTCTATTCAAGCGCGTCCCACAAAAGAAGTCCAAAATTCCAAAACACATCCAAGAAGTAATCGCAGATTAGCGCCAGAAAGAACCAACAACTTATCTAATTCAGAGAAACCGCGAGATCGACCGATTATCAAGAATCAACCGCTCCGCTCAATCTGACATTGACGAAATCAACAAGCAAATTCAAATGTATAAAAAGCTGAATAGAACCCAACGCCTGCCGAGATAAAAACAAAATAAATAATCTTCTATATTTTATTCTCATTATAAATAATTTGTAAATTGCGGCCGAGTTACTTTCGGAATCGGAGTTCGCGTCATTTCAGAGAGACTCGGCGTCTCTAAAGCTCAAGTCATTGCTAAGCAAATCTACTGGCAAAACCAGGTCTTTGCAAGTTCTCGTGAATTTCCGATCCTTCCATTGGCCTCAGAATCGTTTGATCGTGCATGTTCTCCGAAGTGTACTCCAAGCCTGACGATTCGTCCGCCTGACTTTGACGAGTAATAAGATCAGAAAAGAACGGAATAAATTTAACGCGATTTCAATAACTAAATTATCGTCTTGATATTTTTTGACCTCTAACGATTCGACGTTGGCGAGATGAATTTGCTCCAGCACTTGATGATTCCGTAAACGAATAGAATCGCCAAAACTAAAACTTTACACTTCATCTTTAGACGGAGACTCTTACGGGATAGAGCGCAAACATTGAATATGGGATTCGTAGGAAGCTGGAAGTCTTTTTTCATAAGTGTAGCCAACATAGCATTTATGATACGAAAATATATTCTGCAGCCGTTTGCATTCTTCGCGGCTTATATTTCTTGTTCACTAGAATTACCTTCTTCCTGAGAAGCCGATTCCTGTATCTCCTTCTTTGCAGCTACAGTAATAGTTTTCCAGATTTCGCAGCGCTTTTAAACAACGCGACTTTATCCTATTTTCGTTAGGGCTGACATCGCAATCATCTTTGAACAGCGAAACTATTACTTGTTTAGAAACCTGTTCGATAAATAAGTCCACTGCATCTTCGACAAGTCCCTAAGCATTCAGAACTAGCTGTGTGATAGTGTTCAGCGCAGACATTGTCTGCCTCGCACTGAGACTGAATAACGTCGCACGGAGGCCAAAGTGGATTTCGAAGACAATCCCAAGGAGCAAAATCTGGAGGAAAGCCTAGACACTTTTTGCCGCTCTCGCAGCACTTGTAAAATTGCCTGTGAAACTGAACCATGATCGTGTCTTGGTTCGGATACCACAGTCTGCTGATATTGCCGGCACAGTCGCCTTTATTGCAAATTTCAAATCGAGACGTTCCATAATCATTTTTCGCTATGTAGCAGGCTTTATTGATGGCATTGAGAACGCTTGAGCATTCAGAATGCCCACGGCAGTCTGTAAAATTTTTGGATTTTGCTTGTACAATTAAACCTTACCCTTGTATCTCTGATAAGGACTCTTTTATTCTCTTTTAGGCAGATAAGAAAAGGTCGGGTTAGAGTTAGGTAAAGGTTTGGACTGAGTAAGGGTTAGGGTCTTATTTGGTTACTCTTTGGTTAGGGTTTGTGTAAAGCTTGGCTAGGGTAAGAGAAAGATAATTTCGGGCCCTACTCTGATCACAAATTTCTTGTAGTGAAGGTTCATCTGATTTCCTGGAAATGTGGCACATTTCTCTTCACGGGCTTCATAAACTCACTCAAACATGCAAGAAAAACGAAGCAACAAAAGATCTGCTTGACCATTAATGATCAACCTCAGAAGCCATCGAATCGATGCGAATTTAGTTTGCGTTTTTCAAGATAATTGCATTTGAACGCCAAATGAATGCGAACGAAGCTCAAGCTTGTTATAAAACATAATTGCTGCTGATTATCATGTTTTTCGAGCTGGATCCAGAATAATTTATTTATTGGAAAAAATGTCGGAACAGTTGATCATGCGAAAAATGTTAGTAGAAATTGGGAAGATAATATCATACACAATGCTAGAAAAGAAGAGAGATTCGAAAACTTATTTCGATATTTTTTATTGAAATAAGAAGTCAACAGCTTAGGAAGTAAGATCAATGGATAATAATAAAGGTATCGTATATTTATAAACAAGAATAAATGAAATTAACAGAGAAGCATTTACCAAATTGGAAGATTTCAACATGTAGGGGTCTAGTCTTTTTCGGATATTTTGGGGCGTAGAAGTCAAAAGATAAATGAACTGATAATATAAAGGTTTCAAGGCGGTTTTTGTTCGTTTTTGTATATTTTCAACTTTGGGGACTTTTGTGCAAGGAAGTATTTATAGAAGTATATTTCGAGAAGCATTTTTTGACTATTTCGTTTTGGTAATTTTGAAGCAGTCGACATGTTGCATCATTGAGGAAGATATTGAAGGAAAAGCAGGAAGGAGTTAGTCAGGCAGAGATCGTGAGACCTTTTTTTTTCAGGCAACTTCTGTTTCGAAAGAGATTCGGAAGTTCGATGGAAATTAGCAGCTAGGTTCGTAGTGGCGATCGACGAGTAATTTAGATGAAGGCTTCGGAGTCCTGGTTCGACGTCAGAGCTCGGTGTTCCGAGTCGCCTTGGGTCGAGATGTCCTAGAATGCAAGTAAGATTTTTTAAGAGAATAAAAGGCGGTCGGGATGGTTCAAAACTTAGAACAAGTTTGACTTTTTTAAGTTTTTCCATCTTATGCTTCGAATTTTCTGATGAATCATGGAAAAATGAAGTTTTTTGTTTACCTAGAACTAAACCAAAACCTCTTGATCGTCCTACAAAGCTCTTACACAAAGAAAGAAGTCTAGGAATACATACCGTATAGGAGTATCCATATCCGCCCTTCATCGAGTTCCGTCTGTTCCACTGTCTCCATCCGATAAAGCCCAAAACTGCGAGAACTGCGCCAAGGAAAACTCCGCCAAACATGAATCCGGGTCCACCGGAACTGCCACCCTCGATCGGCGTAACAACAACCAGTTCATTGTAGTTAATCGTGTTCAGAGTCTAAGAAATATTTTACGATCGATGAGATGTAAGATTTCTACCTTTCCAATAAGCTCTGGTGGTGAGGAACACTTCAACTCAGTTGGCTGGAAGACGTTGTAAATTTTAGAGCTGGTCTTGCTGTTTTCAAAGTGGTCCTTGAACGGCTTCAATCTCGTGTCGCAAACGAGGTTGTTTCCATCGATGAAAATCCTCTCCAATTTCGTGTTCGTGACAGCTTCTAAATGAAGAGATCAGAATCGCAAGAACTCGGCGGGTAACTAACCTTTGACCCAGTCCATGTCCAGATGATCGAGCTTGTTGTCTTCGAGGTGAATAAACTTGAGCTTCTTCAGGCCATAGAAAGCTTGGCTCTCAATCTTTTCGATCCTAAATGAACTGTTAGTTTTTCATCGATTGAATAGCGCTCTTACTTGTTGTTCTTCAGGTACAAATATTCGAGATTGTCCATTCCTTGGAAGGCGTAGCTTGGAATAGTCTTGAGGAAGTTATGATCCAGAACGAGGATTTGAACATTGTCCAAGCCGTCAAACTGAAAATTCAATTTATTCAACTGGCAATAGAATTAAACTGATTACCATCTGGGCTCTGAGCTCATCGAGTCGATTGTCTCTCATTGTTAGAATTCTCAAGTCGCCACAGTCCGAGAACGCGCCGTTTTCGATATTTTTGATTCTATTCGAGTCCACTTTCAGCTCTCGAATCTGTTTCATCTTACGGCAGAGGCCTTTCTCGATCTCTGGGACTTTGTTCAAAGTCATGTCCAGATGAGTGTAGTGGGATTTGATGATCGGAATCTTGGTGAGTGCTCTTCCGCTATCTCCGACGTTTTCAGCGTCTGAGCAATCCACGGTGGAGGAGCTACACTCGCAGTTCGCAGGACAATCCGAGTCGATGTCAATTCGATAGTCATTGTCGAATTCAAAGTCCTCATTGTTGATACCGGGCAAGTGATAGTCGTTACTATCTAGTCGCTGTCCGTTCTTTTCCATTCCACCGTCGATCCATTCGTAATCATCACGTGTCTTCTTCCACTCGTTGTCATCACGGTCGTACTCCCATCCATCTTCATCAAGGTCGTCTTCGTCGTAGTCATCTCTATCATTGTCATCGAAAGGTGATGAACCAGTGACTGTAATTTTTGTAGAAGCCTCCATCGACCCAGCAGAATTCGTTGCTACGCAGCGGTAGATACCTTGATCAGCCTTTCGAAGATCTTCGATAAGAAGCGCGCCGTCCTGGTGAACTGTGATGCCTTCAAAGTCTTCGGATTGAAGCCGGTAGACATCTCCGTTTGGAGCTTTCCACTCGATCTTTGGTTGCGGAACTCCTTCGGCGAGGCACTTTAGGAGGAGCATTTTGCCTGCATCAACTGTTGATGACTTTGAGATTCCAGTAATCTTTGGTGGCGTGCACGGAGTAAGTTTGCTTGACAAACTGCTCCAGTTGAACATGTCCATTCCTAGGTTGTGAGTGTCATCTTTGTTGTTGCATTTGAGTGATGAGCCTCCTCTTTCAAGAAAACTTGTCATCATCCTCTTGATTGTTGGGTTCTGTAGAAAGTTCTTTTCGTTTTGAAGATCACAGTCGCACGCCCATGGATTTCCGTCGAGCATGACTTCTTGCAGATTATCATCGATAATGCTTGTAAACCATTTTGACTTGAACTCGGTAAGCTTGTTGTTCGCCAAATTGAGTGTTCGTAGTCTTTTGAGCTCGTCAAAGGCGTGGGGATGAACGAAGAATAAATCATTGTCCGAAAGGTTAATTTCTTGGATCTCCTGGAGATCATAGAAGAGAAAGTGCTGGATAAATTCGAATTTGTTGTTCGACAAGTCGAGCGTCTTCAAATGAACGGGATTCCACTGGAAGATATCGTCCTCGATTTCGTTGAGCTGGTTGTATGCCAAGTTCAGGTTCTCGAGATTATCAAGTCCATCAAAGGCGTCAAAGTGGATCTCGCGGATATTGTTATGACTCAGGTTCAAATCAACGAGGTCTAAAAAGGGAAAGATGAATACATTGAATTATCAAAAGAAATTTACCTTCGAGCTCGTCGGGCAATTCATTGACATAGTTAATATTATTGTAAGACAAGTCCAGTCGAGTTTTTCCGCGAGGAAAGCTTCCAGGAATAGCCTTCAGTCCCTTGTTGGAACAATCGACGACTGTGCTGTAGCAATTGCAATTCTGAAGCTCAGGATAGGATGATCCGCACGACGAGGAGTACGCGCTTCCGACGAGAACCGACCCAAGAAGCTTCATCGTCTCTGGTTTTTTTTCTTTCTTCGTCTTCCCGAAATCGATGTCACGAATTCAACTTATCTCTGTCTGAAAATAAAGCCGCGTTATTTCTTTTATCAGTCCCTGGATACAGCAAAATATCTCTATTTAAAGATTTTGAAAAGAAAAAGAATAAAAAAGAGCGGCCCGGGTATACCAAGCCATACAAATTGTACGCGCTGAAGCATGACCAAGACGCGGGCGCTCGTGCTTTTTGTTCTTCAACAATACGGGTCTCCTTTTGTTGGCTCAGCAAATTTCTCAAATGCTCGTAAAATTTCACCCTCTTGGTCCAAAAATAAAGCGCATCAAACGCGCCTGGGTCAGTCTTCAATCATATTATAAAAAGAGCAATAAAGAGCTTTGCTGAGGGGTTTATGTGTCCAACTCGCTGTCTCCGTGACATTTGGCTCTTTTCTCTTGTCCTGCTGAGTTCCGAGTTCTCCCCCTTTTCTCGCTAATATTAATTTAATTCTGTCGATGGACAATATTCAAAAAGTGATCATCACTGAATTGCGCCGCCGTAGTATGAAAAAATCAATTTTGTTCTCGACGGGCAGCGTGTCAGGAGTGATAAATAACCACTTCATGGCGGGTGTTAAAAAAGGGGTGACCCCCAAGGCAGTATCCCAGGTGGCTGAAAAATTTTTCTATGATAGAAATTTGGCGCGCTTTTCACACTTCTTTTTTCTCACGGGGATGGTAAGCGCCGTTCTTTGAAAACACGGGTGAAAATGTGTCTGCAAATAATTGTCCGCAACTCATTAAAAGAACCAGCTGAGTAAATTTACCTTTCGCGCGGTTAGCTACAAGAAACTCTTTCACTCTGCCGCGAGATCGCTAAGCTAGGTTTCCAAGTAGCGAGTCGGTTTTTACGAGCACGTTTATGATACGTTTACGGTCAAATCATACTGAGTAATGTTACCAGGAAATACTCTTGACTGTGTCATATTCTCTTGCTTCAGAACGAAGTGACTCAAAAATAAGCGGAAATGTGCACTCATCAATATTAAAATCACTCTAAAATAGTTCAAGCGATTTAATAAATACGGTATAGTACGCTGGATAAATTTGCTGGATCAATAAAGAGTCTTTTTTTCTCTAAATTTTTCTTTCAAATGAGAGACGAAAAAGTCTTGATCTTGAAAACAGTGAATGAGGATCACGTTTTTTTAAATAAAAGAGACGAAAACCAAGCTGTAAATTACCCTCGCAGGCCAGTAATTATCGTCCTTGGGTGAGCTCCAGCTCGTCCGCTTATGATTAGAAAATCTCTGTTACTAGCAACTTACTGATTAATTCGGCGGCAATTTTTCTCAGGGGCTTTGAATCTCAAAGTACCTCCAACCTTTATTTATAAATATTCTCTTGCCTCGCCATCTAGATAATAAAAATAATATTGATTATCGGCCACTGGGTGGAGAATATGATCTGCGACACTTGTTATTGGAAATATGAAGAAGGTAATCAAGGCGGATTGAAACATATTGAAGAAAAGAAGATACATTTGAACTCTCAGAATTTCCAGTCCCAGGGAATGATCAGAAATCCATCGAAGTGTTTTCGATAGTTTTTGGAAATAAGAAGTCGGTTGCCAACTGTGAATAGGATTTGATTTTGAAATTGAAAATTTCAACAGTCCATTTGGATTCCGCAATCTGTGTAAAAACCTGACTCACGACCTAAACAAGCTTCGCTAGAATGAATAAATAGACTGTAATCGTAGGTTTCCCGAAGCCGCCTCGCGGCTTCGTTCTCAAAAAAGCCGCTACGCGGCTTTTCATTCAAGCTCGTTTCGGCCCTAACTCGGGTTTTTTCACAGGTTGCCGAGTCCAGCTGTCAGTATCTTTAATTACCCCTAAGATGGATTCACACTAATAAAATTGTAATTTTCGAGAGATTCTCATTTAGAATCACTAATTAGGTTTCAAAGTAATTTTATCCTCTTTCCTATTAACGGATAGTTATCAAGAATCTTCGACCTCTGCAGTCTCTGGAGACAGTCGACCATTTTCGAATCCGGCAGACCTGGCTGCTTCCGAATCTCCTTGATGCCATAAGTTTCGCAAAGCCGCTCTTCGAGAAAATTTCTCCTTCTCTTGAGCTGTCGATAAAATTGCCTTCGCTCTCTTGCTTCTTCGGAGAATGTGCTGAGGTGTTCAATTAATTGCTCTGGACGGATATCGTATCTGACGAGGAAGGAGCCTCGTTCTGTCACGGAGAATGACGTCGTTTTTTCTCTGCTGGAAGTTACACAAAATTAATCAAAATCCCCCGAGGGCGTGAATTACCAAGAGGTTGAATGATTAGGCTATGTTTCATCACGCTAGTTCCGAAAAGAAAGCTTCTAATCTACTTAAACTTTCGGAGAAAACAATCACCCTCGTTTAAAAGTAAGTTTTGCATAACCGTCCTTTCTGATGGGAAAATAACGCCCGTCTCCCACTGGGCAATATCAATTTCCAGCTCAAACTGACTCATACTGTGCTCATCAAGCACTTCATTGAGCATGTACAAGTGGTGTAGCAAAATGCCAATGCGCTCCTTGTACAGTAGTATCTCGACTGGTCGGGCAATCTGTGAGCCGCCGACAGCACCGATTGCAAGCGGTCGGAGAATTTTAATCCCTCCGAGGATTCGCCGCAGTTCGTACTCTTTGTAGTCCGTATCTTTGATCAAGTACTGCAGGTCCGTCTGGTTGTATCTTCGTAGAAATCGCGCCCAGTCTTCGGCCTGGTCAAGAACTGCGAGACAAATGGTATGACGAGCGGCGCGGTCGGCCGCCAGTGTCGTATGATGAAGGTCCGAGAAGATTACTTTTGTTCCCTCCAAGTGTCCGAGGCTGTCCAAGTGACGCTGCACCGTTCTGTGAAAGCCCCCGATGACGCCAGTTTGTAAATTGAGGCCCATTGTCGAGCACCATAGAAACTCTTTCAACTTGAGCTGCTCCTTAATCTCTTCCATTCTTTTTCGCACCAGTTGTGTTCGCCGAAAATGCTTTATTTCGTTAATAGCGACATCAGTCAATTCAACACACCTTGGACTGTAACTTCACCGCTTCCTCGAGATACAGTCTGAGCCATTTTTCCAGCGCGGGGTTGAGATCTAACGATGGAATGTTCACTTTCTTGCCGAAGGAGAATATGTCGTCATCAAAATTGACAGATGCTTGATTTCGATGATGAGTCCTCGTGGATTCATCCCTCGCGTTTTTACTCGATATCAAATATTCTAAGTGGGTTGTAGTCAGACCAGTGCCCTGAAGAAAGAGGTCTGTTTTATTTATGCGGTTATTGAGTATCTACTTTCATTCAGAATGTCGCACTTAGATATTTATCGATGCTTTTCTATCACGAGTTATTTGATCACGAGTTGCGAGATTCTCAATTTTGAGAATCTTTCGCAAGTACCTTCAGACACTTTTCTATTCCATCAAGGACATCGTCAGACTGCAACAAAAGGGACACTGATCGAGGAAGCTGTTTTCCTTCTTTGAGATAAAAAGTAATCGGCAACTTGAGAAGCTCCTTTATGGCTGGGGTCGACAACCTGTGTACAAAACCTGAGTCAGGGTCCTGAAAGAGCAATAATTAAAGCTGCATATGCGGCTTTTTCAAATACGAAGCCGCACAGCGGCTTCCCCAAAATTACAAGTCACAGGCCTTACACAGGCTTTCTACACAGGTTGCCGATCCCAGCTTTTTGGTCTTCATCTCGTTGAGGCTGGAAATCCATCCGTGAAGATTCGAAAGCGACTTCGAATTAACTTCGCGGATGTCCGGATGCTGCCCGAAGAGATCTGGGTGGATCTGACCGTCATTTGCTCAAAATTATGCATCTAAGTCTAGTTATCAAACAGTTTGCTATTTTTTCAGAGCAAAACCTTGGTTATCAAAGGCTTGAGCGCGCCGTTGATTTCAGAATTCGTCAGTCGCCCGAGAAGTGAAAACGAGACATACATTTAAAAATTAACTGAACGAGTGGCAATCAATTTATAGTGACTTGTTTTTGAGACTGGAGAAAATTCCGGTAGTATATTTAAAATTTCAGCAGCGACTTTGAAGGAAGGAAAAAGATAAAGAGCTTCAAATATTAAGTTAGTTGTAATGAATGAAAGTTGAATCAACCAGTGGCGATGGCGATTGTTTTGATCTGATTTTTCAGAAAAATAGAACATGTTTGAAGAGCTGGTAGTTTAACAGAAAGCTGTGGTGAGTTCTTGAACCGTTGAGCATTTTTTCAAGTTTCCGGAGAAAGTCGGACAGGGGAGGTCATCCCAGAGTGCTTGTTCGGGGGCCTGGCTCTTCCAGGTTCTTTCGCAGTTGAACAAGCCATCTTTTCGTGGTCCTGAATGTCGCTGTTAAGAAAAATCGCTGTCAAGTTAATGATGAGACATTAACTTTTATCAGAATTTTCTTGAACAAAACAGAAAGTTCTGTATCTCGAAAAAATCAATTTTTTGTCGCAATTTTTGCCACCAAAAGAAGCACTTACTGGTCTTCTTTGAGATCGGGCGCAAAAGTCGTGTCCTTGAGCTGTTCAGGAAGACATTGTCGGAGAGCTTCCTTCGCTCGGCAGTTGTCCGAAAGCCGCAAATAACATCTGACGATGTGCTTGAGCAATCTTCCCGGATTTGAGTAATCCTAAGAAAGACATTTTCAAAAAGAAGGGGATCGAAGAGAATAAATCAAAATGAAAGCAGTCAAGAAAGAATGGTAATTGGGCGGATAAATGAGCTGTAAAATTTCCTGTAACTTCTGTTTTTTACCTCATGTTCTCGATAGTGCACCTGATAAAAAGAAAAACGGTAAAATTCGAGAATTTCAACAGTGATTTATGACTAACCTTTTCGGCCAAACGGTGAACCATCTTGTCGAGTGTCAGGGCAACATTACAGAATCTGTCGTACGTCTGAATAAATACGGGTCAAAATTAGAATGAGTAAGGAAAGTCTCACCGCGCAAATGTAGTCCAATCCTTGGTTATCGACCAGTATCTTTTGAAGAATGAAAGTGGCCACGGTTTTTGATAACTCGGAACCGCCGTCCATTATTTCCAAACAGAGAGGGACGATTTCAGTCTATGAAGGATTGAAGAACTTGTTTTTGGAAAAGGGAAAACCTGCAAAAGGAATGTAATGACTTCGTTTTCGTCGGTTTTGACGAGAGCGCCAATGACGCCCAAGGAAGTGAGACGGAGGTATTCGAAACTTCGGTTTGCACTAAAACCAAATTAGAGATGATTATTTCGATTCAAAAGGTTACCTTTTAGTGCTGAGAAACGGATAAAGAAAGAGAGGAATATGAGCTTGAAGGAAAAATTGACGAGTATCCGGGTGAGAAGCGACGCATTGCAAAAGCGCCAGGGCGTTGCATACTCGATTTGACTAGAATTCAATAGAAAATTTAAGATATTGTATAATCTTCTACCTGATTAGGTGTGAGAGTGGCGGGATCAATGGCGTGGTAAACGCCGACGATTTCTTGAAGAAGAACGGCTATGGTTCCGAAGGAATGCCAAAGCATTGGGGCAAGTTGCTCGACTTTTTCGCGCATTTTCGACAGCTCTAGCAAGGCAGTTTCGCGGGTTTCGGGGCTAGAGTTTCATTTTTCAAGAAAAAAGGGATGCTTTTCGATGATACCTTGTGAGTTCATTAATCCACTGATAGATTTTACGCATGTTCTGTTCGTGATCGAGGCCCTGATCGCGCCCATCGACCATGCCAGTCATCATCGTTTGAGGAAAAGAAGAAATGTCGTTCATGACGAGTCGGTTGCCTAGCTGTCCTCCAAGCTGGCCACCGCCCAGTGATGACTGTAACGACTGCTGCTTCCATTAGGATTAAGATTATCTTCAATTATTAATAATTAAATTGACTTTCATCCCTCAAAAACAACATTTGACAGCTTCTCAATCCCTTAAATTCAGGCCATACATCGGCGCCTTCCTATCTCCAGCAAAAAACTACTTTCTTGTCCTTTCTTCTGAATTCGAGTCTGTCGCTATGAAAGACTGGGCTGTTGGATTTGAGAGAAGTTGCCCCAGAAGGCGATTCGCTCTTTTTGCTCGCTCTGCGATTCGGGTGACTATTGCTCCGCCTACTCGCTTTTCCACGCTGATCATTGGCTGATAGATATTCACTACTCCTTTTCCTCTTTGAGAAATGGTCATTTTCCACCATATTTTTTTGATTTTCAGAGATTCTGACATCCAAGAGACTTTTTTTCCCTGTTAGAGTAATTTCTTACTGCCCTTTTTATGCAAATGATAAGACCCATTTTCTAACAGAGCAATTTTTAGACTCAAAGAGGACCTTATGGCGGACGCAGCTCCAGCCCAGGCATCCCGTGGTGGTTTCCGAGGTGGTTTCGGTGGTCGTGGCCGAGGACGCGGTCGAGGCCGTGGACGAGGTCGAGGCAAGCCCGAGCCAAAGGAATGGCAACCCGTTACCAAGCTCGGTCGACTTGTCAAGGACGGTAAGATCAAGTCCATCGAAGAAATCTACAACTTCTCCCTTCCCATCAAGGTAAAATTAGAATCTGAAGCCATTCTCTCATCTCGAATTTCAGGAGTTCGAGATCGTTGATCACTTCATCGGTCCCTCCCTCAAGGACGAAGTCTTGAAGATCAAGCCCGTCCAGAAGCAGACCCGAGCCGGTCAGCGAACCCGATTCAAGGCCATCGTCGCTGTCGGTGACGGAGCCGGTCACGTCGGCCTTGGCGTCAAGTGCTCCAAGGAAGTCGCTACCGCTATCCGTGGCGCTATCATCCTTGCCAAGCTCTCTGTTGTCCCAATCCGACGAGGTTACTGGGGTAACAAGCTCGGTGAGCCACACACCGTTCCTTCCAAGGTACAAACTTAGAACCTCTTTCTGCGATGATAGCTAAAATTGAGAAGCCGCTTGCAGCTTCGAGCAATTTTAAAGGAACACACGCAAAGCGCGGTTTTTAAATTCTCTTGCTCTGAGCCGCAAGCGTCTTTTCGATTTGAGATACAAGCATAAAAACAATTGTCGCTTCCCGTTTCTCAAAATTTATTTCTAGGTCCACGGCAAGTGTGGTTCCGTCCACGTCCGATTGATCCCAGCTCCCCGAGGAACTGGTCTCGTCTGTGGTCCAGTCCCCAAGAAGCTTATGCAGATGGCGGGTCTTGAAGATTGCTACACCTCCGCTTGCGGCTCCACCTCCACTCTTGGAAACTTCGCCAAGGCTACTTTCCAGGCCATCTGCGCGACCTACTCCTTCCTCACTCCCGATCTCTGGAAGGACGAGAAGCTCCCCGTCCCACCATTCGAGGAGTTCTCCGAGTACCTCGCCCAGAACCACAAGCAGGGTGGCGTCCAGCGAAAGGAAGTCAAGAAGTACTAAACACCACCACCTGTTTAGCCCTGTTCCCAATTTTATTCTGCAACTTTCACGAATTCTATTCGGGAATAAACTTCTGGCAAAAAAAAACTCATGCGTAGTTGCGTTTAGATTAAAAAATGGCAAGTGCGGAATTTTACAAAAACTTCGGGGAAATTAGATGTTTCAAAACTGACACTAGACTTGAGTTTGAGCCTCCAGGTTAGCCAGTATCTTTCGAAGGGTTGAACAATTTCGTAGTGGAGTCGCGAAAGGAGGACATTTTCAGGCAGCATGAAGGCAAATGGGTTGATTTCTCGGTTTGCTGTGTTGATTGTGGAGGTTGAGGTTGCTAAGTATCCAGAGCTTCTAGTTATCAGCTGTTACAGCTATGGTAGTCACCTCAAAATGTAGGAATTCTGGCTGATAGAAAGCAACGTCGAGTGTACTCTCTACCGAGTACCGATTGGGAAGCGATGCATTTCACTTGCTCTGAGACGAAGAAAGTATCAGATGAGACGATAAAACGGCGAAAAGCACCGCAGTTCGACATGGTTCTCTACTGTGCGCTTTGGTTGGAGATAAAAGATACCGACTTTGAGGGAGAAGTCGACGAGCTCGACTGCGAATGCAAAAGAAAGTACAAAAATAGGCTGTTTCGACCTGATATTGTTGTGAAAATCTACAGCGGAGAGGACGGCGAGGTCTCCGTATCTTCTGGAATGGAAAGTTGCGTTGCCGAAAAGTTTCTAGAGCTAGGGAGGGTGCGGCCTGTTTTTCGCTTTCTGATCGCAGATCTGGTCATTTCGGTGATCCAGTTAGAGAGCTACCTGCAATTCGGGAGAGGATCAAAATTCAAGGTGAGTTTGATTGGTTACTGTCACGGTATTTTTACACGGGAATTGTTTCTAGCCCATGGTCAAAGTGGAGATCCACAGTGAATCACACCCGGTAAACAAAACACTCGTTGAAGTGGAGTTGGAGACTGAAGAGCGCCAAGGAGTGCAGATAAATTTCCCCCCGAAGAGAGTTTCTGAGCTAATGGACACTCTTCAAGCTAACAAGCTGCTACTGCCAGAGAATATCCGGGAAGACCGTTTTGTTTCGTTCCTAAGATTTTCCGTTGATAATAAGTAGCTTCCTGAGTCTCAAATTTTCTCGCTTCAGAATGAGTGTTGAAGGTCCGACGGAAATTGATGTCGCTGCGCCGCAGAAAGAGCTCGATGCTCAGCTGGACATCCAGGATGTTGAAAACTCTAACTCGGAAGACGAAGAATCCCAGTGTGGAGAGGATGACGAGACCGAGGAAAAGTATCAAACTCTCATTGAGCTTGAGCCCTTGACAATTCACCTCCAGCAAAGGTAGTCTCAAAAACCACCACTTTACTTTGCTAACGGTTTTTTAAAGATACTGGTTCTATTGCCGCGAGTGGGGTCTTTCCCGAATGCAAATGAAGGACGTTTACAATGCCGTGCTTCAAGAAGCTTCTGGCACTTTGAACCCTGATCCTAGTGATCCTCCCTTCCTCTGCAAGTCTGAAGATGACGAGAGTATCTTCTACTGGCAGGTGTTGAACATCCAGGACGGCTTTGCTGAATGCCGATCGTTGGAGAATGAAGAAGTCGAACATGTAAGCAAAACTATCGCGAAGGAAATTCATGCCTACTCATTTTAGATCCACTTGAATGACCTTGAAGTGCTGTTCTCTGGCGACGAGGATTTCAAAATCTCTCAGGAGCGACAGCTGATCATGGATATGTACAACTTTTTCACGACCTTTGTCTACCCTCCATGGGGTCAGCTCGATGAGAGTAAGCTCAGAACATTCAAACGTTCATCTTATCTCCAATCCTAGGCATGAACGAAGTCCCATTTGAGCCCCTCCTCCGCGAGCGACTCAATCTTTTCAACCTCCTCGCTTCCGAGCATGTGCCTAAACATGCCGAGTTTCGATATCGAGTCCAGAAGATGGAATTCGAGCAAGCTTACGAAGACCTTGATCGCTTGACTGCGACTATTAATGAAATCCAGGTAGGCCACCACATTTGACTTCGTTTTTCATATTCGATAACAAGCGGGTTCAGAACGAAGTGCAGGAATCCGAAGAGGATCAAAGAAATCTCTTCGAGTCGATGTACAACCAGTACGCAAAGGTCTACCGATACTGGCTCTACCACGCTGAAGGTCTCCAGAAAATGGAGGCTGAGATCTGGGAGAAATACCATATCACCGAAGAAGGGCCCGTCGAAGTCGGTTAGTAGATTTAGCAAAGAATAGGATGTGAAACTTCATTTTAGTTCGAAAGATCAACGGCCCTCGCCCTGAAAACGAAGGGCCAGTCCACCATCTTGTGGCTGAAATGCTCACGATGAAAGACATCAAAGAGCTCAACTTGGCCGAAAATGCCAAAGTTCGATCCTACGCGACTTTGGATCTTACTGAAGCGCTCCAGGCCTGTCACGAGGGGGATACTATCATCCTCTTCCCTGGAACATATGAGTAAGAACTCATCTTTTGATTGCGAATAACTTTTGGTTAAGAATTCCTTACTTGTGCGACTACCTCTTCCACGAGTCGATCACAATCAAAGGCTGCACAGACAACGCAAACGACATCAACCTAATGGCCTCCGATCGCCAGCGCTTCTTCATCCTCGCCGATGCTGTCGACCTGCAGTTTCAGAACCTCACGCTCAACGCCCAGTATCACACTGAAGGCGCCATTTGCGTGCGAGGCGGCAGCGTCACCCTCGACAATGTGATCATTCGCACTGATGAGGTCACCCGCGGCGTTGTCATCCATCCTTACTCAATTTGCAAGATGAACAACTGCGAGATCGAAGGAAAGCACGATATTTCCGTCGACATCAAGAACGGCGCCATTTTGGAGAAGAAGGGAACTAACAAGTTCGCTGTTGAGCCGGCTCTTCGAAAGATTCGACAACCATGTAAGAAAAAATCCAGTTAGCACTTTCATAACGATATTTCAGTGATCATTGATGTCGAAGAAGTTGTCCAGCCAAAAGAAATCGCTCCCGCTAGTGAGCCAGTAATGTACGCAAAGCCGAAGCCCGTCGTTGTGGCTCCACAGCAAGGCGCCGGCGATGTCATCTCTACATAAGTTCAAGCAGCACAGAACACAAAATACTCACAGAATTCCACTTACCTTCTGCCCATATCGCCACATTTTAGCCTTTCTGCTTTATTTTTTACTTTTTTTCTATTTTTGTATTCTCAGCAAATATATTTTACAAAGAAAACCATAAGATACTCATGTGTTCTAACCATCCGGTGTTAATTCTGATGGGTGGTGGTCATAGCAAGGATGATAAAACATTGATAGGTCAGTCTTTGAGGCCCGCTGGGTCGCTGACGATAATCACACAGACACTTGAACTGAAGCTCACACTAAACTTCTATCAGTTTATTGTTGCAGGGCCCTATCATAGGGCATCACATCTTCATAAATACTAAAAGTCCAGTATCCCGTACTGCGAGAATCATAATCCTACGGCTTATCCGAACTTATGGGCATTTTTACCGGACAAACTCGTTTCGTTAATGATGAAAAAACGACTTCGAGTCAGTCTTACACCCACCATGGGGAAAACTTCTAAGACACTTGAATCTGATACAACTCACTCCAGATGATTCCAAATAACAACCCGAAAACGGGTTTCCTAAAATAAAATTTGCCTTCAGAAATATATGACGGAAGATGGGCCACTTTTTTACGAAAAATTGTCGTCTCGTGAATTTACGCCCGTCGAGCGTTTCCGACGAGCATCGTTGAAGGTTTTTGCAGGAGCACTTGGCCCGCCTCTGAGCTTTGTCTGGTCTTCTTTGCCGAAACATCTCGTGTTCATGCACAAGGCAGAAAATGTGGCCGAAAACTTTTTCGCCGATCCGATGAAAAGTTTCGGTGTCGACTCACTTGATTACAAAATCACATCTTGCTCTGGAAACACAATCGGCCTTTGGGCAGTGAAGAAAGAGACATCAATCGGGTCCGTTTTATTTTGTCATGGGAGTGGAGGGAACAGGGCTTCTCCTCCTCATCGACTTGCTGTTTTGAAAAACTTCACTGCCCTAAATTTCAACATTGTTTCATTCGGTAACTGGTCCGTCTTTGACCTAATTTTGATAACTCTGTTAGACTATTCCGGTTTCGGTGATTCTTCTGGAGCCCCAAACTGCATCAACGTTGTGGAAGATACAATTTCTGCGTACAAATTTATGACTTCCCACTTCAAAGGCCCCTATCTTATGTACGGTCATTCTCTTGGTACAGCGATCGCCATCGAGGCTACAGTTCGGTTGCAAAGTGATGAGAACCCAGTCGACGGGCTAATCTGCGATTCCTGCCTTCCCTCGATGCGGCGAGAAATGCTCGAGTATCCCACTGTACAGCTTTCCCGTTCGATTTACTCTGATCGCGTTTTCGAGTGGTTCGTCGACCACCACATTCAAAAATCTGATCTAAACTTTAACACTGACTTGTCTATCGTCAAAGTGTCTTGTCCAATTTTACTTCTTCATTCCAAAACGACTCCGTTATCAAATGGGAACACGCGCAGAACCATTTCAAGGCAATTTGCGTCGAGGGCGTTTCGCGTTGGTGCAGATTTATCCTTTTCGAAGAGGTTCATAATTACGGCCACTGCGGAAACATCTATTTTCCCGGCTTGCCGTCGATCTTGACAGACTTCGTCAATGCTATCAAATTTAACGTACAGCGCTATCAAGCTGATGTACTCTAAGTTAAATCGCCTACTCTAACTATGTCCTTGTTTACCTATCGTCCTTATTTCTTCAAACCATCTGTCTTTACTTCTTCATTCATTGTTTAGTACCAAATTGCTAAAATTTAAAATATGTATTGTAGATAACATGTATAACAATGGGAGATTCATGAGTCGGCCGAATTTCCGCCGGCCGATGAAGAAGAAAAAGGGAAATGCCCTCGCTCACTTAGAGAAATTCACTGCTGTTCAGCAACTCGCCATATTTTGCCCAGATCTGAAAATAAACATCGAACAGCATCCCACAGAAGCGCAGTACTTCAAAGCGTCTTGCTTCATGCGCGGTCGACAAGTCGAAGCTTTTCACAAGGGCAAAAAGAATGCGAGGCAAGCACTGTGCTCAAAAATTATCAAGGTAGTTCTTGGGGAAAGCGTTTTAAAAATCTCTAGTAGCAATTCAAATTGCTCGACGATTGCCGGGGCGACGGTGCCTCTGAAAGCATGAGCATCGGCGTGCACCTCGAAGAAGAGCTTCCAAGCTGTGTTTCTTCTGCGAAAAGCGAGCCCACTTCATTCAAATCCGAGATCTCCAGCGAACAGCTCCAATCAATGGAAGTGATCATGCAGCAAGAAGTAAGCATCAAGTCCTTTTTGATCAGTCTTGATTTTTTGGCCAATTTTCTTTCAGTTAGACTCTGGCGCTACGCTTGCGTTAGTTTCAGAATCTAACTGATAATTATTTTAGCCGGAAGTTAAGAATGAGCAAGCAGGGCCTCTTGCGAAAGGCTTGTGGTTGAATTTTTGTGAATCTTGATAAAAAAACCCTTTTTTTACTTTTTGTACCACTGTTGAAGCCCACGGTTATACCGGTTCTTACAACTCATCTTCTCTTCTCAATGATTTGGACAAAATGCCTGCCCAGCCGATGGAAACATCAAGCCAACCTTCATCTTCTAACTTGATGCCACCACCAGTTATTCATCGCGAAGAATACAGACTACCACCAGCTCGAAACGATAACACGAACAAAACGCCGATCTCTATTCTCCACGAAAGAATGAGGAAAGACGTGGACTTCCAATTCGCAGAAGCTGTCCGTGATATAAATACGGGTCTTTTCATGGTCCGAGTCGTATTCACTGATGGAATAATGTTTGACGGATTCGGCAGAAACAAGAAACTAGCAAAGCATCACGCCGCTGCTCTTGCGCTAGAAAGTAGATTTAACATGCCACAGTTTTCTCTTCCTGAAGGCGCTGGGCTCGGCAAAGCCGACCAGAAAAAAGCTGATATCGGTTTGCTAAAGGAGATTGATGTAATGATCGGGAAGGCGAAGAAAGAAAGCTTCCCCTCGCCGTCTAAAGATCCCTTGTACATCGACCCGGCGAAAATTATCTCGAGGGTAAATGAGCTTCATCCAGGCATAGGCGCATTGGTCGTTACTACACAAGATGACGGAAAACAACCATTGTTCCATTGCTCTGTTACTGTAAATGGCACTGAATTCATGGGTCACGGACGAGCGAAGAAACAAGCCAAGTTTGACATGTGTTCGAAAATAATGCGAGATCTGCATGGCTACAACTTGAAGGCGCCCCGCGCGGGCCAAGAGATCTTCTGTTCTGAAGATATACAAACTAGAGGCCGTATAGCTGATAAGATGCAGGATGCCATTGTGATGAAGTTCAATGAACTCTGCGCGAAAGGAGTCGATCAGGTACTCTTTTCAAACCAAACTCGAATAACACTATTGATAGGATGCACATAAAATGAAAGTACTAGCTGGAATCTGTATGACAAGAGAGCCAGTTACTGATGAATCGGAAGAGATCCCGACGGTCATCGCTCTCGGAACGGGAACGAAAACCATGACTGGCGAGCACGTTTCTACCGTTGGAACGGCAGTTATTGACTGTCACGGTGAAATCATTAGTCGACGGAATTTGAAGCGATTCTTTTACTCCGAACTCCAAAAAATCGCCAATGGAGAGGGCCTCGCTTCCATTTTCGAAAGAAAGAATGGCCAAGGAAAATTCGCACTTAGAGACGGGATTAAATTCCATCTTTATATCAACACCACAACGTGTGGTGATGCGCGTGTTTTCAACCCGAATTCCAATGATGATTTTGAAGATTTTAATAGTTCCAGAATGAGCCGAGGCATTCTTCGATCAAAGGTTCGATTAAGATTTCTTCTTAAGGAGTTTTAAGATTTTATTAGATCGAAAACGGGGAGGGAACAGTTCCGATTAACAAAGAAGAGTCAGTCTTAACATGGGATGGGATCATTGGAAACGCTCGACTGAAATCAATGAGTTGTTCTGACAAAGTGATGCGCTGGAATGTTCTTGGTTTACAAGGAGCTCTGCTGAATCAACTCATCGAGCCGATCTATCTCTCTAGCATCTCTCTTGGAGGCCTGTATCACCGTCAGCACTTCCCGAGAGCAATGTTTGAGCGAATTGAAAACATCGGCACTGATTACGCTTCCAGCTTCAGGCTCAACAAGCCAATGATGTCTCCGTGTGGAACTGAAGAGCCAAGAAGGGCCAAAAACACTCCTCCGTTCTCTATCAACTGGTGTATCATCGACGAAAAGCTTGAAAAAATCGATACAGTAACGGGTAAACAGATGACAAGAGAGCCTTCGAGATTATGTAAACGCGAGCTTTTTCAACTTTATCTGGTAATTAGTTTTCTTCTGCCTTTACACTTTTGAATATGCAATTGTTCAGCGAACCATCGAGCAGCTGGGCCCTGTGGTTGATAAATCCTACGCGCAGAAGATTCAAGAGATAAAAACGAAGAGCTACTTGGACGCTAAGAACTTATCAACAGAGTATCAAACTGTAAAGAATTCCCTCTACGAAAAGATGAAGGTTGCCAATGTTGGATATTGGGTGAAGAAACCTGAAGAGTTCGAGAGCTTTTCCATTTGAAAGAGAGATCTATCAAGTGTCGCCAATTGTTATGACGTGCTTTTTTTAAGGTTGTGCAATTTATTTCACCCACTTCCCCATTTTAAGACCCAGAACACCATACATATTTGGAATCAGTGAAAAAAATCTAAAAACTTGACCGTTTTAGTTTTTCGAAATTCACTTCCGGTTACGATTCTAGAGCCGGAAGTCCACGAAATTTATAAGAAATACGTACATATGACCTATCAAATTAAAGCTTGCAATAAATCTAGTCATCAATGACCGAAATCGAGTCCAACCGCGGTCAAAAAACGCCGGTAAACGACCGGTAAAAATTGAAAAATCTCCCATTAAATCATGCTTTTTTCATAGTTTTACCAGTCAGTTTAACCGCGTTTGGGACTGTTTCTTCAAATTAGTTGATGATGAGATGACTGAGAATCTTCTGCGCATCAATTTGATAGGTCACGCTTTACCATGACTCCAAAATTTCGCCTACTTCCGGCTCTAGAATCGTTTCCGGAAGTGAATTTCGAAAAACTAAAACGGTCAAGTTTCTAGATTTTCTCCACTGATTCCAAATATGTATGGTGTTCTGGGTCTTAAAATGGGGAAGTGGGCGAAATAAATTGCACAACCTTAAAAAAAGAACGTCTATATTTCCTGACCAGAGCTCAAAAAGCATGATTCATCGCGTGCGTTTTGATGAGCTGTGAACTTTCCCCTGCCATCGCATTTTACTCAAAACGCCCTTTCCCTTTTACGTTTACTCATTTACCATCCTTCAAAAATTAAATTCAAACAAATGGATACTTCTTCTTACAAGTCATGTTACCAATCGCCCACTTTTACGTGGTTGCTTCAGACAATGGAAGAGAAAGCTGAAATAACCCTCACCGCAGGGTATCACCGCGTCAACTCGAGAGAGGTTGACCTCTTCCTTGATCCTGATTCAGACCCGGGATCGTCCAAGCCGCAGTCTACTTCCGTCAAATCGCAGGCGAGGGTTCGCAATTCAACCAACGATTTTATCAATTTTTTTTGCAAATTAATAATTTTGATTAAAAAACTTCTGGTCAGTTGCCGAACCATAATCAAAGACAGTTACAAAATTCAGCTGGCCAAAAGCGTACTACATTGGATCACTCATTACTGCCAGCAACACGGTAAACATTGTTTATTGAAGAATGTCTCCTAGTCATCATTTAGTTCATCGCGTACGTTATCCGAGGCAAATCTGATGCTGTTCGAATTTTAAATCGTCTCACTGCCGCTCGAGTGCTCATCAAAGGCTTTGCTGGCCCAGTTTGCGACGTCGCCTTTGCCCACAGCGACTCGTCCCTCTTCGCCGCAATCGACGAAAGCGGCTCAATCTACATTTACTCAATCAGCCAGCCAGAAGGCAACTCGAAAAATATCGAGACCAAGCTTCTCTTCAAAGTTGAGAAGCGTAACACAATTCGAAATCCCTCCCACAGAATCGTCTGGTCGCCTAAAATTCATCACTCCAAAAACGAAGACGAGCCCGAGCTAGTTGTCGAAACCAACTATCTCGCCGCAACGAGCATGAACGACATTGAAGTATTCAAGCTTCATCAAATCATCAACGACGAAGTCACGAAGCAAGGAGAACCAGTGATCAAGAAAGACGATGATTTGCTCAATGGTTTTACTGGCTACGTTGGTTTCCAAGCCCACGCAAATGTCATCACCGATGTTTCGATCGCCCCGGACGGCGCTGTCATGTGTACTTCATCCGAAGACGGCTATGTCCGATTCTGGAACACTGCTGGCCTCACCGAGGACAGGTCCGAGACTCCCAATACCCTGCACGAGTGGTACCCGCATGACAAAGCACCTGTTAATTGCATCAAATTCCTGGACAATTACCAAGTCTCAGACCCTGACGTGCCTTACTGGCGATTCCTGCTCACTGCGGCAAAACAAACTCAAGAGATTAAAATCTGGTGTACAGTCAAGTGGAATTGTCTGCAGTCGCTCTCCTTTCACATGAATCCAATGGTGCCGCTGAACAATTACAGTATTCCTCCGCAAATGAAATTGGCCGTCGATCAGACCGGAAACTACATCATGATTACCGATATCAATCGTCGAGTCTTGTACTGTCTCGAGTGCTGCTCCGAGTTTGGGGACGGCGACCAGGGCCCGTACAGCAACGGTGACTGCTCCATCCGATCCATCAACGTCTGCCTCATTGATACTCCGATTCTGTCCTTCCATATGTCCGCTGTCAAAGGTAAGTGTCCTTGATCGCGAGCGTTAATAGGAAGTAATCGTTTAGGTATCACAATGATGTCGGCCGAAGAGCCCCCGCGTCGCCGTCGAGGAGTGCAAATCCAATCATTTACACTCCACCAGTCTAATCTTTACAAACTTCAAAGTCGAATCCTTCACCACAAGAGTTTCCTGACTGAAGTGCCCAATTCCGGCGGCGGCACACCTTCTGGCATTCTCTCTCCGCAGCGAGTCCTGTCTCCTGGTCTTTCTGGCGATGAGGTAAATTGAAAAATAGCTCAATTTAAACTTGCTCGCTCTATGACAAGGGCATGCGAAGCTGTCTGTGAGGAGTATCAGCTCCTGACTGGTCTTTGCGGGGTGTTAACTCACCTTGTGAAATGTCAGCTCAATTTTTTCTCTCAACTACTGCAATCTTTAGCAAATCTACTCGCCCAAATCGAGACTATCCGACAGTGAGGAGCCGAAGAAACGCTCGCGCTCTAAGACCCCTTCGCGACGCAATAAATCCAAATCGCCAGCGAGGAAGATGAGCCAAGGTTTGACTTTTTACTTTGAATAGATCTTTCTGTTGATTTTTCATAAACAAACTTTTTATACTGCAATTTAACCGCATAAATTTTATATTGAAAACCCGTAAAGAGTACCATTCTAGAGCTTTAAATTCTAGAAAAAAATCGGTGCGCGCAGTATTCGCAAAAACACTGAGCGGTAGCCGCGTCTGGCCCGAGGGTTAATTTAGCTGAAAATCATTCAAATAAGCGCAATTATGAAATTCAAAGTTAACTTTGCTGGCTGCGATGTTTTTATCTTGAATTAGTATTTTTTCAATGAGAGGAAAATTTTCACAAAAGTTGCAATTTTTTGAAACGCTTTCTTCAGACTCGAGCTTGGGCAGCGAGAAAAAATCGCCGCAAAAAGAGGAAAGCATGAATGACATGAGCTCAATCATGGAAAAGCTGAAGAGTCAACCGAGAAGACAGAGCAACAGCTCGACCAGTACTAATGGTGCGATCGAGTCTACAACCGGCCTTGACGCTGACAAACCATCAGAACCAGTCCAAACAGAGCCAGAAGCCCAAACAACAGCTTCGACTGAAATTCCAGTTAGTTTCGCATCTGACGAGGAGAAAAAGTCAAGTGGAGACAGCAAATCAGAAGCGGACGAAAGTTCATCCGTTGGTACAAAGCCAGCGATTTTAGACAAATTGTTCGGCAAGAAAAGCGTTCCTGAACCAGAACCAGCAGCCAAATTCGAACAAGAGTCGCCAAAAGAGCCCGAACCAAAGCCAGAGAAGCAGCCTTCTCTTTTGGAAAGCATTTTCAGTCAAGCATCAAAGAAAGGCAAGGGAGTAGTTACTCTCGAAGACGATAGCACCTTGACGAACGTCACGCCCATCAACATGCAAGAAGAGAGCGAGTTGCACGAAGCAGAGCTCACTCCTCGCGAGACCGAACGGGAGGATCCGATGACAGCAATGAACAATCTCCTCCAGTCGCTCAAAGCGCAGACGGAAAACAAGACAAAGAGCCCTGAAGTGCCCCATGAACCGCTGCCCGTTGCTTCTTCGTCAAACAAAGTCTCATTGATCTTTGGCGATCAGATTCTCAGCGACATAAATAGGATCATCGGCTCCATCAAGTACAATTGCGAAATCCATATGCTTGATGGCGCGCTCACCAAAAACATCAAAAAGTATGTGACCGAGATGGGAACACGAAAAGACGCCGAAGTCGTTATCTTCCATGTTGGCAGTAATGATATCTCCGCCAAAACAACAGAGAGCCAGTTCAACACTGATCTGATGCTGCTTTTCGGAGCCGCACGAAGTGCTTTTCCGAATGCGAAGCTTTGCATGAGCTCCGTTCTTCCAAGACACGACGAGTTCGCGTCAAAAGTATCCAAGTTCAATTCCGAAGCGCTGAAACAATGCGAAGTCTGCTTCATCGAATTCTTGGACAATACGAAGATCTTCCAGAAAATCGACAACTTCGCTTATCAAAGTGATCCCAGCGAATGCCTAGCGCTCAATGAACACGGAAAGGAAAACCTGTGGATCCATTTCTTGTGCTTTATCGAAGATCATGTTCAAGAAGGAAGTTCTTACACCTCAGTCAAGTTTATTGAAGGTCCACGATTATCCCCGAAACTTCCAAAAGATGGAATTGAAGTACGAAACCTAACTCCTGTTTGCGAAGACAGAGATGAGCCTCCAGAAGTCGAGTCGGAAGACGAAGCACCAAAGGTACCAGAAGAACCGAGAGTCGAAGGCGATGGCTCGAAGAAACCAACCGCCGGACGAGATGGAAATGCGGACGGATCTCAGAGTCCATTGCCACCTACTCCTACTTCTCTTATCCCGACGCGTTCTCAGCGCATTCCAGCAGCTCCTGTTCAGACTCAACTTGTCAATGGAACTCCAAGCCAGAGTGACATAAGCACGCTTATTATGATGATGAAGAAGCAATCTGAAGACATTGAATCCCTTAGAGCTGAAATGAGACGGAACCAGGTACTTATATTCGTTTAAATTATTGTTCTCGATATTCTCCTTCTAGAGAAACAATCAGGAGAACATGACAAGACTAAATCAGGACATGCGAATTAACACGAGCCAAAGCAAATCAAACGGCCTTCCAAATTCGTCTATCGACGCCGTGTTACCCGGGTATTTGCATATCATAAAAGCATTGGGCTTATTTAACGCGCATATTTAGAATTCAAAAGAGAGTTGGAGATGCAGTCGAGCGCGCATCAGCGGAGAAGATCGAGCAGCTCAAGCCGACGATTCAAAAGCATATTGAGAGGGTTGTTCAGAACGCCACTCCTGGAATGATGCAGGCAATGTCGAAGACAATGGAACAGACAGTCAAAAGTGTCTATCAAAGCTCAATTGAGAAAACATCGATACCTCAATTTGAAAAAGCAACACGCGAGATGTTCGATCAGCTCTCTGTTGCTTTCAGCAGAGGCCAAGAGGAATATATATCCAGGTTAATATGTCTCATCGTTAAATTGTTTTAACAGTTGTCTTAGAATCGAAAAAATGTTGGAAAAACGAGTGCGAGCCGAAGTGAGCTCAATCGAAGGCACAGTCGCCAACGCTGAGGATCCAAATGGACGTCTATCCGCAAACCTATCAGCCAATATTTCCCAGACTCTACAGACGCAACTCCTATCAGATCTAAATAAGCAAATGGCGCGAAACGCACAGGAGCAAAACCAGTTTATGAACCGCACTTTCGCACAACTACGACAACAATTGGTAATTTGCACTTATAATTTTGGAATCAAAACATGTTTGTAGATAATGGACATTCAAAAAATGCTCGACAACCACACAAATCAGCTTGACAACAAAGTAGAAGATGCTATTGCTCGTGCTCAGACTCCAGCTCCTGTCCAAATCGACGAAAACGCGGATGTTCGAGACAAGGTACCTTCACATCTCCTCTCATTCTCTTCTAAAACTGTTCAGATTCGCGCATATTTGAATGGAGAAAAATATAATGAAGCATTTACGGCTGCGTTGATGCAGTCCAACTTGGGGCTTGTTGTGGACACGATGGAGTCGGTAGACTCTGCGAAAATCTTCAGCCCCGAAGCGGGGCCAAGCGGGACATGCCTTGAGGCGCGTGGTGATAAATACAGTAAGGCAAATAGACAACCAAAAAGCTCTCAAGCAAAAGGAAACATTTCAAAGCCAAAAATCATCGCTTCCAATACTTCTACCTTTCCTAAACCTTCTCTTTCTCTTACTCCTTCTAACTCTTCCCAAGTCCGGCCTCGTTCGGCAAAGCTCATCAAATCTGAGTACAAGCTCAAGCCAAAGGCTCTTCCTGAGAGGCCCGCTGAAACTAACTACAATAATCTAACATCTGAAATAATCTCGTCCTGCGAGTCGTTCTACGACTCCGATCATTACTCGTCAAAACCGATCCAGAATAAGTCTTTGGCTCGTAAAGATTCAGCTTTTCTGGACGATTCTGACATGGACATACGCTCGAGCACAGATACCAAGCTCAGTCGATTTTTTCTTTTGAATAAATATTAATTTACGTAGGCCTTGATCTTTTTCTCTCTCTCTCTCTTTCTTTTCCTCTTTCACTTCCTTTCTGCTTCAATAAAGACTACACGGCTTTCGTTTTTGGCAAAGTTTTAAAGGAAAAGTGAGTATGTCTGATCAAAAAATCACCACGCTGAAGCAAAATATTATTCTGTCTTTGATCTCCCAGCTGTCTCAGGATCTTGGAACGAAGTCAGCGTTGAAGCTTACATATCTACAGGATGCTGTGTTGAGTCTTAATTATCTTCACCCTTCTTCGCAGCATTTCCCACAAGTTCTTGGTTTGTGTTATTTAAGTTTTTCATCGCTCTTATGTCTGATTAGGAGAGCTGCAGCAAAAGATCCAACAGTTCATCCAACTCAATCCCCGCGATCCAAATGCCCGGACCTTCAAGATGCTGAACATGACCGTGGCTGGAATCGTCAAAGAAATCGCCGGAGCAAGTGTTCATTTGGACGTCTCCAGATCGAATATGGGAGCTGCTCCTGGTCGAAACGCAACGTTTTCATAAAAAAAAATCACCTAAATCGAATCACGAAGTTATCCCCTATTGAAATCCAGTTCATTGCACCTTTCCCCTCTTCCCAAAAGTTAACTTATTTTCCCGGCGCCTACTATGCATCACCAACATTGTGAGCCAAAACCCTAAAAATTCACACAGCCACTCGAGCAATTTTCGCCACGGGCAATCCGTATATTTCAACTCTCACCTACTAGGCCACTTACTTGTTCATTATCATCATTTTACCTCCTCCTGACGTGAAAAAAAAACACGTTTACCGCAAAAAAATACAGTCTCAGTTGTCTCTAGTCAGAATTGATGTGTTCAAATAATCAAATAAATAAACTGAGCTTCCAAACAAAAAAAAATATATAATTTTCACACTTGTTAATAATCTACTGTAAAATATAAACCGGTCAAAAATGCCGACCTTGACCATTATTTTGCTTTCCTGTTGTTTTTGTTTCCACTTTTTGGTACTTTTGCGTTCTTCAATAAATAAATTACAACACTGAGTTTTTTCACTAATTTAAAACATACGATCGTTTTCAACTTTCAAGTCAGTCGCATCTTTCAAGTATGATCTCGGCTCTCAAGGGTCAGTCCGGTCCAATACTTGTTGGAGTTGTATCCTGGACTTTCGCGACGCTCCAAAAGCATCAATTTGAGACAAGACAAGCCGAAGTCGCTACTATTGCCGAGAAGATCCGTGTTCTTTATGGCCCGCTCAGGGGCAATCGCCTTGGTGAGTCAATTTTGCGTTTTTCTTCTTCTTTTATGATTTACCAGAAAACTAGTTTACCGATCATCGTACGCTGCGATTACTCAGGATCAACCTCTCAAAGATTGGCTCCAAAAAGCACAAGAAACAAAAAATAAAGAAATGATAATTGCCTGGAGAAAGTAAGTCTACATTTCTCTTTAATAATGTAGCGATAAATGTTAACATAAATTCTATCGGTTCCATGTCTCAACTTTGCATCCACTTGATCTGGAGGCGGTCAAACTGATCAAAAATAACTCCCATTTGATTCATAAGGTTCAGCTTCCTTTCTTCTTTCGCTCTCTCTCTACCTAAAATGGGCTTGCGTGAAAAATTTACTACTAACTCGCGCGTTTGTTTTCAAAATTGTGTTCCGCATTGATGAACATGAATTCGGGCACCAAGTTTCTTTCGAGTTTCTTTTTTGAGTTGGATTTTTAAGAATTGCAACCCCGTCGAATTTGAGAAATTCATCACTCGTGTGAGTGGAAATGTCTACCAAATGGAGACCTGGACGAACGAGCTGGGTAGGATAGAGAAAGCTGACCAGATGGACGACAATGACTTGCTGGTGGAAAATAACCTCATCGGATTCCGCTGCAAAAGAAAAAACGTAAAATGTGTTTTGTGTTTTTTGGTTATATAATCTTTTCTAGAGCACTGATCCATTTGGTGATTGTGGAAACTGCGCGCTCTCAAGTTACGTTGACGGTGTTCTCGACGAGCTACAAACTGTAAGTAAGGTAAATTTAGGCGTGTGGAAGAATAAAATTTATAGCGGAAAAACGAACTCGAGGGGCATCTTCAATCTCATTCTTCAATTTGGGGCTCAATGGTTGCGCTCTTCGCGATATTTGCAAGCTATGCCCAGTGACCTTTCACATCTAACTGTTCCCCTCTTCTCTTCAAGCAGATTTATTTCAGCAATCCAAACTCGCCACTCATCCTTCTTCTTCTTTTCAGATGGGCAGTAGCGATGCCGAAAAACGCATCCTCAGACTTAGACAGAAATTGGCAAAGCCCTTCGAGTCAGACAAGAGAGCATACTCGGTATGAGATGCCACGAGATTTACAGCTCCGCTGAAATAAGAGCTAATTTAGGTGATAAACGAGCTTAAGAATCTCAATGTTAAAGGGAAGACCATCAAAGAAGTCAGGATTAGGGACCATCTCAAGAATTTTCTGAGAAACTACGAGAGGAAGTATGAATTTTCTCAGCCAAGATATAAATTTGAAAATCTAATTATAGGCTTGAGAAAAGGACGATCGAACGCGCCAAAGAAGTTCTTGCTCGTTTCAAAGAAATTCAAACACGATTTGAAGAGAGAAGAGCATTCGGTTCTGACTCAAGCTCCGATGAAGAAGAAACTCGCCGTCGAAAGTCGTCAGGTTCTGACTCTGAAGATGATGGTGATGATGTTCCAGTGAAACAACCCCCTAAGAAACTCCGGTTTGTAATTCTTTCCAAAGCTCTTTTCATCTGAAAATTAAGGGGCTTCTTCATGGACGACGACGACGACGACGACGACGCCGGCGAAGATGACGACGAGGACGAGCTGGAAGATCTAATCGACGACGAAGCGGACATGAGCTACCTAAACGGCGGCGATGACATAGATCTATATCAAGCCTTCCCAGCTGACGACGATGATGATCCCTTGGCTCTTTTGAATAAACTTACAAGCGAAAAAGAAAACAAGAAAGAAAAATTATCAAAAAAGCGCCGCAGTGATGTAAATTACGAAAGCCAAAAACCATCGAAGCGCGTTAAATCGTCACACGACGACTCTCAATTACAGAAGCAGCGACTCAAAGAGAAAGAAAAAGAAAGAGAGCGCATCAGACGAGAAAGGGAGCGCGAAAAATTTCTTGCAGAAGAAAATGAAAGGAAGGCGCGAAAGAGGGAAAAGGAACGGCTGAAGATTGAGAAGCTAAAGAGGGAAGAAGAAGAGGCCAAACGCGCAGCTGAAAAAGCGAAAAAGAAGAAGCGCAAAGAAAAGGAGCGTGCTCTAGCTGCTCAGCTAAAAACTGAGTGGAACAGTGAGTACACTCCCTCAAGCGTCAAAGCAGAACCTTCGGAAGAATACGTTCCCTCCTTCTCAAATTCAAAATCGAAGAGCAAAACCTCGCGTCAGTCGATCAAAGAAGAGTACATTCCCCAATCCGTCAGTAGTTCCAAGCATACTGTAAAGCAAGAATACATCCCCGCACAAAGCGAGAAAAAACCAAAGAAAAAGAAAGAAAAACTGCATGTGAAACAAGAACGCTACTCATCACCTCCTAGACAAGCGAGCTCCTCCAAACCTATTGACCTTTTTGGGACAGATTCTGAATCAGATGGAGGAGCACCTCCTACCCCTTCACCGCCGAGATATAAAAAGAGTATCAGGCCAGAACCTCGCCAAGAGATACCAACTACTTCAAGAGTTTCGCATAAGCCAGCATACGATCCAAAGCCCGAAGTCAAAGAAGAGCCAGAGGAACCGCCACTTACCATCGCGCAACAAATCGAAGAAAAGAAGCTTGCGAAAAAGAAAGCCGAGAAAAAACTCAAAAAAGCGAAGAACAAGACAAATCTCGTTGCAAAAGAGGAAATGGAAACGGAAGGTTTTTCCTTCGAAGCGATGATGTCGATGAACACGGCGAAGGTAAAGAAGAAAAAGAAGGCGAAAAAACTCAACGTCGATGAATCAAATGCGAGCTGCTTGCAACTTTCTGCAGCGGATATGAAGCGCTTGCCGATGAATTCTGGCGCCTCAGCTGCTGCCAAAAAGCCACCGAAAGAACTCAACGATCGTGACGCTGCTTTTTTGGCAACGACTAGTAAGAAAGGTAGGGATCTTTAATGAAACTTATCTGGCAGCGATTGATTATTATAATTAGGCGGAGTGCAGGAACTACTCGCTGAACGCAGCTCGTTGAAAGTCAGATTAGTGGCAAAGGTGTACCCTTTGATGGAAATTTGCCAAAAGATGCTCACAACTCATCCACAGTATCTCTTGAATTGTATGGATCAATTTGTTTACGCGGCGGACGTTATCATGCCTGCTCTTGAACGTCTCGACGCGAAGAGTTTGAATCTAGTAAGCCCCAAGGAGCCAGATCAGAGTTTTAATGGTCGTTTCGTAGCTTGAAGAGCATCAACCGCATCTCGAAGAGGACACAAATCACATTTGGCGAAAACTGTGCAACGCAAAATATGGACTCGTCAGTTCGAGCACAGTCGAGGGACGCGGAGAGACATGGAAGGAAGGCTTCATTCGGTGAGTTAGTGACTCAGGAAGTTGCAAAAACATCCATATCTTTAGACTGACAAATGAAAATGACGCTCGCCTAAAAGTCCTCACGAAGAAAATTGTCAAGAAAACGGCAAAAGACGAAGCAAAACAGTTGAATACGAAACTTGCATTTTGCCATGGATATGTTAAGCCGCCTCCTGGTGTTAAAGTATGGCGGGTTTTTAATGCGTGCGAGGCTAATACTTTCGTGTTAGGTGTCGAGAACTGATATACGCAGCAAACGATTCGATGTTGATGTTCCAGGATATCAGAAATCGAAGCATCACAGTGCTACTGTTCCGGGAAATGTAAGTCGCATTTAGAATGATGCCCTTGAGCTTCCTACTTATATATTATCAACTATTGATTTACTCCCTGTTCAGCTTGGAACCCCAACGTCAAATCGACGGGACGTCGATCACACTGGCCGAACGCGAGTAAACGTAGCTTCCTCGGCGAACAACGCGTCCAAACGCAAAACTGGCCACCTCATGCAAAAAGCTTTACGAGGTATCGCAAAGTTCAAACGGTAGTCTTCATTTTTTCTGCATGTTTGACTGCAGTAACTATTTTTGTCTCCCTGTATTCAACCTCCTCTTTTTAAGTTATTTTTCAGCTTACAACTTTAAGTTTCTTTTATTTCTGTAACCACCACTCTGCTGCTTTATTCTTGTCTTCAAAACTACTGTGCTTAATATTTATTCTTTTCAAATTGTGGCAAAAACAGCTAAGATCAATTCATATTCCAATTCATAATTCGCTTTTTTGATGAATGTATGAATTAAGATTTTGAAACGGCCTTAATTATTATCTTGGCTGAGTGAGAAAATGGAAGCTATTTCTGTTTGATATTCTACCAGCAGTTAGCGGAAATCCAGCGTGATGGATAGCATTATTCACCAGGTAGATTTGTCATTCGCACTCTGATTCAAGAAAGTAATTTATTTCTTTAGGCGCAGAAGACCGACGATGGCGCGGAACTGACAGCACTTACAGGGAACGAGTCTCGATCACGAGAAAGAGGCGGCTTCTTGCGGTCCCTCTTCTGCTGCTTCGGCGACCGGCGCAACTCGCACACATATGAGGAAGTATCGGAGCCGCCGCCTGAAGAACCGAGCCCAAAGCAGGAGGTAAGTGGCCACTCAACGTGATAGAGTGCCTAATCAAAAATTTGTTTGTTTCTTATCGAGGACATGGTCTACAGACCGTAGATCTGTAGCTAGCCGTTAACAATGCGGATAGCGCAGGCTCTAAAAGGTCTGAACATCAGAGGTAGTAGTACTCTTGTAACGAGAGTCTTGACAGTTGTTATTTAAAAAGTTTACTTTTTGTAGATAAATTGGCCACTTTTGGGCCCCTTTGAAGTTTATTAAAAACAAGAAAGACAACGGTAACAGTTCAGCAATTAAAGACTATTCAAGCGGAAACGTCTTAGTTAACAATCTTTGACATATCAGGACTGACAAGTAATCTACGTGTAGTATTAGATCACCCGTGCCTCTATAAATAGCTTCTCACAGCTCTGAGCGGCTCTTAAAAATTTTAATAGGACGTTGTTGTCCCCGATCCATCACCTATCGTCTCACTGCTCGGCCCTGCGGACGATCCCAAGAAGATCTGTTGCGTGATAGATCTCGACGAAACTCTTGTGCATTCCTCGTTCAAGCCGATCGCCAACGCCGACTTCCATGTGCCAGTCGAGATTGAGAACATGGTTCATCAAGTATACGTGCTCAAGAGGCCATACGTGGATGAATTCCTCGCCAAAGTCGGCGAGTTATTCGAATGCGTCCTCTTCACCGCCTCATTAGCCAAATATGCTGACGAAGTCGCCAACGAAATCGACCCAAATAAGTGAGCTCCGATTAATCAATCCAGATTTAATGAACATCAATCATTTCTAGTGAGTTTTCCAGCAGATTGTTTCGCGAGTCGTGCGTTTACGACAGGGGCAACTACGTCAAGGACTTGACCAAGCTCGGCAGACAGTTGGATAGAACGATCATTATTGACAACTCGCCGGCTAGTTATTTATTTCAACCTCAAAATGCGATCCCAGTCAGTAGCTGGTTCGAAGATAAAAATGACACACTGCTACGAGGTGAGGAAATCCTCATAAATAGCACCCCATTCAATCCTTTCCCTGGGGAAATGGGGATGAAAGGGGGTAGAACCATCCCCAACCCCACTATGCCCTCTTTGATGGTGCATTTTACCCATTCTAGCACAGTACTAATAACTTAAATTCAGATATAATTCCTGATATGGAGCGCATCGCCGAATCCACACCAGAAGATTTTTACACCGTGGTCAGACAAGTGCAGCAAAGAATAGCCCAGCTCGTCGAAGGCTACAACTCCCAGTGAATGAATAGAAGAAAAAACAACGATCAATTTATTTCTCTGGTCATTCTGCATAACATCTCGAGCCCATAACATATTTAGACTACTTTAACTCTCAAAACAGCTCCTATTTCGTTTTTGGAAGCGCTCAACCCTTTATGAAATCTGAAAAGAAAAAAAACACTGTCCACGATGATTATGTTCAAGCTACTCAATACTTAAACTCAACAAATCTTCTCTTTCCGAAGCATTCTTCCGGACATTGTGAGACCCAACTTTAGATTATTTTTAAGTTGAATAAAACTTACTCCTTTTTCGAGTGTCGACTTATTATTTCTTACAGGCTGGTATTCTTATCATAAGTATACGCCACAAATTCATTTTTTACATGCCTGCTCCATTTTCAGCATAATGTGGTGAGTTGATTCACTTTTTATTTTACCGATATTTCGAAAAATTATTCAAAGTACGCTGTGCCTTCTTTTTTAAAAATTCTTTTTCCATATTCAGCCCTTCTTCCTTTTTCCTAAGTTTTGTTCCAATTCTAATTCGATTGTAATTTTTCCCGAGTTCGTTTTTTTCGGAAGAAAAAGAGGCTCTTTTTGTATTTATCCTTTGGTGGCTTCGTCTCTATGCATTCTTATCAAAATTATTAATTTGCCGATATTAATTGGCTCTAAAAATTGTAATAGTTCTTGAGTCTCGTGCTCAAGCCGCATACTTTCATTGTGGTCGAAAAATTATCAAGCAGAAAGCCGCCAAGATTAAGTTCAAACGTATTTCAACTCCTCTCCATCTTTTTAAAAGCATTGTTTCCGTAATTAGCTTAATTATCACCGCGTTTGCCTATGTATAGTAATATGGATCATGTGGTTTTTTCTAACTCTTGCGCAAATTTACCTTTCAATTCTATTCAACATCTATCACTCGAGCTAAAAAACTTGGCTCTGGCGATAGAATCAAACGTAAAATCCAACCAATTTAATTATTTGAATCAATCACCACATCCTTGTCACTAACTTTGTTTTATTTCCACCAACTATCAATCTCTGAGCTCCTTGACCCCATCAAGCGCCCCAAAAACATCCCATTCTCCCCCCTAAAAAGCAGTTCCTGCTCCCAAAATGATGATTTATTCTGTGTATAAATAAACGAACGAATAATTCGACGATTCACGGTGAATTTATGAGTGCAATGATTAGTAACATACTAATTGTCTTTATTTATAGATTCACCTTTTTATTGAAGGGTTAAACTTGTGCATCTGCAAGTGAGGCTAGATTCTCAGCGTTGTATTTTTAGCTTGTTTCTATCGAATATTTATTTCTTCTCAATCAAGCCCTACCGGAGTTGAAATGAGTCGCTTTTAAGATAGAATTCAACACAAAACACGGTCTAAAAGTGTTATGGAAAAAGTACCGTCTTCGGAAAAAGAATGAGTGGTCTGGTAATCCGTTCATAAAACACTTAGAAACGCGCGAATACTAGCGTTAAACAATATGATTTGATAAAGGAGCGAGTCTTTGATCGGGCTTCTGACACAATGATGTGCTAAATCTCCGCGAAATTCACCTTGGCCCCTGTCCAATACGTCATCGCAATACGACCTTGGGTATGCTGGGTTTGAACAGCTGGATATATCCGGCCGCAAGCCTCTATCAGATTATTTACTAGAAAAGTCCAAACGCATCAATCTGGGGACATTTTATGCCCCGGATTTTATGACGAAAGGAGTGGCGAAATCTGTTTTGTTTCAGTTTGAAAGTATCATTTTATTTACAGTATTACAGTTCTCGTTCAGAAGCAGGACAGACTCATTGTCTTTCGTTTTCAATAATTATCAAAATAGAAAACGCAAAACAGCAAAACAAAGTAAAGCACTCGAATATTTTACGAAGAACTACTCAAGTTGGAAATCACTGTAGTTGAAGACTTGGTGCGTAAGCGGAGCGAAAGTTCACGCGCTTGATTTTTCTGGCCTGGAAAGGGTGCAATCATACGTCATGAACCAGTCCACATCGAGGTTGGAAAGTTCGCCTTCTTGTGGCATCGCGATGTCGTCAAACTCGTCGGGGGTACTTTCGCGCATTGGCTAGAAGATATACAGTCAGGCTGGGGTTTGTTTGAGCTTTCGTTTTTGGTTATCGGCCAGAGAGGAACCGGTTTCGCTTTTTATAATTTCACATTTGGCTGGGAACAGCAAACAAACATCGAAAAAATCGGAAACTGCACTTTCGATACTGTCATTTCAGTTACCTTATCTGTTGATGACAGGGTGGAGGAGTTGGAGGACGACTGGATCGAGTTGACCGAGTTGTTGCGCGTCGTCAACGCCGCCGCGGAACTGAGCGAGTTGAGACCGAAGGGAAGCGTCGGTGGCGGAACCATGAACTTGGCGGGAAGGGACAGCATCGTCGAGCGTTGGCTCAGACTCCGCTCTGGCTCGCTGCCAACGGAAGAGTCCAGCGAGTCGTCAGCGCCCAGCGAGCGGCGGCTGCTCTCCCGGCTGGCACGCATTACTGGCACTTCAGTACGACGAACTGAATAAGCATGTTTCTACTTGCAGAATATTCAATAGTTCAAATTCAAGTGAAGAGTAAATTTACATTCGTTTGAGAACTTTGCTCTCCTGTCATACTTTTGCGAGTAAATACTACATTAGAGGGCATCGCCTTCTTTGATTTATGAGCTTTGAATGCTATGAATATTAGAAAATTTTGATTATTGTTTTCACTCCTGTTTCTATGATGGAACTATCAATATGGATACGCAAAAATAGCTTCAAATAAAGTGGCCTATTGAAAGTATTTTCGTGCCGTCTATTGGAATGAAAGGATTCTTTGGGAAAGACCATTGATGCTACTGTTATTGCTATCGTCGATACGACAAGTAGCCGTCTGATTGAACTAGGTCGGTGTCTAAATGCGTTCCAAGAAGCTCCGTAAACTTGACAGCGTGTCACGAAACACGGCTATTACGCAAATATTTCTCTGTAAAGCATGCCAACATCCTGTCTGTCAGGATAAGGAGTCCCATGCTGTTCAGGAAATATTTTCCTCTTTCATAAAACTTGCTCGAGTGACTGTATGTTTTACCTGCATATTTCTTCTTTTCTTCTTCGCTCCGGACGATCTTATCGCTCTTAAGAAAATGTTAAAGGACTTTCGGAGATAAGAATCGTTTTCATAATGAAAATGCCAAGAATGGTTCTTATTCTCGACTAATTTCGGCCCGACAGAAATGGTCAATTAAATCTGGGACCGCGAATCTGTCCAAATTTGGCACATTTGACAGAGCCTACACGTAAAAGGGATTATTGATGATCAGAGCAAGTCAGAGAGTTGTCCAAACAAGACACCCAGTTCATCAAACTTTCAATTTCAGTCGTATTTCCATATTGGAATAAAGAAAACCGCGGCCCTCTTTGAATTGAGCAATGAATTTTTTGGCGTCTTGATTTGCTTTATTTAACACGATGTAGTAAATCGCGCATGTTTGATCTGTTCGTGTCAAACTAGGTCCCGTAAATTTTATGGATTATTGCGATGGGAGCTCGCCCGGTGCGCACTTTGACAAGATCGAGAGTAAGCGGAAAGTACTGGTTCTTTTGACAGGCAAATTTTAAATTCAAAGGGGTTTTTCTCGTCTTTCAGAAGATACAAAAGGTCAAAGTGTTTCGAATTACGCGGCCTAAGTGACCCTCATGCCGAAATTTTTTAAATAAGCCCGATCATTTGCGATTGAGTTACAAAGGGCAGGTCCTCAAAAAGTTCGAAGTTTGGCAGGTCATTATAACTAGGTTAATCGAGAACAAGATTGATTCCAGCAGCACTTGAGAGAGTTCCAAAGTTCAAGAGCTTACCTGATCATTGTAACTTTGCGTTTCTTCCTTCAAAGCGCGGATTTGCTGGTACAACGAGACGTATTTTTCAATCAACTGGGCGTCGCTTACTGTCAGCGCCAGCTACAAAAATAAATTAATCCCACTTTGAATCACTTGCGGATTTACAAACAATCCAAAATGCCTAAATTTGGACCCTTTTTTTAATTAGTTTATTTTGACCTGTTCTAAAATTACGATTTTCTGATGTATCTTTTCCATGTCGTAATTTTTTTTAAGACCGTGGACCACGGTGGTCCCTTTGGAAAAGAATTTATTTCCTAGTTCTCAGGAGTCGAAAAAGGGATCGCTAGATGGCTACCGGCAACGGCTGTTGGGACTTGTACCTCTGTCAGGTGACTGCGGTCGCCAGGGGATATGCCTGATCAAACGGGACGTACTTCAAATGACTACTCCTAAATGCATCACGCGAGGCTTTAGCTGTCGGTCTTTATTAATTAACTTTTGCAAGGCAGGCAATCACCTCAGTTCCTCCTTTTCATATTTATGCAATATGCCGGGAGGAAGCTCATTGCAGTGGAATCCGATGCATACTCATCTGGAGACCACCCAAGAGAAAGATCAAACGAGCGCGTTCCCAAATCGGCGGAAAGGTGGCTTTGATCCCTCTCTCGCGTGATGCTACTATTTTTGGTCCCGGTTGCAGACAATCCAGATTTGTTTGTTGTTTATCGGAAACACAATGGGCGACATTGAAATTGCCGCTGTGGAAGTTTTTTTTTGGGAATGTTGTTTATTTCAAGTTCTCTTTTAGAGCCTTAGCCGCATGGGCTTGAGACTGGAAATTGAATTATTTTCTGGAAATTCGATTTGAGAAAATAGAAAGAAGGGTTGGTTTTAGGGGCGAGTGGCGCTCATCCAGCGAGTTTACAGGCGATAATCGTATGCGAAATCAGCTGGGGCCAAGATCAATATTTTATGCAGATTATTTTAAACTGCCCTACTTAAAAATCAGATTCGCGAGAAGGCAATAACTCGGCTTGATTTAGAGTTACTGGCGTGACCTTCAAGCTCTTTTCTAACAGTAACAAAGGGGGCTTGTTACTGTCAGTCAGGGGAAGTAGCCAAGTATCAGTTACGAAATGGATTAATAATACTGGGAGGAGTTGAATCATTGAATGGTTCCCGCGGTCGACCTTGAATGCCCTTCATGAGTCGAGATCAGACCACTGAAAAGTCCACCTCTCTTTGGGTATCGTTTGTAGGGCCTTGCGATAGAAAAGAGAGAAATAACGAACTCAGCGGGAAAGACTGTAGTTATCTGAACTTTGTGCGATCTCTTTTGACAGCTTGTTTATCCGTGCAAATATCCTTTATGCCACGAAATTGTATTTGCATCTACAATAAAAAGAAGAGCATATTCTAACTTAGCGTGGCGATGAATTCAATCTATGCCGATAATTGCACCGATAATTGTTCAATCCAGCCAATGAACATTTGGAAAATCAATTTCGCGCTTTTACAGATTTAGATATGTCTCCTTGATTTATGATCAACTTGGGTACTCACCAGTTCTTCCTGAATGTTTCTCAGCTTCGGTTGGCTTGCAGTAACAGCCCTGTGTTTTGGAAGATTTCCACCGGCGATCATCTGGACGTACTCGGGCACAACCGTACCCGGAATCTGCGGGAGCTCTATTTTCTTCATTTTATGTCTCTCTTTCTTCTTTACGGTCCTCTCTCTTTTCTGTTTCCGTCTGTTTGCGTTCAAGCCAATTCAGAAATATGAAAAATAAAGAAAAGCTTCAGGTGTTTCAGATTAAAGGATTTGATTTTTATAAGTTATTGAACGGGAAAGGGCGACGCTTGATTTTTTCGAAAAACTGCGATGGCTTCGGTGAGATCGCGCGCGCAGGCAGCACGCGGGCGCCATCCCAAAAGCGCGGAGATGAGCTTCGAAAAATTGTGGAAAACCGCTTTGAATTCCGATTCCGTATCTGCAGCATTTGACCGTCAACTTGGAAGATATGAGGGCTAATCGGGGGTGCAGGTGAGCTTGTCAGGGTTGAGTCAGAACGGAGTTTCTTTTGATTGCGAATGTTAGCATTGAAGGCTTTCGAATACGGTTTATATTCTGGTAAGATTCTGATAACCCTAACCCTAACTCTAACCCTAACTTTAACCCTAACCCTAACAATGATAGAAATTGAAACATTTCACTTTGCTGGTGACACCCTTAAGACTCAATTTAGAACGAGGTAATTTAGCGGTTGAATAGGTGCCTGAGCACTTCCGAACGGCGTGGTTCATCATGTCAGGAATCTCCTCATCCATGAAGCTGTCGATTGATTGATTGATGATTCTGTAAATAGCAGTTCTCTCCGAACAATTTGCAATTGAAGATCAACTTGTACCACCTTGAAAGTCATTTCCGACTGGCGTCATCAATCACTCTCGCTCAGATTTGCGCTTTATTCCCGTCTCATTAGTTTGTCCTTGAAATCGGCGAGGGCGGTGACCTCGTTGTTGGGATTTCCTGTGGTGATATTTCAAAAGACAAAAAAGCCCTGTTTTAGAGATGAAAAACAAATGCTTGTGGTGGGTGGATTCCCTTTATCGGTGCACTTTGTTTTGACAAGCTTAAAAAGGCTCTTAGAGATTTTCGTATAATCAGCTACTAGAATCGATGATTCATTGTTGGTGACTACATAATGAATACCTTCATTTTTAGCTATCCTGATGGCGCTAGAATTCCTCCGAAATTGGGTGATTCGCAGATTGTCTTCTCAAGGCTGTAAAACTTGCTGGTAGCCTCGTTGTCTGCCTTTTTGTGTTTTATGTATTTTTTCAACCCAGAATCAGAATATCAAAAAATACGACCAGCCTTGTTTGTTTGCAAGCGGCAATAAATTACGGCTAAAAAGGTCAGTCCACTCCTGCTGATGTTTATGGCAATGAAGTCAAAGCGGCGTTACTGGAATACTGTCAGCGACCGCGACTGTCTCAGTTTGTTGGTTTCAGTCACCATTCTCGTCGAAGATGTGTTTATTTGGGGATTAATTATGGCTACTTATCAGTATTTACAACTCCGCCAGGCGGAAGATAAAAAACTGAAAGGACTCTGATTTCTGCTTTCTTGTCCTGGAAAGAGCGGAACCAACGCTAAGCCAGGCTATTGACGGTAAAAGCCGGAGGTGACGGGCTACTTCAACTCTGACTTTGGAAAGACTTTCAAAAAGCTGACGAAATCGAGCTCAAGAGGCCATTCACTCAAAAGTAGCTTCAAATGAGAATAGAGTCTATTAGACTGTCGCTGTTTTCGACAACATAAATATTGGACACTGTAAATATTGCTTACTGTTGTCTTTGACCGTGAGAGTAGTGTAGCTAATGTGTGAGCTTTTCTTGAACAGCACTGGAGTTTCCTTGACCTTGATCCGAGCGCAAATTTGAAAAATCTTAGCTTCGGCACTATAAAACAAAGAAACGGGCTACAGTGATGACAGTAAGTCTCAATCTTACTGTATTCCCATGAACCCTGGTCCATGGAGCATGTGATCTGGTTGTTTTCCAGACACTCGGAAGAACCACTACAGTAGCATTAATAAAACAGCGAAATATAAATTTGCTTTGAGAGATCCTGAAGCTGCTCTTCTTTTTGAGACAAATTCTTCCTCGTGATCAAATAAATTCACATGTAACCGTATAATTTCTACAGTCATCTTTATCCACACCTTCTTCACATTTAGTTTTATGCGTCTGCATTCAACTTAACGAGCCGATTGAAAGAAAACGAGAATGTATTTCATTGCTTCCGGCCTTTCAAATTCTCAAGCGGCGACTCAGAAGTGATCTACAGGGGGTTAAATTCATATTACAGTCTTGTTAGTTTCGACAGCGCAGCGGGGTGCCGGGCGGTAGATCACCCGAGGAATGTTTAGAGAGACCTTTTCATCTCGATTACTGTTCATTTTCGCTAAATATACCTTGCTAAGAAAAACGCCAGTCTTTTATTTGCTAAACAGAAGTTTCATAACTTCTGGTAATAGTCGATAAGTGGAATCGGAAGATACTGTATTCACCAACTTCCGGTTTTAATCGAAACCTCGAGCTTCTGTCAATCCACTCAATGAATAAATCAATCATGCAAATAAAAATGAAAATTCTCACTAGTCTAGTGACACTAGAGATAAACCCCTATACCGTATAGCCTATACGGTATAGGCTATACGGTATAGCCTATACGATTTGACCTTCCTCTCAAGATAATCTTCTGAAAATCTCAGATAAGTTAGTCAAATATTCTCTTTCGAACTGCACTTATAAATTATCCGAGAAATATATATTTTGTCGTCAAGTTAAGGACAGTTACTTTCTTATTCTTATATTTTTATGAGAACATTATATTAAATTTTCATCTTATTAACATTGATTTTCAGATTCTCTATATAAGAAAACCCATAGATAACCTAAGAAACTGAAGCAAAGATGAATCTTTTAGAGAAAGGGAGTTTTTTCTTTTACAGGAGCGCGCGTGGTGTCGTAAGAAAATCAGTACTCGTACGACACTTATTCGGCTAATCACGCTGAATTTTTAGGTGAAGGTGCGCAAGTCTTGAGAAAATACTCACTTGAATTTTCAGGTCATTCCCACCAACCAGTTCCGATCGGTGGGCAATTTATCCCGATATCGACAAAAATTCTACACTTCAGGTATACCTAGGGTCTTCGCGAAAAAAAACCTAAAATAGGGTACCTTCTTATAAAATACCCTATACCGTAAAGGCTATACGGTTCTTTGTTGTTTTTATTTGTTAAAGCTTCCGGTTTTTGATTAAACCATCTTCAGTTTCTTTTGAATGGAAAGGAATAGAAAATTTTTCACACTTGACAACAAAAAATTATAAACCGATGTCAACAACAGTATAGCCTACACTGTATAGGCTACACGGGATAAGTGGACATTTCAAGAAGAGTAGACATTTCAAGATAACGGACATTTCAAAAGAGAGGACGTTTCAAGAAATCACTGAAATGTCACTTTTGCTGATCAATGGAACCTTATCTTGTCAGTCCCACGACCAATTTTAACCGATTTAAGTCCCTTATTGATCTCAAAATAGAGCGATATTATATATCGTTGCGATTTTTAAGTTTTGGAATCATCATCGTCCATGAATACAATTTAATAATAATGATAATAAAATGCAGATATAAACCTGCCAGGAAAAGACCCGTTAAAACTGATACGACGTAAGAAATGTCCTGGTTTCACAACTATGAGTCAAGGAAAAATTATTTTTAATGGAGATTCTTGATTCCACAGAATTTGTTTAATGCAAATTTAAATATCAAATGGACTGAACCAATCGAGTTATATTTGTGAGTCAATTTCAAAATGCTAAGAATAATTACGAAATTTCATTCTCTTTAGAAATGAGATTTTTTGGTATTCTCGTGTTTTTCGGAAGATATCTCGGAAGCGATTGTAGCTTTACAGCTCGCAAGCCTCCCAAAGATCTTGAAAATAGCGAGAATTTCCTCCAAAACCCAAACGCTAGAACACTCGACAATTTTTTTAACAATGAGTCAACTGAACTACGAATATTGAAGAGCGACATGATCGAGAGGATCAAGGAAGAATGCCCGTGAGTTATTATATTTTTTATTATTAAGTCGATTTAAATAGATAAATTTAAAGAATAGGCATCCGACAATTATTATTAATTCTTGAGAGGATTCATGAGAGATCAACACCGAAAATCTCAATTTTTATTATTATTTTTAATTTTTTAAATAGTTTGCAATAGTGACATCGATATTTTCGACGAGTGTTTTCTCATCTGCCGCGTCGATTACCTTCAATGCAGAGCGGAATGTAACAGCGCGCTTTGCGAAACAGATTGTTCCACCAAATTCGGAGGTAGCTATTTTTTCAAGCTTTTTTAAAGTCAGCCTTAGACTGTACATCTTACTGTCCTTGTGGAGCAAACTGTCCGAACCAGAGTTTGTAAAATAGTGCACTCTAAATGTGCTTCATAATGAAGTGCACTTCTTTCAACCGTATTCAGCAACTTAAAATGCACAAGTGTGCTATTTTCCTTTCCTTTTTCCAAATAAAGCCCTTATTGGCTCTATAAGGCGCTATGATTTAAGGGACCCGGGCGAGTAACGCGAAGTCCAACTTCAAGCGCTTGGCATTGATCGTTCAGGAATGCGTTTTTGAAATATATTTTTGCTTAACATATCTTTATTCTCTTAGCTTTCACCTTCCACTTTCAGATTCTGTATATCAAAATTAATTTTAAGAAAGAGTAAAAAAGAGAAGTTCAACTTAAAAAGGCATCAACTCCTGAAAACTTCATTTTATTGACATAACAAGTACCATTAAAAAGCCCATAAAATTCTGAACCGATCATACGTATTGCGCTAAGCTGAAACCGTACTAATTAGCGATAAAGACCAGATAAACAAGAAAACTTAGCGCGCGCAGAGCGGAATCATGTCACTGAAGCCCAAAATATACCGATCGGAGTGTCCTGCCGTGCTGAAAGCGCTCACTCTCTTTGTTTATCAGCGCAATCAGGGCAATAAGTACAGTTCCAGCTAAGCGCAATATGTATGATCTGTTCAGAATTTAATGGGCTTTTAATGGTGCTAGTCTTATGTCAATAAAATGAAGTTTGCAGGAGTTGATGCCTTTAAAGTTGAAATTCTCTTATTTGTCTAACTCAAAAATTTATTATGATATAAGAAATCTAAAAATAAGAGGTGAAAGCTGACAGAATAAAGATATGTTTAGCAAAGGAGAATTTCAAAAAAAGCTCATCTGAAAGATCATCGGCGAGCGCATGAAGTTAGACTTCGCGTTACTCGCCCGGGTCCCTTAAATCGCCTTATCGTGGCAGATGAAGTGGCAAATAAAGTCGCATAAAGAATCGACAGCTGCAGTGCATTTTTTCTTTTTGTAGCGCACGTGAAGTAGGTATTCCGGGCCTTTTCTACAACAAATACCCTTCAAAATGAAGCCCGCACTACAGATTTTTGAAGCAGAAAGTGCGCTTATTTACAAACTCTGGTTCGAACGGCTGCAAAGGCTGTGAAAACTCGATCTGCTCGATTGATGAATGTGAAGAAGCGGAAATAGAGAATGATGACTTCATTCAATGCCGAGAAGAGGCCCTCGCAGCTCAAGTTAATATTTTTCTTTTGATAAGAGAATAAGTTTTAAGGCAAGCTGCATCCGATCCTGCCCGCCCGAGCAAGATTGCTTTGAAATTTGCAATCAAAAATTTTTGGAGAACCTGAATATTTGTCCATGCGTTCAGGTTAATTTCCTATTAGGGCATCCCTCCCAATTTTGAAAAATTCTCTGATGAATTTTATTTACAAATCCAGACCCCAGGTTCGACTTTGAAATGGCTTTTACTACGTTTTGGCGACTCGAAGGTCACTATCATTATCAAAATCATTATCGAATCACTGTCATTATCAAATTGGAAGAGATAAAATTCTAAGATAGCTTTGTTCAATAAAATGTAGTTCGACCTAAAAATTTGCAAAATTGGGAGGGCGAATTCTTGATGACAGTGCTAACAAATAACGGATATTATGTTTACTCAGGAAAAAACAACTACAACAGCAATAACTACAACAGTCTCAACATCCGCCAAGGTTAATAAAAGATTCGATTTATAAAAGACTCATAGATTCAGCGTCTTCTGGTAATGGGACGAGAACTGAGCCAAGCTTTCTCAATTTCTTTCGATGGAACGGAGAAAACAGCAGCAATCATAACAGCACCTGATAACAACTTTATTGATGGGGGTCCTTTCGCACTTGTTAAAGGGAACTTATACATTTTTGGTGGTTATTTTGACGATCGACAAGTAATGTAAACACATGATTTTGAAAAATATAAACATTAAGATCGTCAAATTGACCGGCTGTGAATTGATTCAAGAGCCGACGACACTGATTTACCACATGTCCTATGGCTCCGCTGCGTTAACAATGGGAGACAAAGCATTAATTTGCTTCGATCGTCCGGCTGCACGAATTAATATATATAGTCGATGTGAAATTTACGATGGTGAATATACAAGTAAAACTTACGCAGCCATCTCTGGACATTTTGGAGGAAACCTTGGCTACTTCAACGGCCAGCCTACGACCGTTGGGGGTTTTGGGTATGATTACCTGATAGACACAAGAAAAGTAGAGACTCTGACACCGCTTGGCTGGCGCTATCTAGCTGATTTCCCGAGGTAGTTAAAAAATTAATCATATATTATGATTCATATTAAATGGCCAATTTATTAACATCATCAAAGTCCTATTGCTGGTCATGTTTTAATGGGGCTTCCAAGTGGAAGTCTTTTGCTTGCAGGAGGAGCAAATGACGAAGTCTTCGGCGAAAAAGCCAAAACACAAATTTGGCTTCTCGAAACCGACAGATGGGAAAAAATCGGTGATCTTCAAAATGTATAAATCAAAGATTATCGTTTTTAAACTTATTACTTTTAAGGCTGATTATTTGCAATCCGCAATTATGATCAAGGACTCAGTTTTCATTGTCTCTGGCGCTGAAAGTCGTAACAGAATTGAGCGGCTCGACTTTAGAGGAGACCAGCTGATCGATCAAGAAACAATTGACGATGGCAACCCAAATAGACATGACTATATTCCAGTTCTCTTCGAAGCATCCGCTGGCTATTGTGTCTAATTAAAATGCTGTTTTTTCAAAAAATAAACGATTAAAATTGAAGATTTGATTCTGAAGTGCTTGGAAAATGATTTTTTTTTCTATTATATTTATTCAATAAAAGTTGAAATTTCAAATTTCTATGTTCATGAATAGACATATTTTGTTCGATCCACCATTAGATAACCTGGTGTTTATTCATTGAACCTTACAGAAATTACTCTTACGATATTGAAATAGTCGTAAAGAGAAACATTTTTTGGAATTATTTTATTCCTCCTCGATGCAATCTTCTCAGACAGACACAACATACAGTTCGTGATCGTAAGTTCCGTAGTTTTTTCGCGGAATTTGTGCAGTTGACCTGGAGCTCTGGAGAAGATTCTCTCTCGAAGAGGTTTTGTTGATTTCATCTTGACTTTTACGGTTCTTTTTGTGATCTTACTTCAGTAACACTCAAGTGTTTAGGAATTTTGATTATTGAAGAACCGATTCGAGAGACTCTAAAATGGAAGTTGTTCTCGACGATTGAGATATTCTTGGGAGTCCCTTCTATTTCCGCCTGCTTGAAAAAGTAAAAAGCGAAAATGATTACAATAATCGCGATGAGGATAAAAATTGACTCCGTCATCTTCAAGTCCTTCTCTGAAAAAGAAATCGAGTTTCCCATGTTTTTGAGCCACCAAAATTATGCAAATAAAAAGTTAAGAGGCTGTTAAGCGGGATTACTTTCGCGCTTTTTCGGTAAAGTAATTAGTCCTGCTCCATTTTGAATCAGCTTGATTAGCTTCGACAATCGTAAATTATTGACCCTCGATTCTTATTTTTCAAAGAAGCTACTGTATTTATTATCAGAAGGAAAAGAACTTGTTTCCGGATTTTGCAAGTTCATTTGCGTCGTCTACACTTTCTGGCAGATTTTTTGACAAAGTTGGTGGAAGAAAATAAATCAACTAAAAGATGCAGTTGTTTTGCAAAGTTGTCTAAAATACTCCTACCTGGACAACAATGAGAAGTGCTATCGAAGCATAAGGAGTCATGATTCCAATTTTTGCGAATAAAATTGGCGCAAGAGCTCCACCAAGATTTCCACAGCATCTTTAACAATAAATAAGCCTCGATAAAGATAGATAGCTAAGGTCAGTACCAACTTTTTTCATGGCGCTGGATCTAACCCTAACCTAACCCTAACCCTGGACTCTAACCGTAACCCTAGCTCTAAGTATACTTACAGCAGAATAGATACTCCGCGCTGTCTGAAATTCGTGGGCATGACTTCAACAATCAACGTATACATAAAGACAAAATAGCTAGTGCAGCACAATTTCGCCAAAGTTCCAAGAGCAAGCTTCAGAACAGCGAAGTCTCCATCCTCGTCGAATTTCGAGAGAGTAAGCATAGCCAGGAATAGAATAGGTGATAGAGTGAGGAAGAAGTAAATTCCCTTGCGCCGCATCTTCTTGATCAAAACGAAGGTGTAAGAACCTCTGATGGGGCCTTCGAGACAGATGAAGATTGCATAAGTTATGTAAATACAGCAATGCATCTTGTCTGATGCCAGGATTACGTTCATCCAGTACGCCATTGTAGAAAAACTAAGCGTAAAGAATCAATCATCTCGGATATATATTTCACTTACTTTATGGCGCAGAGAATGAAGAATCGGAGGACCAAGCTTTTTGCTTTCAAAAATTCCCAAACCGTCTCATGATTCTGACTGTCGCTCTCTTGCTGCTTGAGCATTGGTTCAAGACAGGAGTCGATATATTTCTCATCTACAGTAACGCCGTTTCTAGCGGCGATTCGCTTGATCCAATAAATTGCTTCTTTTTTTCTTCCATTTTTGAGAAGCCAGCGGGGCGACTCCGGAACCAGAAAGGGAATTGCAAGCGTTGATAAAAATGGAAGAGCAGTTAGCTGAAGTGCAAGTCGCCAGTCACGAAAAAAGTAAGTGCAAGTAGTCATCCAAATATTCCCGCCCGTCCAGCTTACAGTCGTTACTCCGCCAATGACCCACTTCCAAGAGTTTTTCGACAATTCCATCATGAGAGTATAAGTGCCAATTCCACAAGCTATAAATCCCAAGGCGCCGTAGCAGATCTTGAAGACCGCGAAATTCGGCGCAAAAGACATGCAGAAATAGACAATCATTGCTTTTTATCGGCTATCATTATTGAAAAAACTAATCATCAAAGTTTAAGAAATGATGCCAGCCTGAAATATAGTAAAATATGGTTGCATTTCTCCTCCCAAATTTGTCAAAAATGAAGCCAGAAAAAAGAACGCCGATGGAACTGAAGAGCATATAAATGCTCGAAATTTGGTTTCGCTCATATTCGCGGTCACACAAGAGCCCCCAATCATTTGCGAAGGACGTCTCCATCGAACATGCGAACCCTTCGCATGAGGTCGAATTGGTAGTTGTGTAACTTTCAAGAACAGTGTTGTCTTCCGAGCACGTGTGGGGCAAAAGCTGTCCGTAAAACAAGTGAGGAACATAAAGTGCCTGCAAGCTGAAAATCGGAACGATGCTCAGCACTAGAAAAGTTCATTTCAAACGGATAATTTGATCTTACGAAGAGATATTTTCTGACATCTTCCGGTGCCCCACGTCTCTTCCAAAAGCCTCTCCATATTTAGACTGAAAGAACTCTTTTACACTTTGCATGTCGTAAGACAAACAATTAAATACTGTTCTGCTAAGATTTGCAAAGTTTCGTAAATGAATGAAAAAGGCCATCTTTATAAGATGCTAAAGTCATTTTACTGCTTCGAAGACCGGGCTTGTCAGACGAATGTTATGCTGAACTAAAGTTAGTTTCAAACTCTGTTTTTTTGTTGATAATGTATTAAGAGTATTTATAAAAAGTAAAATAAGATTCACAGAAACATGATGGCAATATTTAAAGTCTCGCTGGTTTCTTCGTTTTTCGGATGTTGTTTGGCGCTTTTCCTTGATTCGGTTTCTTCTTGTGCATTTTCTTGTTGATTTTTTTCTGGTTGGACGTATTCTTCACGAGCTGTTCGTTGCAGGTTGTCGCCATTGCTTCCTCGTGTTCTTGCTGAAGATGTCGTTTCACTGAGCTTGGAAGACCACTTGAATACTTCCCTTCAGTCATCGAGACGTTTGAAGTCGGCACGAGCATGCTGAGGATGATGGCGCAGAGAAATAGCAAAAACATGAAGAGAATGGAGAAGAGAAGGGAGAGGATGAATACGAAGACATAGATGATGCATCTGAAGAGATGGAGGACGAGAAAACGCAAAAAGAGCGGCCAAGAAAGAGTGTAGTTCGATGGTTGATTTTTCGTAAGAAGAAACATGTAGATCTCTTTCAGCTCAAGATCAGCCATCTTTGATTTCGAGCTGGAAGTAGCATATCTAGATGTAGAATTGAGGAAATCTCTTCGTTTCTCCACTAGTTCGTCAACTCGTCTAATCTGTTCTTCGTCTTGGCTGCAGAAAGCATGAGGAGTTCGTGCGAAGTGAGGATCGCTCCAAAGAGATTGTTCTTCTTCAATGTTTCGACCTTCGTAGAGACGATGCATCCAGAAGCAAAAATGAGCCCAGTAGGCTGTTTCGTCAGCATTCACTTTGAAACTACATCCGCATGAAAACTCGACCTTTTGTTCAATACTTTCTCGCATGTTAAGCTTCATCTGGAAGTCAGCGGGGCCATCAATGTTTTCGAATTTGATGTAAGTCGACATTATTTGTTTATTTATTGAAGACGAGAAAATCTGCAGTTATATATCGGAAAAAAATTCAAGAGGGCGCTACGTGAGCGAATAGGATAACCAGCTGTAGGTAAAAGATCTTGAACAGCGGGTTATTATCAGCCAGAAGATCAGGATTCGGAAATAGCGTCCCATTTTTTAACAGATGGATCTTAATTATGAGTTCTCTTGAAGTTCCTACTGAAGAACATCACCCTTTGACGATCAAAAGAAACCAATTTAGATTGCTAGTTATTTCCAAAAAGATGATGCTGAAAAATATGCTCGACAACCATTATTTCGAATTTACATTTTAATAGCTTCAAGTTGTTTATATAAATATTGAATTAATGCAAATAATAGTTTCAGATAAGTTTTTTTTTCATCTTCTCGGCCAGCGAGCGATCGTGTAGTTAGAGTTGGCAGTGTTGTCCTTGTTGTTGGCAAATCCAACATTGATGAATTGAGAAAATCGCTGAAATTCTAGGAAATCATTTGAAGTTGAGTTATTTGAAGGTAATTTGAGGCGAGAGTTTTTTTTTCGTAATTTCTTCGTTTTTAGTCCAGTGTAAGCGCGAGCTTGATTCGGTTCCTTTTCTCCGGAATGCACTGCGCGCAGAGTCCGCCACAACGCGCCTGCAGGCGAGTTCCGTCGGGCGCGCGCCACATTTTCATCGTCCCGTGGCTGCCCTTGACCATCCAGTTTTGATCCTTGGCGACGGCGAAACCAGTGCCGGAGAGATTAATTGAGAAGCTTCCTTGTGGACAGTTGCCGGAAGAGAAGCAGTCTCCAGCTTGCGCGAATTTGACTGGGGTACCCTTGGACGTGGAGAATGCAACATCGTTTGTAGCAACTTCAAGCGTTTCCGGAAAAAAGCGCAATTTGCTAAAAATAACCTCAGTTAAGACCTGTTAGACAGATGCTTGATTTCTTACTGAAATAAGGTCTTTCCTCCCTTGATTTTCGCCTCAGATGCGAGACGTGGCGCGACGCCCTCCACGGGACAGCTAGAATTATCAGCTAATTGGTGGCGGTAAACAAAGCTGAAATTTTCTTTTTCCAGCAAGGTGATGTATTCTTCTGGATCTGGTGAAGACATAGCAAAGCAAAAGATAGTTATCGGCTTTCCATTTATCTGAAGATAAAAATGATTTTCATGAAATATTCTGGAATTACCATAATTTCATATTCGCCGTCTGTAGATGTTGAATTGAGTCTTTGAACATCGCGACAGTGCATCGCCGTGCATCGTTGTTGATTGCACTTTACGCTCGTGCGAGGCTTTGTCTTGCTACAACTCTTTCCTTCCGGACAAGTAACGGGCCTAGTTTGCAGCCCGCCGCCACATTTCGCCGAACATGGGCCCCATTCTCCAACTTCCCAGTCGTTTCCAACGCTATCGCAGTTTGGCAAGTTTGAGCAAGCTCTTCGAGAAAGCGGCGCTGATTTGTGACTGCATGCATTTCTATGTACTTTCGCCCCGTTTGATGGAGATATACAAGTGATTCGACGAGACTTGGTTGGCATTGCGTCGTTCTCCGACTGGCAGGTTCCTGAGCAACTTCTCCAATTCGACACCTTCCAAATTCCACGGAGGCAGTTATTTTTGCAACCACGTTTTTCTTTCGGTTTTTCGATCTTATGACATTGCTCTTCCGGCAATTTTTTCTTCGTGTGTCGTTCTTGGCAAAAAACTTCCCTTCCTTGATGACAAGTGCTATCACACTGGGACCACTCGGTAGATCTCCACCTTGTGCAATATTTCTCTGCGCGGCATCGTTTGGTCTTCTTTGGTCTGGCAGCGCGGGAATATTTTTTCATGCAGTAGCGGGAGTGAACGCGCTTGTTGGAATCTTTGACGCAGAAAACCTTTCTGTTTTGCTTTCCATGGCCACATTTTGCATCGCAGCGCGTCCATCTTCCCGTTCTCCATTCAAATTGTGGACACGCCTTTTTCCAGCACTCTTCAATCTCAGCTTCTTTGTCTTTCTTTGGAACATGTCGGCAATAAATATCATCTTCGACCCGTCCATCATCTCGCACACATTCTTGCTTTCTCGAACGAACTCCTTTATTGCATGTCGCACTGCATTCAGACCATTGAGAATATTTCCAAAGATATCTGCATGAAAATAGCTCACAAGAAGCCCGTGCCACTGGTTTTTCGCTTTCGTCACACTCTGATTGATCGTTCTCACGCTCTCCGTTGAGAAGACATTCAACCTGCCGTGTTTTTACTCCCTGACCACAAGTGGTACTACAGGTGGTCCAGTCACTGGTCACCTCCCACTTTGGTTTGGGAAGTTCACGCTGGCAGCCGGCCAGGGAGAAGCAAGATTCTTCTATGTCACGTGGTCTGTATTCTGGAGGACAGTCGCGCGAAGGAAGATCTGTTCCGCTTTTCACGCATTTCGCGACTCTTCTTTTAGTCCCCGATCCGCAACTGTTCGAACATTGTGTCCACGGTTCCAAGGCCCATTCAGACTCATTTGGACAGCGATGAGTATTGCAGGATCTTTGGACAGTCTCGCGCTCGAGTTTGGGGCAATTCGACGTCAAGCAACGGGCCGATCGACTTTGACTACCTTCTCCGCAACTCGCGCTGCAGACTGACCATTCTCCGAACTCCCAAGCGTTGCAGTCCTTCATTTCGCACTGCTGGTACATCATTGGCATATTGCTCCGATTGCAGTAAGAGTTATGGACTTTTTGACCGTTACGTTTGCAAATAACCGCTCTCGATTGAAGGCCATTTCCGCAAGTAACACTACAACTCGACCATTCTTCTTCTGCCCAGTCCGCGCAGTTATCCAAGTGGCAGACTTCTACGATCGGCTCAGAAATTTTTCCACAATACTTTTCATCAATGACAACTCCTGTGGAACTTCTACAGACTGCTAGGCGACTTCTCACGCCTCTTCCGCAGCTTGTTGAACATCCAGTCCATGATCCAAGCTTCCACTTAGCATCAGAGCAATCTTGGTAGCAAGGAATATTTTCTGGCGGTGCAGGGATTCGTTCTTCCTCACAATAGGTCTTTGCCATTCGCTCTATCGAGCTGTCGATCAGTGAAACCTTTATGCAATAGTTTGATTGCCTCGCTGTTCCTTGGCCGCATGAAGTACTGCATTCGCCCTGGACGGATCTCCACTCAAGTTTGCATTTTGAAGAGTCGCATTTTTCTGATTCGCTCGATCGTAAGCTTGTTGGGGAACATCTTGACGAGGAAACTAAGAAAGTGTTGAGTCGATCATTACTTCGAATCAATTGTTACCTGTAGCGCCTGAAATACTGGACCTGCATGTGAGAACGCGTTGCCTGTGACCACCACATGGAGAAGAACAACTTGACCAGCCGGAATATTTCCAATCGAATGTTTCGCGAGAAATTTTCCGTTCTGACAAACTGCTGTAGCTATAATTGATTTCCAAAGAAGCGTAGCGCTGCTTTGTTGACTTGAAAACATAAACTTCTAGCCCATCGCTCATGAGGTGATTGACCTTGATCTGCTCATTCATTTTAGCTCCATATCCGGAGTACTCAATGACTAGCGGTCGTGAAGAATCCTCTCCCCAGATGACCTTAGTTTCTTGATTTCGAAAGTCGTGGCCGTTGAAGATTATTTTTCCGTCTTTTTTCAGGACCAGATAAACTTCATCAGATGCATGCGACTAGAATTAATCAACATTAGCCCGCAATTTTTAAGAAAACTTACATTTAGCTGCTTGATAACAAGATTACGAGCTTCGGGAATTTCCGCAACTCGTACAAATCCCCTTCCACGAGGATAAAATCTCTTCCGGAAGGTCTTACAGGTGCTATCATCCCCATTACAGACGCCGCAAGTGTCTTCTTTTGCCAAAGAGTCAATGTTTCCGTCACATCCTAGCTCGTGACATTCACCCTAAATGGTAAATGAATTTAAGTTTATAGTTATTTCATGTTATTAACGCTGGTCATATTTTCGAAATTTAATATTTCGAAAACAAAGAGGACGACGTAAATGAAGGTAACTGACCTTGATACAGATACCGCTGCGGTCGGGACGACACAAAGTGCCGTCTTGAACAGGACCATTGTTGCTGATGTGCCACGACCTCGCTGGATCAACACAAAAGAGGTTGCACACCCGGTCAGAGGAGTCCATCCATTGAGCTTTGAGCGCGACTTTCTTTTGAAACTTTTTACACAGTATGTCACGAGGGTCCTCCGTGGAAACAGGGCAGTTACGGTCTGAGTTACAGAATCTATGCTTTGAGTTTGATCCTTATCAAAGGTTTATCTTGGACGTTCCAAGTTGGAACAATTTTGTAAAAAAATTACCAAGTAAAACCTTTCCTTCGCATTCTGCCCCACCATTTTGCGGGATTGGATTGTTACAAATTCGATTTGAACTTGTAATCCCGCCTTTACAAGTCGACGAGCATGACGACCAACTTGACCATTGAGACCAACCACCATCTACCGATTCATCGAAAGGTAGATGCGGGTTCGCTTGAGAGCGAGAGACACATTGCTTATGGTAACATGCTTTTCCAGCAGCGCAAGCAGTTCCATCTGCCCAAGGTTGATGTCTAGTCGCGCACAGTTCCGACCCGTCTCTGGCTCTTGTCTTGCACCAGAGCTTTGAGCAGCTCGGGCCTCGTGAGCAGCTTGTACTATCATGACCAAAGACTATAAATAACTATCAAAAAAGCCCATCAAATTTGTAAATTTCCACTATTCGGAAGCTGTCAGTCTGATCCTTCCTCGCTTAAAATGAAATGATATTATGATTCCTACCTAGTTTGCATTGAACATCCGGTGATATATGAGTCCTGCCAGTGTAGAGGGAAGCCTGTGGCTGGATCAAAGTTGGACTTCGCACCGAAAACTCCCGCGTCCTACGCATCATGCAGTTTCCTAGTCCTTGATTGATGAGGTCGCCGATCTTCTGCGATGAGCACTTCGACCACATCCAAGGTCCGATCATTGTTTCTGATGGATAAAGGAAGACGGAGCCCATGATACCTTCTTCCTTCGCGATCGCCTTGAAAAACATGGTATAGAGCGGTTATAAGGGCAAGTACAATTGCTAACTGCTCGATTTTCGTAAGAACTATACCTGGCATCGTGGGTGATCGTCATGAATGGCACCAAGTAAGTGCCCAATCTCGTGGGTAATAGTGTAAGCTGTAGCCATGCCTGTGTCCTCAATAATCGCGCAGGATTTACTTGGTGAACAGATTTTGTACTTTTCCGCCAATCCAAGTGTGTTACAACTGGGGTCGTTAAGCGAACATAAGTTTTTTTTGGTTATGAGCACAGAGGTATCCCAGTGTTTTTTGTCAAGCGGGTTGTGGTAGTTTTGGTCGGCTTGCCATCGACAAAACTTTTGAATGGCTTGATAACTGGGCTTCTTTAAAAATGTCTTCACAAAATAGTAATTGTCGTTATCAAGCCGTTCCTTAGATAAAAGCAAGTCGGCATCAATCGTATCACCAGCGTAGTAAAATAGATTATCAGAACGATAGGGCATAATCTCAGTCCTATTCGTAAAAGTTCGCAAAAAGTTCAACTACCTATTTAACGCGTTTATTTGCGCACTTGGTATAAAATAAATTGATGGCAAAAGTTTAATCTCAAAGATCTTTGCCGGAAAGACGGCTTGGTTTATTGCGCGGAGATCGAGAGATTTTGGGAATTGGATAAGCTCGTCAGACCGTTTTTGCGAACAATTGCCTGACAACTTTCAGCGTAATATCTTGGCCAAGGGAAGGATGCCGGATGATTCCAGCGACGATGGCCATGATTAGGGATTCTCACGGAAAAACAAAGTGAACTCAATTTTCATAAAACTTTCACTCTAGATGTATTTTTTTCCGCTGATTCCAAATATGCCAAAATCATTATGAAATTCCGAGTAAGTGGTAATTTACAGCTGATAACGTCGCTTGGTGGTAAGCCCTAGTACTTGGTTCGGTTTGGAAGTAATCCTTGACTCTGAGTCGACTAATTCTTAGTAAACGGGTAGCTTACCACTTCCGGGAACTTTTTTGTCCAGACAACCCGCCGTTATTTGTGACAGATTTCCTACAGTAGGTCAAAGTGTGCACCCATCGAGAATATGAAGGGCGCGCTAATGCTTTCCAGGCCTCCCGGGGAGCGCGTAAAGCACTAGCGCGCCGTCACTTTCAGTCGATCATCGGCAGATTTCTGGAGGTATGAGTCTCCCATATTCTCAAAACTTTCACAGAGTCTTAAGAAAAGTATGCTTGAGAACATATCCAAAATTCAGCGTTTTTTAAGCTTGTTTGGGGGCTCAAAAGTAAGAGAAACTCATTTCCGGGCCGCGCTCAGCCCGTAATGCACTACCGCGGCGCCAACCTTGGTCAGTCAACAGGTGGTTTTGGAAGGTTCTAGTCAATCCATAGTCTTCAAAATTTGAGTGATACTGGCATAGGGTCTGTTTTATAACATATCTAAAAATCACAAAATTATAAGCTTGTTTGCGCATAGAAAAGTCGTGTTTTGTGTGAATTTTGCTGATTTCGAGGGTATTTTGCCAAAAAAACTATTTTTTGAAAGCAGATAATGAATAAGCTTCATCATTTTAGTAAGCTCGAAATGTTTTTCGCTCAAATTGTCCTGAAAAAATCAGAATAGCATTTGACAATTTTGAGTGCAGAAGGCCGCGCCGCGCGCAATTTTTCCGTGAGAATCCCTAGCCATGATCTTTGCCAAGTAGTTTTCGATGGAAATGACGCTGCTTCCAAGTTGACGGAAAAATCGAGTCATAGAAGGGTCCACAAAAACGGCGACTCTGAGTTCTCGAGGAACTACATATCGTTTTCTTCGAGTGTGCGAGTTCTTAAATTTTTTATTATTTCATACGCTCATACTTTAAATGAGGAAGTGCTGACTAGAAATTGGCTTGAAAATCGAATCTAAAACAACTTCCGTCATTGGTACGAGATCAAGGTTACGCGGCGGCATTAAGGGATCAACTATCCAGATCACTTACACGAGTTGGACGGGTGAAGTGACGAGAGGTCCGGAAGTCCCTTGGCAATGTGTCCTGCTCCGAGTTTTCTCCACAACTAGCCTCGCCATTGACTTTTCTTCTAGCAGCTTCAAGTTCGTCATCAAAGTCGAGATCAATCCTGCCATGCTGTCTGTCTTCAATGAAGCCAGTCTGAAAGCTAAAAGTCAAAACAAATCTTGACCGTTGTTCCTTGAAAATAATTCTAAATCAATTCAAAAATCATCAAAAGTGCCAAAAACATCCGCAACGACCTTGTTTCCGGAGTAAAATGATAATTAATCGTAAATCAGCGGGAGCTTGATTTAATGCAGCGCTGAAAATAGAAAAAGTCACAAGACATTATCATAAATGTCCGAAAGGAAAGCCTCGCGAAGAGCAATTAATCCTGTCTAATTGGACCTTGTCTACTTTGCTACCAAGAGAATCTTTCAGGGTTAGGGTTAGGGTCAGAGCTGCAAATTTGCTGAACTGAGTGAGCTGAGCCAACTGAGAGCGACTGCTCAGCTCAGCTCAGTTATCTTTGAAATCTGATCAGCTCACCTCAGACAATATTCACTCAGCTCAGCTCAGCACAATTATTTTCGAACAAGATCTGTACTGCTCAGCTCAGCTCAACTCAGACAATTATCACTTAGCTCAGCTTAGCTCAGCTCAACCAGCTCAGCTCAGCTCTAATTAGGGTCCGCTCAGCTCAGCTCCGCTCAATGACCTCTGAAAAGGCCAGATCAGCTCAGCTCAGCCAAGTAATCTCCGAAATAAGCCAGCTCAGCTCACCTCAGCAAAAATAAAGCAAAATTTCCAACTCTGGTTAAGGTTTTATCTTTTTCTAAAAAATCTTCTCGATGTACTTTTGTACTGACAAGTTCATAACGATCTATTCATTTAATAATCTTCCAACAAAGCGGCTTGGCTTTTTATAAAAATGATTCTGCCGACTGACCAAGTTTTGATAGTCCGGCTTTGAGTGAAAGTATATTGTTTATGCAGCGTAAATTCTCCATAATTATTAAACGAAACCGGGGATTACGCGAATAATGACCGCGAGAGTCCCCAAATTCGTCGCACAATGGCCTCTTCGCACTTTTACTTTAAATATTTAATTCTTCTGAAATGTATAGCTTAACTAAATATTCAGCGCAAACGCGGGCCTTTATCCTGTTTGAAGTAAGATGAGTACTGAATTTTAACGAGGTCAATTCTGAAATCGCCAATTATTTTGACAGGAGGGGCACAATTTAAGTCAAAATTAATTAGCCCCGATATTTTAAGCTTCTATTTTTAGATTCACAATTGAAATCTCCGGAAGTCGGAAAGTCTCAAGAATCTGCTTTTTTCGCTGATTCATCGAGGTCTAATTATTTTGAATGTGTCACTCGTAATTGTCAAGTTCTGCTTCCTCTAGTCTAGTCTTTCTATGCCAAATGAATGATTCGTTAGCAAATTTCCTACTCTAAGAAAATGACTGTCTCAGTATTTATGTGCCAAATTGATGACTAAATAAGAAAGGTCTTTTGCAGGTCGTAACTTATAAATTGCAAAAGAAGTCGATTGGGGTTATTTCCGTTGTTAATTACATTTGATTTGATTTGAGTACTATTACAGTAATGGATAGCGTTTTCTTTGATCTTCTAATTATAGCCCAGCGCTAAGCTGTATTGACGCTCTTACAGGTAGGCTATCAGGTCAGATCTCTCGGCCAGAGAGTTTCGACTGCCAAGTGCAATTAGCGCAGCAACAAATCATCCCACCCACCTTTCTCTCTGCCCAGTACCACTAGAATATGAATAGAAAGGAAGAAAACCGCATGACCTGGGATCAACCAGAAGAAACTATTTTTAGAGGTGCAATAAGTACCCTCACCTCTCAGAATAAAAAATATTTACAGGGAAACAATACGAAGCAAAACTTTTCGACCCCTGCAATCTTACAGTCCCTCGCTGGTACAGTACCTGTTCGCAAATGTTGACAAATGCAGAAGAATATCGGTCGTGATATGTTCTTTGATCGGGGAACTTCAAGAAAAAGGAAGATATTATATCTTAGTATATCTTAGATATACTGTCAATCAATTTGAAAGACTTCAAGACTTCAGTCTACAAAAGTTCGCTTTATCAGTTACATAAGAGCTGATAAGCACCAGCCGCGTAGGCAGACAAGAAGGAGAAGAAGCGGGAATTCCTAGTAAAAGATAAAATCCTCGTTGTAAGTTCCCTTTCCTTCCAAAATAAGTGCAATTTTCCGCGATGACAGAATCTTCATCAGTCGAAGAAAGTTCATCGAAATCGTGTGGGACGCGAAGCTCGTAGTTTTCTTCATCGATCACGCGAATTTGTTTGAGCAGTAGGAGGTGTCTTCGTCCTTCCTTCTCCACGATCAACTCCTTATCACTTCTGCTCGCTAAAGATCGTTTCCTATTCTTTGGGTTGCAAACTGGAAGAGCGCTAGAAGACAGAAAAAAGCTAGAAGCAACCAATTTCCTTTTTCTCCTCGTTGACTGGCGCGTAATTTCTGATCGTAGCTGGGCAAAGTTCTCTTCTGATGAATCGTAAAAGCGAATCGCCCCATCTTTGCTTTCCCCATCTGGAAAGTAAAATTTAAAATAAAGCAACCGTAAAACAAAAGCTTCGACAGCTGAAAAAGTAACTATGATTTATGGCATCCCTACGCATGGACGAACAAATAGCGCGAATTAATTGTCCCACTAATGATTTCATTAATGACAAACAATAATTTCATCAGCAAGTTCGCGTTAGAATGAACGACTACAGTTAATAAGAAGCTGCTACTAAATTGATGGTCTCGGAGTCAGGGCGGCTCGGAGTAACGGAAACATAATTCACACCATGCACAGTATTTCTTCCGGCTTCGGAAGCGGTAAACATATATCAGTCCGTTTTTTATTATAAAAGTTCAATTTCATTCGAGTTTTTACGTATTTGTCTTACAAACATTCTTTTTCGAATATTCTCGGAGAAATTCAAACTAGAACTGGGCTCGATTTTTTTCTTGCATTTTGGGATTTCCCTGTTTATTTCTAAATCAGCAGAATTGAAAATTCAAGAACAGAGGCGCTACCGTCGATAATCGGCGTTTAAATTAGCGTCAATGTTTGCTTTGTGCGAACTTTTTGAAAGTCAAATTATCGATGATTATGTATTTTATGTTGCGCGAATGAAAAGGATATTGTTCCGGCGGAACCGCGGCTCGTCTTTAGACACATTGGACCTTATTAAATCTCAAGTTCAAACATAAAACTTCTTTTACGAGCACAAACATTTGCATAATTCGTAAAAAGAAAGAATTTCAGAAGCCGGAGAAGGCCGGTACATAATATCTACAGTAGCGCTGCTAACTTATTTTAACCGCGAAATTTAAAAGCAGCTGAAAATTTTGGCGCGACTTCAAGAATTTGCCTAACTAATTCGGTGCTCCACCCATTTGTCAGAGTTTTTTCGTGAGAGTGATCATTTCTAGCCTTTAATTTTCGCTAGTAAATTACTATCGGTTATCTCTTGAGCTCTGATGAATCGATGCTCCTTTCCCTGCGCTAGAATTCTACAGTAGATGCTCAATCTGGATCATCAACAATTTGGTAAAGCTTCGAGCAGTCAATTCAGAATTTTAATCGTATGAAAATGATTCGATAATTTTTCTGGATCCCGCACAATAAAAACTATAATCACTCGGTAATCTCATTCGAAACTAAAATCTCAGACTTTCCGCTGGCTTACCGTCAGAAAGAGAAAACTGTCTAACATTGAACATAAATTTGACACTTCCTTTGATCCATTCATAGCGAGTTAATCCTCCTCAATTACTACTACTGTGCTAAGGAAGTCAAACAAAAAGTTCGAGGGCAAAAACGTGTGGGCTTCAACTGTATCTGACAGTAGAGATGTCAATTCGAACTGTTTATTTTTAACCTTTGGGAACTCGTTAATTCAATTAAAAAAAAACTTGGCCGGGTGGTGTGTAAAGAAGCTATTTAGGGAATACTGTTGTTTCAAGAAGTTTATCCCTGTACACTCTAATTGTGGCGAACAAAAAAGTCTGAAGAGGAGTGCTTCCCATCAGAATGGATTCTGCTTCGGTGACATATTTATGGCAGGCGGAAATTGAAATGCTCTTGAAGCCGAATTCGCTACTATTTGACGCTACTGTAAATATATCGAACTATTGAAGCCGGTGCAGGATATTCTTCTAAAGAAAGTTGTGGTGGAGGAATCGTAAAATGGCAATTTGGGAAGGTCAAACTCACCCGGAAAACATGGGCCCCACCGGGAAAAGCAAATTTATTCTGGCTTTGCACAGGTTCTCAAATCATCATACCCACTGTCAGCTGCATATTATATGTCAAGTGGGTGACATGCCCTTACCAAAGTGACTCTTAATGTCATGTTCATGGATTAATTATCGCGGCCAGGGCTAGAAATCCCCGTCTGATTTGACACGCCGGTTATCTTGAAGGAGACCTATCCAAAAAGTCCTCATTCATCGGGAGTTTGGGGTACTGCCCTCAAGGCAGAACGAATTTTCCCTCGAGTCTGTTGCATAAAAATGACCAAAAAAGGGTTAGGGTAATTCCAACCAAAAAGCCAAAGAAACGATACCATTAGAAGAGACTATTATTTTGATTGTGACCTTGAGCTGTCAAGAACTTGCGCTACTGTTTGAGTACAATGTACACACAATTTCATGCAACTTTCGAAATTAAGTACTTACAGTGGATTAACGAAGAAATCAGCCAGAGGAGAAGTTTTCGTACCATACTTATCTCTACTTTGCCTATGTCATGCCTACTCTGTGGACCGGTGAAAAGAGGACAGTTCTATTCTTGTGGCACTAGAATTCGAGCTCAGAACAGAGCTAGAAGCCGCTCAAGCTATTGAGCTGAGTGCGGCGCGCGTAGAGAGCGCTCGCGCGTCGTAATAGGTGGCGCCGCCTTGGAAACGGGTTAAGATTTTTTCATGCCACCCAGGTTGGACTTGGCTTTCTTTACTTCAATGGGAAAGTACTGGTCGGTGCTACTGTCTTCATAATTTCGGCATTATCGAGCAGCTTTTTTAATGATAACTATCCATTTTTTTTCAATAAAATGAAGAAACAATGAGGTTTAATTGCAATTTCATCAGTAGTATTGAGCAATATTCTTCAGTAAAAAACGATACGCAGGCGATCAAAACATTACTTCTCAGAGTTATTTATTGAATATTATCATCGCAATAAACGTAAGGGATTAATAACTACCGGTTCACTTTCTCCCAGCGAAAATTTCGATTATCTCAAGTTTCTGATCTGATAATTCCCCACTTGGATCCTTCTGAAATTCTCAAATTTCCATCCATTCTCCCGGCGAAAATTTATGAATAAATTTCAACAAATATTTTCAAAGACGAATGTTAAGTTTTTTCTTTGTCTATCAAAGTGACCGTTAAGTGCGGTTAAGACATCCTAAGTGCCCGACTCCTTCAAAATTATAATTCTAAATTGTTGTTTGAAAATTGAAAAATTTCCATTTTCAGAATACCGTTCATCAGAAGCAGTAGAAAGCAAGATTCAAAGGAACGCGTTGACACGGAAATTTATGCAAGTTTTGAACCCAATTCAGGAGGTCGATGGGGATTTACTCTTTTTACAAGAAGAGTTACAGAGCTTTTTTTCAAAAGGGAAGGGGAGTCGACTTTGACCTTTTCAGGCCATAAACTTCAAAGGCCAAAACTGAAAGAGCTTCCTGTGGATGCGATAATCAGTTCTGGACAGCGGAGAGACCAGATATCAAAATATCATTTCGTACAGTAAAATCGACAAAGGAACAATGGATGGCTTCGGATTCAAGTACAAGTTAGCAACCAGAAATGACCATAAACTACCTTGTTTGCGACCACCGGCGGCCTCGCGCTACTCTCACTTTTATACGCTGCTAAACCGCAGAATACAACGGCAAGTCCTTATGACAATTAATGAACCGGGCGCAATAATCCCTATAGCTTGAGAATTATGCAATGGTATCATTATGTAATTGAAGCATTTGTGCTCAATACAAAGTTTTAATAAATTAAATTTAAGAAATAATACAGCTTGAAGTTGGAACGCAACTTGAATACGCAGAAACTTTCTGATTTGGTGTGAAACAAAATCGCTACTAGAAGAGGCCAGGTTCAAGTGAGTCGGTGTAAACTTAACTCAGCAGGCACACATCTGCTTTGTCCGCCGGTTCTGAGCCCCTTTGCGCGCCTAGAATTACTGCTACGATAAGTGGTGGGTTAGCCCATCGAGAGTGGGAGCTCTTTGCGTCCTGCGGTGACTAATGCTTCTACAAATAATGCTCGTTCAAGTGCTGATCTTGCTTCGATACAAATCACAAAAAAAGACACGAACACCAGGTGCCAGAACAGCGTATATTTTTAAATAAAAGTCTGAGAGCCTTGAAATTAGACTATTATATTAAAAGAGGAATGTTCCTCTTAGGGAGAAAACATCCGATTTGATAGTCAGAATGTTTAAATTTGGATTTTGGCGACTTTCCAAAGCCAATTCAGATAAACTATCAAATACTCAAGAATTACGGAATAAAAGACGCACTGGGAAAACTCTCTGGGCCCTCGTAAACGCATGTTCCGTAGCCGTTATTTTAATCTATCCCACTGACCATAATGAGGACCATCTGTTTACGAGAGCGTTCTCAGACTTTCAATTTCCATATTGACGCTGACCCGCCCCGAATTTTTACAGAAGTAAGAATTTTCTTTATTTTGAAGAAAACCACATTTACTCCTTATCCTTGATAGTTCGGGTACCTCGGACGAGACCAGTTCGTCGGGCGGCGATGAGACCGACCTTCTTACCGGGAGAGGCCCGTCGGGTGATGGTAGATGGGTTACCAATATGCTAAAAGAAACGATAAGAGGCGAGAAGGATGAGTTCTTGTCTTACCTGATGGTTACCACCACCGAAGGGATGCTCGACGGGGTTCATAGCAACACCACGAACCTTAGGCCAGCAGTTACGCTTGACCTTGTACTTGTGGTAGGCTCGGCCAGCCTTGAGGAGAGGCTTGTCGATACGTCCACCACCGGCGACGACACCGACGGTAGCTCGGCATCGGGAGTCGAGGACCTTCTTGGAGCCAGATGGAAGCTTGATTCGGGTCTTGCCAGTGTCGGTGTTGTGGGAGATGATGACACAGGAGTTTCCGGAGCCCTTGGCGAGGACACCTCGGTCGCCGATCTTGGCTTCGACACCGCAGCATGCAGTACCTTCGGGCATGTTGCCGATGGGCATGACGTTGCCGATGTAGAGCTGAGCCTTCTTTCCGGCGTAGATGAACTGGCCGGTGGAGGTACCTTCGGCAGCAACGAAGAGCTCGTTGTCCTTACTAAAAGCGAGGATCAGATTTGGTTTATTTCCGCAGGTAAGCATGAGAAACGACACAAATACCAGAGGTATCGGGGTACATAAGTCAAACCTCATCTTTATGAGTGGACTTCCGGGTGATCTAACATTTTACGACTGCGGGCGCCTTCTTGGGGAGGCAATAAATTACTGTCAAATAAATATGCTTCGCTCAAAAGTGTTCTGACAGAACTAAAAGCCCAAATAATGATCGAAAAAACTCAAAGAGCTTCAGACGAAGTTTAAGTATATAGCTACGGACTCGTTAAATTCGCAAAAGTAATTTTGCTAGTCGGGGTTAAGTCTGACTTCGATGTGTTACGACTTACCCGTATTTGTAAGGATCCTGGAACTGGACTCGGGCAAGGGGAGCACCTCGGCCAGGGTCGTGGATGATGTCCTTAACGACACCCTTGATGTAACCGTGTCGCTCGGCGAAATCGAGGGATCGGTACTTGGCGGCGCCCTTTCGGGTTCGCGTACGGGCCTTGAAGATGCCTCCGGCACCCTTACGACAGGTTCGGATGATACGTCCCATTTCGGCTAACTCTGAAAGGAAAAAAATGCAATTTTAAAGCATACATTTTTAAGTAAGTTTCTCAAGTTTTCACGAAAAACAGGAAGAAATTTACTCGAAGCCACCCTGCTGAGCAGCCATCATCTTCTGCTTCTTGAGCTTCTTCTGGGAGACCTTCTTGGATCCAGATTCGGTAGCTCGGGGAACAGCCAAATCCTTCTCGGAGAGAATGATCTCGACGTGGCATGGGGAAGCCATGTAGGGGTTGATTCGACCGTGAGCTCGGTAGGTTCGTCGTCGCTGCTTGGCGGCGGCGTTGACCTACAAGAGGGTTACAACATCATGGTTTAGTTTCGCTTAATCCCAAAAGGAGTCTACTGTTGTTCTATTTTTAAAAAGTAGAAAGCTTTCCAGAGTTCTCGTTTTCATCTAAAAGCGCTTGATTTATACCTGGATGTGATCGATCACGAGGGCATCAACATCGAGACCCTTGACCTCAGCGTTGGATTCGGCGTTCTTGAGGAGGGAGAGGATGTGCTGGCAGGACTTCTTTGGCCATCGACCCTTGGAGGTGGTGGACTTGAACTCTTTGGTCTGACCAGTTCGGCCCATGGAGCCATCGAATCGGGTGAATGGGATGCATCGGTTACCCTCGATGACGGCCTTGAGGTAGGGAACGGCCTTGTTCAAGTGCATACCCTACAGTTTTGGTTTATTTTCAAATTCATTGTTTGGGATCACATAAATTGTGATGAAGGTACTAGTTTTAAACCTTGATAGCGTTAGCTGTTTCTCGGGTGTTCTTGAAGTGGACACGAATGTCAGAACCGCTGGTCTTGCAGCTTCGAGCCGCATTCTCGGCTTCCGCAGAGTAGCGGGTCATTTTTCAAATCCGGTTTCTGAAAAAGAAAAACCGTGAAGAAGACTCGCCTTTTTGAAGCGTCGCTTGAAAATATTTTGAACCGAAGTGGTAAATAAGTGGCAGTGGAAATATTTAAATGGGTGGGTGAAATTTGTATCTATGATTCTTGTGGCGAGGAAGGAGGGCGACATGTTTCATGTGCAGTTATTGAAGCCATCTTTCCAGCTTGTATTGAACTTGCTTCAGATTGTTCATCGCCAGAGTGGTGTCGGCGTTCGTCATGCCGCCAAGTGTCACATTGGCGGAGGCAATGATCTAAATTGAGGATTCGTATTTTTGAAAGCTTTTTAAGTCATTTCTGACAATTAATTAGACGTAGACAACTAGACAAATGGCTTCATAGATTGGAAAAAGAACACTTATAAATCTTAGCTTTGAACAGTTCGAGTTTTCAAAATTAGCGCGCGAAATCCAATCAATCATTCCAAGGTTCAAAATACCAAAAAGGAAATCTTGATTAATAAGCTACCGTTCAATAATCATTTCTGGTCAAATTTGATTTGTACAGTATTTTCGCCGTGTTAGATAAATATTCTCAAGCCGACCGAAAATGCCTCAAGTGAGAAACAACTTTTTACGTCAAACAATTGATACTTATCCCCTTGACCTTCATTATTCCAACTTATTACCGGCATCATCGACCCGGCGAAGGGTGAATCAGCCGTTTTAGTTGACTTCAACCGCCGTTTAAATAAACTGACGAACTTTGAGAATATATCCAGCCTTGCAGCGTAATCGCCGCAAATGCCACTTTTTGCAGGTCGATGGGTTACTCAGCTGAACGGTCTTGACGTGCCTGGTGACAAAAATGAAATTCGGCAGACTAGACGCGTTCCCCATACGACCTATTCATAAGTGACACCTCTTTCGAGGACCCGAAGCATTCTCTTTCGAACTCATTGAAAAAGACAAGGATCAACAATCAACTGTTTGACAACATAAATTTCAAGGCAAGAAGCTATCGGATTAAGAATCTTTCTATTTTTAGCCATTTCCGTAAATATATCCGTGGCATTTTGAAACACAAGCAATACCTGAAGACACTTGTCGACGAACAGACGTCGTTCGTTGGGGACGACGACTTGTGGCTTCTCAAGGAACGTTTCGAAGATAACCTTCAAAACGTCGATGAGGTGAAGTGGCTGGCCATTTTGAGCCCAGAAATCATCGTTGTCTTGAATGATTTCGAAGTACGTTTCCAAAATGCTGAGCATGGAAACGCCGACTTCCTTGAAGACCTGGACGACCCAGCCTTTGTTGGGCCACTGCATGAAGCAAGAGACTTTTTCAAGGAAGTTGATGATGAATAGCTTCGGCAGAAATCGTCCGCTTGCCGAGTATCGCTGGCCAACAGATAGTATTTTGGCTCGCATGGCCGATACTTGAGCATCGGGTGAGAGATCTTTCGATTGCTCGACCTTCGAATGTATTTAGAAACTAAGTTGAGTTGGATTTGATTACCTCTTTCTCGATGATTTCCTGCCAGAAACCATCAACAGTTGCCTCATCATACTGCCCAGCGGAGTGAACGATGGCCAACTTGACTTCTGGCAAATCAAGCGGATCAGCATAATCCTGAAAATGAGATAGTTCAAGATTTACAGCGCGCAAATATTTACCTGATAGAGCTTGTTGAGGTCAAACAGTCGATCATCGAGCAAGTTATCGCGAGTTTGGACTTGGATAAGATGCTGAATGCCGGCTACTTCAGCAGCTTCTTGCGCGTCTCGTCGAAGCTGTTCATCGGCGGCAGTGGGGGCCATTATCGCGCCGGCGTCGATCACCGCTCTCGACAAATATTCTAATCTGGTGGAGAGCTTCAGACCGGGTGCATTCTGCGCCAAGTCCATCAGCGTTCGCGCGGCGGCTCCATGCTGCTGGATCTTTAAACGAGTTGAATTATGATCTCAAGAGTTCTATCAAACCTGTTCGTAATATTTCCAGAGCATATCCGCCGCGAGAATATTGTCGGGAGAAGCCTTGACAGTCTGCAACAAGTAGCTTTCCAAGAATCCGCTCTTAACCGAGAGAAGCCTGTCGGCCAACTCCGATTGCATCATCCAGTCAAATACCGCGATGTGGAAAAGTTCATCCTGTTAAAAATGTCACTTTCTGTCGAAATAAGACAAGTAAATTACTGACCTCGGAATTGATGATCTGAATAAGCATTTCGTCGGCGGCGCGGGCAGCCTCTTCTGCAGAGTTTTCGTTTTTATTTTCTTTACGACTCTGTGGCTTCTTGCCGGGACTGATAGGCAACGCCGGCGTTGATGTGGTGTGCTTGGCAGCTTCGACGAGTTCTTTGATGACGGAGAGGCAGGATTCGTAGCAATCACGGCGAACTGAGTAGGCTCGTTTGCCTTCCAAGTCGTCAGCTGGGCACTCTTGTTTGAAGTGGTGAAGGGCCATTCCAGATGGATCGCGTTTGTCGGCGGCGGCAATGCAGAGGGTGACGATGCCTTCCCAGTATTGAGCCATTTTCAATTGAGGAACAACAGCGCCAAGGTTGCAGGTATGTGCAATCGTCAAGTAGAGACCTAGAGCTTCCTCGCATCGCTCCTTTGCTTCCTGGTCCGTCGCATTTCTTGTGAGGGCGAGGATCTCAGTTGCTCGGCTGCAGATGGCGTCGTCGGCCGAGAAGAGAGTTGGGCAAATGTCTCGAAGGGATCTCGAGACGAAGTCGATGGAGGCGTTATCACCGATGTAGCAGGACAGAAGGGCAGTGATGAGGTTCTGGCACAGAACTCGGCCGACTTCCGTGGTGACCAAGTCCTTGAACAGGACGGAGTCGAGCAGTTCTAATTTTGGTTTTTCTTTGTTGTTGATTATTGAGATAAATTACCTTTATCGTTGGTCGAGAGCTCCTTGGAGACGACATGGAGCTGATTTTCAGTCAACAAGTGCCAGAGAGAGGCGACTTCCAGCGATCTACAGACAAGTGCATAGACCGAAGAAAACTGGGCGTTTTCGTAAGACTGAAGATCAGTCGCATTGGCGACGGATGATGGAACCGTACCGATGTTGTTGGCGTCCATCCATGATTTGAGCTTTTTGAGGGCAGTGAGAACGCGTGCTAGAGAAATCGGGCTCAGGCGAGTTGTGTGAGGCAACTGCTTGATAACTGGGTCAGCTGAAGATGAAAGTTAGAGTTTGTGGTAAGAAAAGAGTGGCTTACGTTTGTTGGTGATGGTATTTAACCAGACTGGGCGCAGGACTCTCGACAAGTACTTGACAAGACCTCTGAATTTGGCGGAGTTAACGACGACCATGTCGCCACCAGGTCCAGGTGCGAGCGTGGTGGAGTTCAAGTTCGGCTGGTTTGGCGTTGGCAGACCAGGTGCACGCTGGCCGAAGGGTGTCGACTGTACAAAACCATTGCCCTGGTTGTGATTTCCTCGAATAGGCGAGAAAAATGAAGAGACATTCGGCGACGCTGCTCGGTTAGCCATTGGCGAGAGTGGAGCTCCAGAAAGAGAACCATTCGTGTTGGAATTGGTGGCTCCACTTCTGGTTGGGCCGCCACCGTAACGGAAAAAGGCACCGGTTGCCCAGCTGGAAGTGACGTGGTCGATGGCCCCGTCGCAAGCGAGTTGAATGGCACAAGCGGTCGCCTCGGCAGACTGATCACGAGTGATCATGAATCGTTCCAGCTCGGCGGATTCCATACCACCGCTTCGTTTGAGAATGTTCAAGAGTTGATGCGCGCTGGGAAGACTTTCGTACAAGGAAGTTCCCTGTTTTGTCATGACGACGAATTCTGAAGAAGGCTGGTAGACGGAGCAGACGTCTCTGTGGGGAGCAAGCCCAAGGGTGCCATTTTCTGGCGGGACAAGAGGATCGTCGATATCAGAGATCGAAGCGCAAGTCCAGACGCGACAGTCAAGTCGGTTGACGCCGTATTCTTCCGGCATGTTGGCGCTGCCGTTACTGATTCCGACGAGCGACCACATCTGGTCTGCTTCGAGGCCGCTCTCTTCTGAGCAAAGGAGGGACACTTCCCCTGTCAGAAGGGCGGAATGCACTTTCCTTGGCTTGAGCTCTGCTGTCGAGGAAGTGAAGCCAGGTGGTAGGCGAACATGGACGAGGAGTAGGTGATGAGGCCGTTCCCTAGAGCCAGTGCTGAAATAGTATCGAAGACCAGCTTGTGTGACGGCGACAAAGTGAATGGCCTGTGATGAGCCAGCGTCGATAGTAGCAACGGCGACGATAGGAGAGAAGAAGGACTTGTCGCACTGCGGGGCAGCACGTGATGCGGCGTGGACGATGGAGGAGCTGGAAAGTGAGGCGACTTTGCTGATGCCAGTTCCAGTTTTGCCGAGATCGTAAAGCGAAATCGAGCCTTTTTCAGACAGCGTCCAAATTGTCTTTCGTTTACGATCGACCAGTAGGTGGGAAAGCGGATCATCATCAAACAAGACGTTCTGGACGACTGATGGGATCAGGTATCCGATCGAGGAAGACGAGTGATTGATCCGCCGACACTTGCGTCCAAACCAGCCCGATTCGTTAGTGTAGGCCACCTCGTGCAAACAACCGTCCTTTCCGGCGAGAAAGATGCGCCCGTCATCAGTGCCTGTGATCGACTGGAATCTGATGTTGTCGGTGGACACTGTGTAGAGAGGATCGGGAATGATGTTGAGCTCTTCGTCGGTGTTGTCGTTGTTGAAACAGACTCCGAGGAGGATGATTTCCATGGCAGTGGCGACGACGAGGATGTGTTTGACGTCGCGGAAGATCTGTTTCACCGGCTTTACAAGCGCACATGTGATAATCGCTTCTATAAATTGGAGATATTTCCATGAATATTATCGATTGATTTTACCTGAAAGGCCGTCATAATAAGCTAAATCTTCGCCAGACTCATATTTCCAGATAAATATATCTGCATCAATCGTCAGCCAGGCTCTTTGAATTTCTGTAAAAATACCCAATTTCCAATCTGTCTGCATGTGACCAAACTGCTCTATCAGCTCCGCGGGGAGGGGAACGCGTTTTTTCTGGGCAAGGAGAGGCACCGAATCTGACGCAGGAATTGATGGATAGTCGGATTCTTGGATTCCAGAGACAGAAGCTGTGTGGGCATAACCGCCTGAATAAGAATTCCGTTAGATTTTATCGATTTAGGAGCAAGAAATTTCATTTTTACGGGATTTTTAACGAATTCAGGGGCTTTTCGAGCAAATTTAAAAGGACAAAGTTTCCCTAGATCACTTACCGTCAGGATTGACCCCTAGAAGATTGGCAAAATCTGCCCTAGGAGCATCGGCGTATTTCTGTAGTTGATTGACGGCATCGTCGAACTGGTTGCGGTCAGTCGTGCCGCTCATCCAGCTTCTCACGGAATCTCTCTGTCTTCTGAATCACCCAAGTTTTAAAAATTGAACAAGAACAAGCTATTTTCAGCTTGGAAATTGAAAGAAATTTCGTGCGCCAGGAACATCAGCGCGGGCGCTTATTCGTTGGAGCCGAGTGTAGGCGTCAGCGCCTTACTAACACACGTGCGCTTATTTTTTCCTCAGAGCGCAGCGCAAAGTGCGCTAAATCTCAGCAATTTACGAAAATTTAAATTACAACCATCATTTTTCAAATTGATTAATTGTAAATAATAAACGCGCATTTCTCGCTCTCTATCTATAAACAAATTAATCGTATAGTAATTATGATATTATTATCAATTGGCAAATGGTCTTGCCCACCTGTGTAGAAAACCTGAGTCAGGGTCTGAGAGCGAAAAAGCTACCCTGACTCAGGTTTTCTACACAGGTTTCCAAGTCCATTTATCGATTGATAATAAAATCTATTACTATCCAATTAATTTGTTTATAATGAAATATTTCTAATAAATAATAATATTATTTTTTCGAACTACGTTTATTGTTTGATTCGAGCTTGTAATTTGTATGAAGCTAAGGAAAAGATATCGAACATGAATATGAATAAAAACTTGGATATTTTGTTGAAATCAGGAACGGATAACAAAAAGAAAACGGGAAGGGTTGAATAGAAGTTACTTCTGAAAAGTTAAAAAAAGGGAAATATAGTTGAACGAAGATGGGATTAGAAAAAGATGGGCAACGAACATAAAAAAGGAGTGTTAGAACAACGAGGGAACAGGCGAGTTTCAGGATATAAGAATATTTAAGACCGACACCTTGGTCGGTTAGTTTGAGCTAGTTTTTCTTCATGCCTTTGCCGTACCAGCCGGGCGTGTAATGCTCTTTGAAATTGGTCTTGAAGTTGTTGCTTTCGACTGAAATCAAGGATGAGAATGGAGAACAACCATTATTTGAAATCAGCTACCTGGAAATTTAGCGTTGTTTTCTACCATATTGAGAAAGGGAGTCGAAGGTTTGGGATCGTTTTCGTTCAGGGCAGTGGCAAGAGAGATGAGCGGGTCCTCACTTTCCGAATACGGCGAGATCGGAATGTCGAAGGCCTTGGCCACTTCGCAGAGAATTTGGTCGCTCTGACCTCGAATCAGCAAGTCCGCTTTCTTGTCCTTCGGCGTCCACTGCAAGTTGATAATCACCAGCTTGCATTTCTTCGGCCAGAGCACTTTGTAAGCTTTCAGGACTTTGAGACTTGTTCCGATGCAGACAATCAGATCCGTTTGAGCTAAGAGATGGTTGAGACTGAAAATTGAAATTTTGAAATACCAGCGTGAGTTTCGGCAGTTTCCCAACGATAGGGAACATCAAATCGGTTCATTTCGCCAAAATGCACAATCGCATCGTACAATTCTTCGTCGCAGTCTTCATTTGGGCACATTCGTCCGGTTTTATGGCGCTTTACATTCGTCTTTTCTGTCACATCGAATGTTCTTTGGTATTTTAGGAAAAGGGACGGAAGATAACTTCAAATTACCGATAAAAGAAGTGGCCTTCATCGCAGTTTTCCATGAACATATTTCCATGAATTTCTGAAAGTTGTTCGGGAGAAACACCGCTTCGGAGATGAAGACCATCGCAGTTTTGAGAAAGGAGAAACTTGAAGATTCCGCTTTTCAGCAATCCGGAAAGCGCTTTCAAAAAGTTTTCGAAAGTCCAAATAATCATTCATTGGATAATTTGAGGATAAAACTCTTTCCCATGTGTCCAAGAGTTGGAGTGGCAGTTACCAGATTGCATTGTTTTATGTCTTGCCCTGATGCCAGTGATGACTGAAAATTTAAAAATGAAGGGATTGACAACAAATTTGAATAAATACTCGAAACTGTTATAAATTCGTACATAAACACCACCAGTCCCGCGATAGTCAGGAATATTCGCCGACGTCGAAATCCCTGCTCCAGTGTAAACAATCGGATGCTCAGCATCTCGAATCATTTCGATCAGTTTGGCTACTTTGGGGGCAAGTTCTTCGGCAGTATCGTACATTTCGGTCAGTCTGGATTGGTTGCACTTTTGTGTTTCCCATTGTCGAGTTAAAATTTTAACCAGTCGGGGGTTTTCGGCAATCAATTGCTCTGAAATCGAAATGAGAAAAGGACCTCATTGAAAAATAGAAACCTTGAAACTCGCTTTTGATTTCTGCCTTGAGAGCCGTGGCAAGCTCTTTGCGCTTGCATTTATACTCCGCTTTGGCATCAGAAATCGCGCCCGAGATTTGCGTGAGAGCACGGGGAGATTTCCTCTTTGAGCCGATCTCCATCGATTTCAACTTTGTTTTACGATTGCATTTTTATCTGAAGACGTGGATGTAAAAGAGTTTTGTTTTATTCCGCTTTATTTTATTGAACTTGAAGGAGAATAGTATGGAACTCTGGAACAAAATGGCTTCAAGACGGTGACTAGTTCTTCGATCGTACTTTTCGATTTTTCTGTGGCTTTTCACGGTTCTCGATAAATAATTCAAAGAAGAAATCCGAGAAGCGCGCAAGCGGCTTCTCGATTGGGTTGTTACTAATGAGAAAAAGAACCCTTCCTGTGGTGGCCTGAAGTTATTTTCCAAATTTCCGCCATGGAGACATGGAAGAGAACGAAGTGCAGTCATCGTTGACGGCGAAAGAAATAGAGGTTGTTTTAGAAGAATCCACATGACGCATTCGAGCAAAGGTGGCGTTGTCAGACTACCTTCGTAGCAATAAAAGTTTTTGTTTTGAGGAAGAAGTTCGAGAAGTTCCATCGGCTTGGAGATTTGGTACTTTTTGCCGATATCGAAGTTCTTTGGGAAGAATTTGGTCAGAAACTTTCCAGGGCACAGCGAAGCTATTTCCGATTTCATTACAAGTAAATATCAAGGAGTAAGCATCATTCATGAAATCGTTTTGATACTCTCCTTCGACGTCATCTCGTTCGTGAATTACAGCACCAACGACTGCCAATCCATCGCCGTTCTTCATCGCTTCTTCTGGCGAGCCGTACTTTTTATTCCAATGAACAAAGTGGATTTCTGCATCGCCTGATTCTCCATTGATGAAATGCTCGGCGCCTTGTCCAATTTCAGATCCCTACGGAGAGGTCAATTAGGGGGCAACTTTGAACTTCTTTCTTACCCAGTGAATATGAAACTGAAGCAACTCATATTCAGAAGACAAATGAGCTCCAGTTAGAGTCGAGCCGGGCTTGAAAGTGACTTGTACAGAATGCCCATTGCAGAAGATTTCCGAGGCAGTTTCATTCTTCCATTGAAGATTGAGAGCCTTGAGTTTCTTATCAACCTTCACTCGTCCTAATAAATTCATTTTGACAAAATTTAACAATAAGGAAAATCATCAAATAGGAGTATTTATAACAGTATTTGGGCGGTCTTTATATAATGGTACGAATTTGTAAGTTACCAGTAATTATATCGATTGGGGACTGTCTCTCTCCATTAGCAACAGGGAACTGGGTATCCCACTTTGCTGGAGGACACTCGCTCCTTTCGTATCCCCAAGACATAACTGCTGAAAACAAAACAGTTTTAAAAAAGGGATGAAACTCGTCTAGAAAGAGACTATCTTTTAAATTAAACGCTCCGGGATTCCAATTGAAATCTGCGTCAGTCTCTTATTTAATCGCAAACGAAGATATTTGAGCTAGTAATTAGTTCTCAAGGGAGTGCTCTCTGAATGTTCGATTGAAGCTTCCGCGAGTTAGATAAACAAGAAGAAAGAAAACGCTTTCTTTCACGATTTAGAGCACTGGAAGTCAATTACTACAGAGCTTCTAATTTTATCTCTTTGCATATCTCGGGTAGAATGCTCGTATAAAAATGCCGTGCTCTTTCGACGGAGCGCAAATATTTGGCGAATACTGTAGATATTGGATAACAGTTGCCGCAAGCTACTTACGTATACATATTCAATTTTAAGATGATAATGAGGCGACAGCCGTTCTTAATCCCCTGCTGATCCGTCGCCCACATATTTGTCTTAATAAAAATAAACGATAACGGGGGAGAAGAAGATTATCAGATTTTTCATTGTACATGTGGTTCTTTTTCCAGTGTTCATTTCTGAATATGGCATAATGGAAATGAAAGCATGAGCTTAGCATTCAATAAATAACATTTTTCAATTTTCAATCAGGGTTCTGGGTAGCTAGCAAAATTATTCTTCAACAATTTCATCGCCATATTTATTATATTTCTTGGGTTTGCTGATGGACGCAAGTTGATCTTGTTCCGGGATAAACAAATATTTTTCAATTGCAAAAGAGATTTTTATTTTATCACGTTTCTGAGGTGGTTGTTTGCTGTGTTTGTAATTGCAACTGATTCGCTACGGCGTCGGTAATCTGACTTGAAGGGCCACCGGATGGAGGTGGTGGAACTGGGCTAGAATCATCGGGGTATCCGTATTTTCGTAGAAGCTCAATATTCTCCATCGGCGAAATTGTTCCTTCGATCGTTAGTTTCATGAAGTCAGTTGTGTAGCAAGGAGGAAGAGTGTCGAACATTCCCTTCTTATACGCGTCAATCTGGGCTTTTTGGGCGGCTTTTTCAAGGATCAAAAAGTAATTGACTAAGAAAGTTACTTTCTGATTTTCGATCCTAACTAATAAAGCAGTCATAGAGCCACCAATCCAGCCCATTGGGACGGAGAAAACAAATTTCACGAATCCCTTATTCCGGAGCAAGAAAAAAGCCGGTCCTCCAAGCATCAAAGCTCCAGCTCCAGCGGCAGCTGCAAGGGTTGGTGTTCCTGGAACGGCCGCAGCAATCTTCTCCCTAGCGATCAAATCATCAGAAGTAGGCCTCCAAGCATACGCCTTCAAGTGGGTTCTGCACAAGATTCACAAAAATGCGAAATTGAAAGTCTGTCAGTTCCCTAGCTTTCCATCAATATTCATGCGAATAATATCATCTCCGACACTCATTATTTGCTAAAATGGGGAAAGAATTTTATTCAGAAAATCTCATTTTGGATACTTATGAAGAAATTGAAATGAAGAACTTTGCAGGATATAAATTGCAATATCACTATAAGAACATGGAAATGACAGTGTATGCTGAAAAATCATCGCTTAGATAAGAAACGCTTGCTAATAAGTTATTGCACAGGTAAATTTGGGCACTCTTCGTCCCCAGTAATTGGAGAAAGAGATTCACTTTGACTGTGAATTGCGGAGCTAGAGTCAAGGAGAGCTTGAGAATTGCGTTTCTTCAGTTTTCCATCTGCTCCGCAAGATAACAGATGTTCCCCACAGAATGCCAAGCCCATCACTCCAGCAGTTGGGTTTTTGAAGACTTGAAATATTTTTAATGATTGTTCATCATCCGATTTTACCGGAAGATCTGGGATGCTCAAGCATAAGGACTGAAACGAGCGACTGTTGAGCGAGAGAGCAGATTCTGATTGAACCATCGGTCGATCCAACCGCGAGGATTTCTCCATTGCCGCTGATATTCAGACATTTTACCATCCCGGCGAAGTTAATCGAAGAAACAACCAGGTAGTCCTTGTCGACAAACACGAGCCCTCCTTCTTTTCCGCCAACACAAATCAACTAAACATGCGTTTGGTTATCAGCTCAGAGAGGAAAATGACGGACCTGGTATTTGAGAGAATAAGTGACAGCTGATGCAGATTCGGAGATTTCTCTGAGTTCGAGTGAGTAAATAGGCTCGAGGTACTGCCTTGTGAGGAGATCCCAAACGCATAGGGCCGAGTTCGAGAAATTTCTATGCACACCAGCTGAGATAAGAATAGAAGAACCTTCCAGAAAGCAAATTGATAAGACATCACGTCCTATGTTGAATCGTTGCACTGGAGGAAGCACTGAATTTATCTCCATGAAAAGTTTGAAAAATGAGAGCTTTTACGTTGTTGGGAGAAGAGAATTTGGTCGACGATCCAAATTCGCACTGATCCATCTTCAGCAAGAGCAGCTAGTCGCGAATAGGGTGGGTCACTTTTCAAACAATTTTTCTGTACGCTTTGTTTTTTGAGCTTATCTGATAGAGCTCGTTGCGCTGATCATTTTGAGCCCTCAAATACCTCCGTACCCTTCCGGGAAAATACTTTTGCAGAATCTGGGAAATCATGAAAATCGAAAATTTTTGGTCAAATTAGGGTCAATTCCGGTATACTCAGAGCTTTAAAATGTGTATAAGATAAGTTCCTGTCGTTTCCCGGAGTAGATTTGGGTATCAAATTGACCAGCTTGACGAGTTCTATCTGATGACGTAATAATATCACATGATATGGGGGTGTGCCCAAAAGTTATTCTAGAAAAACCATTTTTTCGAACATGAATTTTTCAAAAAAAACCCAAAAAAATTTTTTTTTCCTTATCTATTGAAAAAAGTTTTTTATTCGGGTCAGATCTATCACCTGAAAAAATTAAATCAAGTTCGGAAGACCAACCATGAAAGTGACCCACCCTAGTCGCGAACCAGATTGACAAAAGGTCAAGCATTTTATTCGAGCTTTTGATTCTTTCGAGGAGAGAATTCTTGTCACAGAATTAGCCGCAAATTGAATGACATAGATAGGGCTGCCGCCAAAAAAATCAGGTACCACTTTTTGGGTACCTAGAGCTTTTTTACTCGGCTATTATGTTCTTTGAGTCAAGAAAAACGATTTCCAGCAAAAAAAATGGGTTCCATATGGATGACTCATCGAAAAATAAGCATTCAAAGTGCTTCCGGAAGCTAACTTCCGGCGGCCTGAATCTTTTTCAATTCTGATGCCGGAAATGGATTCTACGGGTCCGAAAACCTGTAAATCGAGTCTCAAAAAGTGTCAATCTTCTACATGAGAGCCAGAATCGACGATTTTTGGTCGATTTTCTTTGTTGTTGTCAGATCAAATTTCTTTTTTTCGTAAAAACGAAGGAAATGCTTATCAGTAGGCCCAAAATTGGTTTCTAGGTTATCGAGGATGCTGAAAAAGGTAAGATGGGCCATGAACCGCGATAAACCGTCACTGTAACCGGTCGGTTTTTCTAAAAATTAATCAAAATATTGGATAAACGTTATTAAATCTTGTTAAAAGCCCGTTGATTATTGACATGAATGATATGGCCACCTTTGGTCAAATTTGGTCGAGCTTGGCCGGAGGACGACCCGGAGGACCAACCTGGTGGAAGACTAAGTACTGGAAGACCAATATTAAAAAAAAAAAAATCCTTGAAGGGCCAGAAATTTCCATTTTCGGCCACTTTTGGTCGTTTTTGCCGGAGGAACTCTTGGAGGACCACCCTGGTGGGAGACAAACTGCTGGAAGACGCATATTAAAAACAATATTTAATAAAATTTGAATCTTTGAAGGCCCAAAAATTGCAATTTTCGGCCACTTTTGGTCTTTTGTGCCGGAGGACCTCAAAGAGGACCACCCTGGTGGAAGAAAAACTACTGGAAGCCCAATATAAAAAAAAACATATTTAATAAAATTTTAATCTTTGAAGGGCAAGATAATGCCATTTTCGGCCACTTTTAGCCTTTTTATGCCGGAGAAACTCGAGGAGGACCAACCTGGTGGAAAACAAACTGCAGAAAGACCAATAACAAAAAAACAATATTTAATAAAATTTAAATCAAAGAAGGGCCAGGAATTGCCATTTCGGCCACGATCGGCCTTTTTTTTGCCAAAAACCGCCGTAAGACAACCCTGATGAAAATAACTGCTTGAAAAAAAAATTTTTAAAAATAAAATAAGATCCTTGAAGGGCAAAGAATTCCCCTTTTTTGCCATCTTTGCCCGTTAACTGCCGAAAAACTCCTGGAGGAAGACTAACTATAAGCAAACTGCGTTCATTCAATTCAGTCTTCATCGGGGCCAAGCCGACCCAAAGGAGAGGCAAGCCCCGTCTATTCAATTCGATCAGGATCGGGGCCAAGCCGACCCGAAGGGGAGGCCAGCCCCGTTTATTCTATTCAGTCAGGATCGGGGCCAAGCCGACCCGAAGGGGAGGCCAGCCCCGTTTATTCAATTCAGTCTTCATCGGGGCCAAGCCGACCCAAAGGGGAGGCCAGCCCCGTCTGTTCAGTTCAGTCAGGATCGGGGCCAAGCCGACCCTAAGGGAAGGCCAGCCCCGTTTATTCAATTCAGTCAGGATCGAGGCCAAGCCGACCCGAAGGGGAGGCAAGTCTCGTCTATTCAATTCAGTCAGGATCGGGGCCAAGCAGACCCTAAGGGAAGGCCAGCCCCGTTTATTCAATTCAGTCAGGATCGAGGCCAAGCCGACCCGAAGGGGAGGCCAGCCCCGTCTACTCAATTCAGGCAGGATCGGGGCCAAGCCGACCCGAAGGGGAGGCCAGCCCCGTCCATTCAATTCAGTCAGGATCGGGGCCAAGCCGACCCGAAGGGAAGGCCAGCCCCGTCTATTCAATTCAGTCAGGATCGGAGCCAAGCCGACCCGAAGGGAAGGCCAGCCCCAACTGTTCAATTCAGTCAGGATCGGGGCCAAGCCGACCCGAAGGGGAGGCCAGCCCCGTTTATTCGATTCAGTCAGGATCGGGGCCAAGCCGGCCCGAAGGGGAGGCAAGCCCCGTTTTTTCAATTCAGTCAGGATTGGAGCCAAGCCGACCCGAAGGGGAGGCCAACCCCGTCTGTTCAGTTCAGTCAGGATCGGGGCCAAGCCGACCCGAAGGGAAGGCCAGCCCCGTTTATTCAATTCAGTCAGGATCGGAGCCAAGCCGACCCGAAGGGGAGTCCAGCCCCGTCTGTTCAGTTCAGTCAGTATCGGAGCCAAGCCGACCCGAAGGGGAGTCCAGCCCCGTCTGTTCAGTTCAGTCAGGATCGTGGCCAAGCCGACCCGAAGGGGAGGCCAGCCCCGTTTATTCAATTATGTCTCGGGCAGGGCCAAGCCGACCCGAAGGAGGGCCATTCCCGTCTATTCGATTGAGTCTGGGGCAGGGTCAAGCCGACCCGAAGGGGAGGCCATTCCCGTCTATTCGATTTAGTCAGGATCGGGTTCAAGCCGACACGAAGGGGATTTTCAAAATTGCTATTATATCTAGGTGCGGCTTTATGTTCTCGAGATTTTAAAAGCTTTTAACTCTCGCTCCGGGCGTGAACTGGCTCCAACGTAGGGCGCTCATTCTCTCAAAGAAACCCCGCGCCTCTTCTTCATAGCGCAGTGAATAACACAAAAACAATTTGTTAATATAACAAGATTTCAAAGAAAAATTTGAAAAATCGGCCGATTAAAAAAAATTCATATAATATGATAGTAATTATAAATAAATTTATGAAATTCTTTATTCAAAATATTATCTTTCCGCTCATGCAATGCCCAGATTCACCCTATTTAGAAGGAAATCAAGCAAATACCTCCGCCCCATTTGACTGTTCGATATCTGAAAACCCTTTATTTGCTATATTTTTCTTTCGGGTCAGCTTCGCGCCGATCAAGACAAGATTAAATAAACTTTGCTGGCCTCCACTTCGGGTCGGCTTGGCCTCAATTCAGAAAAAATTGAATAAACGGGGCTGGCCTCCACTTCGGGTCGGCTTGTCCCCGATCCAGACTGAATTGACAAGACGAGGCTGGCCTCTACTTCGGGTCGGCTTGGCACCATTCCTGACAGAATTAAACAGACAAGGCTGGCCTCCCCTTCGTGTCGGTTTGGCTCCAATCCTGACTGAATTAAATAAATGGGGCTGTTCTCCCTTCGCGTCGGCTTGGCCCCGCTCAAGACTTAAGTGGATAAACGGGGCTGGCCTCCCCTGTGGGTCGGCTTCGCCCTGCTCCAGACTAAATTGAATAGACAGGGCTGACCCCGATTCTGACAGAATTGAACAAACGGGGCTGGCCTCCCCATCGTGTCGGCTTGGCCCCGATCCTGATTTAATTGAAAAGACGGGGCTGGCCTCCCTTTCGGGTCGGCTGGGCACTGCCCAAGACCTAATTGAGAAAACGGGGCTGGCCTCCCATATGGGTCGGCTTGGCCCCGATCCAGACAGAATTAAATAGACGGGGCTGGCCTCCCCTTCGGGTCGGCTTGCCCCGATCCTGACTGAATCGAATAAATGGGGCTGGCCTTCCCTTCGGATCGGCATGGTCCCGATCAAGACAGACTTGAATAGACGGGGCTAGCCTCCCCTTCTAGTCGGCTTTGCCCCGATCAAGACAGAATTGAATAGACGGGGCTGACCTCCTTTTCGGGACGGCTTGGCCCCGCTCCAGACTAAATTGGATTAACGGGGCTGGCCTCTCCTTCGGGTCGGCTTGGCCCCGATCCTGACTTAATCGAATTAATGGGGCTTGTATTCCCTTCGGATCGGCATGGTCCCGATCAAGACAGAATTGAATAGACGGGGCTAGCCTCCCCTTCTAGTCGGCTTCGCCCCGATCCTGACTGAATTGAATAGACGAGACTTGCCTCCCCATCGGGTCGGCTTGGCCCCGCTCCAGACTAAATGTGATAAACGGGGCTGGCCTCCTTTTCGTTTCGGCTTGGCCCAGATCCTGACTTAATTGAATAGACGGGGCTTGCCTCCCCTTCGGGTCGGCTTTGCCCTGCCCCAGATTATATTTAATAAACGGGGCTGGCCTCCCCTTCGGGTCGGCTTGGCCCCGATCCTGACTGAATTGAATAGCCGGGGCTGGCCTCCCCTTCGGGTCGGCTTGGCTCCGATGCTGACTGAATTGAATAAACGGGGCTGGCCTCCCCTTCGGGTCGGCTTGGCCCCAATCCAGACAGAATTGAAAAGACGGGGCTGACCTCCCCTTCGGGTCGGCTTGGCCCCGATCCTGACTGAATTGAATAGACGGGGCTGGCCTTCCCTTCGGGTCGGCTTGGCGCCGATCTTGACTGAATTGAATAGACGGGGCTGGCCTTCCCTTCGGGTCGGCTTGGCCCCGATCCTGACTGAATTGAATAGACGAGACTTGCCTCCCCTTCGGGTCGGCTTGGCCCCGATCCTGACTGAATTGAATAAACGGGACTGGCCTCGTATTCGGGTCGGCTTGGCCCCGATCCTGACTTAATCGAATAAACGGGGCTGGCCTCCCCTTCGGGTCGGCTTGGCCCCGATCCTGACTTAATCGAATAAACGGGGCTGGCCTCCCCTTCGGGTCGGCTTGGCCCCGATCCTGACTGAATTGAATAAACGGGGCTGGCCTTTCCTTCGGGTCTGCTTGGCCCCGATCCTGACTGAATTGAATAGACGAGACTTGCCTCCCCTTCGGGTCGGCTTGGCCTCGATCCTGACTGAACTGAACAGACGGGGCTGGCCTCCCCTTTGGGTCGGCTTGGCCCCGATGAAGACTGAATTGAATAAACGGGGCTGGCCTCCCCTTCGGGTCGGCTTGGCCCCGATCCTGACTGAATAGAATAAACGGGGCTGGCCTCCCCTTCGGGTCGGCTTGGCCCCGATCCTGATCGAATTGAATAGACGGGGCTTGCCTCTCCTTTGGGTCGGCTTGGCCCCGATGAAGACTGAATTGAATGAACGCAGTTTGCTTATAGTTAGTCTTCCTCCAGGAGTTTTCGGCAGTTAACGGGCAAAGATGGCAAAAAGGGGAATTCTTTGCCCTTCAAGGATCTTATTTTATTTTTAAAAATTTTTTTCAAGCAGTTATTTTCATCAGGGTTGTCTTACGGCGGTTTTTGGCAAAAAAGGCCGATCGTGGCCGAAATGGCAATTCCTGGCCCTTCTTTGATTTAAATTTTATTAAATATTGTTTTTTGTTATTGGTCTTTCTGCAGTTTGTTTTCCACCAGGTTGGTCCTCCTCGAGTTTCTCCGGCATAAAAAGGCTAAAAGTGGCCGAAAATGGCATTATCTTGCCCTTCAAAGATTAAAATTTTATTAAATATGTTTTTTTTTATATTGGGCTTCCAGTAGTTTTTCTTCCACCAGGGTGGTCCTCTTTGAGGTCCTCCGGCACAAAAAGACCAAAAGTGGCCGAAAATTGCAATTTTTGGGCCTTCAAAGATTCAAATTTTATTAAATATTGTTTTTTTTTAATATGCGTCTTCCAGCAGTTTGTCTCCCACCAGGGTGGTCCTCCAAGAGTTCCTCCGGCAAAAAACGACCAAAAGTGGCCGAAAATGGAAATTTCTGGCCCTTCAAGGATTTTTTTTTTTTTTAATATTGGTCTTCCAGTACTTAGTCTTCCACCAGGTTGGTCCTCCGGGTCGTCCTCCGGCCAAGCTCGACCAAATTTGACCAAAGGTGGCCATATCATTCATGTCAATAATCAACGGGCTTTTAACAAGATTTAATAACGTTTATCCAATATTTTGATTAATTTTTAGAAAAACCGACCGGTTACAGTGACGGTTTATCGCGGTTCATGGCCCATCTTACCTTTTTCAGCATCCTCGATAACCTAGAAACCAATTTTGGGCCTACTGATAAGCATTTCCTTCGTTTTTACGAAAAAAGAAATTTGATCTGACAACAACAAAGAAAATCGACCAAAAATCGTCGATTCTGGCTCTCATGTAGAAGATTGACACTTTTTGAGACTCGATTTACAGGTTTTCGGACCCGTAGAATCCATTTCCGGCATCAGAATTGAAAAAGATTCAGGCCGCCGGAAGTTAGCTTCCGGAAGCACTTTGAATGCTTATTTTTCGATGAGTCATCCATATGGAACCCATTTTTTTTTGCTGGAAATCGTTTTTCTTGACTCAAAGAACATAATAGCCGAGTAAAAAAGCTCTAGGTACCCAAAAAGTGGTACCTGATTTTTTTGGCGGCAGCCCTAGACATAGACATCTCCTGATGCGCTTCCTGCGACGTAAACCATCGGGTCACTAAATACAAAAATTGAAGGATAAATACATATTGACGTCTTACGTTGGAGAGGCGACTAATCGACGGATGTCTTTGAATGGTAGACGACTTCGAACTTCCAGTTTCGAATTGCCAATGACGGGATAAAACTCGATTATCTCGGTCGCTGTTGAAATGGCCACTTGCTGAGACTCAGTTTTTAGGGCGCTAAAATGGTGTTTTTGATCATTTAGTTACTCAAAGTGTCTGTTATGCTACAAGAGGTTATATTTTCTGTGCGATGAATAGAAGCGAGTTGTATAAAAGTAGCTGGTTAATTGGCTGTTTACTTGAACATTCAGATACCTTTTATATGCACTATTTTGGCTTCGAAAAAAACTAGTCAAGTATTATTTTTTATGAATGCGTACCTAAGAGTCATATCATCGCTGTCTTTTTGCAGTGGATACAAAAGCGACAGTGTGGTCGATTTTGGAAGCAAAGAACTGCTACAAACTGAGTATACCACCTCAGGATCCGTGTAAGAGACTTTTGTATTCTTCTGGATCTCCATGTGACTGTGCGAGACTTCCTCGTAGTCCTCTCGATTTTGAACTAAGATAATATAAATTTCTCGTTATAAAAAGGCATTTTACCCGCAATCTTGTCATAGACAAATTGGTAGAAAAACGGCTTCAACAAGTGAACTTTCGAAAGAAGAATCCACTGAACCGAAAGCTCTCTTGCAACGAGACTGTTTCCAGATGAAAATGGATTCAGCTGCTCGATAGACATATCTGGCGTGAAATTCGGTATCGCTTCCAGTGGCAGGTCAATGTCAGAAAGAATGTCAAACTCGTCGAATGACCATTTTTTGATCAAATCTTCGATTCTTTTCATCATATTCGACTCCAGCATTCGATTTAGTTCTTTTGACGAGTTTTTACGATTGCTATTTCTTTGACTGAAGATCATTCTAATTTAACTCGTTCCTGCTAATCTCTGCTGGACAATAACGAGTGCTACCGCTCTGCTCAGTCTCGGGAAGAAAGCCATTCGATCGTTCAATTCCGAATCGCATTCATGAAATCCATCATCGTCCATGTACTCCTCATCGAATAGATTTTCGAAGAACTCGTGCCGATCTTTGATATCTTGAAGGAGCAAATTCAGCAAATGATCGTTCTCCAACGGTGGGGTAAACTCATGCGTTGAGGATAACGAGCCAAATGCTAGAGCAACTCTCAAGAACAGAGAAAAGTAAAGCAGATTACCTTTCATCAAAAATCTTTTACTGTGAAACTCCGAAACAAAAAGTCGATTGACTATTCTTAGTTCTGTAGTTTGCCGTTCATCAAGCAGAGCGAGAACGAGAAGCGTCAGTACGGTTATAGAAGTGAATTCCAGGATAAGTTTTGTTGCTTCAAAGCCACCCTTGTTCAATGGCCAGAATGCTGCGGCTGCTGATGTTTCGTCAGAGTTCTTCGGAATCTGGTCTTCGTTTTCATCTGCTGGGGATCGTGGGATCAACCGGTCAAATAAATCTTTTAGCTAGAATGGGCTAGATCACATTTTTATCAATATATTTTTGTGAAAATCTGAGCCGTTCCTGAAGATAGTCATGTCTAAGAGCCGATCGACTAGTGACTTTTTCCGCCACAGTAGGAAGTTTGGAGTATCTTGAAATCTGTGCAACAATCTTCTCGAAATAGTGCCGTATGTGCTCCAAATCCGAGGATACGTAAAAGTTCTCGGCACCCCTAGAAACAATTGCTGAAGTCTTTCGACTAATCTTCACAATCTTACCTAACGAACGAAAGTAGAGGGAAGGACACATTATAATTTTGAAGGTAAATTTGAAGGGCTGTTTGAAACTTCACTGAATCCACAGACCGATTTCGACGAATTAACTTTGTAAAGCTAGGGCAGTAACCTGGCCAAAGTGCTCGCAAATCTGCTTCGGAAGAAACTAGATTGTCGATTATTGCTTTCAAATCTTCTCCACGTTCTTCACTGTTTGTTTGGAAAGAAAATTCCTCAATAAGGAATGTTTTCAATGTTGACTTTGAAATTTCTTCTGATAAGATATCCGGTCCATCTTCAAAGACAGCATTAACCTCATCATCTCGCCGGGTTTCCTCGACGACTTTAGGTGGAGAATCAGCTTCATCATCTTCGCTTTTTTCTTCGTCAGACCATTCCAAACTCAGAGCATCTTCTTGAACCGGTTCAGGTTCTCCCCAATTCAAATCCAGCGTTTCTTCTTTCACAGGTTCTGGCTGTCCCCAGTCCATTGGCGAAGCGCTGTCGAGGGTTTTCCCAGGAGAATCGCAAGAAACTTCTATTTGAACGGCTTTTCGGATCTTTGGTAAATTTTCAAGCGTGATCATCGCCGGCAAGGGGCAGCCATTTACCAAGTGCTCGAATGCCGCTCTGCTACAGAGAACTCGCTCTTGGGAAGTATTGCTAGATGATGTTTTTCCATGAATACTGAGAGCTTTCGTATACAAAGGATGCTTCGATAAGAACTTGTAAAAATTAAAGATCTTCGCTGGATCGTATTTTCTGCAGACTTCTGAGTCCAAGAAAATGTCCACGGACTCAATTTGCTTTCCCTCAAGCCAGTAAAGCATCGATGTGATGAAACTGTCTTCTTTCGAGAGCTCCTTGAATTTTTGAAGGAAAAGATCTTGTCCAGAGCGAAGCTTGGCTATCAAAAGAGTCAAGCAGCTATCCTGAAGTCGATTTTGAGCAACATCAAGGGCATCATTCAGCGCTCCTCCGATCAGAAAGAACCCTATTGCCTCAAGATAGCGGCGTTTTCCGAGAAGGGCGAATGCGTTTTCAAAGCAGCCTGTTTCCATCGCGTATCTGAGAAGTCATTGGCAAAGAATTGAGCCATCTTTAGGTTGTTGACAGATTTGAAGAGTCCGCTGAGGATCTTTTCCTTCCCGAGAATCGAGTACCAGACAATAACAGGCATAGGATCTTTTTCCTTCTGGAAGATGATTCTTGAGAGCTTCTCAATTGACATCCTCAACGTAGCAACGGATTTGCACCAGAACGCCGCTCCTGTGAGCTTCATCAAGTCCCAAGAAAAATCGACACTTTCCATAATGATCGACATGATTTCAGCCTGACTTTCAGAATGAAAAGCCCAGATCATCGCTGACGATGGAAGGTCGCTTTTAACTCGAGATGCGTTTCGTACGTATTTTGTGATACAACGATGATGGTGCCATTGAAGCATAAAAGTCGTACCGGCTCGATCGATACCGGCGGGAATAACGGTATTCAAGCACTCCCAGATCGCCTCTAAGGTCACTTGCTCTGATCTTGTTATTCCAGATAAACGGTAGCGCATAAGAATATCAGAAACGGTAACTTCGGAAGTATCGAACTCGTCTTCCGAGCATTCTGACTCAGATGACGAAAAGTCGAGGACGAGATCTTTCTCGAGATCTTCAGAAAGTCGTCTTTCAAAGTCCACAGTATCAGGATCCATCACTGACTTTCTTCTTTGATTTGGTCCAAGGTCCGAATTCACGTTTCCAAAAGAAGAATCGAGCAATGTCTGCAGCGGCGGCATGTTCGGCCTGATCTCAGACAAAGTATTATCGCTGAAAATCTCAGCCATCATCGCTTCCTTCGACTTTTTCGGTTTTACAGATCTTTTGAAGAAATCGACGAAGGATGTGAGAATACCTTTCGCCAAATTGACTTTCCCCAAATTTATGATTTTCTGAAGAGCAACTGGGGAATACGAAGGACGAGACCAGGTAGGCTCAGATTCTAGGAGAAGAAGAGATTTTCCACAAATGGCGATAAAATGTTTCAAATCGAGTCGTTCAATCAATGATGGTCGTTTCAAAGTACCAGGAGTTTGAAATCGTGAGGATAGACAAATTTTCCCCTTTGGCGAAGTAGAGATGAAATGGGCAGGAGGCTGTTGAAGAATTTCTACGGTAAGAATAGTACGTCCGATTAGGAAGAAAACAGTGCTTGTCAGATTCGAGTGCTCGAATAAAAATGCTTTCGGGCTTTCCATCCAGCACTCAGTCGCCAGCTCAATGGTCAATTGATCAAGGAACTCCCATAATTCAAAACCGGTGTGAATGCTGCTGTGAAGATTACACTCAATTTGCTTTCCAGAATGACTCCACGAGAAGATCAATCCAGGACCGGCTGATAGAACGTTATCGTCGGAAATATTGATGCTTGGACAGATGGGAGCATTTATTTCACTTTCGTGGAAGAAATTCAAGGAACTTCCCTGTTTTGATACATAAAAGTCTTCTTGTTGTCCCGCAATTCCTGTTATCACGCAATTAATGTTGATTTCTTTGACTTTCTCCTCGATAGGATCGATCAATAAGTTTCTTTCAGGGCTGCTGATAATGAGATTTGATTTGCTTCGATGGATTCCTTGGACATTTTCAACAGGCAAGTTCCACGAATGCCTCCTTTTCATCACTCCATTGTCGATAATTATCGAATAAACTATCAACTCTTTCGCCTTCTTTTCTATCGCAACGAGGATTTCTGATGTCATTTCTTCTGGCGATTGAATCCATTTGAGCACAACTTCAGAATCGAATTTGAAAACTGATTTGTGATGGGCTTTGTTCATTAGCCTTTTCACAATAAAGACATTTCCAAGTTCATCCCCTGTCGCGATAACGGGTAGTTCAGGGTGAGCATCAATCGTTGTTATTTCGGCAGGGTGACCAGAAGCTTGACACAGGGACTTGATCGAAGTTGTGTCGCCAAACGAGTTGGTAGAAGAAGAAAGAGTCAGTGTCACTAAGTTCCCATCCGAATCAACGACGTCGACGAAAATCTTTTGCGAAGCACCAACACTCGCCATAGAAATCGAGTTCGTAATCGACGGCGAAAGCGAGAACATCGAACTTGCTCGTTTGAGTGGGGTTTCTGATGAGAGACGAGCTAGATACGGCCGAACTTGAATGTGCATTTTGATATTCAACGAGTCGCTGGGGTAAATATTCGGAATCATACGAAGAGTTGAAATGACGACGGGTTTGATGCCTTTGTTGTTTTTCATTTTCAAATTGCTGACAGACCAAAGATGAAAGTTCCCACGCGAGATTCCGACCAAATAATCTGTATCATCGTGCGAATAATACGCGTTGTTCAAGAAAGAAAACATCATATCCGGAGAAGACTTAGAAGCCAGTAGCTGAATCTTATTTTCTTGCCCAGACCAGAGGCGGAGAATCGAGTTCGAATGAGTGAGGAAGACTGAATTCTCGTCGTCGTCACTGAGTCTCCAGTCGATGTGGGAGATTTTCCCCGGATGAGCGACTTTTGTTTGGTTGAATTCGTCGTTGAAGATAAAGACGAACTTTGATCTGACGACGAAAAGCTTTTCATTTGAAAACCCGAATTCGGTGATGTCTTCGGAATACTGCTCGTGGAAGCACTCTTTGAGATCAATGCTCCCTTCTTGATTGTAGCAAAGGCGATAAACATGCAAATTGGTGACTTCTTCACCGGAAAATACAGTGGCGATAGTTCGACCATTCGCACTTATCGCTATTCTTTGGACAGGAAAAGCAAGCTTGAAGTTCTTTTCGGTCGAGCCGAGGGAAGACTCTTTGGGAGCGATCTCTTGGTCGAGAATTCGGGAAATAGATCGGCAAGAAGCTTGTCCTACAATTCAAAAGAATAATAAGAAAGGGATCATTGACTTTACCAGAAAGGAGTCTGCAAACTTGAATTCCCCAGTCAAAGCCAACAACGACGATCCCCTCGTTATGGGCCGCCGCAATGCAGTTGATCTCATCCTCAGATTTGAGAAAACAGAGTTGATTTCCATCGTCGCCAGCTGATATTAGCACTTCCTTGTACGAAATAAACAAGAGGCTGCCTTGAGTAGTGGCAAAGCCGCAGCTCTGGACACTCCCGCAAACTTTTTCTAACAATTTCATGCCATTCTTGAAAATAAATATTTTGAAAATGAAAGTTTAATTAAATAATTTATTTTTGAATTGAGAAATTGAATAGTCTAGTTTTTTTTCCAGTTTAAAATTAGTCAGTTGGCAGCAGCAGAATATGTTCATAATAAGGGTGTAGAATTGCCAAACCAGGGCAGCCGATGAAATCTTCAATATCGGCTTTTTTGGCCACTCGCCCGTCGAAAGTGTTGAACAAGTCTTCTTCGATGTTCGCATTTTTCATGAACTGGAAGAATTTTCCAACTATTTTTCCTACTAAAAGCTCTTTTACACATCCATTTCTCAAAATAAGAACTCACAGTCAAGGTCAGAAGCGACCAAATTTTCTTTCTCGGCTGGAATTGGCAAACCTCCTCGCTGCAAAATCACCTTTTCCAAACTCGGCAAATACCCTTCATGAACAAGGAAAAATATGACGAAATGGACAAAGATCTCTTCGTCCATGTCCGACTCTGATTTCGAAAGCCATGTCAGGAGCACCTGAAGGACTGAAAATGTTAATTTCGGTAAATTGGCGAGATGATTGTGAGCTACCTTGAGGCACAATTGGATCAATTCGAATACAAAAATGAAGCCACTCAGCTGCCAGGGTCGTGTTCAATACAAAATCCTCAAGAAATCAATAAAAAGCAATTTGAGTCGTCTCAGCTTACTCTTTTTGCTATATTTAGGATACCAGCGTCAGTAGAAACGCTGAATCTATTGATCTTCTCTTCGAAATCGAAGGAGTTTTCGTCCAAATAATTCTTCAAAACTTCGTCTTCACATGCTTGCGCGCCGTATAAGTCGGGCCAAGTGTTTTCTTTCACAAATGCTGAAAAAGGGGTTGCGAAAATCGATTAGGACACTTTGGCGGTTTCTTCACAAGAGATTATTCAAGGTCGAATGGGTCGAAAAACTTATCAGCTGGTTTTTAAGTCAGATGACATGACACCGTATAAAAGGGCTAAGTCAAATTATTTTTTAAGTATCATGCCGAAATAAATGCGATTTTATACTATTTTTTTGTTGAGTGAGAATATGATTTCAACACGCCCGAAACAAATTCATGACTCGTAACCTCGTTAGAACTAATTCCAACAAGCCAGCGATAAAATGAAAAAGCCGAAGCAAAAACACGACGATATCATGCTATGTTTGGAAAATTAAGAATCGTATGTTTCCTGACTTCTTTTCAGTTTAAAAAACAGTGATCATTTTTTACTTTATTTCTTCTTCACTCCAGAACTTGTGGATCAAAAGCATTATAAATTATAATATTAAATTATTTAAAATAAAATGAGAACAATTTGCTGTCTAGGAAGTTTTAATGATAATTTAGAATCGTTTATGAAACCCAGTAATTGAAATTAGGGTGGGTCACTCTCAACCTGAAACACAGTACTGAGTATTTGATATAGTATATTTCTGTATAAATAAAGAACTGCAACCCAATCCTATGCTAATAGTCTTCGATGTATCCATCAGCGTAGAATCAATCCCAATCGGCACGGGCACTAGCCCCAAATCTGCTCCAATTCGAGTAGCAATTGGCAAGAACTTTGTCAATTTCGCCATGCTTTCTTCTTGCCTGAGATTGACCATTTTCCCTAGAATTTCTGATTGTGACTTTGCTGTTGCTGCAATTTCTTTTCTTCTGGCGATAGGGTCGATTTCGGAAATGCCTGTGAAGTTGCCTTTTGAAATTGAAGAGCATATTTCTGCATACGTCTTTAATTAATTATTTTTTATCTTGAAAGAATTCGAAAAACTGTACCTTGGATCTGTCCAAGACGGAGAAGAGCGATCTCCTTCCAAGCTTCAGCATTTTCGAGAAACCATAAAGCTTCCTTTCTCTACCACTAGCGCTGTAGAAACTCGCGCGCTGATTGGCCGAGCCGCGGAAAGCCCCGATCTCCAACGAGGGATTCGATTTTATGCATGTCTGGTTCTAGATGTTTGTGAAGAGAAAAACTTAAAAACTTATTTGTGAAGACAACACAACCGTGAAGAAAATGATATAAAAGCTGACCGAAATACAAGAAAATTCGAAGAGACAAAAAAAAAATAATATGAATTCAATAACATTCTCTATGTTATGACTTATAAGTTCTTGAACTGTAATCGCCAAATTTTAGGTAAAACGTAATCGAGAAGAGAAAAAATAAGTTAATAAAATGAAGCATATCTACAGTCTGTTATTCGCGAGAAGCACCCATATATCAAAATGATAATAAACTAAAATAATAAAAAAGTATGTAAGATTATGAAATGAAAGCAGAAGGATGACTTCCATCAAAGTTCTTAAAATCCCCTAATATGAAAAGAACTAATGAAAAAATGTTAATAAAAATCATTTCAGACTGTAGAAATGACCACTGTCGAAGTAAATCAGGCATATAAATTCGCTTGGCGATTTTCGCCGAAAGCGAAAGCGAAGCGAAAGCGAATCGAAAATTTCGCTTTCGCCCCCCGAAAATGACACTCCTGATGTTCGCTTCGCTTTCGCTTTTTGTCCCCGATTTTCGCCAAAAATTCGCTTTCGCCGAGGCCTCGCTTTCGCCAAATTTTCGCTTCTGGCGAATCTTCGCCAAAATTTCGCTTTCGCCAAGGCCTCGCTTTCGCCAGGAGTTTGCTTTCGCCAAAATTTCGCCAAATTCTCGCTTTCGCCAAGAGTTCGCTTTCGCCAATATTTGGCCGAATCTTACTTTTTTGTCTTTCAAAGCGGTATAAATAGGGGGAATCACTTATAATTGAGCTCTTTCTCTAGCGTAGTAGAATTTATACAGTTTTAGAACACCTAGAAGCTGGGGATCATTTGGCTACTGATAGATGGGGGTGATCTGAGGGCATTTAGGTACCTCCGAAGCTGGGGTCGGCAAGCCACCAAGCGATGTTTGGTCACCAACCGTTGGTGGAGGTGGGTGGGTTGACAAGAAAATCAAATTTTCACTGGTGGTGGTGGGTGAATGGTGGGTGGGTGGTGGATTTTTTTCGTAAACGTTTTTCTGACCCCAAAATTTATAGAATAGGAGTTGATTACACCGATTTTTCGGTCATTTTTAACCAACAGGAGGAAAACGAAGTAGAGGTAAAGTCATTATAGAGAACTGATATTTTTGAAAGATTTCGCAAAAAAAGGTTTGGCCGAAAAATCTTTCCCACCACTTCCCACTATTTCAGATTTTTGAGACTTGAGGGTGGTGGGTTGGTTGCCCACCACCACTCACCCACCATCCACCCACCCACCATTTCCACCATTTTTTGCTGACCCCAGCTCCGAAGTCCCAAAATCTGGCCAACTTCGGAAATGGGAATTTTTGAAAGACTAAGACTTTTAGCCTAAAAGTTTTAGGGTCTGCCACCTATTCTCGATTATAGGCTATAATTTATAGCTCAGGCCCTGGCTGTCATTTTGAGCTCTAGAAAAGTAGGGAGGGGATTGGGAAAAAGTACTCAATTTTCCTAACTTGAAGAGCCCCTAGCTCCCCAGATACCCCACCCCCGCCCTACTTTTCTAGAGCTCAAAATGACTGACAGAGCCTGGGCCTTCAAAAATTCTGAGCTTTCATTTGGACGGGTATCCCTTATCAAGGGGTCAAGGCATTCATGGGACCGGAAGTTCCGAAATCGGAACTAGATCTCTTCAATCGAATTTTTGAGTAGCGGGAAACGGCTCAAATGAAAGCTCAGCTTCTCGGTGTTCCAAAACTGTGTCATAATTATTATACTAAATTAGAAATATGGGTCGAAGTTTCATCTTATTAGATCGCGTTTTATTCAAATTTCTTTCAATATCTTTCAATTTCGGCGAAATTTCGCTTTCGGCGAATTTTCGCTTTTGGCGAATTTTCGCTTTCGGCGAATTTTCGCTTTTGGCGAATTTTCACTCTTGGCGAATTTTCACTCTTGGCGAATTTTCGCTTTTGGCGAATTTTTCGCTTTTGGCGAATTTTTCGCTTGGCGAATTCGCTTTCGCTTCGCTGTGAAAGATAGGCGTTCGCTTCGCTTTCGCTTCGCTTTTTGGCTGGAAAAATTTTTCGCTTTCGCTTCGCGTTCGCTTTGGGTTTTCGAACGAAATTTATATGCCTGAAGTAAATAAAGAAGAGCAGCAATATCTGGACATTTGCCGAAACATCATCGACAATGGAAATCAAAAAGGCGATCGGACTGGAACCGGTACTCGTTCCATCTTCGGCGGTCAGATGCGATTTTCCCTTGCGGACAATGCTTTTCCTCTTTTGACGACAAAAAAGACATTTCTCCGGGGAATTACTGAAGAGCTTCTTTGGTTTATCCGTGGTTCTACCAATGCTAAAGGTAAGGGAGTATTCTTTGACATTCGTAAGTCTGAAATTTGTAGAACTTCACGATAAAAAAGTTCGAATCTGGGATGCAAACGCCTCGCGTGCATTTTTGGACAGCCGAGGCCTTCACAACCGAGAAGAATGGGACTTAGGACCTGTTTACGGCTTCCAGTGGCGACATTTTGGCGCAAAATACAGCACGATGCACGATGATTACACTGGAAAAGGCGTTGACCAACTCAAGAAAGTCATCGGTAGCCACTTTTTTGTATGAATTTTAGAGTAAAAACGACTAGAAACGATCAAAAACAACCCAAATGATCGACGAATGTTGATGGTCGCATGGAATCCAGTCGACTTAGATGAAATGGCGCTTCCTCCATGCCACTGTCTCGTAAGGTTTGAAAGTTTCTTCTTTATAAAAATCTGTTCTAGTGCCAATTTTACGTTGCAGAAGGGAAGCTCTCCTGTCAACTTTATCAGAGAAGCTGCGACATGGGACTCGGCGTACCTTTCAATATCGCTAGCTACGCATTGATGACGATTATGATTGCCCACGTGACCAACCTAGGTACGTTTCCAAAGAAAATACATACCTAAGGACTTCTCTTCAGAGCCCGGCGACTTCGTCCACACTCTTGGAGACGCGCACGTCTACAACAACCACATTGAGCAACTCGAGGAGCAGATTGCCCGAGTTCCACGAAAATTTCCGAAAATGAGGATCACCCGACAAGTGCCAGACATCGAAAGCTTCACAATGGAAGACTTCGAGCTCTCCGAATACGATCCTTACCCAGCAATCAAAATGCCCATGGCTGTTTAGCTTCCAAAAGCATGTTTCTTTCATTTTCAAGTGCCCATTTACCTCTCATTTACTGCCGAAAACATGAAATACTCAATTTTTTTATTTTACATATTTGTTCGTATCCAGGAAATGAATCAGTAAGGCATGATTTCAGACTATTGATATCGAAATGCTGCGTCAACTAGTAACAAAGGCAGGTAGCATAGTTTAGTACAAACACTGAAAGTGCTAAATCACGAGCTTTTACCCTCGACGATTGCAGACTTTCAAAAACAGTGACTCCTTGATTCTTCTGATTCATGATTTTCTCATCGGAATCGCCTGTTTTTGCGCCAAACTTGAACTCTAATGACGATTTCTTAAAGAGACTCGCTGCTTGCCGCGGACTTGCCAGTGAAGTCAGGAAGGGATTTGCTGCCGATGAATTCTTAGTTGGAAAATATGGCAAAATTATAATCTATCGAAAAGGATCGTAGAAGTAGGACCACGGGATGGTCTTCAAAACGAGAAAAATCATGTGTCAACCGCGCTGAAAGTTGAATTAGTGAACAAGCTTACAGCAGCAGGATGCGATTACATTGAAGCTGGTGCTTTCGTTAGCCCGAAAGCTGTCCCTAGAATGGCAGACTCCAAGCATGTCTTTCAGCAGATCGAGAGAAGCGACGCTGTTACATACGCTGCCCTCACACCCAATCTAAAGGTATTTCTTCCCTTTACGAAGTTACAATTCGAGTTTGCCAGAATGCAGTACACGCCTACTAGAGTAGTTTGAACTCTTTACAACTTTTCCACTGTTTATAATGACAAATTAGGGATTCGAAACAGCGATGGAAGTACACGCGAGTGAAGTCGCAGTTTTCACCGCCGCCTCTGAAGCATTCAACAAAGCAAACATCCGTTGCTCAATTGAAGAATCCATCGCCCGCTTCGATCCTGTCTTTGAAGCTGCGAAAGAAAACGGCGTCAAAGTACGAGGATACGTGTCCTGCATTGCTGGCTGTCCTTATCAAGGATGGGTGGATCCTGCAAAGGTCCGGGAAGTCACCCAACTCTTGTTGGAAAAGGGATGCTACGAGGTATCTCTTGGTGACACTATCGGCGTTGGAACTCCTGGATCGATCGCTGCTGTTTTGAAAGAAGTTCTCGAAACTGTCCAGCCAGGATCTATCGCTCTTCATTTGCATGATACTTACGGTCAAGCTCTTGCAAATATTCTTGGTTAGTCTATCTTAGACTTGATAGTTCGTCTACTGTTATTTAGTTGGTCTTCAACACGGTATCAGAACTTTCGACGCCTCTGTCGCTGGACTCGGCGGATGCCCTTACGCTCCTGGTGCATCTGGAAACGTCGCCACAGAAGATGTTGTTTATATGCTCGACGGACTCGGAATCAAGACAGGCATCAGCCTTGATGATCTCGTGAAAGTAGGCAATTTCATATCCACTGAATTGGGGCGCATGAACGGCTCCAAAGTAGGCAGAGCGGTGGCAAGCTCCTGTGACTAACTTATACTCGTACTGCTCTCCATTCTCTTACACTGTTTTTACGCTGGTGAGAGGTCGGTTGTCCTCTGTCTGTTCCGCAAGCTATTAAATATGGCTGATATTTATTCTCTTCGAAATTCATAAATAGACGAAAACCTGCCTATCTTGACAACTTGATTATTTGAAGAATGGGTAAAAATGCGGTGGCAAAGGGGAAAATTGCGAATAAATTAGCCTCCAAGAAAAACAAAAACCTTCTAAAAGGATCCAACAAGAAAATCCTTGACAAGACGAAAGGTATCGGTGCGAAAGAAACACCCTACAATGGACCAAATAAGAAAGTAAAAAGCCTGAAAAATGAGAAGAAAAAGGGGGCACAGAAAATTGTCGAAATGGCAAAACCAAAAGAAGAAGAAGAACTTGTGCTGCCTGATGCGGATATGATTGATTCTGACCAAGGTATTAAACGATCCGGAACATCTTTTTAATTATGTTTTAGACTCTGATAACGACATGGCTTTCTTGGACAGCGTGGCGAATAGCAAACAGATCGCCAAGTTACAGAAAGAACGAAAACGACAGCTTGAAAATATTGGCGAGGACTTTGAAACCGGCAAAAGAAGCTTCGGAGACGAGAAGGAAGATCCTAAGAAGAAGCGAATGTTGCCTGTTTTAAATGCAGAGGGAGACGTAGAAGAGAGATTCAAAGATGTTGATCACGTCCGACTCATGGACGAAGAGACGGATAGCGAGGAAGAAGAAGAAACAAAGCCTGATGGAAGTAAAAACTTACGATGGAAGAAGTTCTTGAGCTCCAGAAAAAGCAGGCGGAGGAGTGGGAGCAGAGATTGGCCAGTATTGCCAACAGAACACTGTCGAATCCAGAGCAACACGCTCATGCTGCTCTTAGATTGGTCATTAAAGCGCTTCACTTTGATGGAGACCACCAGTATCTTCCGATTAAAATCCGTCAAATGGCCATTCTTACAGCAGGTTAGGCAATTGTAGCGCCTTCGTATGTGACTAAATATTTTTAGGAGCTGTTTTGACGGATATTCTTCCCTCCTACCGAATCCGAAAGCTGACTGAAGAAGAAAAGAACGAAAAAGTGAAGAAAGATATCCGCGCGCTAAGAAACTACGAGCAAGGACTTTTGGAATACTACCAGAAATTTCTGAAGCGAATGGAGTACTTCCTCATGCTTTATAAATCGCCTGGAATGTTGAAGAGAAAAACTGGTGTCCGAAATAGACGTAATTTTGTGGAGGCAGATCCGCTGGAAATTATTTCCAAGCCCGCTAGAGTCGTTATTGCTCGATCAGGAAACGATTAAGACATTTTAGTCGGAGTCCCATTTTTAGATCAAATTTCATATCGCTAGAAAAGTTATCAAAGTCATGTCCAAGCTGATGGTCTCAACTCTTCAATTCAACTTCAACGAAAACATTATCGAAACGCTAATTCCATACATCAACGATACTGACGAAACCATCGGTGAACTCGTTCAAGAAGGAATAGTCGACTTACTGAAGACTGACAGGACATCTGAAAAAGTCCTGCTTGTAATTCGAAAACTCGCAGCTGTTGTTAGGTAATCATTAGTTTGCAATCATGGAGGAAAACTTATTTTTCGCTAGATCAAAAGGTCAAAAACTGATCCTCGCGTGATGGAATGTCTCTTGCACTTGAAAATCAAGCAAGTTGAAAATCGACAAGGAAAAGACCACCGAGACAAAGAAAGAAACAAAATCGACAGAAAAAATGTGTCCAGAGCGCAGAACAAGCAGCGAAAGCGAGAAGCGAAGCTACAAATTGAATTGAAAGAAACTGAGGCTGTGGAGAACCAAAAAGATCGACTCTACTTCAACTCGCAAGCAATCGAGGCGGTGTTTGGAATATTTTTCAGGATTCTGAAGTCTATCAGATGCTCGAAGGTAAAAATAATTAATCAAATTTGAGAGTTAGCTCTTTTTAGCTTTTATCCCCAACATTGATCGGAATCGGCAAATACGGGCATCTTATCAACTTGGATTTAATCGGTCCTTTGCTTGGGTTGCTCACTGATTTCATGTCCGACACAAGCGTGATCGTTGCCAACCGTCTCAAATGCGCTAGGTCTGCTTGTGCCCTTCTCTCTGGTGAAGGAGAAGGTAACTAGTGCTTCTTACGATCTCGTTATCATTATTAATGAAAGATCTTCTCGTGGATCCAAAACAACTCTACCTCTATTCTTACCGAATTTTGGACACGATCACGATCGAATCAAAGGACAAGGCGAAAGAATTAGGCGACCCATGGCCTGCGCTCTTCGACGTTCTCCATGCACTCTTGATCGAAAGAAAAAGTCAACTTACTAATGGAAGAGTTAATGCTTTCCTCCACAGGTGAGTTTCTCTATTAAAAACCGCGGCTTACAGTTTATTGAAGAATTATGACAACAGCAGAACGACTGACGAAAAAGCACCAGCAAGAGTCGACGGCTTACGTTTTGGGTCTTTTGCTCATCGTTAGGGCAATAATGATCAGCCACAGGTAACGAGGCTTTATTAAATTGCTGATAAGTCAAAAATATAAGATGCGCTGCGAGCTGTTTCGACGACGAGGCCGAGCAGAGTTCCCTTCCAGTCGATAAGCTCGACCCAGATTTGGTCGTTGCCAACAGAGTAGCCTGCACGAAAGAATTGGAAGAAGTAAAGAAGCATCCCAACAAACTCGTCGAGATCCTAGTCAAGCACATTGAAGCTGGAGCTCCGAGCAACGTTGCACTGCCGAGAAATATGGCGAGAAAGCCACCGACTGTTATTTATAGAGAGACAAAGTATGGTCAGTTCAAGGACAGAAAGAAATGAATAAATATCGAATGTACTTTATTTATTGAATTGCTCAGAATATCGTACTCAGTGAGTACTACTCATCAATTTTGAACAATTCTTCGACCTTTTTCTAGCTCTCTGCACTATCCAATAAAAATATCAAGTAAAGTAAGACTCCAAGTTAAAATGTTCACTTCTGTTGAATTTGAACTATTCGAGCAGAATAATATTTATATATAGAGAGGGTCAAGGTTTTGCACTTTGAGCAGAATCCAATGCTACAATCATGACTTTTTTTAAATCTGCGCTTTAACGGTATAACGAGGCGAGGAGGCATGGAGAGATAAATCTTTACGACCGAAGATAATTCGCACAAAAACAGTTAAGCAAGTCTTCAAGTTTAGTAATTAGCGCAAAATAATTTGTATCTCAGTTTTTACCATATTTTTGGAAAGCTTAAATTCATGACATTTACTATTCTTAGAAAATGTTAACAAATGATTAAAGGGAGAGATTGGACCGGGCCATTCTAGTCTAGTCTTGTTTTATTAGGGATGGCGCAGACGGAAAAGCCTTTATCTTACTCGGATGACAAACTAAAGAGATGCTAAAAAGAGAGACATTTTCATAAGAATAAGAAAAAGCTAGAATTTAACAAGCGGCGCCATAGATTCAAGTAGGTACAAAAAATAAGAGATATTTTTTGTAAGAAATCTTTCCTGTTGATTTTCATCGAGTTGTCCAGGCAAATAATTGGAGATATGTTTCAAAAGTAGCATCTTATCTTTATCAAACTTTGTCCGATTACTTCTATAGATGAGATAAGCTTCTAATTCCCGAAGTAGAAAGAAGAAAAAGCCGATTATGAAATCAGCAGAGAGTAAAGCTTTGTGTTCTATGTTTTATTATTCTATAAAGATCTTCTCTTATTTGCATTTTTCACATTTCTTACAAGATTCGCAAGATAGAACATTCTTTAGTTCGCATAGAGGCGACCTTATTTCGAGAATGGAAAGAAGAATAATTGTTTCGATTGCACTAGCAGTCCTTGGCTTCTGTGCCGTTTTCTTTCCAAGTAATTTTTTCTGAAACCAAAAATAATTACCAAACAGAGTTTTCTTTCTCTTTTTGACACAATGGCCATAATAAGCATGATTAACCAGCTTGTGGCGATAATTTTGGCAGATTAGACGGCCTATTACAGTTTCATTCAAAAATATTTTTTCCAGCTCAGACTTTGACTTTGTAAAAAAATCAGAGATTCGGGTCAGATTATAACATCACGGCCAAAGCCCGAAATAAGATAAGAATATCATTCCCATTTCCAAGTCCATATATTAAAAAGTCATTCAGCGTATTATATCACGAGAAATAAATATTCAACAACGACTACAACTACCACCACCACAACGACAACAACAACGACTACGACCACGACAACAACCACAAGTACAACCATGACAACGACTAGCACCATCAAACCGACCCTCATGCCTGATATTCTACCAGAAGGGCTGAGTTCTTGTTCTCTCGCCGATAACTATCCACAGCTTTATAACAGCTCAGAGCACAATTTGAAAATTTTGAACGGAGAGACGGTCAATGGAACAGATTGGCCCTGGATAGCAAGGTAAAAAAGGTTCATCTTTCTTCTCATAAGTGCTAGAATTCAACGACAATCTGATGGGTACTTGTGTGCCGGAACAGTCATTCATCCCAATTTCGTCCTTACAAGTAGCGAGTGCTGCAGAACCTTCCCAATGAATGTCACGTTTTCAAGCACTTCAATAACTGTTGATGAAGGTAAGGTTTCTTTTTGCTTCGTGAGGTCTATTTTCAGATTCTCAATACACACTGAATCCGAACGGAATGATGATGCAGTACATTTGTATGCTGCATTTCAAGGAAGACATCTTATGGAATGGAACGGACACTTCTTACACAAAGATGCCGTGTATGCCTCAAGAACCGATTGTTGCCGACAACCAGGAATGCTGGATCGGCGGCTGGGGCTCGACTGCAGTCATTGGTACTCCAAGCGATGAGCTGAGGTCTCGAGGAGTCAGACTCGATAACGGAACGGAGTGCCAAGATCAAGCTTTTACAAGTGGGCCGAAGCATGCATCGATGGGGAATGGTCCGATGGTTATTCAATTCGTCACGAGTCTCCGTCTTGTTCAAATGATATTGGTCTGATTCTGTCTAATTGCAAAGCTTATTTCTTTCTAGGAGGCCCAGTTATTTGTCCTATGGATGGAAAAGCAGTTCTGGCCGGTGTGATGGGTCCTGGAGGTTGTGGTGTTTGGGGAAGAAAGAGTCTCTACTGGGATGTTTATTCGCAAATGAATACGATCATCGAGACGTTCAAAGAGTTCAACAATACTCTACCGACAATTTAGAGAAAAATTAAAGTCTGAACTGTCTAAAAATGACAAAATAATAAATTTTATAATTGATCATTTTAAAAAATGGAGTAAAAACCATGGCCGAGTTCTTCGGTGCTTTGATTTTGGGTTGATTTTGAACCCTATCTTAGAATTTGAAGGCTGATCCTGTGGTCGCACGTCGGCATCGGAAAAGGTTTCATAAGAAATGTATATTTTCGGAGATAGCGCGGCGCGATCAAAGTCAGCCCGTTGTCGCGAAATTTGAGGAAGCTCCTTTAGCGAAAATCCCCTTGAGTGACACCAGCTGGAATGACCGGGGCGACGAGCATTTCCTCATTTATCATAAACTTGGCGCCTCTTCAAAAAGCTTCTCGTTTGAGAGGGGTTTACTCTTATCCACAGGAATAATGACTCTTTCATCAACAGAACTCTTGAGGATTCTCCTGCTCGTAATCGCCCCATCAGTCCAGCTTATCCACCCACTCGGCAATCTTTTGCGCGATCTTTTCGCCTCTCCCCAAATCTGTTTGCTTTTCGTCCTCTTCGACCCTTGTCTATCTCCGTGAGATTCCCATAATGGGGATTATTGGCGAATCTGAGTAAACGCGCGCACACCTGAGTGCTCACTGTTCCTACTTCACGAGTACAACTTGAGACGGATTCGATTTGCCAATGGATACTTGAACACTGACCTGCCAAGAGCCTCGTAAAATAATATTATGAGAACGGAAAAACAATCTTTATCCGCGATTTTCATCGATTTTGAGTTTGCTTTTCCAAATTTCGCTCGACAAATCTAATGATGAAAAAGTTGTTCGTCTTGATTTTTGATTATTTGGTTGAATTTGGCCGTAATCAATCACATTATCGCGTATCCGAAATTTCTAGTGCCAATAAGGTCAGCTCTTCTTTTTCGCATTTGTTTCTGTTTTTGGTTACCGTCCGGTTTCCGGCGAAAGAGAGAAGAGCGAGTGTCGAGTATTTTCGCGAAAACAATATTTTCTCAAGTTTTTAAACTTTTCCGCGACATGCGCAAAAATATTAATCGATTTCGTTTTACATGCTTCCGGCATACGCACTCAAGGGTTGAAGAAGGCGAATTTTGAAGAAGCAAAAACATTTTTTTTTTTCTAAAATTTAACGGTCCGTCAAAAGGAAATGATGGATCCCCGGAGCTCTGGAATGCTCAGAACGGAAGTGAACCTTTCCTAATTAAGGAAAAGTCCCAATTTGAATTCCAAGAAATTTTACCGTCAAATATTTCTCTTCTATGATTTCATCGGTGTTTTCTTTTTCTATGAAATGTCTTTTTTTATTAGCTGCACTGGTGGAAATTCTATAAAACTGACGCCCTGGAAATAGAATGGTATAGGGAGCGCGTCTTTTCAGGCGTTTTTGCGATTTGCATCCTTTAAGGCGTTGCGTCTTTTCAGGCACTGCGTCTGTTAAGGCGCTGAAAAATGGCTAGTAAAATTCTGATATCAAGTAGGGTCTGCTAGATTTCCTCGATTGTTACTTTCCTTGAAATTGTTCTTATTTCAATCTCAAGTTTTATTTCAAATTTTGTCTGAAAAATTTAGTAAAATTATAATGTCGAATTATAATTTTTCTTAATAATAAGTTTATTCTATCACGAAAAACTTCAAATTCAATTATAAATCTGCGGTCCAGGTTGACATGCTTAATATAATAACAGTAATTGAGTATAAATTTCTTTTCTTATGAAAATGTTAACCCTAACACTAACTCTAAGAATTGGGAAGGTAATGGTTAATCAAGGAAGTCTAGCAGACCCTACTTGATATCATAATTCCACTAGTCATTTTTCAGCGCCTTAACAGACGCAGTGCCTGAAAAGACGCAACGCCTAAAAGGATGCAAATCGCAAAAACGCCTGAACAGACGCGCTCCCAATGGTATACATTCCATAAGCCCTCTTTGTTTATTTGCAACGCCTGAAACCTGGCGCATTATTTATCAACGTCTAATTTTTCACACTTGGGAAAAACTTGACAAAAATAAAGCATTATTGTGGCCATTGTTGGACGCTGTTTGAAATGAAGTCGTGTGAGAACGCACTCTGAGTGAGTTGATTCTTTTCAAAACATCAAAAAGACTTTGAAAATTTCAAACGAAATTTCATAAAGGCTCAAGGGGTTGCTTCCCTTTTCAACACATCTCATCGCTCAAAAGCGGATGTCCACTTTTTTGACAAAAGATGGATTTATAGCTAAATAGTGGATTTTGCCTACTTCAAGCTCAATCTGGGCTCAGCAACCTGTGTTAAAACCTGACTCAGGATTTTGAAAGAGATAAGCGAAAAGCCGCGCAGCGGCTTTTTCTTCAATAAAGCCGCGAAGCGACTTGGCTCAAATTTTAAATAGGTTACAATTATAACTTTGAAGAAGCCGCTTCGCGGCTTTGTTCTTTAAAAAGCCGCTACGCGGATTTCAGTTAGGCTTTTCAAAATCAAGAACTCAATTTTTTACTCAAGAAGCTCTGATAAATGAGTGATCAGCAGACAATTATGCAAATTTGAAATTTCGCTATTATTATGTCAGCCGCGTTTCAAGCCAAAAAGCGCCCGTTTCAAAGCCAGCCCTCCATAAATTATTTCTGCAGCGGAAGATGAAAGAGCAAAAAGCGCGTTGATTATTTTTCTTCAAATCGCTGAACTGTGCCTAAATACGCGCAAAATGTAGACTTCTTGCTCAAAAATTGTGATAAACAAAAAATCAAAAGGCGGCGAGAAGGGATGATTTAGGGCATTGTTACCTAAGAAAATAGAAACAGTTCAATCTATTGGAAACTGAGCTCGGCAACCTGTGTTGAAAACCTGAGTCAGGGTTCGAAAAAACTAAATATGATAGATTCAAATGGTTTTTGGCGAACCCGCTTTGCGGCTTCGTTTTAAGAAAAGCCGCTGCGCGGCTTTCATTCAATCCTCTTTTCAAACCCTGACTCAGGTTTTCTACGATTTGGGAATCTTATAATTTTGATTGAAATTTTCAATTTTGAAAGTGTCAAAATATCCGCTCTTAGTTCCAATTATTAATAACAAGGAAATCAGCTGTTTAGGCAACTTCAGACTTCCTTATCTAATTTATTTTCCGATTTCGCCGCCGCTAATCCGTCAAAATGCGCCGCCCGTTCTGCAGCTTTCGAACAACAATTTTCCCAGCGGGAAGCTGAACATGCTTACTCCAATTTGATAAACTCGATCATCAAGCAATAAGTCGCCCCAATCTGACAAATGCGAGGGTTTCATTTTGAAAATTTGAACAAGCCCAAATTCTCCACGGCGGGCCTCTTGACCGCAGCGGTCTTGTAAATTTTCATTGTTGGGCTCCACGCTGATTTTAGGCAGAAAATTCCATTTGCTCAGCCTAAATAAAGACGGATTCTTTTACTGTCAATCTACACGCTCTGTCGTCATTTGTTATACTTGGCCCGGCGACCTGTGTTAAAAACCTGCGTCAGGGTCTGAAGAGATTAAATGAAAAGTCGCTAGGCTTATTTTTGGGTTTCAGAACCTGACTCAGGTTTTTTTACACAGGTTGCCGAGTCCAGTTGTAAAAGTTTGAATCGATTTTCGTCCAAAAAACAAGTGAAAATACATTGTATCTTTGAAGCTATCAATTAGTGGCAAATGCACCAATAGTCAATAAGCTAATCTCATTCGGGTCCATCCGTTGGCAAGCTGCCAGCGCCCGGCCAGCCCGTGCTAAGCTCATTTTCACCTCCCTTTCATCAGTGTACTTTTTCATCCCCTGTGTCGATAATTTCATTTTCCAAATCGTCGCGGTTCCCTTCACGTGACTTCCACTTTTTGGCACTTGAAAAAAGAACAAATTAATCCCCCTTGGCTTTTTATAAATAGAGAATTTGTATACTATCGAGTTGATCCCCTTAACTCTGTGGGATCCATCCCACTTGTCCTAATTTGTCGCGATAACCAGTTTCATCCTTGAACCAACAAAAAAGTGTGTTTCCTAAACTCGCCTTGCTTTTCAGTTGCAGTTGACCTAATTAGGATCAAGCGCGATCCGCGAGGACCTTTAATTATTAAACAACGCGAAAGTCCGGAAAAACCGCCACTTCCCGGCCAAAACACTTGGATCCGACGAACAGAAACAAACATCTTCAAAATTGCGCCACTGTTTGGCATTATCGGCTGGATCTGTTGTCTTTTTTGTAATTGACCGGTTTGGGGTCAGAGGTCAAGTGTGCTTGTTTCTTCAAGCGGTTTATCATGTGCCCGGGTCAGTAAACCGGCGAAAACAAAAAGATTTCGAACAGAAACGAGTGTACTCTTGTCTGACTCAGGTTTTTAGACAGGCTCAATTGGTGGCTGGGCCAGGCAACCTGAGTAGAAAACCTGAGTCAGGGTTTGAAAGAGCTAAAATGAAGAGCCGCGAAGCGGCTTCGCCAATAGTCTAAAGACGATTTATTTGGTTTACTTGCGAAGCCGCTTCGCGGCTTCGTTTTAAAAAAAAAGCCGCTACGCGGCTTTTCGTTTTAGCTCTTTCAAAACCTGACTCAGGACCTGAGTCTCAGGTTGCCGAGCCCAGATTGGTAGGGAGGTTTTGAGACCGCCTGGGCGGTCTAATCTGTTCTTTTTTGGCGATTAGGATTTCTCGCTCTAGAACTGAATCTGTTCATACCTTTGTTATCAGTTCCGGAGTGGCGCCTCGATATCATCTGTTTCGGATTTTTGCCCGTCTGGGCCGGATGTTTCCCGCCACTGACCCCGAAAATCCAAAATAATCCTCCAAAGAGCCATAGAGAGCTCAGCTGGACGGAAATTACAGGAAATTTAGAGGCGATTTAGGCACAAAGAGTACTTCAATTGTTTGGAAAAGCTCGAAAATGATCACGTGAAGATGAGGATTA